TGTACTCCCAGCAAATGCGGCAGCTTGAAGGGCAGAGCCGTACTTTCCACCCTGCATATTGACATCAGCTCCAGCATCTAGTAGAGCCTTTACAATATCCGAGTTCCCACGATATGCGGCCGTGTTCCCATAGTATGCGGCGGCTTGAAGGGCAGTACCAAGTGCTCCACTTCGGGCATTAACATCGGCACCCTTGCTGATGATATATCGAAGAAGATAACTATTTCCGAACAACGTAGCGTAATATAAAGGACTTCCGATTTTAAAGGTGTTTAGCGAAAAAGTGAGCTCGTTATCAGGGTTATGAATTAAAATCCAAGATACTAACACCTCGGAATCCAAAAAATTACAAATTAAATCGTTTGCTCTTGTACTTATAGCTTCAGCTGCCCGTAAGTGCCAATACCAAAGGGCCGCATATCCAAGTAGCGGAAACTCATTTAGATCTTTAGAGGACGCTGACTTTCTGTCGGACACGGAATAGCACGTTATATAGAGAAGGGACCTCTGCACAATCGCTTCGATAGCATCCGCCTCGGAAATATAAAATGTATGTGCAGGTCCAGAACGTATCCGAACAGAGTTCACGTATTCCTTTACGGAGAAATGGGCTATTTCAATGAACGAGAGTTCCCCCCAGGCCTGCTCGGAAAATAAAAATACATTGGTCCGATACGTTGTTGACTCGATGACCAGCCCGGACAATATTTCTATAAGCCAACTTGGGTCGGGAATGCGATTTCTAGGGTCAAACGCTGTTTCAGCGGTTGGGTCAATTATTACAGCTTCAGTAAGCTGCTCGATAGTTATGGGCTCGCAGGTGTGGCTTATCCACTGGAGAGCAACGAGAGCTTTTTGCTGGTGTTCCTCAGGGATACTCATAAGGATCCGCTCATAGGTATCGTCCAGTGTTCTCGGTAGGGACTTCAGGGCCTTCCCCACATCGTCGGGGGTAATACATTTCTTTAAGGAGTCCAATTGGCAGTCGACCCAGCGGAACCTAGAAGGAGAGTCAAATCCAGTAGGACTGAGATGTCAAGGAAGAGTATAGTCTTACATTCCATTAGCTCCTTCAACCAAAACTCGCTCGATTTCCGCTTGGATTTCGGCCGGCCACATTTTTAGCTTCCTATCGTTCGCGAGCTCGGCACATATGAACTTTTGAATGTCGGATCGAACAGCCGCTCCTTGTATAGAGATGGGCGGGATTGAACATAGCGGGTCAAGAGCCTCGCTAAGGTCAACTTCTCTTCGGCCGGTGACTAAAACATGCAAGTTGCTTGCGGCCCATTCGTTGATCTGTCTCAAAACGTCGCAAAGATCGCTTCGTTCTCCATTATCGTTTGGACACTCATCTAAGGCATCAATGATGATGAAGACGGTCCTATGGCCATCTACCATATTCTTGATTGCAGCGAGAAGTCGGTCTGTCGGCGGACGGCTTTGCATATAGCTGTTATATAGTGTTATCACTGCATCCGGGATATATTCCTCTTGGCGGGCCAATTGCGAAAGAATGGAGCATAGGAGGTTGTCGACCTTCTGCTTCTCTGTATCTCGGAATGAGAAGTAAAAGTAAGCAAGGACCCGATCGGCAGATTGATTTGCGCAGTACTCGCGAGTCTGCTCAATGATTTCGGAGCTGTTCTCTGGTTAGTAGGCATATGAAGCGTAATTGAGCCCGAGGCCCTACCAAAGAATGGTTTTGCCGCATCCAGGGATGCCGTATAACCAAAGAAACGAGTCTGGATCTTGTTTCCACTGGAGATACTCCTCACCCTCTGTGAACCACTTGCCAGTTTGGTCTTGATGCTTCTTTCTTGCTGCTATCTGATTGTTACCGGGATCTGCCTGGGATAGCCACCTGATGATCCCGTTCCTTTTATCATCTGATACCTGTTAGTTCTCGAGTCTCGATACTAATGGGGATGTTGTCCGATCATGTCATTATGCGCGCTTACCGCTCAGGCTCTTGGATATATCGGAAACCATGCGCCCGGTTTCGAGAGATTGCCCCCTAATACAACGTTAGCCGAAAAACCTTGAGTTAGCTACGTAGTCTCACATGTGCTCAGCGTTTAACAACTCAAATAGTTTACTCTTATGTGTTCTGATATCCTCAAGGCATCGCTCTACATCTTTCTTCTTTGATGGCCAAAGGGCACGATGCCGGTATTTTGCAAATCCTTCTACAGGTGTTAATTTAGCGCTGAGGGCCGACAAGGCTAGTTTGCACTGTTCCAGCGCTCCATCGGGGCTGCTGAGGGAGTTCAACGATGGCCATGAGTCGACAGGCTTCTCCGCCCCTGTTGTTGCTTGATTTACCAAATCCTTGAGTTTCTGTAAAATTTGTTCGACATCTCCCAGCTCGGCTTGAATCTTCGCGACGTCTTGCTTCGCCTTTTTGACCGATTGGCCATATTTGACCACATTCGTAGCAACAACTGTGGTGATCTGGATCACGGCGATGATCGAGGCGGCAAGGCCTATTTCTGCCATCATGTAAATGTAATACGTGCAAGTTCCACGGTGTGATGTTGAGAGGAGGTGGAGGAAGCTGTAGTTTCTATTATGGGCACGAACGGCAAGGCTGAGCTTGTTCCGAGCCTAATTCCCTGTACGCGTAAAACGTAGCATGTTCGTGGCTCCATACAGGGGCCGATTTGTTGCATGCCTCGGCTTTTGCTGAGACTTTTGCTCTAATAATATGAGTACAGAGTACACAGTTCGTACCTCCCTCCCTAAGGCACCTAGTTGGTACCTACCAGGGAAGGGAAATCACTATTTGTTGGCCTCAGGCAGCATGCCCAACCACATGCCCTCCCAACAACCCGTGACCACACCTATATTTTATTATCACGTGATAAGCCGGTGAAGAGCGCCGCGGCAGAATTATACTATTTCCAAAGCCCGTGAGCAGCGCGTTCACCTGTTCTCTTTCTCTCCTCAGCATCAGCATCATCGTCCCAGAGCCGTCCCGTGTATTCTAATTGTATAAGTATTACTTCTACGGCGTCTGGTCTCCTGTCTTTCCAGCCCCTTCCCGAGTCTCCGACCGACCGACCCCATCTCTTCCAGGTACGTACACGCCTACACATCATGATTCTTCTGCCCTGCTGCACCACGGCTGCAGCGTCTGCGTGTGCCCGGTCTGTGGTGTTGGTGTACGGATGTGGATGATGTGGATGTGGATCACTGCAGCAGAGATGTCATGCCATGGCATGCCCATGGAAAGGCAGGCTTCGCGAGGGATTCTTGAGGACAAAGCATTGTCTATCCCCGAGCTAAGAGTGGGCGGGCATTCAAGTTGATGAGCAGCAGAGCAGCAACAGCAGCCGGGAGAGAGCTTGACACAGCACCAGAAACCGGAACACAGAGCATACCTTAGCCACCTCTGCTACACTCTTCTGCTCCCTTCTGCTCTCTTCTGCTCTGTTCTGTTCTGTTCTGTTTATGTTCAGCTCTGCTCAGCTCTCCTCTGGCCTCTGCCATATGCACATCCCTGGGTGAAGCATCAAATGGGAATCAAATGAACGCGGCCCCTTTGCCCCTATTTCCTCACTACCTACTCCATACCTGCTCTCTGTCCCAGCAGCTCCTTGCCTCGTCCTCCAAGCCCCGTTCCGATTTGACTCGCTTACCCGCGTCCTAGCGCCACCACCGCCGCCGTCACCACCAGCAACACCCAGCAGCCCAGCAAGCAAAAATACACCAGGACAGCACCCGCCAGCACCGCCGCCCTCCGCCCCTCCGCCCACCAACCACCCCAAACATGCAACCCCTCCTCAGACCCCACCTCTCTCTCGCTCACCTCCCCTCCTCCATCATTGCAAAATCCTTCAAGCTCACCCAACTCAACGCCCGATCATTCCACGCAACTCCATCCAACATGACTATCAAGACGTGAGCCCCCATCAATCGACCATCATCGGTGTCTCGTCTCGGTCGATGCTAACAATCAACACAGCTTTTTCGACGTTACCTGGGAGGGCCCAGTCCTCGATGCTCAAGGAAAAGCTACCTCCAAGGTAGCAAGTAAGTCAGCCCCTCCATCCACCCATCAACCCATCCACCCATCCTCCTTCCCATCAATTGAGCATCCGCCATCTCTTCGGAGCATCGCGATGATCTGTTCCGTCGTCACTAGACGTCTTGATGTAGCTGTCTACCTGATGCTGATGGCCTTCAACGCGTTGTTGTTGGCACCGTGTTGTTCGATCTGCTCGCTCCGTCCCCCCACTGTGGCCGAATGCACTGCTGACACTCCTCCTCCCCCGCAGACCAACAGGGCCGCATCAACTTCAACCTCTTCGATGACGTTGTCCCAAAGACCGCTGAGAACTTCCGCGCTCTCTGCACCGGCGAGAAGGGCTTCGGTTATGCCAACTCGGGATTCCACCGCATCATTCCTCAGTTCATGCTCCAGGGCGGTGACTTCACCCGTGGCAACGTACGCTTGGATCCCCCCGTAGAATAACGAGACTGAAGCTCACACTCCTATAGGGCACCGGTGGCAAGTCCATCTACGGTGAGAAGTTCGCCGATGAGAACTTCAAGTTAACCCACAACAAGCCCGGACTTCTGTCCATGGCTAACGCTGGCCCCAACACGTAAGCTGCGCCTACCCACCTCAACCCAGCAAAGCTAACCACCATCCTGCAGCAATGGATCCCAGTTCTTCGTCACCACCGTCGTGACCAGCTGGCTCGATGGCAAGCACGTCGTCTTCGGCGAGGTCGCTGACGAGGAGTCGCTGAAGATTGTCAAGGCTCTCGAGGCTACCGGCAGCGGCAGCGGCAAGGTCAACTACAGCAACAAGCCCACCATTGTCAAGTCTGGACAGTTGTAGATTAGCCACCTCATCGGAAGCTGCGGATCATTCTTGGGCTGTGTCAATTAGGATCCGAAAGGGCACAAGATTAGATAGCACGCTTTGAACGAGACTAGGGGACGAAAAGTTCATGATCCATATCAAATAAGCCTGATTTCCACCCTAACCACGATGCATGCGATAGATCGTTTTGATTTGTTAATGTTTCCTACAAGTGACAAGGCCATGGTATCTTCCCAAACGCCACCAAATAAAAAAGTCCCCGACGCTATGCATTGACATGGAAGTCGTCCGAATCCCCTTAAATATCAAGCCAATCAGTGAAATATTCACAATTGCTGGGTGAAACCGGTCCCCCCTCCTCGCAAAGATCGAACACTGGACACCGGCCACAAGGCACCTCGGTGAGCGCGCTCGTAACATCATGCTCATGTCTCAAGGTCTTCCGCAGCGCCCTATACCCAATACCACTCCCTGCCCCAATGACCTTCTCAATGCGGTCATCATAGCACATGATATCCAAGAGCTGCTGAATATCGTGCGCCCCCAGAGTCGTGTGAATTGCGATATTGCTCCCGTCGAGAAAGGCCGTAAGCTCATCCAGATCCGGATAGCCGTTGTAGTCCGCCGGCATAGGAAGCGTAGCCTCGTACAGACGACTTCGCGCCGACCGCTCGTCCTCGTTACCTCCACGGGCACCGAGTGCTTTCTCCCTCGCGGCTTTGGCTTGCGCGGAAGACATACCCTTGCCCTTGCTACTGATTGTCTTCGCGGGGCGACGAAGCATAGCTGTGTCCGTGTAGAAGCTTCTCCTCTTGATCTGCGTGTATAGCACCTTCGTCACAATCTCCACGAACTCCATATCCAGCTCCCCCTCTGAGTACCATGGGCCTCCTGACGCACGCTCGCTGGGCCGCAGGCTCGATAGGATGTACATCTTGCGAGTGGGGTGCTCGACGGATTTCATGTCGGCGATCAGGTTCCGGCCTTCGAGGTGCTTGAGACAGGTGCGCATGATGGTGTCGTGGATCTTGAGTTTGGCTTTGATGGTCTTGGTCCAGATCCCATCGTCGCCGGCTTCGTCGATGAGCCCGTAGACCATCTCTTGTTCTGCGGTCAGGCTGCGGAATCTAACAAGCAAGACAAAGTAGTTAGCTATGTTTACGTTCCAAAGGGGAATTCACATGGTAGTGATATGGCGGAAGGCACTACTTACTTCTTAGCATCATCCTCAGTCCGCACTCGCCAGCCCAAGCCCTCCGCATCCTGTACAGTCTTGAACAACTTCTCATTCAGAAGCCCTTGCACCACTTGAAGGAGGACCTGGACGTCCTTGTTGGGGATGATGCCCAGGGCGAAAATGGTGCTCTGGTGAAAGACCGTCTTTAGGCCCTCTTCCTCTGCAATGTCCATGCAGCTGCTGTAGACGTCGGTCTTCATGGCTGTGATATCGAGGCCGCCGCCCGCTGGTGGCGGGGCAGCCACATCAGTACTGCTGGAGGCCATGACAAAGGGAATTGTGTGACGCGAGGAGTTGTGGTAATGCTTGTAGGCTATGAGTAAATACGGGAGGTTTGGATTGTCATTGGCATCTGCCGATGTGCTTGATTGCACTGCGCTGCACGGCGGAGGTGAATTGAATTGAATGTCCTGGCTTCTTCTGACATACAAAATTTGGAGCTGTATCGAGTATGTTTTTACGCGAGCACAAGGCTACAAGGCTAGAGAGCCAGTTCGGAAATAATTTAGCGCTGTTTCGTACTCGTACTTGTGCTTCGTCCACCGCTCATCTCATCACTGTGCTGGTCCAATCTTCTTCATAAGGTACCTAGGTACCTCACACTCAGCACTTCCGGTCTCAACGATCCAGTCCAATGTATTACAAGACCATGTTCATGAAAATGATGAGATGGGATGATTATGGCCGCCGTGATTTCTCTGTTGTTCTCCCCTCAACCTGTGAGATCGGCGAGATCCTGTTTGCATGTCTCACAGCCACCATGGCCAAAATCTTGGGGCCGTGGTTGAAACTTCAACCATGACATCTATCCATGGATCCGGGTCTTACAGGAGCCTCTCATCCAACCTCTCTACAGCCACATAGTCAAGCACTGCGCTGAAATACACGCATTACATCTGGATGGCTCCTGATTCCTGACGGCTTTTGATGTGGCGGCCCGCGAACGCGCCTACAATCCTCGTACGTTCGAGCCTCACGGGACGCTCCGCCAGACCTAAGGTTACAAGGCCTTTGGGGACACACATTGGCTGCGACAGGAATAGCATCGCGGCAGTCGGACCAATGCCTTGGTCGTCGTTGTGGCCTCGAAAGATCCCGCGGTTTCTTTTAACGCGATGCAATTTAGGTTCATTGGTACAGAGCGGATTGAAGGTTTACCTCGCTTCTCTGCTGGGTCGTTTGTGAGGCGCCTACACATCGCTGGGATCATCGCCTGAAGACAAGAGCAAGGTAGTGAGCGCCCTAATTGGCCAGCACAGCGGCTGTCACAACGCTCGACTGTATCAAACAATTATAGAGTCTTGACATCTAGGCCTTACCCTCATTTATGATTCAAGCTCAGATCACTCATAGCAAGTGCTGAATGAATATTTAAGAATCTGATTCCGCTGCTCAGTTTGCTTTCCTTCTCTCCTCATCTCATTCATCTCATTCATCTCTTCGTTTTCTCCTCTCTCAATCTACAAAAGCGGTGCTTCTCTGTTCCCTTTTTCCTGTTTTCCATTACTTCTCTTCATAGGAACCGTCTCGTCAGACAATTCGGTCACTCTTTCGCTGCTAGCTCGGCCAGTTTCATCAACACTTCGACAGCCCTCCCCATTGCTTTCGCCTAGACGGCATCAATACCTGCACCTCATTCTTTAGAAAAGGGCTTTCGTCATCAATAGTGTTCTTTACACTCCTTTTCTGAGCACCCAGCAAACTTTCAAATCAAGCACCTTGGAAACACTCCAACAGAATCAACCAAATCATCACCAGCTTCTAAATCCTTCAACACCAATACGAGAACGTTCTTTCACTCCACCAACAACCACCAAAATGAAGGGACCAAATTTCGGAGCTTTGGGTGCTACCTTCACCATCATGCGAGCCATGCAAGCCATCTGCCTCATCTCCATCATCGGCATGACAGCCAACTTCGTCGCCGAGATGGTAGCTGTAAAGCAATCACCTCCCCAGGTCATCGTCGCCACCCTCTCAGTGGTATGTTCCATCATCCCATCACTACATGCATCACACTAACATAACACCCACAGACCTGCATCGCCGTCCTCTATGTAGCCATAACCTTCATTCTCTACTTCGACGGTGTCCTCCCGTTCCTCGTCCCCGCCGGCATGGACTCCCTTCTCTTGATCGCGGTCATCGTCGTAGCCACCACGGTTGGCAAGCCCCTCTCCTACCTCGACTGCGCCGCTCTCCCAAGTACAGGGACAACAGTATCCTTCCTCGACAGCGTCGCCGCCAATATGAAGAAGGTCAACTACTGGGTGTGGGCCGGTGCCAGCAAGACGACTTGCTACGAGATGAAGGCTATTTGGGGATTGAGCATTGCACTCTGTGTGCTCTTTGCTTTCAGCGCTATTTGCAGCGCATGCTTGTGGAAGCAGAACAAGGCGAAGGCAGCTGAGGGAGCTGCTCCCAAGGATGTCGAGGGCAACTGGTAAATCTTGTCCTCGCCATCTCAAAGATTGGTTGACTCGGTAATGGGGTATCTGATATCCATCAGACGATATGTCATTAAAAGTTGGAAGAAGCGCATACAGCAGGGAGCCTTAATGGCACAGTCACTCTTTTTTGTGTTTGGGTTTGCGTCACAGGCTAATGAACGTGCGTTAATGTTTGCTTTTGGGAGACTGGGAGACCTTGGATCATGGGTAATGTGTTTGATAATTAAAAAAAACATCAATATAGAAAGAATTGCGCTGGGCTTTTGCCATCTGAAATATTGTCTCTGAAACTGTGAGAACTGTGAACTATGTACCTTATCGATTCCCATCTGAGGAACATTACGATATTTATTAGAATTTCTTTTCTACAGTATGGCTAGCTATGTCTAACAAAGTTATAGCGATTGCAATTTGAGAAGTATTCTGGTAAGTGTTCCTATGCATGCAATCGGATATATTAGCAAGGGCCGAGAGAAAATGTTCTCGAGCAATAATTACACTTCCTAGTTCCCTTGACACAACTAAGTTACAGAACATTATATCGTATGGTATGGGAAATGGGACGATGGTCGTTTTAAAGATGCTTGCAGTAGAACGGGGATGATCAGAGTTGAGGCTGGTTAAGCAATGTTGTATATTCAGATTCTATCGAAAAGTATAATAGGGCATCATTCTAGTACTACAATCCGCTACATCCAATGATTCAATGTGAACTTCAAATTTGACGAAGCGTATCTCCAATTCTTAGCTGTCCGCATCCTGGTACGGCCATAACCTTGCGAAGGGTTCCCTTTCCGCCTCATCATCAGCAGCCCCAATGAAGGAATCCCTAAGCTCAGCTACGGCAGTATGTATCTGGTCAAATTCAGTTGGATCTACCATCCCATTTGGAAGTAGTCCCCAATTGTCTCGAAAAAGTCTTAATATTTTACCAACATCGGCCATACTCTCCTCCTCGGCCGCGTGCAGTGCAAGTTCCTGCTCGCTGAAGCTTACAGGACATATAACAGACCCTGGACAAAGGTCCTGCCACAGCTCGACGATTGAAAGTAGAGCCCGCCGAAGGAAAAATACATCGCGATCCTCCCATACATCCACAGCAAGACGTGACGGTTGTGTTCTCACGTTGGAATTTTCTAGTTGTAGAGCAGCCCAATGTCTTGGATTTCTGCTCTTAGTCTCAGCCTCATGATATTTATGGCAAGTCTCGCTCATTCGGTCATGGTCGATCTTCTTCTCGCTACGACCAAGGCTGTCATAATCCTCTGGAAGCTTAATCAAGGTCCAATCATCAGCAACTGTCCCTCGATGCTGAATCATTCTCGGGATTCCACATTGGTAAAATAACGGCATAACAGCCGCTGATTGCTAGTCAATTATACGAGTGATTTGCCTTGATTCGGGGTCGACGAATACGTTATTAAGATGGAGGTCTGGATGCCAAAGTGTTGGCGAGTGTATATCGTCCGTCCCTACGGGAGGTACCATGGCTGGAGTGAGTTGGAGATACCGATCTAGGAGATCGAGCACTTCCTCGGGCAACTCGGGTTCCGTAGAGGATCGATGGCAATTCATACGAGGACGGGCATGCGTTTTGATAAACCGCATCTCGTTTGTAGCCATAGCTTCTATAAATTCAAGCGATCCGTTATCTGCGTACCGTTAGAGCAAGCCAGTTGTATAGTATTAAACGAAAAACTCACACGGTCCTCGATTCATACCCATGTGTGTCCTATCACCGCGCCACGGGTCGCTGAAAACGAGGGGACCTAACTTAAAACGTTTGAGTAAGGACAAATTCCATGGCATACTGGTTATTATGGCGTTATCACTGGACATTTCCTCTGCAATGTCATCCCTAAAATAGATGCAGCCGGATTTCACGAACTTCGTCGACGCAAGCCGCTGTTCTATTTCCACAATCTGCTCCATTATTTCAAGTTTGAACTTCATCGGCCATTGACACCAGAGGCTGCCTAGTGGCCTACCTGGAGCCTTTTCCTCCAGGATGTATTCTGCCCCAACCGGATTGTTTCGATCAGCAGACCAGGAAATGATACGAGGAGTAGGAATATTCAATACATCGCGTAGCTGGCAATATCAAAGGTGAGGTTTCGGTTCTTAGGCATAGATAGAAGTACTTACAAACTCGCGAGTGGCTACTTCCGACGCCGTTGTATAATAAGCTGGCCCTGCCATCGGATTTGGGAGCTTTGCAACGATCTCCGAACCGTCATCCATTGTGAGGAGGTAACCCTTATTGTTGAGCCCTTCACGACACTTGAGAACTCTAGTGCCTAAAGTCCAAGGTAGCCACGAGTTTAATACATAGTAGGTTTATCGTGGAAACACACTATAGCGGGCATCCTCACTAGAGATAGCTGTAACTGCAGCTTTCAGGAGTTGCTCAAGGTCAAATTTGAGATACCTTCCTGATAGCTGTGTGGATTCATTGTATCTATGTCTGGTGAGTTTTAACTGTGAACAATAAGGCGTCATGCCAACGACTCAACGTGCATCCAGCGATTCCGAGTGTATCTGTAGAGTTCCTCTTCCGAAATATCTTCTACTACAAACATTAGGATCCTTAATAGCCAGGGGTTGCTATACATACAAGTCCCATCAGACTTCTCAGCGCTGAGGAGAGGCCTTGCCATTACCCGGTTGGCACTCTGTCTTTGCGTCGAAGTCGCAAACGTGGCAACTATCGACGGTCGAATATGCTGATTAGCAATGGTTCTACATGCAAAGAGGCGGCAACATAGTGGGGAAATCCGTGATCTGATGGGCATACTTCCTTTAGTTGAATTGAAACTTTGGGTTGTTATTGAACAGATCTACGTGGCGACGAGTAGATAACTCGCTGCTAAGGCGAGCTATAACCTAGATTGAGCCTACTCGAGTAGCGTTGATGCTATCGAGTTCCCTACCCCTAAAAAAGTATAATCTCAAGAAGCAACATCCGCCATTGTTCAGCTAACCAAACCTTCACGGAGTAAAGTTAGCGGCCCGTCAAGGTGTGAGAAATTAAAGTCACGAATAAATTGAAGATAAATATGCAAGTGATCCTCTTCTTCGATTCTCCTGCTAAAAGCTGCATAGATATACACACTGTCACGAGATAGATATTGAGCTTATACTTCAAATGCTATTGATCAAACTGTTTACTTCTAGTTTTACCTCGCTATTAAAAATCTAATAAGGTCCCGTTTATAAACAATATATCCTGAAGATCCTCTGCATCCTATACCTATATGTATAGAACGATATTCGAAAACCAATGTATGAAACTACCAACTATTCTATATCCCGTTCTATCTAAGTCCCCTAATCTTTCTTTCTAAAGATACTTCAACAAAATCCAATCCGTCTGCACACACTCCCCGGAAACAAACTCATGATCCCCCACCTTCCGATACCCCAACTTCTCATAAACTTTTTGCGCCCTATAATTCTCCTCCCAAACCCCCAGCCACATCGTTTTCTTCCCCATTTCCCTCGCAATCTCGTCCGCCCTCTGCATCAACATCGGCCCTATGCGCTTGCCCATCCACTCCGTACTCATATACAACCTCTGCAACTCCACCGTCGGGAGATCCCTCTGATTAATGCACGGTTCTGTGGTCCCTTCGCGGAGCTGTGCGTATCCTGTTATTGCGCCGTCCGGAGCTACGGCGACGATGGTGGTCATCAGAGGGCTGTGGAGGGTGGCTGATGTTGCCGCTATTGAGAAGTCGCTCTCTAGATAGGCGGCCATATCGGCAGCTGGGATCGAGTGCCCAAATGCCGCTGTGAAGGAGGTCGCGCCGATTCTTGCGATTTCAACGGCGTCGCTGGGGAGTGCGGGACGGGTTGTGATGGGTCCATCATGAGATTTGGGGACTTGGGGGGCTGTTTCTAACATATTTCCTCTCTCTCTCTCTTCCTCTCTCCTGTAAATGAACCCCTTGGTTTTGTTTTCGACGAGGGAAAGTGAAGAGTTCGTCGTTTGCTGCTTGGGCACTCCTTTCTATAGACTTTCTTGGAGCGGATTGAGATAAGGATATTTATTAAAAGAAATCTCGAAGGAGCTCTGTTTTAAAATTCTTCGTTGGCCTTCTCATTAAATAAATCAATCCATGTAGCTTTTCGTTTACATCCGTACTAATAAGCCTTAATTCGTTGGTTTTGCTGTGTCATTGATTCTATTATATTCGCTGCATTTTTATTTTTCTGCGAGACCCACATGTGTAGTCTACAGGGCGCGTCGGATCAATCCGCCACCACTTTCGACACGATGACACTCACTCCGCATTTTGCAAGGACATAGGACACCCCCCCTGAGATCTGCCAAAACAAAGTTATTCGAGGATTTCTTAATAACTTTTCATTTTAGTTATCTGTAGCTCCGTTCGCACCGGTCCCTACTTGGATGTTAGATCTAATACTGCCACATATTGCTGTTACCTCTAGTGATTAAACCTATCTCTTAGACTTCTTTGACTGGTGACCTACGAAGTACACTACCTCCTTTGTACCTATCTCGGGATAAGAGGCTAGCGAATCTACGAACGGCTATTCGACTTAGTCACTTACGGCAGCCACATTAATGTTTAGCGCGGTACGCTAAAATGTTCAAAGGCCCAGCCATACTTGTCCCTGTCTGTATGTCTTATGTCTTTATCATCCTCTTGCTACGTAACTCCGTCCATCTTGGTGGCCTGGCGGTAAGTAGAAGTTATCTTCATACTCACGCTTCCTAGTCCTCATGTCTCCACGTTTAAGAAACGGAAAAGTTTGGCGTCAACCGTTGCTGTCAAAGTACCAGGGTATGATGCCCACTAGTATGTCCATTGCCAGCAGCCACTGACTGAATATTGATAGAGAAGCCACCTCAGGGAATTCGAAACGAAAAATCACATCTCTCTCCTCAAAGAACCGAACCATTAGACCACCTGCAACGCTCCCAGAGAAGCGTACCCGAAGGCGCGAATTCTATAATAAACCGTCCATCTTCATCCCTCCGTTTCAAACACCCGGACAAAGAAGCATGTCACCACTCCTGCAATTCCACAAAGCTAACTCAAAGCCAAGGTCCAACAACCTAGCGGCCGTAAGCGGAAACGATCGCAGGACGATGAAGGCCAATTTCCTACCATAATCAAATCGCCTTCCAAGCAAGAGCGAACGTGCGGAGTCAGCGTTGAGAAGCCCAATCCGGTTGAATTCTGGGTAACGGAAAAACACTGGCCGAAGGACTCCAAACAATACAACCTGACTTGGGACGATCTCAAAAAAGACACCTGGTACGAGAAATTCTGGGACCCGGAGATGAATCGTTTACTTCCAAAGCAACAGTCGTCTTCCTCTCTCCATAAGAAGCAAACGGAGTCAGGTGTCATCGCCACAGATCCCCATACCTCAAGCACAACTGCTTCATACCAAGACATACGCTACCAAACTGTACTTGCGGCTAAGGGTAGCTACTTGGATGATTCAGAGTTAGGAATCACAAATGCAAGCAAGAGCATCTGCCGAGTTTTACTTAGGAAGAAGCAGACAGTTCCCCAAAAGTCGCTTTTTCGGGCTGATCTGTTCAAGAAGACTTGCAAGAAGTTAGAAAGCAGAAACGAGGCCAGACTTATTCAAGATGTTACTCGGCTTATTGTTCCTTCTGCGGAAACACTTGCGACTTTCGGAGCCAAACAGCTTGAGATCTTAGTCGAGAGTGTCCACGAAGGCTGGAATAATTCCATTCCTATAACACAGACTCGTCCGCAGCCCGACTATGCGGTAGGATTTGGGCGAGGGGCATTCACAGAGGATCAGCTCAAGCGGCTTAAACCCCTTGTCGGCGAGGTTACTGAAACTTCTTTCTTTATGGCCACTTACTACATGTACTTCCCGTTCTTAACCTGCGAAGTTAAGTATAGCAACGCCGCACTAGATGTTGCAGACCGGCAGAATGCGTATAGTATGACAATAGCAGCAAGGGGCATTGTCAAACTCTTAGGCTTGTCAAGCGCGAAAACGAGCTTCATCGAGAAATCCTGGCCTTCTCTATCTCACACAATCACCGGTCTGTCAGAATATATGGTCACTATCCTATTATTGATGGCAAGAGAACTACCTTTTACTGTCATCTAATCCACGAGTTCATCTTTATAGTATTAGATGGCAAAGAAAAATGGACAGCGTACGAATTCACTATGGGTATCTACAATGTCTGGATGCCGATTCACCTTAAAAGGATCTACTCGGCCATCGATGAGTTACCACCCGATGTGAAATTTGAGACTTCGCTACAGTCTGAGTCTTGGGGGTCCGGAATTTACGAGGCGATGAGCCCGATACGTCCCTAGTCTTATAGAGACGAGAGAACATCCAAGAAGTCAAGGAGAACGGGATTGCCAAAATTACATTAGTGCCGCAATCCAAGCTTGACGAGTCATAGCGGCCTGCCTTACCCCATTAACCCAACCCCATCATAGAGAATACCACCCCGTGTACTTTATAATTTTAAGGATTGATAGTTATTATTTCACAATCTGGAGCACTAGTAGCAGTCTTGACTCCTTTTTGGTCTTAGAACCTTATTCTCATCGGTTTCTTCCCAGGGCCGTTTTATGAAGCCTGCAATCTCCATGAGCAAAGTCGAATACGAATAAGATGATGTAAGAGGATGGGGATGATGATCGAGTCTGTTGTAGGAAAATTTCCATAGACTCCGGCTTAGTTTTGGGAGCGGACAATGCTAGAGGAGTATTTGACGCAGTCCCTCCTCATATATTCGCTGCTAGGCACTACGAAATTTTACCATCCTCAATCTTTCGGATACGCCCCCATAAGTACTGGGGCAGTCACTACTGGCGCTTATCAAGTAGGTCATATCTTTTTTTAGCTATTTTTTGGAAAGCGTGCCTAAGCAGCTTCTTAGTGGGAGGTTCTATGAGGCTGGGGGCGATATATAGGCAAAGACGTGAAGTACACTTGAAAAGTTGTCTGTTGGTCCATATTTCTTCTATCCTCTCAAGTACTGTACATTGTCTGGCACCGGAATATAGCGGAAGGTCCTAAATTTCTAAAAAGTGTTGAGAAATTCCTTTAGCCATTGATCTGGAACAAAAACTGTTATATAACCTCTGCCTAGCTCTCTTACGCGTTTACTATCTTTTTGCTCTTTGTTCATTATAATCAACACTGATCAACAGTACACAAAAGTCAGAAGGACAATACCAAACAAAGAACTTAAACATAAACATAATATTATTGCAGGCAAATCGTACATATATAGATACCAATGCTTAATCGCGATAAGAATCGACTTTAGGCAACCCCCACTAGGCAAAGCTCAGCTCTTTCATGGTCCATGCTTCATGGAGGCGACTAACTCCTCGACATGGGCAAAGCTCAGCTCCTTCATAGTCTCATCCCAGATCTGGTCTTTCGCCGTCGTTCCGTCAGTGGTGTAGTAGAAAGTTGCAAGTCTGTCGTTGATGTCACTGTCAGTCAAGTTCCGAAGTCCATTCATAACCCCCTTGAGTTCAGATGGATAGGGAAAGCTAAGGCCGAAGACTTACGGCGCGATCTCGGTATTCATGAGGAAGCATCCGTGTGCCTCTTTGCCATGACCCAGCAAGGCGTCAATATATGTGGCAGCCCCTCTATCCACGGTCCTGCCAGCGATTCCGAAGAATGCTTTTGACATTAGCCAAACCACACCTCTTGCATCACGACTTAAATTTGTGCCTTTCGTCAGACCCGGGTCAACCATGTTGATGATTACGTCGTCAGACTTGACATATTCAGTCAGCTTGACTAGAAAAAGCTGAGATAGAAGCTTTGACACGCCATATCGCTCCTGGGAATCCCAAGGAGGATTCTTGGGGTCGTCAAATGAAGCGAGAAGTGGTCGCCGAGCACGATTCGGGAACTTGCACAAATGGGCCGTGATCGAGTTGATGACTGTCAGTCGTGCAGGGTCCTGCCGGGTTGATTTGGTTTTCAGAACAGGCAGCAGGAGAATCGTAAGAAGGATTGTGCTGAGGTGGTTCACTTGGACTGCAGTTTCATGTCCAGTTGAGCGGACTATATTGAAATTGATCGGGCCGACACCAGCATTCAGGATTGCGTAGTCAATGTGTGGGAGCTCAGCATCGCATTTGCGGACAAAGGCCTGGATAGAGTCATACGACTCCATATCAAGAGCCCAGACATCGATCTTTGCAGAAGAATTTGCCGTGGCAAGTTTTGCAGCAGCGGTTTTGCCTTTATCAAGGGACCGCACGGCAACCACAAGGCGGGATAGGCCGAGGGACAGGAGCTGCCTTGCTGCTTCGAAGCCGAGGCCCTGGTTGGCACCTGTGACAATTGCGACTTTACCCTTCAAGCTGCCGTACTGCTTTTCCGACGGGAGTGGTATTTCGACTTTGAACTGATTATTCCAGAAGATTTTGCCGAAGTTCTTGGGTAAAGTGGACATATCCTTGGAGGCGACCGTGGCGACCATATTGGGCGAGAAGTGATGGAGGATCTCGAGTTGGGGGGGACTTACCTAGACATTAGTTCTTGAAAATCTCAATGAAGGTAGGAAATCTCACAGTATCGTATTCGTTCGAGTTTCAAGGCCGTGACCAAGAGTGGATGAATCTTAAGACAATAGGTGAACCGTACTACCAATGTGATATATATACCTTATACTATATACCGATGTGTACCTGATCGTGAGTACGAGATGGAATTGTAAATTTAGGGGACTATGAAATTGCTATCAAGACGGAAGAGTCGGGGCATACTTATATTAACGGGCCAGGTCACCGCCAGACTCGCGGAATTCAGTAGTTGGCCATCATCTGAATTCATATGATGGCGCAGTGAGTGAGAAATGGCTATAGTTCCCAAAGGGGAAACCCCACTTGTCTTGGCACAATGAAAGCTGGGACCGTACGCTAGCCCCAAACAGGATACCCAAAAAGTCTTGGCAAAGCTTCAAAGCTCCAAGCTTCGGGCGTGGAGAAACAGCTCTTAAGTCCTATCACCGACCACGACAATGACCACAACCACGACCCAGAGTGTCACAATTCGTGGAGCATTCGAGTATTATTACCCCTTGTTTCGGCCATACCGCAACGACATGGCCTTGACTGTACACTTCAGATGTGAGTAGATGACGCACCTCCCTAATCCCTATCCATAGTCGCTTTAGGACAATGCTGATATTCATATAAGAGCGGACCCAGCGGAGACAGCTTTCAACGTTTAATTTCACCTAAATATTCCATTCGCGTCATATTCCCTTACGCGCATCTGAGCCTATCTAATAGTCCCATCGGATGAGATCTTCTTCATGCCAAGCCTTCCTGACACCCCGAAATTGGTCCACCTCCGGACGAGTTCCAGAATAGTGCTATCCATGGCGAAGCCCAAGTGTGAGTACTCTATATCCACATCATTCCCTGTCTTTAGCACCACCATGTACTAGTACCGCCGCCTTCCACTACACCATTGGCTCGTATACTTTGCATTATCTACCCATTATACCCCGTCTTGTTCAATACTAAGGGTTGCATGGTAGACTCGGCCGGACTTCGTTTTGTTGTTACTACGACAGATAAAGCCTTGGACAAGCCCGACCGCAAAGCTATCAGGGGCCATGCGACGCGAGCAGGAGTAGCAGGCCGTCAGACTGTGCCGCTGCAGTCCTGGATTTCTTCCCATCGTAAGCTTAAGGCGTCCATTACGCCCAATGAAGCACCAACTTCAAAGTCCGTCTTGTCAGCACCAAGTCCTAGGCGGGTCGGTGGAGACTTTTCTGGGCTACAACTGCCATCAGGAGTCGAGCCTTATATGGTTCAAGATCTAGTAAAACGTACATAAAATCCCTTTATATCCCCCTCACTTACTACGTAACCGGAATGCTAGTAATACTTTCACAGAACTTTACTAAGAAAATTTCCAGTAATTGGCCTCCAAAAGTATGGAGTATATCCCTACGAGATTTGCTTAAACGTTCATGTTGTTGAAAGGGGTTGGTTCCCCTATATGATCAACGACATCTGCTGCCTCCATTCCATGATGTTTTCGGTTCGTGCTTTTGTGGAAAGCGCTCTCCATGACAAACTAAGCACGCTTGCCTGCTTCCATTACGGCCAAACGCTACAGATACTGCAGGCGCGACTTAATGAATTCGACCAGACATCTGCGATATCTGATTCTACGATCATGGTTGTTATTACACTGGCACAGGCCGCAGAGCTCACTGGAGATTTTGCGGCTGTAGAAAATCATATCAAAGGCCTAGAGAAGATTGTGAACCTAAGAGGCGGAGTGCGGGAGCTAAATACACACAATAATACACAGGTCAAGGTATGCAGGTGAGTCCCCTTCTCTGCTTCCCAGGCCCAAACATGTATGCTGATTAGCGTTGGTTCAATACTGACACGATAGCCAGGGCTGACTTGGCGTATGCGTTGCTCTCTGGAAACAGACCGCGTCTTCTCGGAGAGGGAATATCCTGGGACTGCTATATCGCGGATCGTGGTTTGATACAGTGCAGTCACCAGCCTCATGACGCTAATATACGCGCCTTCGCAGAGACTGTTATGGACGCAAGACTACATAATGCCTTGAGAGATCTCCATGCTTTCTCCTGTCTTAGCAATTGTGCCTATCAGACGACACGCAAGCTTTCACCAGAAACGTATAATGAGATGATGATTTCTATCCTTTACAGACTCACGCACCTGTCATTCAAGAGCGACTACCTGCAGGAGGCGATGCGAGTCGGATTACTGGCTTTTTCTTCGGCAATCTTCATGCAACGGCAGTTTATGGAACAGCCCTATGATAATCTGCTAAATCTCTACAACAAAGCCTTGTCTAGGCTGCGCAAGTCCACAGACATTGACTTACCCATACCTATCGTACTTTGGATGACCATGCTATCCAATGTGGTGGCACCCAAGGAGCTTTCTCGTGTGGACTGGAGGAGTGTCTGGCTTGACGAGGCTGTTTCACGTGCGGGCATCGACTCATGGTCCCAGGCACGCGAAATATTGAAATCGGTCATGTGGATCGACTTCATCCATGACCGACTTGGGAAGAAGGTCTGCGAATCGGCCATGTCCCGGCTTGGAAGACCACCTCGAGTCGATGTTTTGTGCACTTCATTGTGAAATCGACGCCTAAGTTACTTTCAGAAGCGTCTTCCTAGGGAGAGCTTTTCTCGACAACCAATCGGATCAACTAGTTTCTTGTTTTTGTCTTCCAAGTCATCGCCTAGTTTATAATTCTTTTGTGGCGTTGAGATCCCGGCTGCAGCTAGCTATACGGAGAGACGGCTTATATCCCCCTTTTCAGCTGTCGGGCTTTCCAGCCAAAGCTTTTGACCAGAGAATCATCTTCAAACAGAAGCAACAAAAACCGATACACCTGATTTGCACCCTCACAGCGAGACAGCCCGGACCATTCTCCTAGCATCGCATAACCGTGGTCGTGATTTTTCTGACAAGACGAATTGGATATAGTGTATCGCCTTCAGAGGCCCAAGACAGCACTGGTGCACGAACGAGTTGCATCACGACGTGGGTATCTCCGGAGGATTTCCGGAGGGAGGGAGGCCTCGTGCTTGTTGCGAGGGTTGGAAAGTGGACTGGGAAGCGGGCAATAGGTACCTATGTATTTGAGATATTAGCAGAATACTTTAATCACGAGCAGCTCAGAAATATGAAAGACGGACGATATTTTGATAGCTCGTGCAGTATAGTAATACTTCGTAGATTAGAAGCTTTCCACGTCCTGACTCCGGGGTAGAAGTTGGCGTGGCGCTACGCGTCGTCAGGGGTTCATAATCGAAAGGGCGCGCCAAGCCCCTGTTTGACATGGTCCTAACTTCCAACCTACTTCCAACTTGTGGATCTCAACCCAACCTCACTTCGTACTTTATAATTCTCACCGTCGTCCTCTTTCCTTTGAATAGTCCCAGAAAATGCCGTCGTCCATCATCGAGGCAGTGCCAACTATGCCATTAAAGGCACCGGCGAGGGCCAAGGTTAACTTAATCGCTTGGGACCCTGAGTCTCCAGCGCATGCCGAGCGAATGGTTCAGCAGCGTGTTGCATGCGGGTGGAAGCAGGATTATATTGAACAATGGAGGGTTTTGCAGCGAAAGGGCAAGATGGCTCTTCAGTGGGTTGTGAGTTGTGTTCGATTTTGTTTCTCGCCGCGGATTGTGACCCGGTTTCGGAATTTCATTACATGTTTTGCTTCTCACATCTCCTGATTTGCTGTCATGCACACGTTGTCGTATCTGAGGATAGGCATATATATTTATGATATCTAGTTCTAATTAATAAAGCAGGTTCTTTCAGAAGAGGATCCAGAAAAAGAGTCCAAGCTAGCCCAGCACCTGCTAAAGTACCCCGGAGAGGCGGCGCCCATTCTTGACTCAGCCACGGCCTTAGGTGGTAACCCACGGGTACCATCCTCGCAATCATTTATTCCTGTGGGCCACATTTCCCTAAATTCGGAGACTCCGTATCCGGACCAAGCAGACGCTTCAAAAGGGATCTACTGTATATCTACATTCTATATCTCCCGCGCTATCCAAGGTGGTGGACTTGGCCGTGCTACAATGGATACCCTCGAGAGCGAGGCCGTTAAGGAACCGTTGTGTGCGAAGGTATTGTCTCTGGATACCTTGGCCAATAATAGTGCGAATAGGTCTCAGATGTGGGTAGAAATTGGGATGAAGCCGCCTGCAGTATTTATTTGAACCCTTCTCGATGAAGAAGAGATGACAAAGCTGATTTTTAAATAGTTGTCGAATGAGGATTGGTATACACGACGTGGATATGAGGTCTACAGATTCGAGGAAGGTCATATTAAACATATTGATCCTAATGGAAAAGTGTGGCCACTAGACAGCGTCTTTATGAAGAAAACGGTCGCATAAGCTGGAATTTTGGAATTTTCATTATTCATGTCAGGTGGGGTACGAGGTGAGCAGACTTTTCTACATTATAGAGGTGTTCAGGAGGCAGGTCTCATATCACGGCGACATCGAAGTCAATCTAACAGAGTATAGGATCATTTACTCTGATTTTACGGGTTGGGTTGCGAATATATTTTCCGACCTCCAATAAGTGATGACCTTGGAGCATGCATCTCTTACAACCCGAGGCTCAAGAAACGCCAGCCTTACCACCAACCCGATTCGCCGCAAGTTCAAATATCGCATCCCAATCCTACACACCCAAGGCAGCGTTGATCATTACGTGTTTGATTTTTGCAGTCAGTAAAAGGCAGGGAAATAGACAGATCGTAAAGCCGAAGAGACACTTAGAGGAGAACAAGAGAAGTCTTTCCTGGCAGTGTGGGACATCGAGATGGCAGCGCACCTGAATCTAGAATTACAAAACAAGCTTATAGAATTATAAATTCTGTTGTAAATAGAAGTTCTATCCCTTTGGAATTTTTATTTTGTGTAGTTTTATAAAGCTACTAGTATGTGGCAAATCCTGCTGTTCTACGAATCCTAACACATAGTACTATACGATAATGCCCTATTACATAGCGGTTTATATGCTTGCTCTAGTTAGAACTCAAGCGGCGTTAAACAGGGCGAAATTAACCAAGTTCTTTAATGTTACTTCGATTCTCTAAACACCACGCGTGATCTCTACACTCTAACTTGGCTCTAATAATAATAGTATTCTCTTCCCCCATCCATCTATCATATGCCCTAAGATGAGGGAGCCACTGACAGTTTCGAAAGCGGGTATGTTTTGTTATCATCGTAATGCATCATAGCCCACACCTCCTTATTCGGCATAATAACAGGCTTAACTATAATAAACTCACGATCATCCGTTCTGTGCTTTGGATCATTCGAATACCTCCTCCTATACGTATGTATCTTGCTTTGCGTGGACTCCCTGCCAGGAATCACCAATACCACCGACATTTGTTGTAAGGTAATGGCGCCGTTGGGGAATATAAGACCCCCCGGGTTATTTGGGTCGTTCACTGCATAAAAGGGGTTGACTGCGGTGGCTGGGGTTTTCGTTTGCGTGTAATCCGGGTTGATCCCCGGCGCCACAATGTTCACGGTGGTCTGCTCAAGTGGAAGCCATCCGCCAAACCCATTAGCGATGGTACCCCCGAAGGCGCGCAAGGGCACCGCAAGGAGTTCTTGGCCCTTTTTAGCAAAGGCAAGGTCCTGGGTTTTTTGCGCTGCGCCAAAGTGATCCAACAGCCAGGCAGCGCCTTCGTTGGCACGACGTTCCCATACGTGGATCATAATGGTTACGAAGGGAGACGAGACAATAAGGACTGTACACCCGGACAAGTCCCCCGTGGCAATCATCTGGTCTTCGATGTCTCCGGAAGCGCTCCAAATGTGCGCATCGCCACTGTCTGTAGCGACTTTGGCCGTGGCTTGGTTGTACCATTGACGAAGAACACCCTAGAGAAGTGAGGATTAGTCTCTCGAGTGTTGAGATGCGGAATGGCAGGGATACTTACATTCTGTCTTTTGGCGAGATCTCTCGCATTCCACTGCTTGAGCTTCTCAAGGGGGACATCGAGTAAAGACCGCAGCTTGGATTTGGATTTGGTTGTCTTACCCGCTGCATGCTTTGCGTTTGCATCCCTGACCATCTCAAACGTATACGGCAGTACACCCACTTTGGCCCCATCGTCCGTGACTTTGATGATCTTGGGCTTGACGCCGTCTGGTGCACATGGTGGCGGGTCGTGGTCCTTCTTTACCGGGGCGCGCCTAGAGACGGGTTAGAAATGGAGATAATGAGGATTTTGGGTGAGGATGAGAGACGAACTTTTGGTTTGGGTTTCCTAAGTATTTAACTTCTATGCTGCCCCCTAGCTCGAGGGATTGAGTTACGGCGATGAAGAATGCGAGAATGAGTGTGGAGAACAGAAGAGACGACCGTAGGGCCAACATCTTGAAAAAAGCGAGTGACCGAGTCACAAAAGAACGAGCGAGGGGAAAACCTGGGATGGAACGAGTGACAAGTTCAAGGAGCGACGGTGATAAGAAATAGCGGTCTCCAATGCCTTTCCATGGCGATCTATATCCCAAGATGCCTATCCGCCACGGGGGACTGTACGGCTTAAGTGATGCCTAGGATTAGCCACGCTAGCTTTCCCAAAGGAAAGAAATGCGAGGCTTTGTGTTAGCTGGCAGGGGGTTTGAAAATACCCCGACGGTATTCTTCGTAGATCGCGCGGCGTGGATTCTAGAATACTTCTTGGCATCATCGCAAGCAAATCCCACAGGGAAAAATAGATCCTGTTGGAAGACTATCGCAAATGGAGACGGTATGCCGGTGGAGTAATGGAAGTTAGTGGCACGCTACTCAACGTACTTCGCCGCACATTGCTTGCGCTGCCGACGGTGCGCAAGCCCTACCACATCAGTGAGAAGGTTAATTTCAAAATAGAGCTATAAAAGGACACTTGTATTGCGTATACGATAGGCCACATGGGGGCCATGGCCATCAACCTTGTATAGAAGGTGTGCAATAAGCTTAAAGCGGTGCCAAGGCCATCCTGAAACCTCAAGGCGCAAGGTGCTTGGTAAGTTTGCAATTGCGAGGTGCTACGCAGTAGACAGTTTAGACTGACTACCTCACGACTAGCACACGGCGCAGTTGAAATTGGGATCCTTCGCGCTTACTTGGATATAAAATTGCCCGCCTTCGGAAGCCGGACATACTGATGCTATACTACAGCACTACTCTATACTGCCCTGCACTGCGCATTCCATCCGCCCCCTTTTTTCCTGCCATCCTCTTCCATTTCCAGAAACAATGCCGCTTATCGCCAGCGAGTTCATCTGGCACGATTACACCACTCTTGCAAACGGGTTGCGCATCCCAAGATCCCACGTCCATCCTCTCCTCGAGCAGCTCGAATTAGCCTGCCAAGCCGGATCGCTGGAGGAAGTCCAACGGATCCTCCCCCAGATAACTCCAGTCCCGGCGGACATTCCTGGAAAGGCGTTGGTCTCGCTGCAGGGCAGTATCCGCGCCGCTGTGGAGCAGAAACACCACGATGTGGTTCGCGCGATGCTGCAGAGCGGCTTCCTACCGTATAACTTGTCTTGCCTGGCCGTCGACGCCGCGTTCCATGGTGGTGACACCGCGATGCTAAAGCTTTTCATCGAGGCCGGATGGGACGTCAATGAGGCTGGCCCGCAGATGATTATGCGGCCACTCCTGCGCCACGCCGTCAACCTCCCTGACCTGCGGGCGTTTCTGCTCGCCCACGGCGCCAGCCCCAACACCGAGAACCAGAGGCGCTTGACGCCGCTGGAGACGGCGGTCCAGTGGTCGGGGACGGATGTCGTCAGGGACCTGCTGGACCACGGCGGTGACCCGGCCAAGGACGACAGTTTGGTAGCGGCTGCGGAGGTGGGGAATATCGATGTTGCCGACCTTTTGGTGAGCAGAGGCGCCGATGTGAATGCGCTGGAAAAGGAGCTACCGCATCCTTGGGGCCAGAGGGAACGGAGGACCGCGCTGGAGGTGGCACTGGAGAGAAACCATCAGGATATGGCGGTGTGGCTTAGGCGCCATGGGGCTACGGCTAGGAATAATACTTGAATTAATCTCATGAATTAGGGAATTAGGGAGGATCTGCTTGATGATTGATGATCGTTATCTCCCGCCCAGGTAATACGGGGCGCTTAGAGATTGGGCTGCGGAGGATTCATGGGTCCTGCCTGGTAGCTAGTTGCACGGACACTACTCGGAGCGAAACCGCTTTCGGGGGATGCGAAGGAGGAAACGCTAGGAACACGATCTAGACTAGAATTGATACCAAGCACTTGTACGAAGTACTTCGTACAGTGCATCTCATGAAAATGTTCCGAATTTTGTGTGCCAATTTTTGATTTTTGATGCTAAAGTGATTTCCAAACTGTAAAAGTACGAGTATGTTCAACTCATTATACTGAAGCAAATCTAGTCGGTAATGGGAGATCCGGCATTGCAAAACTATAATTCCCCCCTCTCAAGACCATCTTGAGCTCTCTTATACAGATATACATGTTTTTTTGTATCTCCCTTCCCGTCCCCGTTCCCGATCCCCAAAAAGCCAACACAACAACCCTACTATTCGCTTCAACACCCGTAATCCTCACCCGTCTTCCCCGTATCTGGGCTTTCGGGATTCAACACCCTCCAACTCTGCACACCGGTCTGAACCTCCACACACCCATCCGTCCAGTCAAACACCTCAATCAGTTTCGTATGACAGCATTTGCTGTCGCTGTACGTCGCGAGGATAAGCTTATTGTCTGCGTCATTGGACCAGCTATTGATCATCCCGCTGAAAGTTCCGGCGCGCGCGGTGCTGCAGCCTTGGGCGACGGTGGGGATGAATGCGCTTGCGCTGCCGGTGCATTGTTTGCTGGTATATAGGCGGGTTTCGAAGGCGTAGGCCGATGATAGGAGAAGAGAGATTGGGAGAATCGACGCGTACATGATGAAAGATTTGGAGTTGGGCGATGTTTTGGTAGAGGGGTGGTCTGGGTTGATTGAAGTGATTGAAGTGCTGCCGATGGCTGGTATCAAGAGCGGCGTGCAGAAAGAGGGCGCCGGGCTGTAGAACGAAGGACTACACGAGAAACGAAACCAGAGGGTGGGGAGTGAGGGAATGTAAACAGCTTTGAAAGCTAGGACGATGGCCGACGAGGTGGATACTTTCCACAATTAACCGGGCAGAGGAAATACGCTGGAATAGGAGGAAAGAGAGGAGGGTAGCAACAATTCTATAGTTAGGCCATACTCCGGATGCGCACGAAATAATAATAACCTTCAGGAGTGTAAATCATCGCCAGACTCAGGCGTTCGGAAGAACATTAAGGCACAGCCCCATGCTCTGTGGCGCGTTTATGCATAAACAAGGCCCAGCAGGGAAAACACGAGCGAACCAACGCCCTGGGCCCTCGAACAAGACAAGCGCGAGAAGAGGTCGAATCCTTTCGGAGCACCCTTGATGTTTAATCAGCTTCTGATAAATTACACGAGAAATGAAATCCGAGCGCGCGGTTATTCCAAGACCTCCGGTGAAGGATCAAGATGCGGTGACGCAGGGGGGGGCCAGAAGCCTGGCAACGCTCCCAGACCGTTCATAGATGCTGGCACAGAGATATAGACGGCTTGGGCGCCGTCAGGTCGAAAAGCTACTTAGCTCGACTCTTGCAACCGCTCACCTAGGTTCAAGTTGCCTACCTACCTTATTTCAATTGTTGCCTGCCATCACACCACTGGTGTTGAGAGCGGCGTCCATTCCTTCCCTTCACCATGAAACTCTCTCTCTCTCTCTTTTCATTGTCGCTCGCTCTCTACTCTGTCCATGGCATCCCCGCCTCCTCCCCCCACGATGTCGGTCTGCTCGCTCGCGCGGCCGCCGCGGCGAAACAGAAACCTATGACCTTCGAGCAGGTGAAGCTGGAGGCCGCCAAGATGTTCAAGACAACGAGCCCCAGCGGTACGATGACCACGCTGAAATGGGACGACAAGGCACAATGCTCCAAGTGCCGGGGGAAGCAGATCGAGGACGAGAAAGACAAGACGAAATGCCGTGACTGCAAGAAGGGCACCACGCCGGACCGAGACCATACGAAATGCCTCCGGGACGACAACGGGTGCGCCGAGGACGAGACGCCGCAGGCAGACAAGTCGTGCAAGAAGTGCCCGGCGAACCAGGTCGCGGACGACACCGGCAAGAAGTGCAAGGACGTCAAGCCTGCGAAGGAGAAGGGCAAATGCCCCGCGGGCAAGATTCTCGACCCGGCCCAGGGCAGGCAGGACGCCAGCACCACCAACCCTAAATGTATCGGCGACGACGACTCGAAATGCCCGGCGGGACAGTCGTCGACGACGCGCAAGAAGAACTCCGCGGTCGCCAACGAAGCCGACTTCAAGCCGCAGTGCGCGGCGGACAGCGACCCGGACCACAAGTGCGCCGACAAGAGCACGTTCGACTACCGCGAGGTCAGCGGCAGCCAGATCAAACACAGCTGCCGCTCGACGCGCAAAGCCCAGGACGACAAGAAGACCAAGTACCAGCAGCGCACCAAGTCGGCCGCGGCCACCGAGAAGCGCGACAAGACCCGGCGCACGCGGGCGGGCTGGTGCTTCGTGGCGCTGTCGATGGTCGACCTGTACTCGGGCGACGGCTACGGGCCGCTGAGCAGCCTGACCCAGGACGAGGTCGACGGCTTAATCAGCACCTGGCCCGACGAGGCCTTGGGCACGCCGCAGGGCGACGGCTCCATCCCGGACTACATGGTCAAGTGGGACGTCACACTGCACGCGACCGGAACCACCACCGCCGGCGCCGCCTTCGGCGTGGGCGCCATCGCGGGCGCCATTGGCAGAGTCTTTGGCGCGACGACCAAGAGCAGCGAAGCGGCGGTGATAAGGGGGCTGAAGACGGGAGCGCGCAAGCCGGCGTCGGCAAAGGCGGTCGCAGCGGCAAAGGCGTCGCGGACCGTGCAGCAGGCGATCAAGAACCCGGGCTTCCGCGACTGCCTCGGCACCGCGGCCGGCGTGGCGGCCGGCGCGGCGGCGGCTCAGGTCGTGCTCAAGGGCCCGTCCGGTACCTTCAATATCGACTGGTCCCGCAAGCCCGACCCGGCGCTCCAGCCGCCGCCCGTAGGCACCGAGGACACGCAGCTCGCCGTGTTCATGGGCAAAGACACCGATGCGAAGGCCGGCGCTTGGTACCGGACGTACCCCGACGCGTACATCCGCACGGACCGGCTGCCCTACAAGTCCTGTGTCAGCCTCGCCGGGGACGCTACGTACAACAACGCCGTGACGACTGTGAGCGTGAGTGGCGGCTGCTGCACCTTCTATAACGGTGACCACTGCGAGAAGGATACGGGGTTGTTCAGTATGACGAATCGGCAGGATGGCGAGCTGCGGGGCAATGCGAACGATGCTATCAGCAGCTTCTGGTGCACATTTAACGAGTGGTGTGAGGGGTCGCCGAAGTAGAGGTACTCAAGGTAGATACCTACCTCAGATAGATATGTTGTCCGATAGACGGCGGGATAAGGGATTTCATCCGAGTTGAAATAGTAAATTAGCAAATTAGTAAATCAGAGGCTTTCTAAAACTGTCTTGTTGACCGTTAGTTATATTTATTCTTCTATAGTTCAGTTCAGTTCAGATAGATCTGTCAATCCCCTCAGCTAATGTCAACTACCTCCTGTACTGTCAATTCTATCCCCTTTTGTCAAGTGGTTGTTCTCTATTGGAAATGCATAGACCTATAGACGCCAAGTTACTGAAAAGTGGTATGAAGCTGTCTAAGAAGGATGGAGCTGTTTGTTGTTAACTCGCCTTATTTTGAATAGAGCTGAGTAAGAAAGCACGATCCCCCAATAGTACGTAGCCATTTGCTAATAAGTTGTTATACTACTAGCATGCCCATGCTTATGCTCGTGTAAGCAGCGACGCCTTTGCTCAGGCAGGCTCAGACACCACTCAGGTCTACTCACCCTGTTGATGCATCTCATTATAAATCGTCAAATTTTAATAAGGAGGGCAGAAAGGACCCCCTTCGCCTAGCTACGGGTCCGACTTCTATCATCATTACACATCCCTACTTAGACAGCTGTCCCCGTCGGCCTGGCTTCACGCGAAATGCAACATGCCAATATGTAGGTACTATTTCTGCGTCGTACTTCAGCATGTTTCAAGTCCCCCGGTATGCTTTGCCTGGGGCTTCGTACTCTATATGTGGCCGTTCTCCTCTTGCTTTCGCATCTCCTCTCACTCATCTTCTCACTCACTAATGATTGGCTAGGTGCGTACAGCGAAGCTCCTCAGTAATCTATGGGGCTGAAAACTTTCATCCCTAATGGCTAGAGCACAAGATGCCCAAGTATGATGTAAATAGCGTCCTTTGACCAGACACTTTTCAGAGCCTGCCGAAAGCTTTTCCAGCGCCGGTTCCTCTTGTCATCACTAAGCCCGAGTTTATTCAACCCCTTAAGCAAATCCTCCGAGACATCAACACATCCACTACAGATTTCTCAGAGTGATGTGGAATCACGTGAGCCAGAGTTGCCACATTGTGCCTCAATATCCATGGATATTGCGAATCTCGTATTCAGTTCGAGGAGACGGTTAGTTGCATTCTCTGTCTCGGCATGTTGAACCGACAATCCACGGCTAGATTTATATATTCATGACTTTTCGAGACGAAGGTACAGCCGAATTCGATGAATTGAGCGACGCTTGCAGTGACAGAAAGAGCTGACAACCCGTCCATTAGTTGCGCTTAGTAGGGAAAGATAGAAAGCAGCTGGACAGCGTTTCAAATCCGGAGTCTAAAGAGTGAGCAGAAATATAAGCTATCTTTGTTTGGTGCTCAGGATGCACAAGTGACACGGCCGCGTGTGAGGCAGTGCAAGGCTCCGCTTCCAGAAGCTAAGAAGCGTAAGCTAAATCCGAGGGAGTAGCGGTAACAATTTACAATGTCAGCAAGTTTTTGGTAAGCAAAGAAATGGAAGCAAGATAAGAAACACGAAGGGAGTTGGGCTGAGCTCAATGTGACTAAATTCTCTAATCTAATTGGGCCACGTACTTTGTCCAATTTTAGCTAGCGGCAGTCGTAGCCGAGAAGCCTACGGGTCGATCCGTGCCTTCCGCTCAGCCTGGCTCAGGTCAAAGCGACAACAGCTTCAGGTCTACAGACTTAAATGGAAAACACTCATATCAGCATGCCGATCTCCAACTACCTGTTATTGAAACTCAAGTTGGAAAACTGTCGCCAACCTTACCGGTCAAACCTATACGCTATAGCAAATGTACTATCTTCCTTTCTATGTTCAATCCGTTCGTGAAGCTTCCGCGATTCGTAGCGGAGTAGAGTCAGTAAACTACATACCGGTCGCAGTGGCTGCAATTTCTGGCATAATGTTCTCCGGTGTAGCGATATATCAAAACTTTGATATTATGTAAGTTCCATGGCGAGTTCAGACCACATGTTAAGGTTCAATCAGTTTAGGGGTAGTGACATTATCTACCATAAGGGGAACAAAAAAAGCGAACGCTATTTCCAAAGTCCATACATTGCTCTCCAGAGTCCCCCCAACATATACCAAAATAGGTTGCCAAACACTGCTACTCACACTCTAATAGAGCTTTTTCTGATAGTGAGTTTGATTTGGACAGGTTGCTTCTGAATAATCATTAAGGTCTTCAATGATGTCCAATCCAATCTTTTGCCATGCTCGTGCAGATCGAATGCCCATAGGATTCTTGCTATAACAATTCTCATCTCAGCCATGGCAAGATTTTTTCCAAGACAGTTGGAGTGACCAATACTGAATGGGTTGCTGACCCCCAAGCGATCTCCATCAAATTTTGTGGGACGAATTCCTTGCGGAAGCCAGCGCTCCGGAACAAAGGAATTAGGCTCTGCAAAATATATTTTAGAACGAGACATAGTGTAAGGTCGAACTGAGATAGTGGTCTGTAGTCTTCATTAAAACCCGCTTATTCGTTCATTCAGGCAATCAAGAGAACTTACTCTAGCCGGAATGAATATTCCAGCATAAGTATCACTACCTTCTGGAACAATACGAGGAAGACCTCCTGGCACCGGATTCGTGAGACGCAGACCCTCCATGAGTACTGAGTTGAGAAAAATCAACTTGTTTGTAGCTGCAATCGAGATATCCTCTTCATTTAGAAAGCTGTTGCGGATTTCTGATGTTAATGTGGCCAATGCCTCCTGGTTTTGGACGAGGTATAGCAAAATTCCAGAAAGTGCAGTGGCAGTCGCGTCAGCACCCGCCACGATAAGAATTGCAAGGTTAGACTGAGTCTCTCTGAGCGATATCTTGCGAAAATCGGCATTGTCTTCCATGAATGGTGTCACAAAGTCCGGTTTGTTAGTTTCGAGGTTGAGTCGCTGATTTATCTTCTCGTTGGCAAAGTTGGAATGCTGGCGCTGCATCTCCATAACTCTCTTTGGCAACAGTTTGAACATTAATGTCTCTAGACCAGGATACCATCTTGTAGAGGCAGCGTAAACCATCCCTTTCAAAAAGTTGTTGAGAGTCTCGACCCAAGGGTGATATTTACTGTCTTTCAGACAGTCAAATGACTCTCCAAGTGCCGGCTCACCAATTATATCGAATGTGAACCAGCTCATCCAATCCACAAAATTTACCACCACCCCAGGTAATCCATCTTCAGAATTTTGTGGGAGACTCCGGAGACGATTAATCAGTAAATCAGCGTATGATTCTATAAGTGGTGTTTGACTACAGAGCGCTTTCTCGGTGAATGAGTTCCCTAGTAGCTTTCTAAAACGTGAATGTAATGTTGAATCAATTGCAGTAACAATGTTTTCGGGCATGCTATCCGGGGCTACCTCAATGTTAGAAGGTCTTACGATATCTTTGAAGAAAGCGAGGTTAGTATACCTTTGTACCAAACGGGATCTTTCGTAGGGTTTTGGTGGCCTGGACGTTTTACGTAGATATCTTGCCAAGCCTCTTCTTTCGTAAATGATATTTCATTCGGAGCTAGACGAACAACATCCCCATACTTTCGGTGGATTTCGAGTTGATCTTTCACCAAGTTTCCTCGAAGGAGCGAAATAATGTAAGGTACGCGGCTTGCTTTCCACAATGGAGGTCCAGGAAACCCTGCGAGAGGGTGGAAACAAAGGTTGTAAACTGTCGCGGCAATTGGGTACTAGGTTAAGTTTATGTCAGCTTTAACCATGAAGCCACAGAAAGTAAATTCGCTCACAAAAATGAATAACCCAAGAATAGTCAGGAGTCCCAAAGTAAGATTGTTTCCTTGGGTATCGTTAGAGAAACCGCCGCCAGCCATTGTAAGAGGCTAAGAGCTTAGGTTCCCTGGTGACTCAAGTTTGCTACAACCTTGGCAAAGAATAACTTCAAAATGTCTGTATAGTGTCTACCTTTAAGAATGGAGAGGAACGAAGAGCATTAACGACCTGGGTGTGAATACGAGCGGCGCAGTATCTCTAGACCTTAGCCTTTAGGCATTTTGATTTCCTGAAAATAGCATGCCATAGCCGGGCTTTCCATCCTAGAGCTTCTACTTCGTATAGTTGCTCGCCAACTATTATGCACGATTAATCAAAATATTGCAACCGTTATTGGCTCGATAATTTTCAGCTGTCACTTCTAAATTGGGCGCTTCACCGCCCGCAGGAGTAATTGTTAGAGAAGGTTTTCGGAGGAAAATTGGCAACCAACAACCTCGCATAACAGCTATAGTAACAAGTCCCCGCCTCAGTTTGCTTGGGGGGAGGGTAAAAGTGATCCCGGTCCAACCTGTACAACCTACTAGATACCACAATTACAAACCAGTGAAAACATGACCGGCTATCTAAAGTAGATAAAAGCTTTATAGAAGTGTCAAATGGCTTCTTTAAAACACTCACAGATTTTTTTTAAAAAGAAATAGAAAGCTTTTCCGACTTTTCGCAGTCCTAAAATTCGTCTTTTGGTGTGGCGTGACTGGGTTGAAAAAATACCGAATCAGCACAGCCCAACACCAACAAGCTCCTGTGCCGTAGCACAAATTTCCAGGATTAGGAGCTGCAGCGGTGCAGTGTCTCATGTATATATTTAAGAGTTGGAAACGGATGCAGCTGCTCCTGATTTTGGTCTCCTTATTAAAAGTGTGATATCTTGCTCAGCATTCTGGGACTGTTATCTAGTGGGCGGGTGAAGCTCACTTATCATTAATGCCACTTTTCAACGCGGCGACTGAGAAAATTTTATAGCTGCTTGCGTTTCTACAGACACGGTATCTTCGACTATTTTACGTCACTCGTCGTGTTACTGACATGTCGAAACCAGTACAATCCAATGATTCCACCGGAATTGGTATAATTACAATTGTTGCTGTTGGGGGATTTTTCGATCTCGTAGCAGTTATTTGCAGAATATAGTCCCGAAGAATAGTAGGTGCTTCTCTTAGCCGGAGTGACTATACATGTATACTTGCACTTGTAAAACGACCCCTAATCTTAAAAGGTATGACACCAACCCTATCCGACCTAACAGCTGAAACATAGCCGGCGTTAGATAATAGGGTATGTTCGCAGGCCATATACTTGGATTGGATCAAACACTCCGGTTCGACTCTCTACCTTGTTCCTATATATTGCTGTGCTCCCAGTCAAAAATTTCGAATAGCCTGCGTTGCTCTTCTGGGCGCCAACGTAGCTTACTTGATCGCCATACTACTGCGAACTATATTCATCTGTCGGCCAATCGCTACAAATTGGAACCCGAGCATTCCAGGTGGAAAGTGTGGGGATGTCAGGAAAGCAAATTTTGCTGTTGGGATCTTCGATATCTTAATAAATTTTGCAAACCATCGTCTTACCGATGTCAATGCTTTGGACCCTACAAATGGCATTAGACATGAAAGTTGGCCTATGCATCATTTTTGGAGTAGGATTTGTGTAAGAAGTTTCCACTTAGTTTTATAGAGAAGAGCTAATTCCTCAGCGTATGTATTTTTACTATCCTGCGAGCTCACTACATAAACACCGCGGGCCTGTCCAGCCAAACCAAAAGCTACGCATAAGTAGGAATGCTGGCTATTCTCGAGCCACTACTCGGAGTCGTCAATGGGTGCCTTCCAGTTATAGCGCTACTGTTGAAGAAGTTCTCAAAGCATGCTGCAGCGTGGACCAGCAATAATAAACAAAACACGACAGAGGGGAACAATATCCACATAAACACATTCTATAGAATGAAGGAAAGTTCTTATGAACTTGACACATCGTAAAAGTTAAGTCCAATGGAAACGTAATAAAACTTTACGATGGGGTTTATAGTTGAGCCGATGATTATTTGTCTCAGAAAGAATCTCATGCGTGTCGACAGCACCTATCATGTTCAGCCCATGCCTCAGAAAACGAGGTGATGTTTTTAAATATTCTCAAATACTCAAATACTCAAATACTTCCTTGTTGCAAAATGTATGATTATTGGGATATTTCCTACACAGGTCACCTTCCCTACGTCAAGACTTTGTTATCGAACATCCACTGGTGTCCTTACAAAGACCATTACTTTCACCTTTCCTACACATTACGCAGTTCGCCTTCCTTTGGCATCGTTCTCGCAATAACTAGCCCATCAGTTAACTCCCCGATGGTTGTGCCGGTCGATGGTGGATGGTGGATGCACCGCATAGAACTGTCTTAAATACGAGTACGAGTATTCTAAGCTGAAGAGAAAATGAAAGGAGAACAAGAGAGCTCAAGAGCCAGAGACCGTTAAATATAGGAGACGTGCCAAGCCACGCCAGTTAGCCGAGTCCCGGCTCAGGGGTTCAGGGGCACAACAGAGCCGGGTCTAAAGACGGAAATGGAAAACACTCATATCGGCATTCTGAATTTCTGATGTCCAAATCCAACTCCAAACTATCTGTTATTCTTGGAAAATGCTGTGCCGTAGGACGACTTGTCTGGCTTGTGTTCTCCACCATAGACAACACGTAAAATGACATGGCGTCACTGTGTCAGCCGATGATTGGTTGCGAGAAAGCGCAGATCGTCCAAGCCATAAGCCGCACAGAGGCAGATGGTTCATATATACGTAAAGCGGCTGAAAACCACAGCTTATAAGTCACTTTGCAAAGCCCATTTGCGAATGTAGCAAAAAGCCAAGGTCGGACTCGAAAGTCCCAGCCAGGTTTTTGTATGTCATGGCAACCACGAAGTCCCTGCTCCTCTACTTGACGGCGACACTCTTCTTGGTGGCGAATGTGAGAGCTGGTAGCAACACACGCTTCCAACAATTCTGGCCTTATTACCGCGACTATTTTGTGCACATCCGCGACACAAAATGTGCGGATTTATACGCGACCCAGCAGACACTGAGTGGTTCGGATGCGAGCATGCGGACACTAAAAGATTCGGATCCCACACGGTCGCCCAATTGCAACATGCTGTTAGACTGTATCTTGGAGAACACGCGCGAATCCATGAAGTTAAACATGGCCACTGGCACTGTCGCGCTGGGCATCATGCCGGCAATCCTGGTATTCCTTGGATCCAGCACGGCGGAGACATCGTTGCTGTCGAAGCGCCGGCCGTTACTTGCCCTCCTGGTCGCGTGCGGCTCGCCAGCGGTCAATCCGATACAGATGTTCGACTACCAAAATCCAGTGGTCGATCTAAAGACGCGCGAGGGGCGTCGCCTACCTGGCCATCTATTGAACTTGTCTCGCCTCCAGTCAGCTGCTGTGGTGCTCGCTGAGTATATCCTGGTAGCAGGTGTCATTGTCAATGTGATCACCGCAAGTTTCCACGCCGGCTCCTGGACTACCAATGCCATCAGCTGCGATACTTACTATTATCCACTCCTCTGGGCGGTACTCACCTCTTGTGTCCACATCATCGGGGGGATCTGGGCCATTTATCTGCGAGCTGAGACTATAAGGGATCCTCAGGCTAAACGAGGATTGGCAATCAAGTTAACAGAATGGTTGCGGCACGAGTTCAGCCCTTGTATCACGCACAATAAGTTGGTCCTGAAGTGGAATGATGAAACATATCTCTACATTTTTGTGTCCTGGTTCGCCTGCGTTGCAACGAGTGCGCATGTCATTTTTGGTGTCGTAGCATTCTCCTCTTTAATATTCATTGGTAAGTCAACTGTCGCACGGTTTGTGATGATTGGAAGAGCTGATGGAATTCTTAGGGTATGTCGATAGCCTCAAGATCATCGGGAGATTCATTGCTTCCGCTGTTGTTTGCAGATCAGTTTTGATGTTCGAGCTGGCGGGCATGAGGAATGCAATACTAAAGAACGAAGAAGTCATTAGCAATGGGAATGGGAAGAAATGATAAGTAGAATTCTTATATTTCGTACATATAGCCAGCTTTAGAGTAACGTTGCATATTTAGATTATTTAGATTAGATTCTAGAAACCAACAACTTAATATCCCCATTACAGGTCTTATAACTTTAATAGGAACACAGTACCAAAATGGTAGATAATTGATTTCAGGAATAACCTCCTTTCCCCCAACACTTTATGTCATAGACCGACTCGCCATCTATATCTTCCACTTTATGCTTCATCGAATTTTCATTGCCACCTTTCAGCCTAGACTCCACCGAGGCAATATTAAACATCTCAGGACCCCTTGCTACCACCCTTTTATCAACTTCGCCCGGATGACTTTGTCGATGATCTCCAGACGCATCCGCAGCCTCCTCGTCCAGCTTCATCCTATCAATCCGCCTTCGAGCTCTCCGTTCAGTGCAACACCACACGATCCCACCCCCAGCAGTTCCAAGCCATAGTAGCATATTCACCATATCAATCCACACCGCAGCCTGCATCCTACTCACCGACTCTATAGCAATTTTATCCGTACCACTCTTTCCACCAATATAAATTGCCGCGAAGACACCAAACTGCGAGACCCACAAAAGAAAAACAACCCAGTCCCATACACATGAACCAATACGAGTGATAGTCACACAAAGGTGGACGGTGCACGTTAGGATGGACAAACTGGCAACGACTTCGGCGTAGACCCACGCGCTGTTGGCTTTTGTGTGGGTTTTGGTAGCATGTTGGAGGTCAACGCCGTATAGGGCAGCAACGATGAGGGCGAAGATGATTTGAAAAGTACGGAGAGTAACACGGATTAAGGGGCCAGAGAGGCCGCTTATATTCCAGTAGTAACTGGGCATGACGGTACCGTTGTACGGTGAGTCGGTGAGGTATAACACCTACAGTATCTTTTAGTTACATCTTTGGGACATTCTAATCGAGTGTTTAATACTAATTCATAGGTCCATGTTTACTTACAGAGAATCGACGCAAGGTCATTTGACGATGAGCAGTTTCGAGGTACAATATAACGCAAGGCTGGAGAAATGTAGAAGAACCAGCCAATGAGCGCTACTTAAATGCACGTTCCACGATCAGTGCTGATGTACTGCTGGATTGTGAGGTCGAACAGCGAAATACCTTTGGTAGTAAAAGGAAGGGGCTTGAGTATCGTGAAATAAAGATTAAAAATTGGAATTGTACGCTGATGATATAGAAACAGGAATGCTCTCAATCGGGTGTTCAATGAGGTGGATAACACCAACCTTCTTTAGGAAGTCGAAAACGAATACGGCAAACCTCGCTTAATATGCCCCTTAAAATAGGTGTCCACGAAGCACAAGGTTTTCAGGGGCTCCCGCTAAAACTCTGGGCATCAATTAACGTTATTGTACGCGCAAGACTCGCGACGGCTGGCTCAAATCGGGTCTCTTCGTATTCCCCGTACACAATATCCCAGAGCAGGCCCAACTGAACGAAAACGAAGATACAACATCTCCACCATTCTACTCTACACATCATGCCGTAATCGCACACGCTACTTCTCACTCACTCCCTAGCATCTTATTACCCTGCTGTTCTGGACGAGAGCTAATTGAGTCGAAATCCATTTTGGTAGGAACGTATTGGGCCTTCTACCACGAAGTACAAGTGCTATGGCCCGAAGGACTCACACAAAATCCCGTCGTGGATGTCTCACTTGCAAAAAAAGACGGATCAAGGTGCCCTCCTCGCATTCTTTGCTTTTCAATGCTTCCTGGGCGCTGGTTTTGTAACTCTCTTAAAGAATTCAACGATGGGTTTCTTCTCCTACTTGCGTCAATCACTGACGATTTTATGTCCCCGCCCAAAGTGCGACGAGCAAAAGCCCGAATGCCACAAATGTATCACACGTGATACGGCCTGTTCGTACCCAGCTTCAACACCTTTAGTCTGGGTGAGTGGAAAAGCCGCTTCCACGGACGACGGAATAGAACAGAAGAGCAGCAGGGAACCCTCGCCTCCTGCGTATAGCTCAGGAGAGCATGTTTCGACTACAAATAAGCCGTCACTTAATCTCGAGAACATAGATCTGATAATCCACTGGTTCACCAAAACCGTTTATACAGTGGTCTCAACCTCTAACCCCGCCGCCCTCAACATATGCCAAACCGTTATCCTCAATCGGGCAATGGAGCATCACTTCCTCCTTCACGGACTCCTAGCTCTCTCGGCACTTCATCTCGCGGAATCTCATCCCGACCCTCAAAAACTCACCACTATAGCCACCGCCCATCACACACAAGGTCTTGCTCTATATCACTCTATCCTATCTAATATCAATGAAGAAAACTACTCAGCCAGCATTGCATTCTCAAGCCTCACCATCATGTTTGTCTTCGCGCTATCCAGGCCCCAACCTACCAACCCCACAAAAACAGAACTCATCGACCACCTAACCCAAATCTTCCTCCTCGCCAAAGGCTGGCACAAAGTTGTCCACATCGCAGACGGCCTCGAATGCAGATCCGGACGCAGCATCTTCCCCACGCACAACCCCAACACCATCCCCTTGTCCCCAGACATAGAAGCCGCCTTCAGCCGCCTGCATGCCCTAAACCAAGGGTATGATACGGCGCTCTACGCGCTCGCCATTCAGTCCCTCAAATCAGTTTTTGGCACGCTGGCCCACGAAGGAAGTGAGAATCCGCATGTTGCTCTCGAGTGGACGAATACCCTGCCAGAGGAGTTTGTGCGTCTGATTAGGGAGCGGGAGAATTTGGCGTTGGTGGTTGTGGGGTATTACTGTGTGGTGTTGCATAAGGTGCCTCAGGTGTGGTGGCTTCAGGGTTGGAGTAGGGGGCTTTTTGATGTTATTTGGAGGACTGTCGATCATATATATCAAGACGCATTGGAGTTCCCAAGGGTGATAATTGAGGTCGAGGGCTGAAGAGAATGCTTTGGAACTAATATTCATATCTTCTACATATTTTAGAGTCAGGGATGAGGAATATGAAATTGTTTAAAATAGGTAAGGATGAAGAATATACGGAAACCGGTAAGTATGTAATTCTGTCCTCGGGCTGTTCCTGTTTGGGCTAATAAATACGAGAACGAGAGTCTAGCTTTGTTTCGGTACCACCCCACTTCTAAACGGGTATTATGGGTATCATACCCCCTGCATAGAAACGGGCTGATACACTACTGCCGTAAGGCATTTTATTGCTGTTCTAATAGAAAACATTCTAGAAGGCAGAATGTCTATTGGTAGTTCCCAAATAAGCTTTCAAGGAACCCTGTCTTGTCATACTCGTATTCAGTTACCTGATTCGGAGTCAAAGTCATACGTTTCAAGATAGACGCAAGAAAGACTTCGGGCAGCATCTCGTCTCTGTATAGCCTCAGGATAGGCGAGTCAGTGCTCCGATTGATCGAGTTGGTCAAAGAAGTTGTTGCAGATACCCACAGGGCCTCGTCATCCTCGAGAGAAGATACACAGTATAAGGTGCCATAGCTTGCCCGTTCAACATTTACCTTAACATTCTCTTGTACTTCCAGAAGCAATTTCACCATTTGTCCTCGTATCTATTATCATGTCCAACTCCACCACCCCAGGCGAAGTCGACCACAATCTTTACGGTTATGATCCCTCAAAGACTGCGGCCTATGCCTTCGTTGCTCTTTTCGTTGTATCTGGTTTCTTGCACCTTATATTCATATTCACACTCCGCGCCGCCTTTTTCATCCCTCTAATTCTTGGGAGCGCCAGTACGTCGTCACCATCCAAGCCTTTTTCACATGCTAACATATGACGCAGTGGAAGCCGGTGGCTACTACTGCCGTGCATGGTCTACGGCAAATACGCACAATATTCTGCCTTTCGTCATCCAAGGACTTCTCATCCTCGCAGCTCCGCCGTTGTTAGCCGCGACCATCTACATGACCTTCGGCCGCATTGTTCGGAATCTCAAAGGCGAAGTGTATTCCCTCATCTCGCCGAAGTGGCTGACGGCAATTTTTGTCCTGGCCGATGTGATATGTCTTGCTACCCAACTGGCGGGCTCAGTCTTGAGAGCTAGTGACGATGCCGCGACAAACAAGAGGGGCTCTGGCATCGTGCTTGGGGGGCTGATTCTCCAAGTTGTCATATTTTGCTTATTCGCCATCCTGGCGTCGAATTTTCACATACGATTCGGCAGGATAGAGAATGGGCATATAGCACTTCCTTGGGTGAAGCATATGGTGGTTCTTTACACCATGAGCCTGGTGTTCATTATCCGGAACCTTGTTCGGATTCTAGAATTTACTCAGGGTGATGATGGGTACCTTGTCACGCATGAATCTATGTTGTATGTTTTCGATGGGGCATTTATGTTATTTGTTGTGGTACTGCTGCTCTTTGTTCACCCTGGTGGGTTGTTCAAAGCAGCACGCCATGCCATGTTGATGACAGTATTGGGGCTTTCTAATGAAATGGCTCCAATTTCTGCAAGTAAACGATGAGGCGCTCTAATGTTTGTTGATTGACGTTAAGCTATGAGGTGAAGGATCAAGAATGATATAAATTGCAGGTTTAGAAGGGTATTGATCTAAAATCATAGTCATCTTTAAAAAATACTCTTCACGCATGTCCCTTTCTAATGGCCTCTCTTTTATCCACAAGATTGCATGGTTTCGCTACTATGTGATCCCTACACCGCTTGCTCTTCACTTTAGCTACTTATTTCTAAACCTACCTCACTTGAAACGGTATTCTAATTGACAAAGCGAATATACAGCACCAGCATATTATAAACTGGCCAATGCTTCCGACCTGCGGCCGGAAATCGACGAGTATCGACTGCCACCTGGGGAACGATCTAAACAGCTCAAGGACGAAGGGAAAGAGACAGCGGGGGTTACTTGCTATCTAGGAAATTTGCAGGGTCACGAACCGCAGTAGCTCATATAGATGCTTATGCCTGGCGGCTAGAGCCATTAAATACTCTGGAGTAAGAACCATCCGCCATAGACGTGCACAAATGAACAATCGTTGGCTGTTTCCTCGTAGGTTTCTTTATCGAGACGATATACTTCCAAGTCGAAAAGCTACTCTGCCAAGAACACCCATGTAACAGCTCAAGGCTGCTACGTGCTGCTTATAAAATGCTCCACAGGTTAGGGACTCGGGGTTCTCCCTAATCCCCAGCCTCGGAACTATCCAGCATCACCTAGATCCTCAGAGGATGCCAAAAAGGAGGTTAGTGATGATATCTAGGGTAGCTACCATGACCCCGACTACATAGACAAGCCGATGATGTAAAATAAAATATTGAATTCCTGACTAGTTATAAGAGCCTGAAGCTTGTAAATTTCGACTAAGTATGAGATCAATATTCAAGTCCCTAAATTCCTGCCACTGGGAGTGTAGTGTGCCGGCAAATCGAAATCTGGCAATACTTCTTTGTTAAAATTAATAGTCATCAGGTACCCGTCGAGTCGTACGAAGATTTCAGTAACCTATAGAGCTGTGGGAAGAAATACCGCAAGATATTCATCAATCGCCTAGTCCTTTGGACGTTGCTTGCTGGATCCACACACTTCAAATATGAGAAGGCTGCCATCTCGTTCACACATCTTATACAAGGCTCTATAGCTTAGTTTGGAGGGCTTGGGGGTTTCTTCGGGGATGAGGGTGCCAATTTCATTCAACTGTGATGCAGAGCAAACACATCCTGATCCAATTCTGCGAGCATCTCCTCAAAAGCTTCCATCGATGACTAACGACTTACTGGCAATCTCTTTTCCCTTTCTGAAATTTCCCGCGGTGGCTCAAGTATATCACCCTCATACAGTTATGAGGGATTGAAGCCACTGAGACATGACAGGCCAAAAGCTAGAAGCGGGAAAGGGATAAAGGCAGGTTGTAGGGTTAAAAGATTAACAAGAAATAGCCCAATACTAGTTGGCATACCAGAGTCATAACGTGGCTAGAATGCCCAAAGTGCGCACCTTATAAGAGTTTAAGTATAGATATTATTTAAATATATATACACAGAACTAATTACACAACACTAAAATTAAGGTAGCCAGCTCTCCATAACATGGACAGTGTAGCTGGTAAAACGCCACCTAGAGGTTGTGCATGCAAATGAAAAGGCAGATAGCAGAATACGACACTGCCATCCATCCCAATTCTAGTTCATACGCCGTAGACAATCGTTGCCATTTACCCTTCCCTTGCCTTTGCCTTGCCCATCGTACTCATGCTCGTGCTCATATACTTTGCTGATATGTAGGAGAAACAATGCGTTTCCGAATAGCATTGTATAGGTGAGTTGTTGTCATCCTCCCAATTCTTGCGTAAAAATGCAGACAGACGCTATGCAAAATAATTCGTTCCATCAAAGAAGTTCAACAAAATCGTTGCTTGCTCATGAAAAATCCTCGTCCCCGCCACCGCCTGGCCGTCCTTGCTCCGCGTCAATAACGTCAACTCTTAGAACTAGTTCTTTCGTCTCTCGAGCAATCTCAAATGCGATGGGCGGTAATAGCTGGTTCCACGATTTCCAAGCTCTATCCCCTTCATCATCATCTCGACCTTCTCTGGCAATAGCTCGGCCCCTGTCATTGGCTTCTAGCAAGCGCGCCCGGCAGTTTGAAAGTTGATTCAGAATGGGTTCGCCTTGCACCCTCAGTGCGCTGTTGCCTGTAGTAGACATGGCATTTTCGGTCGAGGACACGACTGTGCCGACGTTGTTCGCGATGGCCGTGATTTGGGATGAGATGGAGTCAATTCCTGCCTCGGAACGGATAGAGGAGACGAGTGCTTGGATGTTCTGAACTAAAAGGGCGGTTTGGTCTTCAAGATAGATCTATTTCCTCATTAGCCACAAAGAACAAATGATCAAGGAGCGCAAAGAGTTACCTTCAAATCCTCGACACCAGGATCTTGCGTCCTGATGCCGAAACCGACGCCCATAGGAGGTTGTGGAAAGGGCTTATTCCCATTCATATATCCATTGGGGCCTCTAGAGCTTCGTGGGCGTACACTTGCTGATTCGCGTGGGGAGTTGAGAGGACTATACATAGAAGAATCTCCGCTTATCCGACCGTTCCGAAGACCCTGAAATGGAGGGGGATTATTATTTTGTCTTGGATCCCGGACTGGGAAGAACCCTGTGGAGTCGATAGGATCAAGATTGCCATTGTCATCGTCCTCTAGTTCTCCAGCAGGCGTAGGGCGAATCTTAACCGTTCGGACAAGCTCGACAACGGCGGCTGTCAGGTGCGAAGCGGCCGCATCAAGCAGTGAGACGGGGGAGAGTCCATTTGCCGACGCGAAATTCTTTGAAGCTGTGATCAGATTGTTGGCTGTTGCCGACACTCGGGATTTCAGTTTCGATTGGAGTTGACTCATGTCACCGCTGCTAGGTTGAGCTTCGTCAATATCTTGCGTAATTCCCCGTACGCTGACAATAACGGCCTTCATAAATTCAATAGCCCTCGTAGGATCATCTGTGCGCGCTATCCGGAGGAGCTCATCAATCGAGATCTGGAATTTGGTGACATGGACGTCCTTTACTAGCCCATTGGGTTCGGTGAAACCACTATCCTTGGTGTATTGCGCTGCGTTCGGCTGAATCGTAAGGCCAATCGAGGAAGCACGTAAGCTGCGTAATTGCGTCTTGGTCCTTGCATAGCGATTTCTCCAATCCTTGACCTCTTCTTCTAATTTGTCGACGGTACTCGAGAGTTGTTCCTCTCTCTCGTATGAGGACTCGGTTCGCTCTGAGAGCATTCGCATCTCCCCAAGAAATTCTTGGGCTTCTCTACGGACCTCCCCTGTCACACGCTGCTGTTCCATGAGCTCTGACCTGAGCTCCTCATTTTCCTGTGCTAGGTCCGAGTTACCACCCATTCCTCTAGCTCCGCCGCCAGAGGCTCGAAGCCCTTCTAGCTCAGCTCGAAGGTCCCTCTCTGCGCTCGCCTGGTCGGCTCGGACACGCTCTAATTCCAATTGGAGAGACTCGTTGAGATTTTGTGCATCGTCAAGTTTAGTCTCAAGATTCTGCCTTAGTTCGTTCCATTCTTGCTTCTCCATATTCGTTGCCGTTGCCCTCGTTCGTTCGACTTCTAGGACATTATTCAATTCGTCTTCCCTCTCCTTGAGGTTGGCTTCCATAGCTTCTAATTTCTCTCGTAACTCGGTAACTTGCGACTGGGCGTCCTCGAGAAGCTTCTTATCAGCCTATATATTTTGTTAGCTTGCAAGCAACGAAGTGCAGCGGTCAAAGGGCCTACTTCTGACCCCCCAGGTCCTTTCTTCGTTTCTCGTTTCCCTGCTGCGCCTTCTAACCCAAAAGCATCTCCATCATCATCCTCATTATCCTCACCGCCAGTCTCGTCATCCTCTACCATCGTGCTCTTATTTGGAACCAAAGTATTGCTCTGAAAGGTCTTTGGCGTTGGTCGGCCGTAATCATTAGGGGGTAACCCGGGCGATGGCGGGATATTAAGTCCACCGTTCATTGGAAGTCGTGGTCCGCTTCGTGATTCGCTTCTCATGGAATAGGCAGCTATAGAGCTGGCATCCGAAGGTCTACGCATTCGAGGGCCACCGTTCACAGGAGTACCATTTTGACTCCGACTGGGTGGTCCTCGCATGGACGCGGGACTCCCAATTCGGCTTATATCACCCCCAAGAAACCGGGGAAACCTCCTCTCCAGTTCAAAGAAGACGTCCGTTGCAAGGTCTTTAAACCTTGGGGGAGGTAACGTTGACAGCTTCTGTCTAGCTTGATTTCGCTTTGGGTGGAAGGAGTCCTTTGGCATCAGGTATGGGGGCGGGCCACCATTAGGTGGTGGTCCTCCATTCGGTGGGCGCCTTGCGCCTTGTTGTCGTCGCAGAAGCTCATCGAAAACGTCGGTACTCAGTTCCTGGAACTGCACAGCGGATAACCGCAGCAGCTTGTCTCGAGCCCGATTCGGCCGGGGGTTACCCTTCTCATCTCGCAGAGAGGATGCCAAATATCTCTTGAGCGCGACATAGTGCTCCGACAAGGCACCTTCGAACTGGGAATCCTTAATGCTCCTGCCACTTTCGCTCTGCGCATATAATCCGGTTCCCACACTTGATCGCGCGATCGAGCTTGGAGGAGACGGGCCACCAGGGCTGCCACTGGAAGATCCTCTTGGAGGGAATCCTCCTCCGTTCATCGTCCCGTTCGACCCACTAGATATAGGCGGTGAAGCAAGTTGCCCACGATTGTTCGAGGCGGGAGAATAGGGGGAATCGTTGCCGTATTTGGAAATTCCAGACCATTCGCTGCCTCCTACAGAGACTGGAGACAATGGGCCATTGCGACCATTCATCGTATATGTAGAGGCCCTTGATAAGTGTGGTGAGCGCTGGGTTGTCCGCCTAACGAGCGCTGTTCCACGGGTTATTGCGCGCGACCGAACCCTTAGAGCATCAGCCAACACTCGAAAGATAATCGTAAGTTCCTAGACAGTCTTCTCGAAGCAGCGGACAAAATTCGGAGGTATGCAGTGCAACGAGGAGTCGCTGAAACGTGGGGAGCGGGTATTGTTGCCAAAGCGAAAGGAGTAGACAGCGGCACGCCTCAAGGCCGTCGGAGGTGCTGGATGGTGATACTTCAGGTAAGGAGCCAGTCGCTGGTGCGGTGTAGAAGTTGTATGTTCGGGGCTGGCGAAGACGTAAAGACCGTAGGGCTGTGAGGCTGCACAGCGGGCAAGGAATGACTAAAGTGTGTAGTAGAGGGCTGGAAAGGGGAGAGATTGTCCGCCCTGCGTTGTGTGCGTCGAGATGAGATGTGATGGGATAGGATTGGGATGGGGATGGGGATGGCAATTTTCGGGCGGCCCTAGGAGTCGAGGCTTTGAACAAGCGGCGCGTAAATTACCGTCTAGCACTCGAGGACTCGACGAGTTGAAAAGCCTACAACGCCGGGAGAGAGGTCGCTGGCACGCTGGAGAGTTGGGGCAGGGGACTTTATTCAGGCTCCAGAAAAAGTAGTCATGGGAGAGTACGTACTCCGTAAGATTCGTAGCAGTGTGATATAACAAGCTAAGTTGACGTCCTGCAGAACAGAGGCGAAGATAATAATAATGGCAACCGGGAATTGCATAGTTAGGGAGATAACAAGTGCATAAGTTCATGCCCACCAACATACCGTACTCGTACTTTATCCCCATAAACATCAACTATTAAGTTCCAACTTCCACGGCCATGTCCGGCTCAGGGGTAGAGGAATACAAATTTCGCCCCGTCATGCTCGGCAACGGGCCTGTTCAAGCATTGGGCCCTCGCTGATTGGCCGGGTCGAATATAATACAAGCATTAATTAAGCTCATCTCGACTACTTGTATCCACGCTGCGAGTCTGCGAGTCTGGACTTCTGGACTTCTGGACTCTGGAACATGGAATATGGGGAGCCTGGGAGCCTGGAAAGCCTGAATTCTTCCCCAGCGTTTGCAATTTGAATAGTCCCGAGATATGTACTTGAGTCATGATGTGCCTATGGCGCCGAGTATCCTCCGTACTGGGTGTGGGCAGCCGAAACATATCCAACAATTGAGGTATTCGCATTCCCGATAACGAGGTTCCAAGGATAGATTACTTTTTTTACCACATGATTTGACGGCAAGTGGCTACGCTGTATGAAACAACTAGTTCGTGCTTCCTCGGAGTAAAGCTCCTCAGCACAATCTTCATATTCTTGTCATGATACCTATCCACCGCTGCTGTGGAACTAGGTGCGCTTCCAGTAAACATAAACAATAACATAACGCCCGCAATGGGTATCCCGATCCAACGCCGTCCGCCCAAAATATAACACTACAAGTAATGTGGTCCTCAAAGCCAAGCCAATGTCCAGACAGCTGGCAGGTTGGGCCACCTTTCTTGCCACTCCCCAATGATTTCCGGCACCCGCTCGTCGAAACTTGATCTACCAGCACCCATCCCGCTATCAAAAGCATGGGGATTCAGTGCTCTTTCCTCTGCTGCCACCTTATTCAAAGAGTCCGCAAGATCTAGAATCCCTTTTCCTCCAACTAGGGCCTCTTCATGGTTATCCTTGATATCGACATTAATGACATGAACAGGGCGATTCAACGGGGATCCACGACTGAGGAGGTCATCGATGACAGCATCCCAGCATCTCTCTTCACATGTGATGACAACATCAACAACGCCTCCCTCTATCCCTTGACTGCCCTGGTCAGAGCTATGCTCCAACCGTGGTACGCCAATCCGCCAATCTTGCCATCTTTCAGGGCCCCACTTGACGTCTCGGTTCCGGCCAAGCATGTTCAATATTCCATTTGCCCGGTATAAGCGCGGGTCTTTAGCTTCGAGCTCTTTGTACATGCTATCGTAGGAGGTTTTGTTGAATTGATAGACATTGGGTTGCGTAATAGAAGCTCCGGGGAGACGAACTAGGGAGCCAGTCCCGAAGGATATAACCGGGTAATTTGCCGCTGCAAGTCGTAGATGGGACTCCATGGATCTGGTTCAGTTGATGTTAGCACCTTCGAGGAGGACATTCCTAGAGAGATAAACAAACCTGTTGTTATTGCTAGCACAAACGGTGCAAAATTTGAGCTTAAACCCTCCTTGGTCTGCGCTCTCCTGGTTCGATGTCCCGCCATTTGCCCCATTTGTGATCTGGGGTTGTATTTGAGCCATCTCGGGGTGGAAGGTGGATGGCGGAGTATCGTAGGGTTGAAGCTTACAGCTTCCCTCGTTCTGGATCAGGAATCGTGCATTGAGCAAGTGACTCTGCTCGCTAATTTCGTTCTGCTTGCCCATCGATGAATTAGCTTCATTATCTAGAGCGGTAGTCATGGTATGGGGCATGAGTGGAATATGTTCAGAAAAAGTTGTATATTAAGTAAAAAAGTGTGTCATCATGAGATTAAGACAGCTCCAATAAGTATTCATCATTGTGTAGGAGTAGAAGGGTGAAAAGGGATATAAATATACATACCAAGCATCAAGCCATGCCCTGTAACCTCACACAGAGAGCTAGCTGCTCTGAATGGTGCTCAGGTGAATAGTCGGTTCGGATGTTTCTTTGATGTAAAGTTGAAGTTGAATACGGTTAAAAATTCGGAGGAGAATGATTGAGTGGGATACCGCGCTAGGAAGGTTAGAGACTAGCTTCTGGGAGTCTACCCCCAAGCCTCGACCCAACGTTCCCAAGGAGCCAAGTGATGCCGGTACAATAACAGATAGAATTATAGAGAGCAAAGTGAATTTGATATTTGTGGCAATGTGTCCGACGGTTTGTTTACAATGAATGCATTTAGAATTTAAGGCATGTATCACGTGGTGAATGGGCTTTGTCCCCAACTCGGTTGGTGATCTTCAAACGTGTATGTAAGCAAGCCATCAGCTACGATACTCTGTCGAGCGCAACCACAATAATTTCATGCCCGACTTCCCCTTCATTAGTCTAGTCTCCAATCACCACATCGAAATTCGAAGATGGATCTCGCAAGTCTGAAGGAGGCTGCGGCCAATTTGTCCCTTTATGACCTTAAGGCCGGTGTCCGAAAGGTCCAAAATGGTAGGGTGGCCTCTCCAAAGATTGTCGTGGTCCCGGATGCTCATCAGTGGCAGCGGTTATGAACTACACGGAGATGGAGGCAAAAGTCAGAGAGGCCACGAATAACGAACCATGGGGAGCCAGCTCTAGCCTGGTAATGAACCCCCTTACGTCATTATATGTGAGCAACTCGTGCTGATTGAGTACAGATGCAAGAAATCGCAAATGGGACATACAACTAGTCAGTCCACCTCGGTGGTTCACATTGGAATTTCCGCTAACAGCCTTGCTCAGTCAATTACTTAACGAGATCATGCCCATGATCTATAAACGTTTCACGGAGAAGGCAGCTGAAGAATGGCGGCAAATCTACAAAGCTCTCCAGCTGCTGGAGTTCCTAATCAAGAATGGTTCAGAGCGGGTTATCGACGATGCGCGGTCTCACCTCACCCTTTTAAAGATGTTGCGGCAGTTTCACTTCATCGACCCGAATGGCAAAGATCAAGGGCTAAACGTCCGAAACCGAGCCAAGGAACTTGCGGACCTCCTCAGCGATGTTGATCGAATCCGAGCCGAGCGGAAGAAAGCACGAACAACGCGAAATAAATACACCGGCGTTGAGGGGGGAGCTGGCTTAGGTGGCGGCCTTTCTAGTGGCAGCAGATATGGAGGGTTTGGAAGTGAAGAACAGGGTGGGTATGGAGGTTATAGTGGTGGGGTATATGGTGACGGAGGCGGTTTTGGAGGCCAATCAAGTGATTTCCAAGATACTGGAAGCCGTGGCGATTCGGGCGGCCCTCGCCGGGATAGATTCGATGAATATGATGAATATGACGAGGGGGCAGTAGCTGCTCCAGGACGGCGACAGGCCGAATCCTCAGCCGCATCCTCAAGCCGACGGAAGACAACCGAGAGCGTTGCCAAAAAAGCAGAACCACCCAAAAAGAAGGAACCCGAAGTGGATCTTTTCTCTTTTGATGATCCAATTCCAACCTCTGCCCCTGTGGTAGCACCCATAGCTGCAGGCGCTTCAAACGCTGCTGATGAGGATGATTTCGATGATTTCCAATCTGCCACCCCTTCAGTGCAGCCAGCGGCTCCAACAGCATTCTCTCCACTCTCTCAGCCAACTGCTACAACCACAGCTACCACCCAATATGCTGCTCCCCAGCCAATCTCAGCGCCAAAACAAGCAAACTTGTCAGATTTGGTTGGATTCTCATCCATTTCACCCGCGCCAACTGGCGCCCCCACTCCAGTCAACTATTCATCATTTTCAACTCCAGCTGCACCTGCAGCTCAACAACCCAAGCCTACCGCATACCAAGGCTCACAGCCCAACTACTTCACATCCGTTCAAGTCCCTACAACACAAACAAAGCCAGCCTTGGGTGCGTCATCCGCAAAGTCCCCAGCTGCGGCAAAACCTTCTTCAGGGCAAGACGCGTTTGGTTCTCTCTGGTCGACGGCAAGCTCTGGGGTTAAGAAGACCACTGCCCCTACTGCGGGCCCTGCACTTGGACAGCTGGCGAAGGAGAAGGCTAGTGCCGGTATCTGGGGTGCTGGCTCATCTACAAATACGGCGCCCCCGCAGCAACGGCAAAACCCGGCAGCAGGACAGCAGAAGCTGGGAGGTGGCCTGGATGATCTCTTGGGCTAGATAGGCGATGATATTTTGATGCGGAAATAGCGATTGCGGTGGAAAATCACATCTATGGCGACGGCGTTTCTCGCGATACGGAATAACTGACGGTGTATAAAATCAAGTTATGTTTTGTGACAGAAAAATATCGTTCCTTTTCGTTCTGATTTGCAATAATATGCCACCTCTTACGATGGTAATATAAGGATTGTAAAAAGTAATTCCCTTTTTCGCATGAGAACCCGGGATATTCAAATCACATATTTTGCCTTCCAAAAAGCCTATTCCGGATACCACGCCAATATCCTCGTACCTGGATTTGTTGATACGGAGTAAATGGCACGGGCTATATAGAAGTGAACTTGAGCTTATCAACTAATTCACGCATAACAGTCTTGCAAAACAGCTAGGACGGTGACAGGTATGGGATTCTACAGACGCAAAAAAAGCACAGCTTAAGGACAACAGCAGACATTGAAGACATAATTAGAACGCCATTTATCCCCTTTCTAAAGCCTCAAGTAACCCTCTCCTCCACATCCACTAATTCGGTTTCTTAAACATACTCCACTTATGCCTCCTCATCTCAAAAGCAGCATCAGGGCCAACATGTCCTTCCTTCCAGCACCGCGCGCAATACAAATCGCTATCACACCCTTGACACTCAACCGTTGCGTCATCCTGACAGATAATGCACCAGCTATCGATCTCTTCATCTGCATACTGCTTGCTCTTCGTAGGTTTGGCTACTGGTGCGAATGTCGGCGCGGAGGGAAGCCCAAGGGGGTCGGCTGAAGAGCTGGAACCGGGGCCGTGGAGCGCAGCCATGCGGGCCGCAATATCTGACTCGAAATCGAGGGATTTTCTGCTGCGTTCTGGACCTGGTGGTTCTGTTGCGGATGGTGGTGGTGAGGGGAGTGAAGATGGTGCAGAGGGGAGCGAAAGAGCTCTACCTTCTTTGTCTTCATTTCCCACATTCTTAGCACTTTTTTCTACAGCCTCCTTCGGCGTATCTTCCCCCTCCAATTCGTCATTTCCTCTTTCTAGATTGACCTCGTCCAAAAGCCTGGCAACAATATCCTGTACCTCACGTGATTCATCTTCTAACCCCGCAGCTCGTGCCCTCTCTCCAGATGCAGCTTCATCGTCATCTACAGAAAAGACAGACATATCGAGATCTCTCGTCAGTAAATTCTTTCCCTTATTTTCTGCTCCGTCCTCGGTTTCCTCCCTTGTCCTGGTAACTGGATCTCCAACCACTTCATCGCGGGGTAAGGCACTTTTTGCTTCATCTAGAAGCTTCTGGACGTCTTTTGGATCGTCTGGGTCCAACGTCCATTGATCTTCTGGTCCAAGATCGGCTAAGAGTTCTTCAAGCGTTTGGTCATCGGTATCTACGGGATTCCGGAGGGGATCTATATCTTCATATTGGGAGAAGCTGGGCTCTGCGTATGTGGTGTTTGTTGGTTTCGTCGTTGGAATAGGGGATGAGGATGGAGATAATGAGCCATTTCGAAGGTTTCTGAGCCGTGCAGAGAGATCTATTTCTGGGGTGGCTTGTTTAGGTGTTGGGGGGTTGAAAGTAGAACTACTGAGGTTTAGCCTGCTGTGATGGAGTTATAAGGCGAGGTGGGTCACTTTGAGGAGTCTAGCTGGACGCTTGATTTCTTGAGGGCATTCAGGCGGTCGAGGAGGTGCTGGTCAGAATTAGGAGGATCGGACATTTTCATAGATTGATGATATAATATGTGTCTTCATAAAAATTTTCAAAGTTATGGGTTACGCAGATTTGTGAGGTGGAATGAATATGTTGTGTAAGGGGCGCTCAAGGTGATTCGTTTGTTAGCGCGGGAGCAGCCTGCAAGGCTAGGTTTAAGCCGCCCGCTACAAAGAGGGTCAAAGGAGCTCTATAGAAAGCTCATCCATCGAGCTGCAACATGCATTACAGAGAATATCGGTACCTCCAAACCTTGTACTATAAACTGTTAATGAATCACCAAGTTTCGGATACATTTTGTAGCTCGTGTCAGGGCTCTGGGTGTGTCCTATGATATCTTGACTTAGCATGTGGGCTACAATAATTTACAAATATGATTGGAAAATAGTGATTCAAGAGCTTTCAGAGAGAAGATTATTGTCTCATCAGGAATCTGCTTGTTAAACCCGAGATATATCACAGCAAGCTGCGACAACCAAGGATTCCAGCTGATTTTCAGACTAAGGATGACGATACAAATGGTTTTCATCATAGATCTTGGAGGAGAATAATAGACGCATATCAAACGTACCTGCATGATGTGCCACTTCGATTAAAATAGCCGTGTGCGTTATTACTCGGTTCCTTCTGTAGGCGTGGTATGTTCTCCAATCAACGCCGATTATGGATTTGGTGGTAATCAAGACCAGGAAAAGGCTCAGTCATCGTCATATGAAATCCGCCGTCTTTGCGATGCTTGACTTGGGGCCGAGGGCGCGTTCGCACCCATATCATCGTATTGCAGATCTCCAAGCCCGTCTTCCACCTTATCCCAGGTCCGTTTCCTCAAATCAGGTTTAATGTTTTGTTTGAAGAAGCTTTTCTGGCTTTTTGCGTGCTTCTGCTTCTGCCTCCTGCTTTTCTTCTTGCCTGCTCCCTCACTATTGTGTGGTGGTGTTGGTGTTTCCGTAACGGGGCTATCGTTGAGCTCTCCATCTTCCATCTCCGCTTCCTCGACGCTCTCAGTTGTGACCCCTGGCGTATCTTCGTTTCTGGCTTCTTTGGTGTGTCTCCGATCACGTAGAATTTTCTCGATTTCAGAGTGTCTAAAGATCCTAATCTATGGGCAGAGTCAGCTTTCAGTGCTCCGATTTATGGGAAGCGTACTTCAAATAGCTTTAATTACTTACCTGTTCATCTGTCAGAGTACGCTTTACTCCATCATCGTAGTATCCTAAGCCATCATCTTCCTCTTGATACTCTTCATCCACCGGGCCGAGAAACTGTTGTGCGAAATGATTCACGGCCACGGTAGCGAAATGCGCGTTGTGAAAAGACGCCAGGTCCTCCTAAAACTTGTCAGCACTTGGCAGTTAAAGGAAGAACCAACACTGACCTGCGAAATTTCTACCGCTGCCATGGTTGAGCTAGACACATTATCATTGTTAGGTTGCTGGAAGAAGGTGTGGTTCGTGAGGACGACTTTTGATGATAACAATTTGATAACGGCAGCCTTGACAAGCCTCGAATGCAGAACGCGAAGTCACATGTTCTTCAAGTTGTCAGTTACCTACTCCGTAGATTCACGACAGGATTGTGACCCTTTGCTAGGTATACTAGATATTTGTAAAATGTTTGTTTGGGTTCTTGGTAAGAATGGACCAATACCTGATTAATTGGTGCATTAGATCATATTTTTGTACAAATCTTACCCGAGCAAAAACCACCTCCATACATTCGCCATAGGTATATCGAACAGAATATGCTCAAGTAATAATAATCAATTTTGCCCAGTATAATTAGACTACCTAAATAATGCGGTTGCAAATATGTGCAATAGGGGTATCTCGAAAAACCATGGGACGAGAACGCGGACTGGGTGGCACAGTCTTCATCTTTCATATCCCTTTCCCTCCTCCCAACTCCTCGCAAATAGCAAAATACCACTGATCTGTACATGAATGCATCTTTCCATCAGCTGCAACCAAAGCTCTAAGTATAATACCCGTAGATATTCACATAACTATGAATGTTTATAGTTTCAGAAAAGCCCATTACCGACGTAACAAATCGAGGGCCTTCTGGAAAGCATCGACGACACTGGCATCTGCATATTATTAGCTGGAATCCTATATAACATCACCGCATACGTACAATGCTTCTTTTTCTCCTCTAACGACTGCTCCTGAAGCTTTACATGTCTTTCACACGTCTTAAGACTACTTCTTGTCAGCCGCTGCTAGATAAGGTTGACCGTGGCACCTACCGCTTCGAGGCCTTGGTGTTATCACGCTCAGCGGCACTTTCGGCCCATGAAACAAAAAGCTAGAGCACATATTAGCAAGGTCGTTGTTTCGATAAAATATGTCATAACTTACTTGTGTGTACTTGGTAAATTGTTCTAGTAGCTCTTCCTCTTCACTTATGACTTCCTTTACAGCTTTCGTGTACTGATTCCGGACGCCATCCCAATCAAACTGGGGCAGAGGTGCATCTAGGTCTTCATTATAGGCATCCCCAGGACCACGTCCTTCATCGTCGGTATTTGTGTCATCTCCGTCTTGGGAGGTGGGCGATTCCTGCCCAGACTTGGGAATCCGGGGGGTTGGTGGTATTTGGACTTCATTCCCAGCTTGACTGGGTTTCTCCGATGCCCAGCCGTCCCCAGGCGCGGCATTCTGTCGTGGGGTCAACTGGTGTTCAGATGTCCCATCATCTACATCATCTCGAAGTGGGGTTCTAGACATTGTGTTTTCGGTTGACGTGGGGTTCTTCAAAGGCGTTTCCGGAGGAGAATCAGCATCTGATGACATGATGAATTATCAGAAGATGCAATCCCAGCAAAACGACTCTTCTAGTTAGGCACTTTGAGTGCGCTGTGGTGCTACGGGTGTTTCTCCTTCTTGGGCGTTTGATGAAGGAGACTCGGAGGCGGGATGACCCCCCGACGTCAACTCGGTAGGCTCTGATGAAGTGACCGGTCACCGTATCCATGCCCGCATCTACTGCATGGCTGCGTTAATGTGTGCCACATCGCCAACGTATACTCACTAACCAACACCAACAATGCAACGTGCAAAACCTAGAGGTACTGTACCTATTTTGGCCGAGTCGCTCAACCCCGGGGTTTTGATTGATTATCAACCAATTTTGAGGGCGTGGGTCAGCATGTCGAGCTAGGCAGTCACATGCAAATGTGCTGAAGACTATCCCGAGTAAATTCATTCGTTGAGAATCGTTTCTTAACTTCATGAGACACAATTGCTCATCGAGCGGGGTCCAACATAGCCAATCACTTATTTTCCCATTACTGCCATATCTTGCCATATCTTGCCAGAACTGTGGAACCACTCCGAGCTCATGATTTATCCTCCGTCACGAACCAGGTAGAAGGGGTTTTTTCCTACAATTATCCAGGGTATTAACTATATTTTAGCTCTTGATAACTCGAAATATACACACAAGAGTAAATCGAGGTTATTTCCTTGATATGAACAACGCTGCGTTGCTGCACTGACAGACACTCCATTGACTACAAGGGTGCGGTTACAGGGGAAGCAACAGTCGGCGTGAAGGGAACTGCTAAGGCAATGCCTAGAGGTGAATGACGACTTATCGATTCACGCAATATACGCTAATTCTAGGATCAAGAGGCGATGTTAAATTCGCTTCGGAGCTTTTCGTCATACGCCTTCCTATCTGAGAGTTTGGTTTAGATGAACGTAGATGTATAGCGTTTCCAGTATCGACAAACTATCAAATAAACTTTGACATCATCGCCATCCGTTTCCGAGTATAGTGGCTGTACTCTCTTATAAAACAGTAGATGGAGGCCTGTGAGGCTTTGTAAAGCGAGATTGTACCTGAAGGTTTTAAGTCCCTAGCTAGTCCTCATGACATCTGTCCGTCTCAAACTGCATACCGTTGGCCGCCTCGCCTTCTCATTTTCGAAATAAACTCCTCACGAAGGGTATTGTAAGCTTCTAGATCAATCTTGTCAATAGCTTGGGCACTTAGCCAGTGTGGGGTCTACATAAACTCAAGGGGAAGTGAAGCTGCCCATTCTAAATCAAGGACACAAGTAATGTTCCAATCCTCGTCCACAAATATATTGCTTGTAGGTAGATCGGTTAGGCAGAACACGAAAGGCCCATAGTTAAGATTAGGGCTAAAGAAGTGTGAGCGTACTGTCCTCATGAATGCCAAAGCTGTCGCCAGGGAGGCACAATCATCCGGGCCATTTACTGCATTTGGTTGGTGTTGGAGCCGGCCATCATGGCATGACAACAGGCTATTGACATATGAGTCGACACTGGAAAAGGGTTGGCTTCTCGGTATGTTGATAGGAATGCATTCGTTTTCTAGGCTTTGTAGCTCCGGAGTAAGCGGTCTGTTGACAAGGCGCAGAAATCCATCGTCATCAAGGGTGGAATGACCGATTTAGGCAAAGGTAGGCGACTTAGAGACAGCATAATCTTAGAAAGACCGCGAAAAATGTTAGGTTAGAGTCTCTGATCAGTACGTTTGTCGTTCCAGGTATTTGAAAGCATCCCCCCATCTTCAATATATTCTAGGAGTAGATGTGGTCCAATGTCTCTAATAGTATCGCTTGTATGCTGCACAAACCGAGATGGAACTAGAACCCTCAAGAGGGTTAAAGCCCGGTGTCAAAGGTGCTGCAGTAGGCGGGCAACAATAGCGAGGTGTTTTAGAGAGGCGAACTATACGAAGTTAGAAGCATACCGTTTGCTAAACATAGACACATTCAGCTTTGCCAGTCGATAGGGTAAATCCACATAGGTGAGGAGTTTTCACAGCAGCACATTCTTCTTGCAACCAAGTATAGGTTCCAGCCTCGCATCTGATCTTCTCATCGCTATTTCCAGGGCGAAAGTTGTCACCAACGCGGTAGGGCAGGGGAAAGCGGACAATAACCCTGCAACCATTATCGATGGAGACAGGGATGCATAGATTTGGTTCAACTCGTTTTCCAGGGTATCGATAATCTCGTGCTGATTGCACGACGTTACAAACAGAATATCTGCCGGATTGTTAGACGTGGCACACCCCTCAGGTCGGCCGACTTACGAGCGGGAAAGAGCCGTTGAGGAGAATATAGTAAAAAGTGTTGGAGCAAAGCGTATAGAAAGTTCCCAAGCTCAGTAATACCTCCGAGCTGGGAGAAGTTGAATTTTGGGGGTATCCCTTTGTTGTAACCACCCTAGTAGCGCACACGCGTAAGAGCGCGTTGTACAAAGTCAAGATATAATCCTCCCTACGTTGTTAGTATTTCCCCTACTAAAACTGCATTTCTTGCGTTTCTTGTATAGGTCTCATCATTCAGAGTTGCCAACAGCTTGTCATCAATCCCTTCGGTGGCCGGTATCGCTCGTCAGAAATCTGCCTAGACACAGGAAACGGCCCATCCGATGATGCCCGATGTTACACAAGGAATGATATTCTTGCTGCAGAGATTGATAGACAAATTGATAGTTGAATCTACAGCAATGCCTCAATAACCAGTGTTGGCATGGTGAGGGGGCCAAATCAATCGGCAGTATTCCCCTTATGAAGGAGGCAGTGATGTCGAGGATGTCGCCCCCATGCGCCAACACTGCAGCACAACAATGTTGCAGAAAACCAACACTTCACTAAGGACTTCTCCGACACCGCGGACCAACAGACGCTAGGCCATCAATTAAATCGCCATGTGAGTGCGTTGGCACTGGGGTTGGTGACGGATTACTTGCAAGTTACTCACAAGCATGTGTTGCTGCCGATTGGGGCGCAGCTATCACCCATCTGCTGCCCTGGCAAAGGGCTGCAGGTCTTCTTTTCTGAGATGGCCCCTTGAGTCTGTGGGATTCATAGCGCACACTGGTGCCCCAGAATCAGGGTGTGATCACGCTGCAGCTCTTCGAAGTTACATCCGCTAACTAACATGTTGAGCCAAGGGATATTTTAGTGGCTGGATACGAGTACAAGACCAAGAAATTTAAATCATAGAACACGACTATATCTCGATAATGAAGCTACATCCGACCTTGCCACTTGGCTTAGAAGACACCCTCAATGTTTCAAGGCCAAGCGCCACGTAGCTCCAAAGGCTGAGCTCAAACAAACCAGACAGATCGCTCTTAATCACGTATATTCCACTTCTTGACACCTGAAGACTGCAGTTGGATTATAGATTCCTAACACCCAGTTCTGAACGATGACGAAATAGATATACCAACCAATAAAGTCTCAGTCAGACTTGCAATGTACATTTAAAGCTGAAGAACATGCCAAAGGATTTTAGCGTCTGTCTGAGATACAGGTGATAACGCAGAGATTCGGGCAACACGAATCTACAACTCCGAAACCAGGCTAATGAATATGAAATATGCAGAACATGAGACATTCGCCACACCAAGTCTCAAAATTCAGTATCTTGAAAGCAGGGAAGATTCAAGTTGAAACCTATATCAAAATCCAATAGAAAGACCCAAAAGTAAACAAGCATCAATTTTGACATGATCTTTCTGTTTTCTCAGTATCTTTATGCTTGTTCACTTGAGGTATTTGCGGGTAGAAGCGAGAAATGGACAAGAAAGTATAGTGGGAAAACATCGCAAGAATGCAGCTAGAGAGAATCAGGAACACGATAAGGAAACACATGTAAGAAACTGGCCGATGGATATAACCCTGACGTTCACTATTATGTCTGTTTCAACATATCGCATAGATGTTTTGGTCGGTAGTCACAATGGCAAATGACAGCGTTGCATCTCTGTTTATATTTTCAAGGCTTAACAGACAAGTCCCAGAGCGTCACGCCAAGCCTCGCTTCAACCCCCACGTGACGCTGAGCAGCGGCCGTTATCTGCACGTGGTCATCTGATAAGGCGATGGACCTGCCTGCCTGTTCTCGAAGTTCAGCCTTGTATCCAACGACAACGACAGAACAGCATTGTCCATTCACGCCATGGACACCCTATAAATACCTTTCCAACCATGCGGCATTGCGCATCCTTCGACATGCACCGGCCTGAACTTCCTCGTTCTGCGAAGCACCTCTCAACTGGACCCGCACCGCGCCATTTGTTCGGTTGACATCACCGCCCCTCAGGATACCGTCGAGATAATGCAGTGTGATATATGCTTTCGCACTGGCGGACATAGGCTGCCTTTCCTATGTCCTATGGATGCTAGGAATCAGCTCTATGAAGGCCGAGTTCAGAATGCTCGAGTTTTGCTCGAGAACGACTCCCTCCAGAGGGAAGTAGCGGCGCTTATTCCGGACTCGGAGACTGAAGAGCAGAAGGATAGCTCAGCAGCATCTGATAATCGGCATACTGTGGACGCTATATTCGGAGAGAGAGACGAAGCTGTGGATAGGACCCAGCAGATCATCGCCCATGCCGATGAACTTCGGATGAAGGTCGAACAAGCTAGGAAAGAAGCGGCGACGAAGAAGGCCCATCTGGCGCGCAGGAAATCAGACCTAGCTTCGGCGTCGAATGGAGCTGAAGCCCGCAGGGCTAGGCAACTGGAAGACGTCGAGAAGTCCACCCGCATGACCAAGTATAACTGGAACAAAGTACATGCTTCCCATGCCTCTTCGAGGACGTATCTATGCGGCGAGGCGGCGAAGTTATACGGTCTCCGCAGAGTAAAAAAGAGCGGTGGACAGGAAGATTACAAGATAGGTCGTGTGGGAATCATAGACATAAAGGCCCTGAATAGCAAGTCCCCAGTCGATTAATGCTGTGGAAAGCCAGGTCTAACTTTACATTAACAGCTGCGAGCCCGGCCCAGATTGCCACATCCCTATCACATATCGTACACCTCCTCGTTTTATCGATGCACTATTTAGCAATACGGCTTCCCGCCGAGATCACCCTTCCCCATCGAGACTACCCATTACCAACTATATTTCCCCTTACCTCATCCTACATGTACACAGATATTCCTTTTCCGGGCAGCATAGCCGGCCAATCTTCCAATACAAGCCCAAGTGCATCGCGCCATGCGGAACAAGCGAACTTGCCACGGCCACGACCGCTTTTCATCACAAAGCCTCTGCCTATCCTCGCAACGGAAGACCCGGCGAGCTATGGACGGTTCCTTGAGGGTGTCACTCTTCTGGCATATAATATTGCTTGGGCATGCAAGAGCCAAGGAATCCCCGTGGGCGAAGATAGCAACTTTGACGACATATGCAATATCGGACGAAATCTCTATAACCTCTTAATTGGACCTACTAAATCGCATGTGACACTAACAAACCGAGTACCATCCCGACAGCCCACGCCAACTAGAGGTGGAAATAGAGAAAGCGACGCCGAGGAAAGAAAGCCACACGCTGATGCGCTGATGGGACGATACTCTCATGGGACTGCCCATTCATTCCTAGGCAGCGCGGAAGGAACAGAGTTCATCCGGAGCTGGAAGCTGCTCAACCCCATGAAACTAGCCGATAAGCTCAAAGCCAGACTTATGAGCGAAGTGGCAAACGCAGAATGGGAGGTTCTGGATCAAGATGCGTGGACCGTAGACGACGAAATGGGAGACGATGGGGTGGTTGTTGGAGCTAGAAATGAAGGTGGGGGACGGGTTACCAACTTGGGCATGCAGAGCTTCATGAGTATGAGGACAGTTATGGATGCCGTGGAGATGGTGGCCGGGGACGGAGATAAGAAGCCGGGGACGAGCGGGTGGACCAAGTTGAAGCCCAGATAGCAAAGCCATGCCTGAGGGAATATATTTTAGTTGGCCTGGCGGAGTCTGAGATCGGCGACTTGATAACTTGGTATACCTTGATATTATAGACTAGGATGGGCGGTGTCAACTCGTCGGATATTTTGGATAATGTAGATAAGAAGAATTGCGGCCGTCCGGCCGCTCAAACGAGAAATATCCAATACCGTAGCATCGTCATGTCATGTGAGGACCTTACAAATGTACGGTACCACAGCGTGTTGGTTCATTTTGAATAATGCGGATAGGAATCAAGGCAACCACACTGAAACGATCCAGATTCTTGTATTGCCCGAGTAGCTACCGATTATTTCAGAGCTCCAAACAGTGCAAGTGTAGGACGACTCTTATCAGAGTTTGGTTGTTGAACGTGATGTGTGGACGTGGTCTACCAACGGCCATTTAGACGTCCCAACTCAGGTGCTCAAGGAGTCAGTTAAGTCACTGGCCACGAAGCTCCAAGCACCGACTGTAGCGCTGGATTCAAGTTTTCCAGCGCATAAAATCCAGCGCATCGCTGTATGCCCGGTCCGGCCATGCCAGCGCTTCTGTGTCTGGTGCCGCTACCGCTGACTCCAGCTGCGTTGGCAAAAGCATTTTCATATCGCCGACGTCGAAACCCCCAAAAAAAACCCAGCGCCACAGTTTCAACCTCGGTGCCACAAACCCCATCCGTGGGGCTTCACTCGTCGCCTTGGGAGTTCCACGATTCTCGATGGTCGCATGGCTACAAAAACCAATCTAGTAACCCGACTCGACCATCCCTTTGCCGATTCGCTGAAGGAATTCACGTGAGTGGAAGAAGTGCGGCTTTTGCGTCGGCCTACCTACCTTAGGTACGAAGTACTACTGTACTAATGCGTACTCGTAAGCGGGAGACAGACAGAAAAGGCGTCGCGAAAAAAGGTAGTTTTTGATCGGGCTAGAAGCAGAAGAAAAAACCCTGAATCATTCCACCGAGGCGCTCGTCTAAGTGGTCGACCACGGCAAACACGCAAGAGTCATTCGTTCGATTCTTCCTGCCACGCCACGCCGTGGCGACATCTGGTCCCTGAAAATCTGGAAAAGAGAAAACCGGTACCTGAAGAACTGGGGATTTCTGGTCTTGATTGGATTGGTCTCCACGTGGAAAAGAACGACCGACGGAGAGAACAAGGAAACGCGCACAATAGCAAGGGGAAACACAATGAGATGATGCCTCTTGCGTCAATGATCTTCATCATCTAGAGGGAAATCCCGCAACTTGCGTACTCCGTAGCCATACTAGGTACCCGCTCATCGTTCATCAACCATCAAGCAGGTTTGCCAACTGGCCATATGCGAGCTGACGAAATAAAAATACCTGAGGTACGGAGGTACTTCGCAGGCGGAATAAGACAGGAACAGGAACAGTACGAGTCAAAAAAACCGGGCTGGCTCTGCAGCATCTGCAGGTACAGCTCACTCAGCACACCTGCAGGTACACAGCACCAAGCACACAATTCGTCACCGAAAAAAACTCCAGCACGAAGTAGATCCGAGGAGGGATGGCGATAGGTATGTACAGTACAGTACAGTATCTTAGCCACCTTATCTTAGGCACTTATGCCGTGTGATAGTGATTAATAAGTGATGAACCCGCACTTCCGTGGATCGTTAGCATCGCCTATGCTCGAATGGAAGCCGATGCCGGTGCCCGGCGCCTGTGGCCCTGTGCCGATGGGCGTGGTGGGCGAGGGCTCCGGATTATTCAGACCGCGTCGTCGACTCCATTCCAAGGCTTCCAGACTCCGCCCGGGTTCCGGGTTATGAAAACTCTGTGGTGCATAACCAAGAGCTTGCACAAGCTCTTTTTTATCCACCGCTTGGCATGTGGGATCCGTCTGGACTCTGGACTCTGGACTCTGGACTCTGGCGGTGCCTTGGTCGGGCATTTATTTTGTGTTGGTTGTGTTTGTGTCCCTTGGTTGCTGGTACGGTACCTTCTTTGTATGTACTTCCGTTGTGCTACTGCGCCTGCTATTATTCACCTCTTATGCTATATTGTGCTATTCTCATTCATCGTCAGCTCGTTTCGCGGCGATTGTTACTATTCTTACGTGGCGAGGTAACCCGCGCAGTGAGACCGCACTCCTTTTCCTTTGTCTCCTTTGCTGCCCGCACGTGGCCATCGACTCGTGCCTGGCACTAGGAGTCAAGGACAATGCGCTACATTATTGTGTGCTGTTTTACGCAGAACTACGTACTACTATCTATGTACGTACGGAGTACTGGCAAAGAGCCTTGCCTTTTAACGTTGTTGTTCCTTTGTGCTGTGCTGTGCTGCGCCTTTCGGCACTCGTGGTGGTATCCATCCACGACATCCAGGTACAGTAAGTACAAAGGCTAGAAGTACACTACCTCCAGCAAGTGGTCCGCACACTTGTACAGCAGAAACATGAAACAAAGGCCGCGATCGTGGCCCCAGTGTTCTGTCCCGGTACATGTAGCTGAGTGGGCGGGTGGGGTCTGTGGGTGGATAGCAGGCAGTGTTGGAGTTGGCGAGTGCTCGTGGGCAGTGTTGAGATTATCCGCCAGCACTTATCTTATATTATTAACGTCGTGGCTACTGTACCGTACCACTCGGTACGAGGAGTAGGAGGGCAGATCAACAGGAGCGAACCCCCCGGCAGAGTCAGGGCACAGAGTCGTGTGGATGGACGGTGCAGGTTCCTGTGCCTGGCTGGGCAGGGGCCGCAGACCACTAACAGCTAAGTAAAGAGTCAAGGGCCCGGCCCCCGAGCCACTCACCACGCGTCGCTCGCAGCCACGGCGGCCCCCCTCCCCCCCAGCAAACGTGTTTTCAGTGGGCAGCCTGCTAATTACTCGCTGGGCGGCGACGAGGCACCTGAATCATCCCGAACTAGTCCATGATCCGCCCCAAATTAACCCGCCGGGCCCTTAACCTCCCTCGTCCCCTTAGTCCCCCTTTACTAACACTGAATTAGCCCGTCGCCCATCGCCCAGCGCCCCATCGCCCCTGGGGAAAGAAGGGGAGCCCAGAGCTAATCTGCCCAGCTGCGCTTCTCCCTACTTAAGCCCCCGACTCCATTGTTGCTACTTCAACTCTCGCTCCCCCCCCTCCCACCCTCTCTCCACGCTCTTTCATCCTCCCCATCCAGGTCGCTGTGGAATCCCTTCATTCAGTTCGATACACTCTTTTATCGTCCCATTGAGCAATACACCGCTCGCACACTCCTTTAAAAGATCCCCCTCCAACGACCTGCGCTTGACTTGACGATCGACCCCTTTCCGAGCAAATATAACCACCCACCCGACCAAGCAACAAAATATAGAAATCCCTTTTCGAGAATCTCAATACCCCTTTTTTTCGCAAATATGCATTACGCAACGATCTCCGGCTTGATGTTCGCCGCCCTGAACATCGGCGAGGCCATGGCTGGACCGGCACACGCCCACATGCACCAGCGTCTTCACGAGAAGAAGGAGTAAGTAGATCACCAGAAACAGAGGTGCAAATGGCGCAAATCACGAATCCATGGCTAACAATCCCCCCTCCAGTGTCAAGGACATCCAGTGGAACGAGCTGGGCATTGACTGGGTATCCGCATGGAAGGCAGGCCAGGCCGACAAGACCGCCGCTGCCCCAACCGCAACTGCTGCCCCATCGGTTCCCTCCGGCCCCGCCGTGGCCGACGTCAAGAACATCAAGGCCGCCGCTGCTCCAACCTCCTCCTCCGAGTCCTCCGCCCCATCCTCCAGCTCGTCCGGCTCCAGCGATGATGGAATCCTCGGTGGCATCATCGGGATCTCCAACTCCCGCACCTCCTTCGGCAGCTCCTCGCTCGCCGCTGACGCAGCCCTTCAAGTGGGAGACAGCGCTGTCAACAACTATGGCTCCCCATATGGCTCCAATATCATGAAGGTCGCATCTGCCAAGGGATACGATTTCACCAACACCTTCGTCAACACCCAGAAGGAGGCCATCACCATCAACATCTGGAACAAGGTTGGCCCAGATCTGCAGCCCCAGTCGGGAGCCATGTTGGCACCACGCAAGACCACCCTCACCTTCGTTCTCCAGCCGGGCGGATCCCAGACCGTCGCTTTCGAGGGCAACACTCAGTATGCCTGGGCTCAAGCCACCACCAAGCTCCTGATGTCTGGCCAATATGACACCGTCTACGGCGAGGCCAACATGAAGCCCACCGGCGGAAGCGGCTACAACCTCTCCATCATCCCCAAGTCGGACAAGATCAACAACTACGATATGGAGATCTCCAGCGTGGAGGCCGACTGGTGTGTGAGCAACAGATTCAAGAACTTCTGGCGCACCGAGACCGACCCCGTCGGCAACGACGATGGCAAGGACACCAACGGCAGCTGCTACGTCAACTCGGCCACCGCACACTTGACCACCAAGATGGGCGGAACCGTTTCCGATGCTGCTTAAATAAGGAAAATTTTAGGACTTGGGCTGGGGTGTTTTGAGGTGTGAATACTTGACTTTCTTGGCACATAGTATAATGTTCAACGGTTTTTCAATGAGCTTCCTTCAACTGTGCCTTTTTTTGTGAACTGTGATTAAATGGAGTCGGTGCACAAATGTGATCAAGTGATTAAATATCAAGTTGTAGCCTTGTTAACCTCGTGAGACTGGTAGCTGTGCCAAGTACATACCTTATATATACCCACCAGGAAAAAGAAACATATTTTCATTCCGTTTGCTTTCACTTAGGCCCAGAACAATAAGTGGATGTGGTTGTACCTACAAGTCTCCCCTACACTCATGCTAGAGTTGCACTTACGGTTCATGGCTCGCTCGCTCTTCTTGCGGTTGAGGAAGGAATTGAAGCCATCGTCAACTTGACCGCTTCCGCTCGCCTATACCACCGCCCCCCCTTTTGAAGTTATTATCCCTTTGTTTGGACTGCGACGCGTCAAGTGAGGAGGATAACTTCCACCTCAACTTCCACACGTTCGTTCCTTCAACTCTTCTTCCAACTCCACACTTCCACTCCTTCAACTGTAGTTACAAGCCCACAGCTTCAGCTCTTCTTACATCTCCACACTTCCACTCATTCAGCTCTGTTAAAACTCTGCTGCTTCAACTGTCCTTACAACTGCACACTTCCACTCCTTCAACTCTTCGTACAACTCCACTCCTTCAACTCTGTTACAGCTGTTGACCTCCACGAGTCAACACCATCCCACATCCCCAACCTCACCACGTCGGTAAGTATCGCTCTCTTTCTCATCTCAGTTCCAATCCATCCTCTCTCTTCTGAGCTCCAATCCATCCTCTCCCCTGATTTCCAAACTATCCACTCTCCAAAGCAATCTCTACCCTTCTCCCGATCCTTCTGTCTTGAAGTTCACCTCACCTTCAACTCATCAGATGGATCTTTCACACACAGCTCCAATCTTTCACACAGCTCCAATCGTTGACATAGCATCAATCTCTCACACATCCCCCAATCGTTGACATAGCATCAATCTCTCACACAGCTTCAATCGTTGACATAGCTCTAATCTTTCATACAGTTCCAAGCATTGAAGTCTTCAAGGATAACAAACCATCATGCATCTCACCCTTTTGTTGCATGTCGCCGTCGCGGCGCTCCTCTATGCTCCACGTGTTAACGCAGACACCTGTTCTGTGATCCAGGGCAACCAGTACTGCCATGCTGTTCCATGGTTTGAATACACTAATGTCGGCAGCGATGGCACCTATCAAGAGGTCACAAACATGGGCTCTGATGGCACATGTTCTACTCGACCTAAGCACTTTGGTGGTCCTCTCGCTCCGTTCAATGAAGAGGTAAGATAAATGCATAGATCGTCGGGTCGCCGGCATTGCGTTGTTAAGCTAACGACATGATCACAGCTCTCCCTTCACTTTCGTGGACCGCTGAACCTGCGACAACTTGCTGTTTACAATCTCGTTGGTTCTCAGAAGCGCCAGGACAACCCGGGTGGGCGTGGACATCAGCACGCTGATAACGGACTGAAGCTGAAGGAAAAGAATGAGGCTCCCGAACAATCGCAGCATCGGTCTGTACAAGTGGTGACTACTACCATTGTTACTACTACCATCGTTGCTACTCCTCGGATGTTTACTACCACCCTTAACGGCAAACTCGTCTCCTGGATCGAAAACACATGCGGGGAACCCACCAGCGCGTCTCCTCCTGCTGTAGAGAGTTCTGCTAGCCCGCTACGTAGCTCTGGTTTGTTTATCTGAAAACTTAAACGTTAACATCAAAGCTAACGAGGAGCAGACTCAGCACATGAACCCGCCGTCTCTACCCAAGATCAACATGCGTCTCCTGCTCCTCAAGTGACACCCGCCTTGCCCGCCTCTGTCCATGGCAATGGCGGTGATTTCAAACGAATCGCATACTACGATACCAACACACACACAGCTGATAACCTGGTGTTCCTCGGAAACCGTGGTGGTGATGGCTCAGGCGTGTTTGACTTGTAAGCTCTCTCTCGCAAAGCTTTCAGACCATCCTACTGATATAGAACCAGCAATTGGGGTTCCTCTCTCGCCTACTCGAATTCCAAAGGCTCAGGCGGTGCATCTGGTCCTGAAATTCTTGATGATGTCGTTATTAGATCGGCCAATGAAGTCATCGTCATGCTGAACAAGAAGTGTGAGAATGGTGATTGCGGCTATACCCGTCCCGGCGGAGTTGCTTATCGTGAGTGCCTGCCCTATATCTGTACAAAGGACTATTCAACTAATATCGACATAGATGGATTCGGTGAAACTGTGAAGATCTTTATGATTGAATTCTTCATGCCTCATGATGGAGCCACTGGCTTTTTAGCAGACCAGCCCGCTATCGTAAGTATCCTACAGCAGGACAAACTGCATCTGCCTATACCTCCTCAACTCCTATTCTGGCCGGGTTTGGGATGTAACGCTGACAATACCTAGTGGATGCTCAACGCCCATATCCCACTTACGCGCCAGTACGGAGACTGTTCATGCTGGAAGAGCGGTTGTGGGGAGCTCGACATCGCAGAGGCTCTTCATAGCGGTTCAGAATTCTTGACATCAACCTTGCATAGCCAGCATCCAGCTGGCAGTGCAAATTACTTCAACCGCCCTACTACCAAAACCATGAAGTTGGCGGTTACTTTCAACGGCGACGCGTCGACGATCGCCATTGTTATACTGCCAGATGATACACCTTTCGGTCCCGGATTCGCTGCCAAGCACATCGAGAAGCTGATGAATTCCCCCTCGGCAAAGCGCGTCTCCCCCCGTGCTGATATCCTGTGAGCTCAGTCTCTAGAGGGACGCGCATCTAGACAGTCTTAAACGGATTTGAGAGAGGTGCATTTTGCTTGCAGCGTTGGAGGGCGTATTTAAAATGGGATTAAACAAGGAACTGCGCTAGATATCGGGTATCGTTGCATTTCAAGGTTGATTGCAGCAGGTTGTCCATATCAAATGAATAAAATGAATTCTGCTAGAACTATCTTAGGTGCATCAGCTAATGTGATGGTCTGAGATTGAGTCCCTTATGTAATAAATATGAAAGCATTACATTGTGTGGGGCATGCATCGCTCTTAAACCCGACATTTCCTTGCGCGGAGTTACTGTAGCCAATCAACACCTGGCTTTCAAGGCGCTTCGCATACTTTCCGGATACTTTCAGCTTGCTTATATAAAAGCGTGGTCAGCCACTGTCAACATCATCTCTCCGACAAATATGTCTCCGAGGCCAAGCAAGCCTCTTGGTGGAAAAGCTGCAAACAACTTATGTCATCGCGATCGAGGCCATACTTGCCCGCCACGATGACCTCAGAAGCGAGTTTGACGATGCAGATATGGCTTGGGCTGTTTAATAAGCTGCTCGCAGTGCATGGTGTGTAATGTATCTCTAAGATACGCGGGAGGCTGGATGGTAGAGTATAAGTATACAGGTCTCCTCCGTCATATTTTTCTTCTTCAATCAACCACAGCTTCTATATCCCACAGTTACAGAAGCAGAGCTCTTCTTAGTCACAAAGTTTCACCAGCAAACTTAAATTACTCAACCCCTTTTTAGGCAATAGCCAGCACATCCGGCACATCCAACTACAAGCCATCACCATGGCATCCAAAAAACTTCTCGTTGTCTTCGGCGCAACCGGTGCCCAAGGAGGCTCGGTAGTCAAAGCTGTTCTCGGTGATGCCAAAATGAAGGAGAGCTGGGCGGTGCGAGGCATCACTCGCGACACCTCCAAGCCGTCAGCTAAAGCCCTGGAGGCGCTCGGTGCTGAGACCATGGCTGTAAGTAACCTCTCAGATAATCCAGACAGGTAGCAATTAAAGTGTTAATCATCCGCACTATAGGCCAATCTCAATGATGCTGCATCTGTGAAGTCAGCGATCAAGGGCGCGTATGCCGTGTTCGGCGTTACCAATTACTGGGAAGATAGAAGCTCAGATCTTGAGTTTAAACAAGGGAAAACTATGGCTGATGCGGCGAAGGTATGAACGATGTTTGAATCTGGATGAGAAACGATTACCTGACGTTATGTATAGGAATGTGGTGTTCAGCACTTTGTGTGGAGCAGCTTGTTGAATATCACAGAGTGTAAGTATTTCTTTACCCGGGCAAATACCTCCCTTGCTAACTATCTACCACCAGTATCTAAGGGCGCCCTCCCTAAAGTCTCACATTTTGATTCCAAAGCGGCTGTTGAAAAATACATCCGCTCAATCGGGATCCCTGCAACCTTTTTCCTCCCTGGATTCTACATGTCCAATCTTCCAGGTGGAATGTTCCGCCAGGTGCCTCCTAACAACGATTGGGCATTGAGCCTCCCAATCCCCAGTTCCTCGCAAGTGCCACTCCTCGATACCGCTGGTGATACCGGGAAATTCGTCAAGGGCATCTTGCTGAACCGCGAGAAAGTCCTCGGGAAGCGGATTCTAGGCGCTACGGACTACTACACCCTGGATGAGCTGGTGGAGCAGTTCAAGAAGGTGTTCCCTGAGGCTGGCAAGACCGCAAAGGCTGTGGAGCTGCCCCATCAAACGTTCAAGGATATTTTGGGTAGTGCCGGTATGCCTGAAGAGAACCAGGAGGAGATGCTCCAGAATATGAGGTTGTTGCACGAGTTCGGCTATTATGGTGGTGCGGATCTGAAGGAGTCCCATGAGATCTTGGTTGACAAGTTGACTACATGGGAGGAGTTTATGAAGACCGCAAAGGCTTTTCAGGGTTTGAAGTAAGGCAACTAGGGCTAGATGCTTTAAGCTATTTTTGCCGCGAAATATGTTATAATTCAATTTTATATTTATTCGATTGTTCCAAAGCCTTGCTCATTAATCCGGTCGCTCCAGGCACTAGATGGAGTTATATCCTGATTACGAAGTGACGATGCATGAAGAAGCGCAATTTTTACTTGTATCTTCGATTTAGACTCTATATGATCTGTTAATATGTGACATATATACGACTAAATTATGTCATATCACCTCGTTTGCTGAAACTGAATAAGGATGTCTCGTTCCAGCTGCAAGCGCTTGGACGACTCGGAGATCTCCACGGGTGCCGAGGTTCGCGGACTCGACCAAGCATGCTTTTGCCAGCCTCCGCAAAAGTACCTACCGATCTGCCTTCTCGATACTTTCCAGTTACCACCTCCATATTTCGAGTAAAACTCACACAACCTACACAGAGTGCCTCTAATACACAATTCCCCTTTACTTCCACCCCAAGCATTGTGTTTTTGTTTTGAGGGTTAACTCGGTTCGTTTTGCGCGGCACCCCCGCGTTCTGGCGGCAACCCACTCGGCTTTTCCTTTTCGCCCCTGTCACAAGACAGTCATCATCGACCGGCTCGCCATCGCGACTGCAATTACCTTCACCGCGACCTGCGACAATCTATACGATCTATCGCATTCGTAGAGGGAGACAGGAAGAAAGTCTGCGCGATACCGCCTTGACATAATTTAGAGATGGCGAGCGCATCGCCTCCCAAGCCGTGGGAGAGGGGCGGAGCGGCCGGTGCAAGTGCAGGTTTGTCTTTCCCCCAAAACTCCGTGATATGCTCTTGGGAACCAGCGCTGATATACTATGTGATATACAGCTATGTCTACTACAGCTGGATCTGCGACAGGGACTTCACTCTCAGCCCAGCCATCCTCGATAACAACCGGTTCCGAACCACCATCGATCCCCGAGCGACCGTCAACCCTCGCTTCAGCTGTGAATAGAAATGCGTCGGCATACTCACCCTACGGCCAAAGTGCTATGGGGGGTATGGGGGGCATGGGATCACCGTATGGCGGGATGGGTTCCTCTCCATACTCACGAATGGGTGGCATGGGCGGGATGGGATATGGCGGATATGGTTCAAGCATGATGGGAGGGATGGGTGGTATGGGAGGGATGGGAGGCTACGGCTCGATGTATGGCGGTGGCATGGGCGGCATGTATGGTGGTGGGATGGGAGGGATGGGGAATCCCAATGATCCGAATAGCTTGACGCAAGGATTTACGCAAAGCACACAAGCTACTTTCCAGATCATAGAGAGCATAGTGGGCGCGTTTGGAGGATTCGCACAGATGCTTGAGAGCACCTACATGGCTACTCATTCCAGCTTCTTCGGTAAGTAATCGCCTTCCAAGTATGCGAAGAGTTGAAACTAAGACTCCGTTAGCTATGGTCTCCGTTGCAGAACAGTTCGGAAATCTCAGGAATACGCTGGGATCGATACTAGGAATCTTCACAGTCTTAAGATGGCTTCGGACACTATTCGCGAAGATTACAGGACGCCCGCCACCAGCAGATGCCACGGCTCTCACGCCTAGTGCCTTTGCCTCATTCGAAGGCCGCAAACTTCTTCCAGATGGATCACCAGCTCAACACCCACGACCGAGCAAGAAGCCATTCCTCTTCTTCATTGCAGCCGCATTCGGCCTCCCATATCTGATGGGGAAACTCATCAGATCACTTGCAGCTTCTCAAGAGGAGGAGGAACGACGTCGTCTCGCTGCATCAGGACAAATCGGCCCAGACGGCCAGCCCCTCGGACAGCAACTCGATCCTGCAAAGCTCGAGTTCTGCCGTGTACTATACGATTTCACCCCCGAGACTGGAGCTGCTGTCCAGGGCGTCGATCTAGAAGTAAAGAAAGGCGATTTAGTCGCAGTGTTAAGCAAGAGCGATCCGATGGGTAATCCCAGCGAGTGGTGGAGATGTCGAGCCCGAGATGGCCGAGTAGGATATCTCCCAGCAGTCTATCTCGAAGTCGCGCGGCGGCCAGGCCAAGCTATTGCGGAAATCAAGAGCGCGAGTCAAAGTGGGAGTAGGACGAATAGCCTTACCAGTCTAAGCGCCAAGGCGCCGCCTGTAGCTGGAAAGGCAGGAGATATGAGCGTGGAGAGTTTCCAAAAGAGCCAATTTTATTCGTAGAAGTTGCAAAGTAGCGACGATGATGGGTTTGGATTGGCGTGACGGTGTTTGGGCGGCTGCAAAATACTATTTTCTTTGTTATATATATGATTGGGAATCGTGGGTTTCATATGGGAGTGAGTGTGTATTGATAAAAGATAGCCATAATTGAAGAGGAGGAGATTCCAGATTTATGTCGTAGTCACTGTTTGTCCCATATATGCCCGAGTGATATATGATGCTCGTTAGCAATTACTAGTCCAGCATCTGTCCGGCATCTGTCGAAATATGAGACGTTCCAAACGGTCCTTCCGATATATCCAACAACCGGTACCTATAAAAGCGAGAAATATCTCGGACAAAATGATCTCAATATCTTCACTGGAGATTAAATACCGCTTATTTTAGCTTACCTTGGCCAAAGAGGCTGCTGTCTTAGGAAAATAAGGGAGGCACAAGACGTCACCTGAAAATAGCAATCTAAAAGCATATAACTAAAATACACGGTTTTAATTCCCCCAACCCCCATTTATAGCCATTATAGCTCATTTCATATCTCTAGTCATACGTAGTACACCCCTTGCCCTATTGCTAAGCACCATAAATACCTACCTATGTACAAAATGCCAAAGCCTTCCTCCACTGGGAGAGGCGAGATCACGCCTTATTCATCTTCTGCTATTCCCTTACCGCCTCATATCGTCCCTGAAATAGTCCCTTCTCTCCTCCGTGGGCGTACCTGCCAGACTCCCCAACCCATCGGAATCTACCCTCGTATGCCCAGCGGCCCGACGTCTCTCGTCATTGGCCGCTGGGCTATCTCGGTACTGGCCATCTGCGGTCAGTTCCTGGTCGCGCAGCTTAATTGCCCCCGCGTTCTTCTTGCCTAGCCCGAGTCTCTGGGACCGAGACTTCCCGACTCCATATCCGTTACGACGACCCATGACATTACCGAGGCCGATCGTCCGACGCTTGCGGTTGATGATATAGCCACCGCAGACACACAGGACTATGAAGCCGAAAACTGTGGGCAGGGCGATGTACAACGACTGTCCCTTGGGTGCTTGAGTCTTCGGCTGGCGATAATAATCTTTTGGTTTATTAGTAATTTCTAGGGTTGGGCCTGGCAAAGTGGCTGGTTGGTCGGCATGAGGGTTCAGAATCGTCATGAAAAGAGTAACATTGTTGGACGACTGGTCTTTCAACCAAGCTTTGTCGATAGTCCACGCGTAAAATCCATATGCATTTGTTGTCTCCGGCGATTGGAATGCTTGTATGCCGCCCGACGTGTTGACGTAGTTCACCTGGATGAGTACGGTGGCGTTCTTTTGGGTGATGTGGTTGGTATCCCAGGTTACTGTCGATATTAGAAGAGGTCCTGTGTCCGCTAGTCCGCTAGCAACTTACTATAGTATGTATCCCCAACATACACGCTCGTGCCATTATCTGGTTTGCAAAAAGGCGCAAATGGGCCGTCGGTGTTGTGACATACTTGGAATGCACCTCCGCCGGTCGAGGTAGGTTCTGGAGCTCCAGGTGTAGGGGTCGGCTTATCATCACTGTGACTCGAGGTTGTGGTAGCTGTCAGGCTCGCAGGCGCTGCGCTGATCGTGGTAGCTACGCCACTAATCGTTGTGAGAACTGGCGTAATGGTAGCCACAGGAGACCCGCTGGCATCGACAGAAACCCAAGCGTCGAGAGCAGATTCAGTGACTATTAGATAGAGTTAGCATGCAAAGTCCAAAGCTCATACGATTGAGACAGGCTAACCAGCTCTTGGGACTCTAGCAGGACTCGCAGATACTGGATTGCTGCAAAACAAGGCAGCAACAGCAATGAAGCTGCTCGTAGAGGTAGGAACACGCATCTTGTGGATCTCGCAAAGTTCGCAGAACCAATTCCCCCAGTTCAATGCTCTTTGAATAGACGGAACCCGCAATTAAAGGGAACAAAACGGTCGAGGATATGAAAACGAAGAGCGTGGCAGAATGCCGGAATACGAGAGATTTGTTTTGTCGCACCAGCCGGTGATGTTGCTCTGCACGTGCCGTTTGCATTGATGATGATAGCAGGGATCCATTCATTCATTGGCTTGCTGCCAAGGTTCCCGGGGCGGCCGCTTATGAAGTGCTCCATAGTAGAGCTAGTGCACGGACCTGTTAATAACGACGACCGCTTGCACTTCGGATATGATCGTGGAGGACCTATATGTGATAAAGACTCAGGTCAATCGAAAATAGTCTGGGAAACACATTGCTACTTTAAGAGTGGCCATTCATATTGAGTGGATGTACTTTCGGTAATCGCAAAGGCCGATCTATACTCGAAGAAAGAGAGGTAGAGTTGTTCATATATCCTAAATGCTTCCGGCAAAGCAGCCCAAGACTAAATGAGATCATCTAGTGACACGAGGTTGACCAAAGCCTGTGTCTGGAAAGGTGTGACTCTAATCCAACCCAATCTACTTGTTAACAACTGAGACCTAGCAGAGAATGCAATTTTTCCAAGTCAGAAAGGAGGCTGAACAACACCTTTTTCGTCCCCAACCAACCCCTCCCGGCACCCATCATCAAGGTTCGGGAATATTATCCTTCGCCGATGACTTGACGGGGTCGAGGTATTCGGCGACGGCTTATCCGCGGGCATGCCGGGCATAGGAGGGGTATTTGTTGATACATCGTCTTCGATCTTCTCTTTCGCAAGGGCAACTGGACACCAGCTTGAAATTTCGATTAGCGGACTAAATTTCTCCACAAAATCAAAAGTCCTGCTGAGAACACTTAGTAGCACTGCTTGAATCGCACACTGGTGTTGAACCTCACCTGTCTTGATATGCCTGGAAGGAATCCTAACGAAGATTTAGAGGAACTGCTGTCCAACCCCCGTTCCAAGACAAAGCATAGTTTTTTGCTACCACGAATATCTCTTCCGCAGTCGTCCAGCTCTTGACGCTGCTCCTCTTCCCTCCATACCTCCCTTTCATCGAGATATCGCTTGATATGGGCTAGGTCTCCATCCGGGTAATGATGTAGGTCTCGGAGATGATCTAAAAGCGCTTCAGCGGTATATGGCTCCTGAGAAGCAGAGCATTGATCCACCTATCAACGCCAGTGAGCTTCAATCTCAGACCTTCCTTTGCCTTTTCGACGGCGATCCTTTCCAAGTGCCTCAGCTAAGGAGTTCTGCGCTCGTGCTTGCACCTTCAGGCGAATATGATCGCTGAGGAGCTCAACCCAGCTTGGTAGAGGCAAGTACTTGACTTCGCTGTAAGTCCGCATCTGCTTGGGCTTCGGCTTAACATTGTAGACCGACGGCGAATCCCAGAGGTATTGTCATCGCAGAACTTGTTCCACGGCTCGGATGTTCGGTCACAAGAGTTTGGGACTCGGTGATAGCACATAGGTAAATCTAATCAACAAGCTATAAAAGCTCCCAAGCAGCGGACTCATTGGTAGGACGAGCACTGTATACTCTTCAAAAGGACTGTATAATCTTGGTCAGCTCAAGAACTTCGCGATACACAGGGGGTACGTAGAAGCTGAGTACATAGACCGTCTTACCCATTCGCTCCGTTCCTGCGTGCTCCTTCTTTAGTCGCGGTTGCTGATAGCCCACCAGTAGGTGCCAATGAGCGCCAAACATATGTGAGAGCAAAGACCTGATATTGATGGCTTGCCTTCGTCTGATATACTTCGGCAGAACCAACGGGGCTAGGCATACGCGCTATATTATCCAGCATGTCAAGGTTGCAAGCTCTCGCGCCCTCCTCCTCCCTGACATGTCTGTTGGCGTGCTTCGCAGCAGTCTCCACTCCAACCTTGTGCTTCGTATTGCATAGATATATAGTACGGTGCTTCAATCGTGGCAAGAGAGAGTATTCACAATTTGGGACTCGAGATTGGCCTGCAACAAAGGATAGAAGCGAAGGAAGATAACAAGTGGGAGTGTGTTCCTCGAAGGAACAGATGGAGAAAGGAATTATGGTATGTAGTAACCATTCAAGTTACACTATCAATCTATATAATGTCTCGGATCATAATTCAAGCGAATTACAATTCAAAGTTAATAACTGCACTATGATCCTGGCAAAGTTGTGAGAGTTATATAGCAAGGCGTTGCCTGGCTAAAGATAAAGCAAAGTCTGGATGGGATATGGTAATTAGGGAGTGATCCCCAAGTTGTTCGGCTTCGCGAAGTGGCGGGTTGGGAAAGTTGAGAGAGCGGTAAGCTGGACAAGCTGTGCCAGAATGTCACTTTTGGCCAACGTTATTCACCGCCGATAACTCCCACCGCCTCAGCAAGCCCTACTTCCCAGCCCTCTACGCAAGCCCTACTATTACCAATTCCTCTTCGCTTTGCGGTCGCCACACACTTTTCCAATTTCTCCTCGGCTCCCAACTCGCTACACCAACGCTCTTCTCCCACCTCACTTTGACTTCCCACTTGCCTTACAAAACCCACCGTCTACAACCTCAACTGACGACGACGCACTCGATATACAAATCTTACGTCGCCAATCTTTTTTAATTCTCAATCGCTACCCTCATTCTATTTCCCCAACCTCACTCTGACTTCGCAGTCGCCACGCAAACCCCCTTTCACCGACCTCACTTTGACTTCCCAGTCGCTATACGGAAACCCCCTTCTCCAACCTCAACTGACGGCATAGTCGGTATACAAATCCTACTTCGCCAATCTCTTCTAAGTTCGCAATCGCTGCACACATTCTACATCGCCAACCTCACCGTGACTGTGGAGTCGCTACACAAAGCGATCATCTCCAAGCTCACCTTTGGCTTCGTTTCTTCCCTACCGCATTGCGCAAGCCTGCCAGAGCTTGCTCTTGCAAGTCTCAACTGCCAACTCAAGTTTCAAAAACCTTAACGCTCAAAAACTCCGTAAGTGTTTCCTACGTTGTCGCTTATGAGAACACTATCTGACAAGCATTAGAATCGTCTCAACCGTCAAAATGGTTGGAGCCTCGCATGGCCATGCCCTAAAGGACTTTCCTCAGTTCCGCAAGTTGCCCATTGAGCTGCGAAAGGCCATATGGGATGAGCACCTTGCATCGGAGCCAGGCCGTATCGTCGAAGTCAGGTGGTCCAAAGTCGACAGGCGATTCTTTACCGACCTCAAGCCACCCATCCTCCTTCAGGTTTGCCACGAGTCTCGCAAAGCGGCACTGGCCGTCTACGATATCTTGTCCCTGCCGGTTTCTGTCACTAATTGCAATGCTATTGCTAAAATGCTGGCCCTCGTCGGATCGGCACTGCCCACCCCTTCTCCTCAACCAATTATTGCGTGTTTCAATACTTTCATCAACTGGAAGGCCGATGTTCTGTACCCCAGTTCTTATCACCTCGAACATAGCGACATGGGAGACGTACAACCAGCAAAGTTAATTGAATTCCTGAAGGCTCTCAACAGGGACACAGATGCTGCGCAAAAGGTGCAGTCCATTGCCTTCACCGCAGGAACGTTCGATTCACGTATCCTGGCTCCCGGCCTATTCAATATGACCAACCTCAAACGCCTCAGCTTTGTGTATGATGACATGTGCTGCTTCCGGGAGCGTATGTTTCTGGACAGGAGCAAGAGGCACAGGAAGGCGATCGGAATGACACAGATCGTATTCCCGGAGCTCCCACCTGTTCAAGCAGCCCCAACTCTGCAGCTGGTTCAAGTCCCTGACATTGCAAGCGCTTTCCTCGGCCTTCCGTCTCAGGTTTATGCTTATACCCGTCCGAGTCGCGTGAATCCTGCTCACGCCCACCTTTCTCGAGCAGAGAAGCTTGCCTTGAAATGCAAGCCAATGTGGCGACGCCTTAATGATCAACTGTTAGCTTGGTTCAATGACAATGTGACTGATCTGGTGGAACTTCTGGGCTTTGTGAAGGCACGAAAGGATTGGTCGGATTTGACAACTGTTCCTGTTTTTATGGTCAGGGATCTACTTGTGACTTGAGCAATTGGTGGAGGAATCGAATGTGCTGAAAATGAGTTTTTTTCAAATTGTTTTTGTAAGAGTCAATCCCCGAAAGCAGAGCGATGATTTGAGGGTTAGGAATTGCTTGTTGTGGAAGCTGACGCCCGAGAGCAGTGATGGTTGGGTTCAAACTATAGAATACCAAGCCACTTGTTACCACAGTTTGAAACAATAGAAGTCTTTTTATATCTTCTGAATTCCCACCATGAGACTTAGTGTGATGAGCAGCCAAACTAGCCAAAGTTGGCTTTGTGTATAGCAATTCCCTCCAGGTTGGTATAACTCCCTAACCCAACATGAACAGTAGGAACTTCCCTTAAAATCAACCGCCCCTTTGTAGCTTCGAGAAAGGCGCGGTCAGAGGCTTCTTCGGAAATGGCTTGGGCAATCTAACAAATATCACTTGTATTCAGGAGGCCTATCTCTAGTCTATTAGCTTAGTTGAGACTCCCAGATTACTCAATTCGTCAATTCTCTCTCGTCTCACCTCTATCCTCACCGCCCTCCTCGCCTCCCTCCTCACCTCCCTCCTCACCACCCCAGCTTTCCATGACAACGTCGATCTCTTCACAACACGACATTTAATTGCTAAGCTCAGGCCGAATCTACCATCGTATTCAGCTCTTCAGCTCTAGTTCGCTGTCAATAATACACTCGCCGTGTTCCACGTCTGTTCCTGGCAATAGCCTGCTTTGATCCAAAAACAAAGCTCAAGTCTCTTCAAGTGGTTAGTCCCTATATTACTCTCACCTTTACCCCTACACCGATCTGACCACCGCTTCCACATCTTACACCGATCTAACCGCCGCCTTCATAGCAGACTAGCCAGAAATTGCTTCCTCACTCTCAATCCACGTGCAACTGCACTCTTATCTCCGATCTAACGTCCTCCAAAATGCCCGAATCTGTCAAGTCCAGCCCTTTCACAAAGCCTAAGCTAGAACTGAAATTTGGCACTGAAATACCAATCTCCCGCCAGAATGCAACAACATGCAAGCGCAGATCACCTTTGAAGAGATTTCATCTATTCCCTAAGCTCCCCACCGAGTTGAGGTTTATGGTATGGCACTTTTCAATCCCCGAAAGTCGCGTCATCGAGGTCTTGTGGAATTCTGAGACCGGCAGATACTACACCGATGCTCTGCAACCCTCCCTTCTTCAAGCATGCAGAGAATCCCGCAATGAAGGAAAGAGAGTATACCACGCCCTAGAGTTGAATTTGGACGGGGGATTTATACCTGAACTTGCCAGATATGATCTGAGGGCTCTCCAAAGAATGAGCAGCAGGGAACCGTTTCGCACCTACATCGACTGGAAGCGGGATCACCTCTCCATGAACGCTGAACATGTGGCTAGTAGGTTGGCTCGCGCTCACTTCATTGCCCGTCTCAGCCAGTCCCCGAAAGCCTCAGCAAATCTTCGGAGCATTATTCTCGATGCCCGGGTAATTGAGTCGAAGAGGCTTTATATTCCTCAACCGGGTAGTCCCCGTATCAGGGGAACTTTTTTCATCTTGCTCAATCTCTTAGCAATGTCAAAACTGATGACTATCCATGTGACTTCTTCACCTAGCCGTTGCTATAAATGCAGAGGGGGTATTTCAAGATGTCACCGACGAGTTCTAGGAATCGATTCTATGGGAATAGAAGAAGGGCAGGCTCTAGAGCACTATTGTGAAGATGTTCTTGAGGTATTCGAAGAGTGGAAGGAAAAAAAGCTCGGTGTACAACTCTCCAGAGCCATGGCATTGGCTGGATCAATCTGGGGTGTACGTAAGCCTGAGATGATACCAGAGTTCATTCTGCTTGAGCTTCTCAGAGAGAAGAAGAGACGGTATCGACCTGGGCCGTATGGACTAAGTCAGCGCCGCTGGGCTTAGAGAGAGTTCATCGCAGCCACCACTAAGAAGTATACGAAATTGAAGAAGGGCGACGCGCGAGTGGGAGGATGTGATGGGTGTTGCAAAAATATGATTCATGGATGAGCGCAGATAATTCGGACTTGGTATTTGATATATCGTTCTGAGTAGTCTCCGCAGCTGGGTGTTTTTCCCTCAGAAAGCGGCTGGGCATATTTAAAAAATGTTGATGGCTGGAACAATCAACAGATTATGAGATTCCGAACTGTCTTCTCTTGGAGGCGGGGAACGGAGTACATAGCAAAAAACCTCCAGCTGGCCTGTAGGTAACAATTATATCAATTATTCGAATAGCTAGCGGAAAAAGGAGAACAATAAATCTCTTTTACAAAAGAGTGCGGTCTTGGGAGAGTTTGTAAGATTGGATGGATGGCAATTTCCAAGAAACCGGCTCTAATGTACTTGAACTTGGAGCAGCTCCAAGGAATTTCGGAGGAGATGGCCATCCCCTAAGTTTTTGGGCCACCCTTGGCCAGTGGCCAATGCCGATGCCAGCCGATGGAAGTTGCTCCTTGTGTTCTGCACGCCGTAGGTTGTAAACTTGACAAACTATTCCTATCCATGCTTTGCATGCTGGTGCGAGAAGGGAAGGGTCGTGGGCATGTAGGTATGGTGGGCTTTCTAAGGGGTCCCGGCCCCGACAGCTTTTGATATACTGGTAAGGTAGAAGGCACTCGCTTCGGCTTCTTGCCAATTCCTTTTATCCTGTTCCAGAGCCGTCCACCAATGTCCCACTTTGGCTACGCGGTGACCTACAAAGCCTCGCATCTTTAAGAGATATATACCACGAGCAAAAATGGAAGGAGTATGAATCTGTATGATACTGGCCGGTTTCAATGGCTTTTCGAAGGGAAGCTGAGCAAATAAGCCCACCCAGCTTACTTTCTGGGAATGACGCTGCCATTTTGATATGTGGTGAGGGACAATATAATAACCTCAGAGCTGGTACACTTGTAAATGTAGGGTTTGAAGACAAGGATCCAACTGTAAGACTTTGGATGTCGTGAGTCGTGATATAATCGAGAGAGATTCAGCGTTGAACAGCAAGCGAAGGTGCGCTTGAGAAGTGAGTCAGTGTTGTTTTGAAGGGCCTAATAAGGTAATACGATTATAGTGCGAACTACCAAACGTGGCCGTGCACGGGCCTTGTTAGTCGATCACATGACCTAAAAGGGGGTTAGGTAAGGTACCTTAGGTAAGGCGGGTTACAACTTGGATAGAGTAGAGAATAGTTCCGTCGGTTGAACCTGCAGAACGTCGGTCGGTTGAACTTTCGTAGCGTATACTCAGATTTACGAGATGTATCAAACGCATCGGGGTTTTTTGTGCTATTTGCTTTCTACCATCCAGCTGAGAGCTGAGAGAACGAGTACGGGAGATACACAGAGCCTCCATGTTGAATTTCTCTTATTGTTTCCGCGATTACCGCAAGGCGGCCCATTACTTAGACCTTAGTTTTAACAGCGCTGCTTTGCTTGCCACAACCTCAGTCTTCTCCCAATCGGACATTGTTTTCCCCTTCTTATTCCAAGTCCCAAAGAGATCATATACCTCAACGAATTTCTCGTCCGTCTTGCTTATCTCGAGGAGCTTCTTCATACCTTTGTGAGTCTTTAAGGCTGAGTAATCAGCCAAGGTCACACCCTTTGTACTAATGAGCCGTTCATGCAGATTCTTAAGTAAGCTGCGTTGCTCTTTCTCGTCCTTAACAGTAGTTTCGTCCTTTTCCACGTTCCCCCGCTGTTCTTGCAAGTCCGCATAGTCAAGTGCCGCTATTTGAACGCACTCGAGAAGTAGGGCAGCGTAACCAGCTGCTATGGCCGTGGCAACTGACGAGCCTGTCAATACTTTACCATTTGTCAGTGCGACCTCATCGGTCATTTCCATGACAACCTTGTGTCCGGGGAAAATGAAATCCACCTCGCCCTTTCCAGTCCATTCCCACATGGTTTTGTTTGCGGTCGCAGCACCGATTTTGAAGATACGCTTCTCTTGGGATAGCGCGGGGTAAGTCCTGTCTGTCTCACTTGCTTCATCACTGCCAGCGCAGAACATGACGATGTTTTCATCGGCGGCTGCCTTGATAGCGTCGTTCAGGTCAGTGATCTCGTCTTCGCGGAGCCCTTTCTCGTCCAATGTCCAAGACATGGAAATGATCTGAACTTTCTTCTGCACTGCGGCCCAGATAGCCTGTTTCTCGAAATTAGCTAGGTGTCGCTGGTGTATGCTCACATAATCGCGGGATGTAGAAAGCTCTCACCTTTGCAGCACTTTTCGCTGTGATTTGTGGCTTCCCGCTTCCATTCCTGTACTCCTCCAATTTCAAAATGTATAGCTGAGCATTCGGACAAACTCGACAAATCAGGTTGGCCATCGCTGTTCCATGCCCTCCACCCTTCACGTAATAAGAGACGTTCAAGTCTTGCTGGCTATCTCGTGGACAGAAACTTTTCCCATCGATAATCCTGCCGTGTAGACTCTTCTCTCTCATATCTACGCCGTCGTCTATAAGCGCTATGGTCACATTCTCTTTCAGCGAATACTTGCAGTTTACGGACCCGAGGAAATTCGCGAACTCGTCAATGGTGGTGAGCCACTGGTGACGGCGCGCAACAGGCTCAAGCTGAGCATCGACTCCATTGACGTGCGTCTTATGCGTGCTGGAATCTAGATCGAAATCAGAAGGCACAGGTGGTTCAACCTTCGGACCACCATTCGACTCCACAAGAGCCTTGAACTCCTCCACATACTTGTTAGTGCGTTTAGTAGTCTCAAGCCCCTGAAAGTCAAACATGAATGATTAGTCTCAGTTCCATGCAAAGATCTCTGCCAAACAGTGTTTTGCTTGCCTTCTTTAAGTGCAAGTGCACAACTTTTAAGTCCTTTATCCCCTTTCGCAAACCAGTGGGCGCGCTCCACCCCTTCAGAACAGCATTGTTGCCACCCCAGTAGAGGTGGAGTTCTCTCACATTGGGAGCAGCAAGGAATACCGTGTCTGTACACAGATCAAACCGTTGCCAATCCCAGATCTCAACCTTCATACCTCCAAGTGCCTTCACAATTTCTTCGTCACTGTGTGCCGGCTCCCGTCGATCGTTGACGATAACGCGTATGATATGCTTTACTTTCTTGGTGTCGCGGAGAAATCTGAAGATGACCCCTAAATCCCCACGGCCGTGACTATCTGGTACCTCTGACTTCCCGGGTTTATTCAGGAGGAATCGACTCGGCTTCTTAGTTTCTTTGACCGGTTTCTCGGCCGTCTTGAGTCGCAGGTATGGCAATGCTACATATTGCAGAACATTTTCCAGTTTGAGGTGGCTCAGTCCACCAGTGATATCTGCTTCGCTAATTTCTTCGTCAAGTTGGTCGTACAGATCAAAATAGATTTGCTTGCCTACATGATGCAAAAATCTGTTAGCGAGCAGTTGCATCATGGCGATTCAATATCTTGTGAGCGGGCTGCTGCCATATCCTCCTGATCACAAGATTGAGCCACTCACTTTCATTTTGCCCATAGAGAAAATCAACGGCATCATCATGTCTCAGATTCCGCAAGCAGTGCAGTTTCAGAAACTCCTCGATTGCTTTTGCACTTTCTTCTGAAGGCTTCTCAATCTTTTTTACGACTTTCCCACTTTTGGCTTTACCTTTATCAGTAGCTTTAACGCTTTGCTTGCTTTGCTTACTTAGCTTCCTTCCCTTGTTAGCCTCTGCCGGCTTCCTCGATGTTGGAAAATTATCGTGAATACTCTCTTGATCCGCTGATTCAGTTCGAGGACCAATTTTGAGAGCCTCTGACGATGGCGATGCAGGTTCCGTGCTCGTTAAAGCAGTTCGAGACCTGTATTTTCTTTGTGGTACTTGAGAGGTCGTGCCAAAATGGGCTCCAGGATCGTTCTTCTGTATTTTGCTTAATGCTTCTGTCGAATCTGACCCTCTAGTCAGCTTCGTCGGCTTTAAGTCATTTCCTCCAAATTTTCCAATAGAGCCGTCCTTTGCCTGGCTGTCATGTTCAAGGATGCCGTCCTTACTCGGCAGCGCCTTTAACACACCTTTGGCTACCTTGGCATCTCGTTCTGCCTTTTCCGTCGGTGCCTTTTCGGCTTTTAACTTTTCTAATCTTGCATCTGCCTTCACTCGTGCCTTCTCTGCCTTGGCCTTATCTTCAGCCACTCCTAAGATGCGGCTCTCAATATGGAACAGGTAAGCTGACATGCCATTGAATTGTTTGCTTTGTGTTTTTGTTGCATCACTTGTGGCCCGTAACTTCAACGCCGCCACCGATCCTGTAGCAATGAGCTTCACAATTGCCAATTGCTTAGTGGTGCAATACTGGTAGTCAACCGCAACATGCAGCGGTGTACGACCTTTAACATCCTGCTGGCAAAGAATTTCCTCATTTGCCTTTTGTATAAGCTTAGTGGTAAGCTCTCCCGGGATGATATTGTGGATGGCAGCGTGTATACAATTCTCCTTTTCTGTAGAAGACTGTACTTTGAGGACCTTATCAAGCTCTGGATGAAGTTCGCAAATGGATCTCACGAACTCCTGTCGCTTCTTGACTATCGCTTCGTAAAGAGGCGTGTAGCCATATCTATCCGTCTCCTTCACAGTATCCGGATACTTCACAATGAGGTGCTCGATCAGCGGTTTCCACCTCGAGAAGTCTTCGCCTTTTTCTGTGCGCTCAATCGCTCGGTGGAGGAGCGTGCGTTCGTTGTCGTCTTCAAGAGAGGTCTTTCCCCCAAAGAACTCCTTGTAATCGTCAAAGAATTGAGCTCGCTGGTCCTCATTGCTCAGGTCTACTTTGCCGCTCACGATTTTGCTCTGGATCTCGTCAAACTTAGTTTTGATATCACGAAACCGCTCCTTTTTTTGATCCTCCTCGCTCAGCTCTTCCACGGGGTGATCACTTTCATCACCGCTTCCTTCACCAGAGTCCTCGTCAACTTCCGGGTGACTTTCATCTGTGCTGTCGTCTTCGGGAAAATCTCGGGCACTCATTTCGCAGCTTGTGAATTGCTTCAGATAAGATGGTACAGAGTATGTAACTTGGTCAACCTTCCCGAAATACGATCAAATATTGCCAGTCTTGAGACAATCTGTGCTGAGAGGCAGTTTTCACGAAGTGTCGCGAACTCCCAATCGGAGTGGCTTTGTCTTGCTGTCTTGCTATCTTGCAGGGTTGGGGTCGTACTACTGTACCACTTTTCTCATAATCGGCTAGTGAGGCAACTTTTGATTAGACAGATATCAGACGACCAACTCCTTTACAAGGTAGTCATTGGCTAGTGACGCGGGACAAGCCTTGAAACTCATATGCATGGCAGCTTTTTCCTCCGTTATTTAAGCTAATGGCTAGCCAAAGTTGGCCTCGAGGCTGAGCCGAAGTTGCACCTCGTCCAGAGAGACACAAAAAGCCCCTGGTAGGGTTACTTTGAGGCGCAAAAGAGACAGCCGGTGTAGCCGATATGTTCTAAGATACCAAGCACGACAATAACCCCTATCGATTCTTCGATTTTACACCAGATATGGGGGTCAACGAGTCTTGAGTCTCGAACACAGATATAAGGGCTCCGACCAAACGTCTCTCATTTCTTGGTATGGTCCTTAATCGCATCCCAATAACTCCTGAACGTAACATCACAAACACTCTGCAACTCAAAACCTCCCAATTCCAACTCTTTGTACTCCCTCAGAAGATTCGTCGAGTCCAAAGCAGGATCGAAATACACCGGATCGTCTTTTGGCACCCTCCCCTTTCCCCCAAATATTCTCTCGAAACTACTCTTGAAATCTACTTCTGCATCGATATGAATAACGCACTGGAAAAGTTCCTCATTGTCTCTTTTCAACAATATAGCCGTCGTCATCGACTCCGGAACTCCCGTATGTTTTGTACTGTTCTCTAACAAGGTCCAAGATGCGCATGTAGACTTCCCACGATTGACTCCCTTTGCCAAATCAACGGATCCAGTGACAGTTGTCTCATCACTTGTGTCCCTACTAACCGTCTTCTCCCACCCAAGGCTAGCCGATGCTGTAAGTCCTCCCACGGGCGCAGCTCCGCCAAGTTGAACACTCGCATTTTTCTTCTCCTCTTCCTTTTCTGTTGTTTGCACCAAACTCATCGTCTCGAAAGGCGCGATTGCAGCTACCTCTGGTCCAGACACCCCCTTTTCCGTGCTTTGAAATTCCAGCTTGATATTGACCTCTTTGATCCGCCTAGCATTTTTCCGCTTGGAGAAGCGGAACTTCAGCACAACGAGAGTAGCGAATTTAGTGCCAGAGGGAGAGACGAGGCCGTGAATGACATCGAGACAGGTGCAGCGGATGTCGACGAGACCTTTGCGTTCAACCCAGTTCTCTCGTTGCTTTTCGCCATCGAGATTCTCGACGCGGAAATGACCACCTTCATTGCCTTCTCTGGAGAGACCGATGTCAAAGAAAGGTAGCTCGCCGGCAGAACTGTCTTCCTCCGCATCACTGTCGTCTGTAAGGTCTCCTTCACGTGTAAGCTTCTGGAAATCCTCCGCCATCGTGACTAGTTATTTGAACTTATTTCAAGTCCTTAGAATGAACCCGATTGTTTTGACTTCTATCTAAAGTAACCGAAGTTGCACGAATATAAAGCTGAACCCCCTACAGAATTTGGGCGTTCGTGACAATAATATAAGCCGGCTGATCTACCACATCCGGCTGCATGCTGTCACTGACTGTTCAGCTGGGCGTACGGCCGCACCAATGGTCCAGCTCACTGCATATCTGAACAAGGATTGTCATGCGACCCATCGGGAAATCGAAGAGCAAAGTACCAGAATTGAGGTCCCTCTATTGGAAGACATGTATAGGATTTGTGCTGCATCCCGCTGAGCAGGGGGGTCCTAGAGCGGGAGCTATGCACCGAGCTTGAGCTTTCTAACGTCCTTTAGTCCTTGGTGCCGTAATCAAAGCCTCATCCATTTCTTCGATAGTGTCACCTTAGGAAAATCTCATATCAATGGAGGTTGACGCGAACTTAGGTTTGCTGGAAAATGTTCAGCCAGAGGACAACAATGAAACTTTCCCAGAAATATTGATGAATTCGCAGCCTGATAAGGCGGAGGGCGAGGAAGAAGAGGTTAATGGAGACCCCCGAGTTGAAGCTGTATTGGAGACAGACCAGGCACGGGAAACTCATGATTTTGGGTTGCGCGTTTCAACGGGATATGTGGGAGAAGATGGACCAGATTCGTTCGAGTAAGACTCAAACGCTAGGATGAGAGGACTGACCAGGATGCAAAGCTAACATATCGTCCCTGAAAGCGTAGTAGCAGTTCATGGACTATCTGGTAACCGCGACAGCACGTGGATGGAAGATGGCGAGGAGGGCAACCAGGGTAAGAACTGGCTTATAGATACACTGCACAGCTATTATGAGTACCCAAAATCCCGGATCTTGACTTTTGGGTATGATACCAGCCATGCTGTGGCGGGAATATATACAATAGGGGGCATCAGAAAGAAGGCTTTACAATTACTTGATGATCTTGTTGAACTTAGGAAGACGCTAGAACCGGTTCGTAAACACTCCCTCAAGACATACTTTACTTCTAAGTGAACTGATCTGGTTTCCTTATAGGGAGTTAACCGCCCCATCGTGTTCATCAGCCATGATATAGGGGGCATCATTGTCAAAGAGGTAGAAAATTTCTTTAGGGGCGTAGCTTAAGGGGAAGTTGCTGACATGTGTATAGGCGCTCTGGATTGCAACAATAGAGCGCAGCAAATATAGAGATATCAAGACGTGCACTAGATTTCTGGTGAGTTGCTGATACAGTATGAATTAAACTCTGCTAAGACTTCAAAGATATTCTTCGGTTGCCCACACCGATGCAGCAGCCCTCAGAATATGGAAGAGATTGTAGCTAATCTGTTACTCAGCGGAGAGAAGATCAGCCGTGTAGGACTTTCTACCACCATTAAAGAGCTGGCAAGGTCAATCATCGAGATTAATGAAGCATTCATCAAGTCAAAAATGCCACTACTAGCTACTATCATGAGCGTGTATTCGGAAACGACAGACCTTGCATTACAGGTAAATACCTGACTTCAAACTAGGGTGTATTTCAGTATTTCAGGTCATCACTGACGGGACTGACTAGGTCTTTAACAAATTTGTCACAACACTTGATCTTCCAAATGAGAGACAGGTGAGCGTTGCAAAGCCACACAAAGAATTATGCAGAATGGCAGAAGGAGGGAGCATATACAAGGATATTGATACTCTTCTTGGCCGTAGCTGCTCACGTAAGTTTTCTTCTGCCATCTTGAACAATTCTGACGTATGGATGTAGCACTGCGACCACTGCGGGATGCTGCAGATTTTCTGCGAATCTTGGGCTCCCTAGCTACGGTACGCTTCTCCGCCCTTGGGTTCCATGCTGTATGGGAGCAGAAATTCTTAGAATGGTCTTTAGAGGGCGGAGATTCCCAGGTCTAAAACATCTCTTGGAGTCACATGCTAACTCGAAGTTAGCCCGTGTACCCACCAACATCACTACACCACGGTTCCAATCAATTTGGCTGGATCGAATCCAACAGATCATACAAGAAGTGGCTCAATGACTCCAGTCCCAGTATTCTGCATGTTAACGGAACGAACGGCGCCTCCAATGCATCTGACTACATTTACCAATGTCTTGACAAACATCGAATCAAACGGAATAAGAAGGAAATCCTCATCTGCTTCTCTTTCAAAGCACATGATGATAGACGAAATGGCATTACGGATATGCTCAATACCCTCCTTACTGAAATCATTAATGACCGGCAGGATCTATATGACGCAGTGAAGCTGACCTTCGAGGAGATGCAGAGCCACAACAGTTGGACGCAATTAGATCTATTACAATTGTTCCGAAATATGCTTTCTAATTGGGACCACGGCGGTCTCCTGTGCGTGATTAGTGGTATGGACGAATGTGACGACTCGAGAACAGAGTTTCTGGAGGACATCTGTACGTTTGCAAGACAAACAGAACGCCATTTCAAAATGGCTATTTCCAGCAACCAGGACGCTGATCTCAAGGCAACGCTCACTGGCTGGCCGGCGATCAATATTAATGAGGACAATCCGGAAAAAGTCAGCAATGGTAGCTCGACCTTCGATTCGTGGATAGACCTAGGGGTTCTCGAACTTTTACAGCAACATCCTAGATTCTACCCATTTAGAAAAGTGGTCTCAGACAAACTTCATGCCTGTGGAGATGATACAAACTGGCGCCGTCTTGCTCTGACACAGCTCCAGCTCGCCAAGTCTTCACTCACTACTACAGAAACAAAACTACAGCTTGATTCGCTTCCTCCAATGCCGGTTAAGAGTCTGATCGCCCAGATTCTAGCAGCAATCCCCCCCGAGAAGCGATACTGGGCTCGGAAGGTGCTAGTATGGAGTGTATACTCACTGCACCCTTTGTCTACATGGGAACTCGGCGTTGCTCTTGCCTTGGACAACACAAGAGAACAGAGACCAAGGGACATCCAAGAAATGGTCTCTCAAGATATACCCGGTGACCTTCAAGAAGTATTCAAGGGACTCTTTGTCGTGGAGCATAACGAAGTACAGTTTGGCCATCGCTGCGTAAGGGATATCCTTCTGTGTGCTGACAGCGTCCAAGGGGATACCTGGTATGACGTGAGTGACGCTGCGCACCTGGAAATTACCGAATCATGCCTGTTATATCTCTCTCTACCCCAGGTCCAAAGAGCCGTCTCAAGAAGCTACATCGAGCCGCCTCCATCTATTGAAGATCATAGTCCAATGAATTCCGCCAATTTACCAACACCGATCCTGCAATACAACCTCCATTCTTACGCCATCAAGTACTGGCTCAAACATTACAAGCTCATTCCTATACACCTTCGCCAGACAGAAAGCCTTTTGAAGTTCTTCCAGAATAGAAATGCGATGCACACCTGGAACGAAGCATACTGGCTCCTGTGGAACCCGATTAATCGCACCGACCGCGTCTTTTTGTCCATGTGGCCAGTCCTAGCAGGCTTGGGACTTGATGATTCCATTGTTGAGTGGCTTCACCCAACCAGCGAGCCAAGGCGCATCATTCCGGTTGAAGACCGCGCGATGGCAATGGTGGAAGCTGCACGCAACGCTCACGTTGATATTGTGTCGAGTCTTCTCCATGTCGGGGGTTACACGCAAGGAGATATGGAAGAGGCGCTTATCGCTGCAGCTTCTCGTTGCGATGCCACTATGATGGATATCCTCCTCAAATATGTCGAGGAAAGCAATCTCTTGGAGAATTTCCCCTGGCCTCCTACCCTCCTTTGTCGGGCTGCGCAATTCGGACTCGAGGATATAGTCCAGAAGATGCTCAAAATGGGAACACCTCTCGATGCAGCCAGCACACTTCATCAATGGACGCCGCTACACCTTGCATCTAGGCACGGGCATGAAGAAGTTGTGAAGATCTTGCTGGAATGGAAGGCCAGCCACTCCTCGGTAACTGATAGCGGCCTCACACCATTGCACGTTGCGTCTAAATATAGCCACCCCAGTGTTGTCGAAATCCTACTTCAATTCGACGCCGACGTCCATGCTGTCGACGACGACATGACTACGGCGCTCGATTTTGCGTGTAGGAACGGTAACCATCCGGTAGTTGCGCTCCTAACTGCCATTGATGGATGGGACTTCGGTAGTGAGAAGGAAGGGCAATGGACACCATTAACCGTTACTGCTGACGAGGGATTTCTCGAGTCTGCAAAGTTGCTCTTGGAGAGAGGAGCTGGAATCGAGGTGCAAGGAGTTGGGAACAGGTCGCCACTTTGTTATGCTGCGCGCAAGGGGCACGTCGAACTTTGCCGGCTGCTGCTGGAGCATCACGCAGACCCCAACACTTCCAACAGCAGTCAGCCCATATTGCACGATTGCGCTGAAGCTGGAAATCTGGAAGTCGTAAAGCTGCTTGTCGATAATGGCGCTATAGTTGATGCTGTCGATTGGACAAACGGGACCGCACTACTCAATGCTTCCAACAAAGGACACCTAGCAGTAGCCTCTTATCTCATTGACAGTGGTGCGGACGTGAATCATGAGGACGATATCAACAATCTCACACCAATTTTCTATGCTGCACAGAGCGGCTATACCGAACTCGTACGGCTTTTGATCGAGAAGAAAGCTGATATGCTGCATCCTAATCCACGTGGCTTCACTCCACTTAATTTGTGTTTCGACTTTGCAGAAACTGCGAAAGCACTGCTAGACGCTGGAGCTGTAGTGGATGGTTGTTACTCCGAATACGGTTGCACTCCACTAATTCTCGCGGCTTCCGGAAATCACATTAATTCTGTGAAGGTTCTCTTGGCCGCCAATCCGAGTCCGGATCTGGAGATTAAGAAAACTAGGACTTCGATATCGGAAGAGGGCCATACAGCCTTAACCATAGCAACAAGAGAAGATCGAGTAGAAGTAGTCAAACTACTCCTCGAAGCTGGTGCGAACATCAATCACCAGACTAAGAGGAATTGCTGCGCCTTGGAGTATGCCATTTGCAATAATAACGTAGAAATGGTTCGAGCATTGATGGAGTACAACCCAAACCTCAACTTGGTTGACGACGATGGAGATACGGCACTTCATTGCATCACATCCGACGGACCGGTCGAAATGGTGAAAATTCTAGTGAATGGAGGTGCAGATCTCGAAGTCTTCAACAAGGCCTATCGAACTCCACTGGCGGTAGCTATTATGAATGACAATGTTGAAGTCGTCAAATATCTTGCCAAGAAATCTCAGCTCAATGGTGCTGGTGGGAGCCGAGGTTGTCCGTTGCACGTAGCTTGCTATTGGCAAAAACTCGAAATGGCCAAGATTCTCATCGATGCCGGCGCGGACGTGAACAAAATTGACCCCGGGATGGGAACGCCAGTGCATGCTGCTTGTAAATGTATGAGCCCGTACGATCCAGAGGACCAGGAAGAGATAATATCTTATCTAATAAACCAAGCGGGTGCAGATATCACAGTTGTCGGTGGCCCTGTCGGCAGTAGCCTCAATGCAGCTTGTGGATGGGCAAGTCTCGGTGTCGTGAAGTTGATTATTGAGAAGGGGGCGCAAATAGACGTTGCGGATGTAATGGGAAGAGTGGCCATTGATTTTGCGGCTGGGAGAAGTTTGGACAACTTCGAGGCTATCCTCAACGCTGGTGCTGATCTCGAGGTGAGAGATAAGATGGGACGAGGCGTATTGCACTGGGCTGCTGTCAGCGGCATGGTTGATGTGATCGAGCGCATTTTGTCCTTGTCTAGATGCATGGTCGATCAAGTTGATGTTGATGGCTGGACTCCATTACTTTGGGCAATAAGGGGAGTCGATACTTCGATGAAGAAAGTCTCAAATATTGAGAAAGATCAAGTTGTGAAGCTTCTCCTAGATCGTGGGGCAGATCCTTGCATAATAGGACGGGGCTCTGACCGTGAGTGGTCCGTTTTGAAGATTGCAAGATACCACGATGTTGAGAGTGAACTTGAAAGCTTCTTAGAGAATAAAATCAGGGAGAAGCTTGCGGCAGAGGGCAGGGAAGATGCGTGGGATGAAAATGCTCATTCATCGAAGAAAGCTTCCAAGGAGAATGCACGATGTGATTATTGTTTCTCGGTAAGCCCTGTCTTGAGTCATTTACTTTCATCGTTCAGACATGGCTGACTCCTCTCCTATACAATAGTTCATCTACGGGATTCGATACCATTGCGAAAGCTGCTTGAACTTCGATCTTTGCTACAAGTGTTATGTATCAAGGAAATACATTCATCTGGAGCATGGTTTGGTGCCAGCCACGCCCGAGTATGTAGAGGAAGCTGACGAGAGTGAGGAAGCATCGGAATCTGAAGAGGACGTAGAAGTAGAAGTAGAGGAGGACGACGATGGATTGCTTGAAGATGAGCAATGGGGTGGAAATGACTTGACAGGCGAGAATGAGGAAGACGGTCAAGACTCAGCCGACGGAGCTGAGTGATACGCCCACCCCCTCTCTTTGTTTAAATCTTCATCGCTCTCAGTCTGTCTGCTGAAATTGTGGAGAGTAATACTACGGTAGACATAGAAGGAATTTAAGCGCCGAGTTGGCACCTGAAACCATTGCGCTTCGATTGCTCATCTCATCGACATCAGAATAGCATTTAGATAAAACACGAAGGGTCAGTTTCAAAAGATACCATATTTCCCTGGTTAATGCTCACCCCACCCAAATGTCCTAATTTTTACCCTACTCATATTCACATTTTACGAAATTAAATGCTTTCCATTTTACGTTTTGACGAGGCTCTTGCTGATTTTAAAGTGCTAAAAGATTTCTAATATTGTAGCCATTGTTAAAAACAATATAACGTGGTTGACAAGCGAGTGAACCAGCCCCCATGAATTCACACATAATATACAATTACAACTTAACCACGCTATATACCAATATTCTATAAAACTCCTCGATCTATTGATGTTCAGAGAGCAGGTTCGAGCTGTATGACCAGATGATCTACATATACTACACAGTCGTGGTGCACGTATAACTGTGGTTATCTACGCCGAATCGTAACCTGCATTGCTTTGAATAGGGTTAATTAGTATCGCTGCTCTGCTTACGCGCTACTCACATATGCCCACTCTACTCAGTTGTTATTAATATATTTACGGCAGTCGTCTCCGTGGAGTGTGTCCAGTAATCAAGATCGCCAATGACAGCAATTTATAATTCGCTGCTTCGGAATCACGGCTATCGACCCTATTCAGCCGCGACGAAATACAAGAAACTAATCGAATTTACCTCAGCCTGAGATGAAAGACACGGAGCTTCCGCCAAGTGAGGAAGCCCAATGTGCTGTGACCATTTATTCCGCGCAGGTGACCTTTCAAGCTATCCAAAGGAAAGCACTAATACAAATAGAACTAAACGTATGAATTTTTATATAAGGCAAACAAACTTCCAAAACCCTAGGAAACGATATCATCTACAGTTTAACGTTTTCAATTCCGCCCAATATGCAGCTACTCACTGTTCTTCTGGCCTCTGCCTCTGTGGCTCACGCCCACTACAACTTCAACGCCTTGATTTACGGTGGCACCACTCAACCGACCTGGCAACAAGGTATGTCCTTTATCCCATACCCTTTTCTTTTCTAAGTAGTCCGTAGTCCGAGAGCGATCCGACATGAATAGCCATGGACCGGTAACAGACACTTCATTGCTGGATATCCGATGTGGAAAGGATGCATCCACCGCATTTGCTCCAGGTATCTTGTCAGTAGCCGCAGGAGAGACCCTCGGCTTTGCCGTCGACCCAGAAATTCAGCATCCTGGTCCAGCTCTAGCCTACTTGGCTAAAATTCCAGCCGGAAAGACTGCTGCGAACTGGGACGGGAGTGGTGCTGTTTGGTTCAAGGTTTGGGAACAAGGCCCTACCGCTCTAAATACAAATGGAGGAGTCTGGCCTTCAAGCGGTATGTTTTGCCTACCTGTAGGAAGTTGTTGCTAATAGTAGATAGGTTTGAAGACTCTCAGCTTCTCAATCCCCAAAGCTACACCATCCGGTGATTATCTTGCACGAATTGAGCATATTGGCCTCCACGCAGCTGGCCAGAAGAACGGTGCACAGTTTTATCTGTCCTGCGGACAAATTACGGTTACGGGCGGTGGCAGTGGAACTCCAAGCCCATTGGTTTCGTTCCCTGGAGCTTACTCGGCAACTGACCCTGGAATTCTGATCCAAATCTATTACCCTGTGGTTCGTTACCCTTTTACGAAATGTAATAGTACTGATACTGATCATCTCTGTGTAGCCAACCAGCTATACTATTCCTGGCCCAAAGGTCTGGACTGGATAGATAGGGGAACAAGGTGGGCCGAATAGAATAGACCCGACTTGTAGGACCCCTTTAACGATGTAAATAGCTGAAGCTCTAAACTACGTGGTTGTTGTTACATGTAGTAATAAATATAATTTCCAGTCGTATGTTTCTTTTTCGGAATTATTTGACATGATTTTCGCCTTTTAAAATCCCTTGCGATTGGAAACATTTGAAACACTAAGGAAACTATGACCAAAACATAAGGGACTTGAAAAGAGATCCCCTGTATTATCCAGCTAGTATATTAGTATTTTTAAGACTTAGGAACTAGCTTAGGTTAAAGCAGCGTCTGCTCTGGTCTAAAGACAGAAATATATTATGACCTCAACAGCATAACAGCCTTTCAGGGAAAACAATGGTTGGCTATGAATGCAAAGAGGCGGCATCGATGGAAAAAGGGTTATGTTCTGTGTTCACGATGTTAATGAATAATAGCAAAAAATAAGACTGCTGCGCAGTGGATGCCCCAAATAAAAGAGATTAAAATAGTAGAGCACGACACAGCTACAAATGTCGAGAAGAAATTAAAATATGTTCTTCGGAGGTAGAGAGAGTGCCAGAAGCGGGAGATACAACCCCAGGAATGCATTATAGAATATCAACGAAGGGCTCTTTATTTCCAATGGTGCGGTTTTCCTGCAAATAGGGCTCTGGAGAGGTGACTTGTCGCTTGTCGATGGCTTAACAGCCTGCACTTTAAAATTCCAGGTCTCATGTGTTAGAAATGTAGTCGTAAAGTATGATCGTAAGTGTGGCGATTTTCTCTTAGGCGGCCGTTTTGCCCTGTTGCTGTCGTCGTGTTTGAGCCACCGCCACAGGGATTTAACGCGGACGCGAGGCTGACCAACTGAATTAGGAAGAAAGCTTCAACTGCTTGACGTCCGACATCAGCCCTGTTACTGTCGGGATGCGCTCTTCTAGAGCTCTACGGTTACTATGTACCCGCTCAACGATACCACGCAGGTCTGGCAGAGCTCCCCTAAAGCCTGCAGTCATCCGCAATGGCTACTGCTCAGTCTGCGAAACGGCGACCTCCAGAGGGAAGACAGCGAAGTCAACAACGAACCTTCCGATTCTCCCTGCAGATCACCGTCAGCTAGGAATTGAGCAAGAGCTCTTCACAACATCAGTATACAGTCCAGGGTCCACGATCTTTTTACCCAATGGCACAAAGATATTTAACAGCTTGACGAGATTCTTACGGTCACAATATGAACACTTCGGGTTCGAGGAGGTTATTACCCCAACCATCTACAAGAAATCGCTATGGGAAAAGTCCGGGCACTGGGAAAACTATGCGGAGGATATGTACTCGGTGACTGGCCGTGGAGCAGAGGCTGCGAAGGAGGACCGCCAAATTGGGGAGGATGAAGAATATGGCTTGAAACCAATGAATTGCCCAGGGCACTGCCTAATTTTCGCATCCAAACAGCGAAGCTATCGAGACCTACCCATACGGTATGCCGATTTTAGTCCTTTGCACCGGAACGAAATCTCTGGGGCATTGAGCGGGTTGACGCGGGTACGGAGGTTTCATCAAGATGATGGGCATATATTCTGCAGGCCGTCCCAAATTCGGCAGGAGATTTCGAAAACTTTGGAGTTCGTGCGGTTGACGTACAATGTCCTTGGTCTCGGTCCCTACAGGCTAGCCTTATCCACAAGACCGGCTGACCATTTCATTGGGATGGTGGAGGAGTGGGACAATGCCGAAGCGGCATTGAAAGAATCTCTTGATGCGAGCGGGCAGACATGGACAATCAATGAGGGAGACGGAGCTTTCTACGGACCAAAGATTGATATCATTTTGAAGGATTCAGATGGCAAGGAGCATCAAACTGCAACAATCCAACTCGATTTCCAACTTCCCAAACGCTTCGAACTAGAATACCAGGCACCAGCTCCCGAGGTTGAGATGAAGGGCCTAACTACAGATGATCCATCACTTTTGGCTGTCCAGGGACCTGTCACCCCAGTACTCATTCATCGAGCTGTTCTGGGCTCAGTCGAAAGAATTATGGCGCTTTTGATTGAGCATTATAATGGACATTGGCCATTCTGGTTGAACCCTCGACAGGTGATGATAGTGACCGTCTCTGACGACGCAGCCGTTGTCGAATATGCGCGAAAAGTTCGAGATGAAATCCAGGGCTACCAGCCAGCGGACTCCCAAAGCTCGTTGGGTGGCATCATGCCTCTTAGAGCTGGACTTACCCACAGCCACAACATCTCGATTGACATCGATGAAAGTGCTCGGCCCCTAAAGAAAAAATTATCTGAAGCGAAGCGTAAACGATACGGGATCATTGCAGTTGTCGGCAAACGAAACGTTGAAACGCAGCATCTTGAGGTTGATTTTACTGCTATACCTACCTCCCGCTATAATGTTGGTAATAGCGCACTGTTGAATATCATTGCGAGATCGACAGGTACTAAAGGAAAGGAGAGCATATCCGCCGTGGGTGGGCAACATATTAAGTCACTGGATGACGGCTTAGGTGGTGAACAACCACTTAGACTTAGTCCGGATCAGCTGAAGAATATTTCTATAAGTCCGAAGAGCTTGAGAAGATTTTTGGCTGAGCTGCAAACATGTTATGTTTAGATAGTTTGGCTGAGCTGTGTATATAATGTATAACGCGTGTACTACCAACTTTTGTTTTATTCTCTAGACCTCGTTGAATAAAAGTATGACGTTCAAGCTGCTACGCGCAGAATCGATGGGTCGCGAGAGCGATATGATACATATGACCCAACTCCTCTAACAACGCCCCCAAGTCCCATTACCCAGTAACCCCGTAAATTAACGTCCTTTGTGAACCCTAGAAGCCATCCGCATATCCATACTTCGTACAAGAACCCTAATTCCACATCATCCATAGAGCTGCAGTATCACCGTCTCATTCCATCGTCAACGTGGCCGCCAAGCTCCTCAATCCTCGCCACCAGCCTCCTCCTCTCATCCAGCTGCGCACGCATATAATCCACAGTCTTCTTCAGGACGACACTTTCGCTCCTGCCTTGGCCTTCGAGGCCGGGGACTAACTCGGTGAGACGATCGAATCCTTCGCGGATGGCTTGCCGGCGCTTTTGTTCTGCGAGGATGGTTAGCATTGTTTGCCCTTAGAATATAGCATTGACCGTAGATCATAGATGTGAAATGCGGAATGGATATAGAAGCAGAATATAGCAATAGTAATAGTACCTGATGCGATATGGTTTGCCTTCTTCTCGTGCTCCGACAACCGTGGTTTCTCTTCGGCTGTGTCATTCGAGGCGGCATTCGCGGATCCTTCGCGCGCGGGTGATGTCGACATGTTTGCCTCTGATCTAAGGGAGTGTGTATCATCTGGTGAAGGCCATTAAGAAGCGGAACGAGAATATGCTGGACGAGAGCCCCTGTGGTTATTATGTGATTGTCACGTTCACAGGATCAGGTTGAACAGCAGGAGCAGGAGCATCACATGCTTATGAGAACGCAAGGCTTTTCCGAGAGTTGTCGGTTTCCCTCAGCCTCGTCCGAGCCAAGGCGCCGTTTCCACTCGTTTCAGCCACGGCGTCGGCATCAATAATCAGCGTCTGGGATATTGCACTACCGTACTACGTACATGTCCATACCTAGATGATCTACCCGCGCTCTTATTGCTAAGTTATCAATTACATATAATCGGCTACGGACGAAATTCTAGGAAGATGTCGGAAAAACAACCCCTATCGACATCCACCACAACAATACCAGCAAACACTGCCCAGGTCTCCGAAGCAGCAGCAATCGAACATGGCGCCCTCCCAGCCAGAACCGGAGGAGCCACAAAGCAACCGCTGCCTCGTGGACCATTCCCGCTCGACATCCCCGTCCTGAACCAATTAAGAGGCAAGAGGATCATTCTCGCATCCAAAAGCCCAAGGAGGAAGCAGATCCTCTCCAGCGTACAAACTCCTCCTACTACCTGCCTATAGCTTACCCAAACCACCGAAATGGCTAACAGCTCTTTCCAGCTCGGCCTTACAAACCTCGAAATCATGCCGTCCAATAAACCCGAGAATTTATCCAAGGAAGACCTCGGACCGTTTGAATACGTTTTGCAGACCGCGACACAGAAATGTCTAGATGTTTACCAGACCACGCTTGAGCACTCCCTGGTTTCCATCCCTGACCCCGCGCTTGTTGTTTCGGCTGATACTGTGATCGTCTCGCATCATGGGCGGATATTGGAGAAGCCGAGGAGTGAGCTGGATCATTTGAATATGCTGAAGATGCTGAGGGACCAGAAGACGCATAAGTGCTATACGGCCGTTGTGGCTCTAGCGCCGAGGGAGGATGCGAGATACCCCGGGTATAACATTGAGACCACGGTGCAAGAGACGAAAGTGGTGTTTGATGATCTCGTTAGCGATGAGTTGATCGAAGCCTATGTGAAGACGAGGGAAGGCGCTGATAAGGCTGGAGGGTATGGACTGCAGGGTATGGGAAGTTTATTGGTGGAGAAGATCGAGGGAAGTTGGGATAATGTTGTGGGATTGCCGTTGAGGGCTACGCTGGCGTTGATTGAGAAGGCGGTGCTGAATCAGGATGATATTCCTTTGGGAGAGGAAACGGAAGATGATATTATATAGGTAGATGGGTATCTGCATAGATTTTGTGGCGTTGGGGACTATTATTCGCTATTACTCCTAGTGGCGTGGAGAAAAGTTTATCGACCTGCGGTTGTAGATGGTGGAGTTTGGGGCTGAAATGCCCAGCTAGTTGAGAGGCTGGTTGCTCTCTTTCCGGCTTGAACCTTTCTTTCATCCTCTTTAAAGACCGTAAGAATATCCCTTGGTCTACCAGCTAGGCTTCGCTCAAGCTGAAATGATTTCTTGCCCTGGTATTTACCTGCCCACCCAAGTACGCAACAAGCACCTAAGTATGTAAGTACAAATCCGTACCTCCGCTATCTCATTCCAGGTTGCCTGGAAGATTTCATTCATCCCCAGCTGCAGCACAACGTAGGTACTTACATTCCCCCTGAGTAACTCATTAGTCGACTTTCTTTAATAGGCGTATAATTAGAGACAATGTCCTGTTAATACTAAACATATGTCCCTGAGGACGTATCTCCCGGATCAGTATCAAAAAGGGGCCATTTTGCATATTAGATACGACGCGGTTCAAATCGAGCGTCGTTTTCCGATAGCGTAGACGGGAGGAGGTCAAGAACCTGGAAGTTACTAGATGTCATTCAGGGGCTGGAGGACTGGAGGTTCAAGCGAAGCTAACGACATTTTAAAGTGCTGGGTGGAAGAATATTGATTCTAGCTGGGCTCGAGGGCTTATGCTGAAAATACATATCTGGATGGCTCAAGCACTGGTACTGTAAAAGGTAGGCGAATATAAACTCATAATGAATTTGACTTAAAAACAGCTTTTGCACCAAGCCTACGGACCCTAAAGATCCAGCGGCAATCTATAACTAACCCCGTCACGCACTGCTATAAGTATCAACTTTTTAACCTAAGAGAACCATCCACCACCACCCTCACGTCTCTCCTCGTTATACTCTTCATCCCCACTGCGGCGGCGGCGGTCGCTATCGGAATCCTCCCTTCTCTCCTCCTCGAATTCCCTGTCACGGCTTCCGTAGCCACCGGACTCTTCTCTCTGCTCATAGCCACCTCCGCCATATCCTCCTCCACCGCCATATTCTTGTCGGGGAGGCTCCTGGAACCGTTCCTCTCGTTGCTGGTAACCACCTCCACCATAGTTGGTAGGGGCTTGATACTCCTGTTGGCGATCATTGTCGTATTCGTTACTACGACGTCCGTGATGCCTATGATGCTCGGGTTCTTCATAGGCACGGCCTTCTCTACCACCTTGTTCATAAGTACGTTCAGTGGTCTGCTCATAGCCTCCGCCGTATGTTGGTCGGGTTTCTGTACGCTGCTCATAACCAGAGGCCTCTCGACCGGAACCAGACTGCTGGTACTCTTGATAATCCGTCTGGCGACCGCCACCGGGGTAGGTGGTCTCAGAATACTGAGCTTGTCCGTATTGGTTGCCCTGGCGTCCGACCTCTGTGAACTTTTGCTGGTAGCCACCGTCGGGAGTGTATCCTTGGGAGGCATACGTCTTGGTTTCGGGTTCACTAGAACCTCCGAAAACGCCGCCGAGTAGGGAGCCGCCTAAGCCTCCTGCAAGCGCGCCGACAATGCCACCAACGGCCCCGCCACCTGCAGCCTGTTCGGCGAATTGGCCAATGCTAGAATTATTACCTCCTGAACCACCCCCCGAAGAAGCCATGGCGGACGAGAGCCCACCCATGATGGCACTCGCAGGATCATTTCCACCACTTTGTTTGCCGCTAGATTGATTGGGCATCCCAAGAGGTTTACCGCATCCGTGGCCACTATCATGGACTCCTTCCTTGTGATTCTCGCCATTCTGGACACCGCTACGGCTAAGCTTTCGTCGATATTCATCTTGTTGGTTCCGGTCCATGTTTCGCCACCACCCCTCGACGACACCAAACATCTGCCGTCGACCATCAGAGGCACCATCATCTCCTAGATGGCAAACCGCCGGGTGATGGAAGACACCATTGGTGATGCGGTTGACTGTGCGGTCCACATCAATACGATCATCATCCCAGGCCTCCATCAGTTGAGGAACCACCCATTTGACCACTTGCGATGCAATTTTTCCCGCAGGCTCATTGAGGATCTACACTGTGTGAGTTCGAGTCATTGAGGTTGGTGCAGTGGCGGAATACTTACATTTGAAAAGTGATCCTTTGACAACATCGAATGGGTTGGGTTTGACGAGTGGTCATCGTTGAAGACGATAAACTGCTTGTCCCTGCTACTCTGTATGACCTCAGAAGAGCCCGTATTCAATTCCGACTTAATCTGGCCGATGACTGGCAAGACGAATGGAGCAAGCAGGGAGAACACGAAGATATTAATCTGATCCGTGATCTTATCGATCAAGTCCGGCAAGATGGGGATCTTCTCAATAGCGCCTTTGATCTTTTGCATGGTCTCATCGTGCCACTGGATAATGGGGTAGATTTGCCGAGCAATATCCTGCATCTGACGTGTAAATTCTTCTGGTTGACGAGGAGAGACACGCGTTTGGTTCATCTGAGCAGCCAAGGCATCGGATTGAAGCTTATCTGCTTTGCCAGCTTCATCACTACTTCCAAAGATCCCACTGGGGACGGAGTTCAGGAGCTCCTTTAGCAGGCTGGTATCGGCCTTGCCTCCATTTTGCATGGTGTTCTCAAGGCCTTCAATCTCGGATTGAGTAGCCTTATCACCAACCTCACCCATAACCGAATGAAGAAAGTCGACACCACCAAAGGTACCCTATAATAATCTCGTGTTAGTACGTGATAGCTGACTTGGTAGGATCGTTTAGGCATTGGCATAAAATAGGCTCGAAAGCCCGCCATGCTAGCCAGTATATTTCAGGGGTTATGGTGGGGAAAATAGTTTGGAAATCCATAAACCGACGCATAGGAATAAGCAGTGGTGTTGTAGGCAACTTACGGTGACAATAGGATAGACGGGGTGCTGGGCGCCCTGCAAGCGAATTTGCGTCTGACGGCCAACGTGAGGAAAAATGTCCCGCTCTCCCATCTCAATAAGAGCAAGTTCAGTGTAATTACTGTGAGCAGAGTAGTCTATATCATGGTTAGTCAAGGTTCTTATACAAGCTCCCGGTACATACCCTCGAGACAATGGAGTCCGGTTCCCATTAGACGGAGAGCCTCGTAGAGCTCGGCCTTGTTCTTGCTACGACCATATGATCTGCCAAGCTGGATACACTTTGCAAAGAGTTTCTTAACGTGCAGTGCCGAGGTCATAATACCAGCCTGCTCATTTGCAATGTAGTTTTTCAGGCCAGTTCTTTCATCGATGGCGAGTTCGACACGTTCATCCACGGGGCCGCGAAGTCTGTGATCATATTGTGAAGCATCGAGATTATCGGCATAGTCCTTGGGATTGTCGATATGGTCCTCGGGGCGATAGCATCCAAGACGCTCGGCGGTAACTTCGAATTCGTTTGTGCCATATCCGAAGGTCATGAAACCAAGGACCCAGAGGAGGATTCTGATGGCTTCTGCACTTACGTACTTGACGGTACCGACATCAATTGCTTGGGCTGGAAGGAGAGGTGGTGTTAGCAGGAGTCGGAAAGTCAATACAGAAGAAGACGGTGTTTCTTGGGTAGCCAAGGGCCCACCGTAACCCTTCGGACCGGACCGCGAAGGAAGGGAAAAGGGGTCCTTTGTGCACTACGACGAAGCTGGAACAACAACACCATGGAAGCCTCCTGGCGAAAGGGACGACGTCGACTTACAATAATCCCGCAGCCAGTTGCCAAAGTAGACCCTCGCCACACTCAACTTGTCAAACTTCTTTCCGCCGGCAACCCTGGCCATCACAATTGTAAGGAGGGCATCTTCGATATCGCCATGGCGCCCTGTACTCTTTAGTTAGCAGGCGCACCAAAAGACGGGTCCGTCCCCGTGTGCTGCCGGAATGCCACATACAATTCAGGCCTTCGATCTTGGAGAGCGAGGCGATATTTCCGGCCCCAAAGGCGTGGGCTGGTCTCGCAAGGAGGAGGAGGAGCGCGACGGTCAGCACCGCCGTGGACGCAGTAAAGTGCGGCATCGCGACGACACGATGGGGGGGACTCGTAAATTCGTACTGATCCGGGGATGGGCAACAAAGATGAGTGAGGGTGAAGGCGAAGGTGGGAGGTTTGAATGCAATTAGATAGGTAGGTAAGGTACCTACTGTAGGTAGGGAAGGTCTGGGTTGGGCAGCAGAAAAGACAAACAATGGCGAAATAATGGGATGGTGGTGAACGGTGGTGAATGGTGGATGGTGGGGTAAGTCAAGACCTGCTCTTGTTGCGTGTTTTGGAGGGATTCCCCCGCCGGGATGCCAAGCTCCAGCCTGCAGTGGTGAGACCAGCATAAACAGCGGCCAGCGACCAGCAACCACTCAGAGGGGGGTGCTGGGAGTGAAACAACAGTAACCCCCGATCCGCGACTGTGACAGGCGGAAGCAGCAGCAGATGGCGCCGTGCTATCCGTGGCTCAGTGGCTCAGTGGCTCGGTGGTGCTGGGTGCTGGGTGCTGTACAACACGCTATTATTGTTATTACCCCCGTAGGAAGTAGAGCCTGCCTAGGTACCTAAACGCCCTACAAAGGCCATAATTCCCAGAGAGCGTCCAAATTCGTGAGACATTCCAATATTCAGCCGTCGCAAAGTGAGGTTATTCGCAGGTCCATAGTCTCTGCCACTGTATTTTGTATAGGAATTGCTCCCCGCCGGCAACATCCTCCAAAACCTCTGACTACCTTACACCCCAGCACTAACACGACGCGTACATTGTAAATTCTCGTCCTCCAGCAGGCTTGCTTCTCCTTCCCAGACTCAATCCTATTATATACTTGAATCCGAGAGATACTGGGCATAGCAGGCTTGGCCCGAAGCGTATAGACCAAATACAGCCAGCGCGAACTCGAATAACCTTGGTTATGGGGTTCGATGTAGCGGATATGGTGGTGTTACCCCCGAAAAACACCGGTTTGTTACCCCAATGCGCCATACGATCCTACCGACGGTGCACCAGCCACTACCACGATGTGCTACTGCACTGTGTTATTCGAGCATCTCCTAGTGCGCTCAAACGCGCAACACACTCAACGCGCTATTCTTAGGGATGCACTATGAGGTGCCATACCTACGGAGTAGAGGTACCAAGGTAAGGTAGATAGATAGTCGTGCCCATGGTTGCACATGCTAATAATGCGACAGGACTGCAGCACATCATTGCGAATCGCGATCGCTATCGATATCGATATGCCCCGCAGCACGAAGCACCTACACGGGTACCGATACGTACGGCCCTCGACGGTAGACGGGGAGAGCGGTGGTTTGGAATAAGAAAAGATAGAGTAAGTAGGCTTATTACTTGGTACTGCGATGTAGGATGCCCTATAACTAGGGCCCAGTGCTGTGTTTGGGGGGTTGGGGGTAGGGGTAGGGCGAGGGCGAGGGCGAGGGCGAGGGCAAAAGGCCTGGGGCGCTGCACAGGCAGAGCGCACCGCACCGTACGCAGTACCTGAGGTACCTACGTAGGTAAAGGTAAGTCCCGGGCACCTTACGCCCAGTGGGCCATCTGCCCAGGCGTCTTCAGGGCCGGCGGGGGGCTGCAGTGCAGAGCAGCGCGGTGGTGGAGGGGAAGTCAGGTGCCCGCCAGCCCAGCCCAGCCCAGCCCAGCCCCGGGTATTTTGGAGCGCAGTGTGTACGAAGGAGTCCTCTCGTAGCGCCTACCGCCTCCAGGCTACAGGCCACAGGCTACGGGCCCTGGACCGATGCCCGGCGCAGAGGCTTCCCTACCGCCGTCGCAGACTCAGACGCAGACGCAGACGCTCAGTTGCTGCTGGGGAGTCCACGACTCAGCGGTGGGGTCACAACAGCCAGCACCCAGCCCAAGGTGCAGCAGGTACGGTACCTACCATAGGGTACGCGTCCTGGAGGAGATGCGACCGCCGTCCACTCCCCCCCTGTCTCTTATACACATCTAGATGTGTATAAGAGACAGCCCCTCCCCATCCCCATCCCCCTCCTCCATCGCCATCGCCCGCATCGATGCTAGTAGGCTCTAAGAGATCCCTAATGCGCGTTGACTTTGGTAATTAAATAGTATGTATGGTAGTAGTATGGTTTAGATCTGGCGACTCGCGTGTAGTTGGTGCTGTGGTTGTTGCGATGGCCCACGCGACCGGTGGTGCAGAGAGGCGCGAGGAGGGAGGAGGTGCAGCCTACGCAGGCCTGTGAAGGCTCTGACAGCTCTCGCCCTGTGTGCCACACTGCTGCCGTTGCCGTTGCCGCTGGTGGTGCTGCTGGTGGTGCTGCTGCTGCCACTGCGGTAACAGCGCCAGCCAGGCTTCCGCGCCCCCGGCTGCCCTAATCAACCCGGGGCCTACAACCTGAGCCACCACCCTAACCAAAACCAAAACCACCTGAGCAATATCTAAAAATTCTTCTAAATCCCCTCCCCGCCCCCCTAATTTTGCCCTTCGACACCTAAACCTCTACACCCTCTCCCCCCAAAACACCACTGAACCACCAAGCACTGCCCATCGCATCGCTATCTTCGCTATCATCCATCACCACCACAACCACCACAACCACCATCCCACCAAACCGCCATGGCCAAAGGCAAGAAGGCCGTTGAGGCCCCCAAGGAGGGCAAGCAGATCACCCTCAACCTCGATACCTTCATGCTCGCAAGGGATTCGGTAAGTTTTGATTCCATTCCTTCATTCCACGTCGACTTCGACATCCTCTCTTCTCCCCGCCCTCAGTCACGCCGCGCATACGTGACATGGCAACTTCACCATTGTTATCGCGCCTGATACTGCTATCATGCTTCTCCCCCAATGGCCGCGCACATCAGCAACGGTTGGTCCCATTGCATCGCGCACGGCGAATCCAGCATTCGGAGATCGACGCGATCCTATTTCGCGCGCCATCTCTTGCCCTCGCGGCTTTACAGTTGAAGCTCGCCGCAAGTTACGCGCCGGCTTTTTTGTTTACTTCTCCTTCGCGTCTGCACGCAACACCATCGTGCCCCCGCCCAATGCGCCAGACCAAGCTCTACTCTTGGCCACGCTGGACCACACTTTATTTCGTACCACAGAAGCTAATGCGAGCAAAAGGTTGTTGCCAATCTCAACGATCTCCAAGACACCATCAAGACTCTGGCCAGCGGTATCCAGACGCTGTCCACCAACTACATCAGACACACCAATGTCGTTCTGGGCGACCATTCTACCGATGCAGAGATCGACTCCAGCCTCTCCAAGCTGACTGACATCTCCGCCCTGCTGGGCCGTCACCAGCGTGCGGATAGCCCAGAGAAGCCCGTTGCAGCCGCCGACACCGCCGCCGACAAGAAGGAGCGCAAGAAGAGGCAGCATGACCCCAATGCGCCCAAGCGCCCCCTCACCCCGTTCTTCCTGTACATGCAGACTGCCCGCCCGATCATAACTCAGGATCTCGGCCCCGGCGTCGCAAAGGGAATTGTGGCCGCGGAAGGAACCCGAAGATGGAGCACGATGGACGCCGATGACAAGCAGGTTGGTGTTTCCATCAATTGCATTCGACCTAAATATGCTGACTGAAATATAGCTCTGGTCCAATGCCTACAAGGACAATCTCCGTCTCTACAACGCCCGTGTGCACTCCTACCGCAATGGAAACATCGAGGCCAAGGATATGTCCGAGGACGAAGCGCTGACCTACGCTGAGAGGAACAACATCGGTGCCGACACCAGCGCTGATGCCCAGCTCGTCGGTGAGGCCAGCGCCACTGCCCTCCACGACGATGACGCCGAGGGAGAGCCAGAAAAGTCCCCAACGCCCGCGCCCAAGACCCCCAAGGCAAAGGCCTCCCGCAAGAGCAAGGGCGCTAAAGACACGCCCGCCCAAGCTTCTGAGACCATCGTGCCCGGAAGCGCAAGCATCGTACCACCCAAGGCCGCAGCTCCTGAGAAAGAGAAGAGCCCCGAGAAGAAGCGGAAGCGCGGCGCTAAGAAAGACGCTGTGGAAGAGCCTGCTGCCGAAAAGGAGGAGACCAGCACACCCAAGAGCGCACCAAAGTCTCGAAAGAAGAAGGCCAAGACCGATGCTTAAATCTTTGACGCACCCGTTCTTTCGTCTTACTTACATGCCCTTCCTGTTCCAGTGTTTACATTCAAAAACTTATATGGTTGTTCCTCTAGGGATTAGCAGGGCAAGCTGGGGGTTGAAGTTTTTTTTTCCTCTCTTCGGGTCTTTTCTTCGTGTTTGGTTTTCTCAGTGCGTATGGATGGGAGTACACGCAATAAAAATGGGGCCAGCTCTGTTTTTCGTAGGCACCTAGCTTGGGTTTCTGATGATGGTTGTATGATGGATGGATGGATGGATCGCCTGGTTTTGAAAAAAGGGTTGTATTTAAGCTAGCGTTTGTCGCGCTGGCTAGTGATACTGTAGGCCCTCGAAGACATGTCTTTGGCAACATGAACCGAACTGCAAATGAAGCTTTTTATACCGATTGGTTGCTCTCCATTTTATTCTCCCCGCTCTACCAATTCTCCTAGAACGATGCAGAAATTCCTGGTTATCTCTTGAATGGCCAGATCCACGTTGGAAATATCACGCCCGCGTTCTGTCGCCAGGAGAACAGGTTACTGCGCTGATGATTGCAGCATTCGTAGTTATATTTACGATGCGTTATACCGCGACAGTGGATGCCGACGAGTGAGAGGGTGCCTAAGGTGATTAGGTAGGTGATACGTGAGGAAGGTGAGTACTGCTAAGCTAAGAAGATGGAATAAAGGGCTAATTTAACACAAATACTAGCACAGGGAGACACGAGGAGAGGCAACCTTTCCTAATATTTAGGGGGGGGATCGCTATTCGACACCGAGAAGTAGGCACTTAAGTTATGGTGTATAGGCTTTAACGAGACCCCTTCGTACTTGCTAATAAACTAAAGTAAGGGAACTACTCAGGTATGTGTTACACAGAGCACTACTGCCCTTTTAGGCTTAGCGGGGCGAATAAATTTCGTTTATTTAATTCATTTATCGTAGATCACGTAGATTGGCACAGCTTTCCCCACCTTTATATATCCCATAACTATCCGGAGTCCTTGGACTCCCTAATTCAATATATAGGGTTATAATTGAGATCTACTGTTGCATCCCGAACACAAGATTGTTTAGTTTGGACAGTTGGCGTGTGTATACTGCGCAAACTAACACCTATTGTAGTATCTAAATTTAGCTGCAGTTGTGTTAGCTCAGCCAACTCCAAATAGCACATTCCAGTGTCTAGATCCACAAATACAGCTACCCTCTTGTCGGTGGTAAAGTAACCTAGATTACAAACTACACCCAAAGGCCTAGAAATAAGTTAATGCTTGAAATCAAGAATCGAGGAAGTTAAGGACCCAAAGAAAGGACATCGACCGCGATTGGTAGCTTACGTGGTGCTTTTACTGCCTTTTCTCTTATTATAAATATACTTAGGTTTCCCTTGCGGCGTTGAGACGGCGCATCTTGCATAATAGCTGCCTAATCATAACAGCTTTGCTATCTGCTCAGAGTCTTCGCATTCTTTGCACCGATGGTGAAGGTATCAAGGGCTATACGGCTCTCCTAATACTAAGGGGGGTTTTCCGCACTATTGCCGCCGATGGCCAATTAGCAGGTCCCCTACGACTATGCGACGTGTTTGACCTAATAGCCGACATGTCAACTAGTGGCCTCATTGCAGTTATGCTCGGGAGGGTACACATAAGTGTTAATGAATGCATTATGGCCTATGAGCTATTCGGAAAAGAAGTGTTTGGCAAAAGACTAATCGGTGGCAAGTTCGGTCGCATAGTTAAAGGAATATCAAGCTCGCCATTTTAAGATATTGCTACCCTACAGGAGCAGATTCGCAAGGTGCTCAAAGGTAAAGACTTTGTCGGGGACAAAGTATTTGCAGAGCTTAATAGGCCAATTTGCAAAAGTGTGAGTAAAATACTATACTATGATCTCCCTCTCTATATACCTCTATTTATCCCTCGTTGCGTACAATTATTTGTGCGACATGAATAGCAACGGGCAAGCTAGATGTTCTCCGGAGTTATAAATCACTTTACCTAACCTCTAAGAACTACAGCTGCCGAATATAGGAGGTAGCTAGTGCAATAGCCGCTGCTCTAAGTATTTCAAAGGCGTTAAGTTCGATTCCAGTAGCGAAAAGTGGTGTAATATAATAGTAGTCTACATCGAAACAATCCCATTAAAAATGCGTTAGCTGTTGTATGTCTTTCTTTTGCATTTTTACATCGTGTGCTTTTGGTGTCGCTTCGTACGCATTTGTGCGTTTAAGGGTGCGTCAAATGGACTTAGGAATTGGTCGTGTGGTTAATTCAATAGACCGTTGCCAATTTGGAGATCAAACAACCGTGCTTCACTTCAATTTGCAAATTGATATTGTCGTTCACTTAAACCTTAGTCATGGAAGACTACTAGTACATATCTTAAAAAGGCTTATATTATTTTAAGCATCCAACCCTTGCCCTTGTTGTTCCTATTATATTAGACTAAGGTCTCTTTAAACCTTCATGTCCTCACGTGCAATCGGGGCAACGCTGTTCGGTTTCTCTAAAGATGCCTTGACAGGGCGTTTCGACTCGAAGATTTCGTCCATCTCTTCCAATGTGTGACCCTTTGTCTCGACAAAGAGGAAGAAAACCCAAGCAGCCTGCACAATGTTCCACACGACATACACGATGTATATCTTCCATCCAATAGTTTTTAAGCCGATAGGTGTCGCATATGTATTAATGAACTCAGCGCAATTGAGCACGAAGTTGTTGAGCCCCATCCCTTTGGCACGAATGTTGGTGTGCAGGACCTCAACTGGATAGGCGACAACGAGTGGATTAACTCCACACGTATGGAAAATGCCGACGAAGAAGATGAATGCGATGGTGACATTTGAGAGTGCTACGGCTTGGCCCGGCTGGTATACAGAAGTACATGCTGTGAGCGCAACAAGGCAGGCGGACATTGATAGGCAGCCGAATATGAGCAGTGGGCGACGGCCGACGTGGTTACTGACTAGGGATCCAACAATGGCCCCCCCGAGCGCAGCGACGTAGTATGCTAGGTTGAATGTTAAGAGGCGATCTTGTGAAGTGATGCCGATTGCGCGAAGTAAGTTGGCAAGGTAGTAGCCTGTAAGATTCGAGCCTCCCCATTGTCCTGGCTGCTGTTAAAACGGAATTAAAGAAGCAATTTAGGGACAAACTTACCAATACATGCCATTGATATTACCAGCATAGTTCGATATCGAGCCGAACGTGTATTCCAAAGCTCACTGTAATCATACCAGCGCTTATCGGAAGCTTCTTGTCTGATGCTATCTCTCATCTCCGCGAGTTCGAGAGCAACGAGGGGAGAATCCAGGTCACCATCGTCATGATACTTAGCTAGTATCTGGCGAGCTTCTTCGTACCGATCATTTGCAACCAACCAGCGTGGTGACTCTGGCATGAACAGACAGCCAATCAGGACGACCGATGAAGGGACCACCTGGATGATCAAAGGAATACGCCAGGACATGTCAGACTTCAATGGGCCTGTTGCATGCGCGATAGCGCTGGCAATAATCGCCCCAACTAGCCACAAAGAATTATAAAGCAGCGTGACGGGGCCGCGCCACTGTGCAGGAGAAATCTCGGTCACAAAAGCGGGCGCCGCAGAGCGAGCAATGGCCACACCAAAGCCTGCCCAGAATCGACCAGCCATATACGCAGCTCGGTTTTGAGCGGTACACATGGCTATGGCACCGACCAGAACGATGAAGGAACCTATGAACATGCCGATACGCCTTCCATATCTGTCTGATGCTGGGCCGGCGAAGAAAGAGCCACATAGATTACCTAATATCTGTGAGTTTTATGATTACACAGGTTGAAGGCTACTTACCGATAGTGTACACTGCTGTAACAATACCAAGCGTACCCCCCGCCTTGGGAACATCGAAGTATGTATGCCAGCCATTGTTGGCATTCATGGTACCCATGAGAGAACTATCAAACCCAGTTCCCCAAGAGTCTAATATGAATTAGCCCGTTTTCAGCTGGAAAAGATGTCTCTATTACTTACTGCAATACGCAATGAAGAAGAACACATAAAGCTGGATAGATGCTAGAGAAAAGTAACGGAGTTTGGACACTCGCACTTGAGCTGCCATCTGATCACGCAGTTCATGGCTAGACAGCTCTGGCAAGTCTACTGCGATAGTAGAAGCCATCTTGGGAGACTTGTCTTCGACGTGATTAACTTGTGGCTTTGTGGTGCTGGGATTGTCCATGATGTTACGACCTGTAGAGGAAGTAGCTTTTAAGATGGAGATCAGGTTACCCCATGGGGTAGTCCCATGGACTTTATAAACTCGAACATGGCTCTGGAGGCAAGGATGAATAAATGCGGGCAATTCGGTACCCCACAGACGGGAAAGAATAGATGGTTGTGCGGGATAAGTCACGTGTGGCATGTGGCGTGCGGGATGAGATCACGTGGATTTGAGCAGTTCGTCGGTGCCCGGACTCACTCACTCACTTACTCACTTACTCACTCACAGCCAAAGGCTACTCGAGTACCAGCTCAACATCGCCTTTCTCAGCAATGTCGACGATTGATGGCCACGAACCAGTTTCCAGAAACGAAGATGAGTTCCAAGGTCCTTGCAAGCAGATCATTCTGTTCGGAGACTCCATCACGCAGATGTCGTTTAATCAGGAAGACGGATTCGGCTTTGGGGCATCACTACAAGATGGTTATAATTCCAACGCAATGTTTAGATCGAGACTGATTTTTTTCCCCATTGCAAGCATATATTCGAAGGCTGGATGTGATTAACCGAGGCTTTGGGTCCGTTCTTTCTTCTGTGCCTCTCATAGCGACTATCTGACGAGCCCAGCGGCTACAATACTCAACATGCAATTAAAGTGCTTCCGAAGTTCTTCCCCAAAGTATCACAAACTAAGGTGGCTCTCATGGTACGACCAGCTTGCGATGACCCTCGTCTCACCAAGCGTGTCTAACACAGACAGCTCGTTTTCTTTGGCGCCAATGATTCCTGTCTTCCACACGCTGCGACGCACTATGTCCCCGTTGAAAACTATCGACAAAACCTCGCAGACATCATCAGAAATCCATGTATTCAAGCCCACGACCCAAAAATATTGCTGATCACTCCTCCACCTGCCAACGAGCATCAAATAGAGCAGTACGATTTTGCTAAGGGTCACTCCTCATTACGAAGGCGGGCGGAGAATACGAAATTGTATGCGGAAGCATGTAAGAACGTAGGTGCTGAGCTTCAGGTACCTGTGGTGGACTTGTGGACTGCTTGTCTGGAAGATGCAGGCTGGAGGAAGGGAGCTGCATTATTAGGTTCTATGTCTACCCCCAGGAAGCATGAGTTTGATGCCTTGTTCTTGGATGGTAAGATATGCAGTCTAGACGGGGCTTTGGCAGAGGCTGACTCGTCCGCAGGAGTTCATCTTCGATCAAGTGGTTACAAGATCCTGTATTTGGAGGTCATGAAAGCCATTAGAAGCAACTGGCCAGAATTAGCCCCTGAAAATTTGCCTTTTGTATTTCCGACCTGGGAATTTGCACCAAAATAGAATAAAACTTGGAGCGAAATGCTTTCTCTCATCTACTTATAGACATACTATTAAATACTGCTCCTCTCATTCCCATTTCTAATCGTTTAACCCATAGTATATATACTTGACCGGCTCTTTAAGTCCTTTCGCGACCAGATGCTGCGTATCTCCCGGAGCCACATCAAGACAATTGTCACTCCACCCTGCTCCGACATTCAGCAGCACCAAACCTTTCACTGGCCTTTCAGCAGACACGGTAATGTATTCACCATCAACCTGAATCTTTAGGCCACGGTCAGGAAACATGATATGTTTGAGCGGCTGTGGCCAGTCCATTTCTCTTGAGATGCAATTGCCATATTCGTCAAAAAGTCGTGTAGCTAAGACTGTCGGCTCGTCCTCAGGAGTTTCGCCTTGCAGAATTTCCGTGGTCCCCATCGGCGTCGCAACAACCGCGTGCGTTATAGCCTCTCGCACCTCTTTTCCGGTAGAGATACTGATAAAACGAAGCTCCACGGTCAGCCTCCTTTCAGTGACTCCGGAATTTGCAACCCAGACTGAGAATGTTGATTCTCGAGGCGGGTAGACGTGAGGCGTAGCATGTGCAAGCACTCCTGCTGATTCTGCCTTAGTCTTTGACTTCACGTACGATTCATGCTGAAGATTTGGCCTCGGATTGTGTTTGTTCCTGCGTATTACACCGACAGCGAGAGGCGTGAGAGCGCGAGCGATCACGTAATATGCTGGCTTTGGCCGCTCATAGTAGTCTATGATTGACCAACTGCTGACCGGCCAGCTATCGTTTGTCTATCACTTGTCATTATTGCAAATATTGATTTGATTGGGGTGAAGTACCTGCCATACCAAAGCACCACCACACTCTCTATCTCCGAATTTCCTTCTCCATCCTCGAAAGGCAAACCCCATGGACTCGCTCTGAAGGAGCTGTGTGAGGTACACATATGTGTCCAAGTCAAACGAGAGACGAAAGTTCTCGCCCATGCAAGTAAACATGCGCTTCTCGTAGGAGGTTGCTTTGCAATGAAACTCAAATGCTTCACTCTGAGGATGCATGTCCTTGGAGTTTCCGAAGAATGCCTCTTTGACAGTCTCAATATGTGGACAGGAGAGCATTCCAAATTCCGACACAAAACGCCCTGCTATTTCAGGATATCTTTGATATGGGAGAAGCATGCCACTCGAGACATTCCATATGTGAACGTCGCCGATCGTTCGATCGCTATTGTTGTCAACCCCACCGAAAGGCGATCCAGGCCAGTAAATCATCCCGGGGGCATGTTCTTCGACCAAATCTGGCAGGACTCGCTCGTAGATATGTCGAGCGCCAAAGGTTGTGTTCCGCCATTCGCTTTCAGGAGTCTTCATGTCATGGTGTAAACCCTCATTCGCCACTTGATAATCTTCGTTGTTTCCAGCGAGAATGGCCAACGATGGGTGCGTTCTCAATCTTTTCAATGCTGCAATTGCCTCTTTCTTGACGCTCTCCACGAAGTCGTCATCAGATGGATATTGGCCACATGCAAAGCAAAAATCTTGCCATACGAGTACTCCACGGCGATTACAAGCATCATAAAATGCTTCATCTTCATAAATGCCGCCACCCCAGACCCGAAGCATGTTCTGGTTTCCCTGTACTGCTAAATCAATCAACCGAGTATATCTCTCTGGAGTCATGCGCGGCAGGAAATTGTCTCCAGGAATCCAGTTGCTTCCTCCCATAAACATTGGAATGTTGTTGACCTCGAAGTAGAACGTGGATCCCTCGGACAATGGAGTTTGAATAAGTCGTACACGACGGAAACCTATGGTCTTTGACTGCGTGTCTAGGACTTCCGCAGAAGGAGCAACAATTTTGATCACAACTTGGTAGAGGGGTTGACTTCCGTGGGTATGTGGAAACCACAACTGGGGGTTCGAAACTGGAATGATAGCTACACCATCTGTAATCCGTTTCGTTACCAATTTGACCCCCTTTGGATCAAGCAAATCCAAATCAACCTGATGGCCGGCTGGTATGCTACCTTCAACATGCACTCCAACTCTGATAGTGGCGGACTTGAGATTCTCTGCCACCTGAATCTCAATATCAACATCGCTGATACGTATAAAGTACCTTTCAATCGTAATTGGCCTCCAGGGACCGCATGTCACAAGAGAAGGACCCCAATCCCAGCCAAAATGGTACTGAGCCTTACGCATATAAACTCTAGAATAGTGGCCGTTCCAGCAAAGCAGGTGTCCACGCTCCTCTCGCAGAGCTTCTCCTCTGTTGAAAGCTGATTCGAACAGAATCTTTAACTCGTTTGTATTTTCCAGCATTTTTCCAACATCAATTCGATGCGGAACAAACATGTTGTCAGACCTGACGAAAGTCAACCTGAGACACGAACAACTGTTGGTAAAAGGTGCTTACTTCAGGATCTCCTTGCCATTTAAGGCCACTGTTGCAAAGGTATCGAGGCCATCAAACACTAAATCCACCTTCTCTCCCGTCCGAATGGGTTCTATTTGATACTCGCATTTATACACCCAGTCCTTTGAGTGAACCCATTGGACAAGTTTCTCATTCATTCCAATGAATGGATCTGGTATACGGTTGGCGGTAAGCAGATCGAGATGGATACTGGAATTAGTCAACGGTTAGATACAGCTGCTAAAAGAACCTGAATATTTACATACTTTGTGGGAATCTTGGTTCTACCTTCATCGTGAGATCCAGCTTCTGACCACGTGAAGTCGATGAGCGGAACGCGCTTGAGTGGGAGCGCCATGATTTCTGAGACAATATTGTAAGTGTGATTGTACAAACAAGAACCAACATGTTTTGCGAAGCTCTTTTCATGTGTAGCCCAAAGGAGGTGTCATCCCGCATGGCGGGTTGACCCCAAATCCCCCGCGGGATGCTAGTGGCTGTGAAGTGGGCGAAGATAACCCGCATTTCTACCCCAGATGACCAAAGGAACGTGGAGAAAGATGAAAAGTGGTTCGTAGATGGAGACAGAAAGAAAAACTATATAGAGAGCTAAAAGTCAATTAAGACGATCCACATTTAGTGGAGCGTTAGTTTTCCAAAATGCTCGCCTGTAACCTCCTCCTCTCATGCCTGTCCGTCCTCGTTTCGGGAGCAGCAGTGAGCTATCCTAGACCCTCAATCTACGACAAATCAGCAAAATACACTCTGAAAGTCAATGGTACTTACATGTACACCGTTAGCTATGCTGGGTACGACTATGTCCAGCTCTCCATGGACCAAGGCCATGCCACTGAATTCCGAATCTCTGCTCCAACTGAAACAAGCATCACGTCTTTCAACATTTCTCCCAAGCAATTACCTATCACTGCCACCACAAGCGGCAACGAGCTCGTCTTCTCGGTTTCTGACGCTCACTATCTCATAATAACCATCAATAACCTCAAAGAATTTGTCATCATGGCCGATCCCTCGGAAACCAATGTCCCCCCCTCTTCCGGAAACGGCATCTTCAACGTCCTCAACTACGGCGCCGACAACACTGGCTCTGACATTACAACAGGCGTGCAAAGTGCCATGGATGCTGCTGCCAAAACCCCTGGCAGCATCGTCTACGTGCCTCCGGGCCTATATTACATCGGGAACTTGATGCTGCGCTCCCAAACCTCGCTGTACCTCGCCGGCGGCTCTGTGCTACGCTTCACAGGCAACAAATCTGACTACACCACACTCTTCACTAAGTCTGACGTTGGGCCCGGCACATGGTGGATCCAAACCGAGTTCAGTAGCAGCAACATAAAAGTCTACGGGCGCGGCACCATAGATGGAAACGGGTACTTCTCCCTCTATACCAATACGTTCATCGCGGACCTGCTTGTGCCCGTGGACACGACGTCTTTCACGTTCGACGGGCCGTTAATCCGGGATTCGTCGTTCTGGGCCGTGACACCTATCCAAAGTCAAGATGTCTCGTTCAAGAACCTTAAGATCCTTAATCGACAAGATGTTGGCCAGGATGATGGTATCGATGTCATTGAATCAACGAACGTGCGCGTCACAAGAGCGATTGCCGTTGCGCTCGATGATAGCTTCTCAACTAAGACGTGGCCGCTTAATCAAGGCACTACGGTGCCGTATCCCCATCCGCCGATGCCGTTGAGTGATGTGGTGTTCGATAATTGTCTGGCCTGGACCGTGTGTTATGGGTATAAGATCGGGCAGGGCGTGTATACGTCCCAGAAAGGCGTGGTGTTTAAGAATAGTGTGGTGTACAGGGCAGCGGTGGGGCTGGGGATTGATCATCGGTATGGAACAGAGATTGTCAGCAATGTGACCTTCGATACAATTGATATCGAGAGCTTGAGTGGTGACAATGCCGGTCATGCCACTTGGCTTGCTTTCTTCGTTGAGTCACAAGGGGCAGGAATTGGACCGATTGATGGAGTGAAGGTGAATAATATTCGTGTTAGGAATGAGGGGAAATATAATGGGTTGTTGGTGGGGTATAATTCTTCCGCGATGGTTAGCGATATCACATTCTCAGATGTGTATATGCTGGCCAACACTACACCAGCTACAACTCTGGGCCAGATGAAAATTTTAGATGTAGCCTATACATCTGCTATAGTAGTTCAGTGATGAACGTGTGGCGCTAAATGCATAGGAAGTAAACGAGAAAATTTGATTGCAGAATACGAGTCCTGTAGGAGTTAGAGTACGAGCTATCACTGTGTCAAACCTTGTGAGACTTTGAAAATGCGCCTGGTGCATAGTTGGGTTTCCTCATTATGTATACAGAAATACAGCTTTAGATCCAAGAGTTCCCTTTCATAAGTGTGGTAGCTTTTAAACGTCTCGCAAGGCGTGGGATAACAATATCTTATGATCTAATGCCTGTGGTAAATTGTATCCAAATTTGGGGTAAAACAAAAATTAAGCAGGAAATGAAAGGAAGCTATAGAGAGTCTAACATGTACTCGTAGGAAGTGGCTTATGACTATCAAAGTATTGTTCTAGTCGGAACACCTACACCCTTAAAGCCGCCAACTGTATCGATTTGAACGTCTCCTTGCTGTCCCTCCCCCATATCTTCGGATCATGAAATAAAACGGCCTCTTGATTCAAAAGCTCATCCTGCACTTTGGCTACATCAACATCAGCAGCTGCGACTCCATCTTGTAAACAGAAAGCAGCAGCAACGCCAGCGGCTTGACCAAGAGCCATCCAACACGGCTCCATTCGCAACGTAGAGAAGCCAATATGACTTGCAGACACTGGTACTGGCGCAAGCAAGTTCTTAATTGGGGCATCTGGAACCATGACACCGTATGGCACGGTGTATGGTGCGCAAGGATAACTTATGAAGCCATCAAGGTGGACTCTGCCCGGCTCCCGCTTTCTCACGGCATGCGAGTCCAACGCATAATGACTAGCAGTTACGCTGTCATGATGAATAGGAGGTCGCCCATTTTCACTTGGCAACGCATCATATACAGTGAAGATATGTTTGCCTTTCATTCTACGTCCCTCGCGGACATAGAGTTGGCGAGGAAAATGGTCGTTGTCCACGTATTCATCCTTTGCCCAGCCCCATTCGTTACATTCATCACGGAACCACTGAGGAAGTTCTGGATCGTTCTGTGCAAAATAAAATAACCCTTCGGTGTACTCGCGCATTCTCTGACAAAAGGCGTCACGCCATGCCCAGCTGGAAGTAGGATACGGCCAGTTCTCTTCAGGAAGATCTGTCGAGATGAATGCAAAGTGCTGATTATTCGCATCGGTTTTGTTGTTTGGTAATTTGACCATGCTAGATAGGCGTTGGATAGCATTGAGGTGATTCGGCACTGGTTTGAGATTCATTTTCGACCGACGGATATTTTCTTGCATTTGCTCTGGTGATAGCTTCAAGACATCCACGCCGGTATGAATGCCTGTCGTCACATCAAGCACCAGAGAGGAGAACTCCTTCCTATTATAATTCGATGGTTTGCTAACCCTCACACGTAGCTTGGGGTCATTCGTCAAGCAAAGTCGGTAATTGAATGCTTGGATAGCGTTGTCTCCCGCGTTCGTGGTACCATCGCATTCAGGACCTCTCCAAAGCTTGTATACCCGGCCAGCACCTAGCTCGCCATACACCTCCTTGCCCTCTCGACCAACGAAGAAAGGCACGCCAGCTGCTGCTATGAGATCTCCTTCGTATGTAGCATCCAAAAAGAATTGTCCATAATGTGTTTCTTTCAAGCCGGTTTGCAAATTTGTCACCTCAATGGACTTGATAATGCCATCTCTGATAGACAAATGGTCGGGCTCGAAGTCGAACTGTCGCCTTGTTAAAACGGTGATCTCTGGGTTTTCTTGAATTAATTCATTGAAAACATTTTCCGCAACTGAAGGCTCAAAGTGATATCCATCGTCACAATCGCTGACTTGATCAGTGACTGGGCCATAGCTCTTGACATAATGAGCCTTAACCCGCTCCACGAATTCTAAGAAAATCCCTCCAGTTGCTCCCCGGGTAGCTATATCTGTAGCTCCTAGACCATTGGCAGGAAGTCCGCCGATATAGGCTGTGCGTTCAAGAATTAGAGAGGTTCGGCCAAGTCGAGCAGCAGCAATTGCCGCAGCTATTCCGGCAGGTGTAGCTCCGACAATTATCAAGTCGAATTTAGATTGGACCATCATGATGTCGAAAGAGCCTGGATTCCAAAGTTCGATGTGCTGTAAACTTGGAGAATTAAGTACAAGCTGCTTTCGTGGAAGTTGGAGGGTAGGGATCTAGCGGCGGATGGTCTCCCGCACAAATCGAAGAGCGATGCCAGAAGTTTGCATACAGGAAATGTGGTTTTGGACGACGCTGTGAACCTAGTTAGTACCCGCAAAATTGAAAAGGCGAACCTGCTCCTACTTTGGGAGGAAGTCTAGGCCTGTATCGCATTTCTGGACGAATAGATCGATGGAGCTTCGGTCACGTGCCAAGGACTATCCCGCTATCCCGCACAAGCCATAGACGTCCTCCCGCACACCACAAGGAACCCATGTTGATTAGACGGATTCGTAGTTCCGATACTTGATACTTATTACGTCTGAGCGATACCGATCTCATAGATATTTTTGTTGTCCAACATTCACCAAAAAGAAAAATGACTTCTCAAACTCAAACTCAAACTACCTCGTTAACTTCAATGTTGTCCAAACCGGATAGCCGAAAGTTCAAGATCAACACAGGATCTTATATTCCTGCAGTCGGATTCGGCACGTGGAAGTCCTCGCCGGAAGATGCGTACAATTCCGTAAAGACGGCCTTGGAGAGTGGTTACCGGCATATCGACGCTGCATGGGTATTTTAGGCGCCGAGGATGGATATCAAAACAAGCGATTGCTAACATTTAAATAGATCTATGGTAACGAACCAGAGGTAGGGCGTGCCATAAAAGATAGTGGTGTAAGACGAGAAGATATCTTCTTGACCACAAAACTGTAGGTCACCCGAGTTTTGAATGCAGTCATGTTACTGAGTAATGCTAGCTGGAGTACATATCACTCTCGGGTTGCAGAGAATCTCGAGCTTTCCCTCAAGCAGCTTGGCGTCGACTATCTGGACTTGTATCTGATGCACTGGTTTGTACTCAAATCAATGCCACCAGTAACCGAATTGCAGCACTAAAACATCTCACAGGCCTGTAGCTTTGAATCCAAATGGAGAGCCGCCAAACTTTCCCCTGCTTCCAGATGGAACCCGCGACCTTCATGATCGGAATTTTGTGGACACATGGAAGGACATGGAGAAGCTCCTTTCAACTGGGAAAGTGAAGGCAATTGGCGTTTCAAATTTTGATATTCACAATCTTGAAATTCTGAGACAGAAGTGTACTGTGGTGCCTGCTGTGGACCAAGTGGAGATGCATGCATATTTGCAGCAAAAGAACTTGCAGAAATACTGCGATGAGAGAGGCATTCATATAACGGCGTATTCCCCGTAGGTATCCCACTACAGATCGAAGCTATTGGCTAACCCGAGAAGCTTGGGATCAACAGGCTCGACAGTCAAGACTGAAAAACTTGTGTTGGAAATCGCTTCTCATCACGGCTGCGACCCCTGTGCAGTGCTCCTTGCTTGGGGGGTGCAGTCTGGCCACAGTGTCTTGCCCAAGGTGTGTGCTCTTCACTGACTGCTTTACCACAACTGACGTCTCCCAGTCCATCAATGAGTCTCGAATCCGCAGTAACTTCCAGGCAGTGACACTGACGAAGGACGAGATGGAGCAAATCGAAAGTCTAGAGAGTGGACAAAGATATAGCCAGCCTGCCTGGGGCGTTACCGTCTTCGTAAGTTGACCGATTGTATTCTCCTCTATTATAAAGCTAAGAAATGCCAGCATTCCTAGTGAAAATCTTGGGTAGACATAGATAGAGTCCAAGTGCATATAGCCCTGCAATTATAAATATGTTATTGAGAATATCACACAGTAAAATCTTCGAGGCCACGAAGAACTTCGCTGTATTCTCTTGCATTATCATTCTGCAGAGATGCGAGTCTTTCAAATACATGCCGAGAAATTGCTCTCCAGGCCTTAACACACGCGTTTGCGCAAGTACCCGTGATCGCAGTTTCCATCTCAGCCAAAGAGTCTTGCCCGCTGATCTCAGACGCAATGTCCAAGCTCTCGTAGTCATCTGCCCTTCCAATTGTGTATGCCCAAAGGGTCAGCGCCCCTAGGTAAAGAGCGGAAGTCTCGAGGGGCATCACCGACGTGTGACTCTCTGACATGTAAATCCGAAGGAGCTGTACACCATGCATAGCTGTGTTAGGTCCAACTTTGTTGCGTGTGAGAAGGCGGGCCATGGCAGCTCGTGTCTGCTGCTTGGGTGTCAGGCCAGTCAACGAAAACCCGGAGTTTGCGGCACGTTCCAAGTCGTCTAATTGGGTGCCCAGAGATATTAAAGAGATGTAGTAGGTCGTTAAACCATGCTTTTTGACAGGCCCTGCTTCTGCAGTGGTGAGGATTTGATCAGCTATTGCTTTGAGTAGAGTTCGAAGCTTATTTGTCGCCTGATCACGATCGAAGAATGGCTCATGCCGTCGTCGCAAAGAATCGCAGGTGATCGATGCGAAGCCTGACAGGACAAGATATGCTGATAGTGCATCAAGTGAAGGCAATTTGTGATGAATGTCCGGAGCAGACAGAAGAAGTTGATGGATCTCATGAAACTTCAATCTCCGGGATGTTGATGTTGCTGTGTAGGACGACCACTCGTAGAAGGTGAGGGCACGCCACTCCTTCTCATCACAAGGTAGATCGAGTTTCAAAGTGAAAACTGAAATTATGCTTCGATCGTGACCAAAGAGAAGCGAATGCTGAACGTCAATGACGAAGATGAAGTAAGCCAATCTCTTGACTGTCTCTTTTTGGACCCACTCACCCCATCTGCGGTCCATCGAGCGCTTTGGAGTAGGCCGCACGGGCTCATAGTCAGGCTCAAATAACCCGAGTCGTCTTGCGAGGGTAACCAATGTCCCGTGGAAAATATCGCTCAGCTCCATAGCGCTTCTATTAGCATGAAACATACCAGCAAACTCAACTAGTAGCATGGATTGAAGCACCCAAAGGTGCTCTTTCTTGATCGTGATGTTCTGAGCAAGCTGTAGCAGGTCTCCACGTAAACGCTGAAGCAGGACACACCCTATTTCGTGAGCATTGAGGTCGCCGCAGATGAGAAGCCCAATGCTCAGAAAAGAAGCAGAGAGTTCACTAGCAACAAAGTCGAGACTCAGGGTGGGCTGGTGGAACATAGGAAGACAAGTCTCAAGATATGTCATGGCGATATCGAGAATGCGGCGGGTATCTTCGATGGTTGCAACCGGATTGCTATCTACATCTTCTAGTGAGATGAAAGAAAGAATATTGCTGTGAGTTTGTGCACTAATCGAGGAAGGTTGTGGAATCTGAATATCGAATAATGCATCATGTGATGATTGCGAATGAAGGCTCCCTTCAGTATTGTCGAATTGGATTCCTTGGATAGCTGCATCTGCTGCGGGATCTCTAGGTTCCTGGAAAAGCCATTCGGAATTTTGGCCATAGCTGTCCAAATTGAATGGTGAGAACGGTATTGGATCACGCACTGGATTAGATTTATCAGCGCTGTGGGAGCTATTTGGTGATTGATCGAGGCCTGGAATGTTTTGGTTCAAAATGCCGTTTTGAAAAGCACCGCCCTGTGATTGGAGACCGACATGGAGGTATATCTCGGGCAGCGACTGGTTTTCAAGCAAATTCAGGTCCTCGTGACCTTGCATATTCATGCTCTCCTGAAGGGTGGGGGAGGTAGCTCTTGGGGATCTGCGCGTCTTTCTCCCACCATTCCCAGGCGTTCCATGCCTTAAGGTCAGATGGCGCTGAAGGAGATCATTTCTGTAGAAGAGGTGACTGCATTTGGGGCATGGGATTGTTCGATTAGTGTCTGTCATAATCCCATTAGTAATTCACGAGGCGCAAACGAGCGTACAAGAAGCCTACGGTTGAGTTTGTGGCGTTTCAGATGCTCAAGTCGTTGGAAGCTTTTATCGCAAGATGCGAAATCACAGTAATGGCGAGCATCTGGCGGCATAGTGGAGTTTCCATGTCCATGGCCATGGCCACAGTGTGTTGATGAAGCAAATGAAAATCGCCGACGACGTACGAGTTAATGCGGGGGAAGCTGCAGCTGATTTTGTTGGCTAGTTGAAGCTAAAATTGGACTAAACTAACACTAGCCTTGTACGAGTTAGTGGATTAGTTCGGTTTAGTAGTCTAAATTGAAAAGTCTACGGAGTATAGGAGTAAGACTATGATAATAACCAAGCGAGGCAGTCCCAACTCTGGGCCACCACCAACCACCAACCGCCGACCTGGTGGCTGGGGAGAGGTCGGGGATGCAAACAAAGTGCAAAAAAAAAGACATACAACAGCAGGTATTCGCTGGTGGTCACCCACCCAACTACTAATCTGCCGATCTGAGGCTTGTGTATGGCAGAGCGGACGGGATGCCCATTTCTCCTCAGTCTATGGTCGTATGTGACAGTGGGTTTTGCTAAATTGGTTTATATACCTACCAAAATATCTCTCTTCATTGCTAGATCAAACTCGTACTAACAGGATGCTACTCTAGAATTTAAATCCGTGGCTCTCAGCTTGTATTGCAGAATTACTTAGGGGAGGTAGGTACTTGTAGATACCTACCTTAGGTAGGGATTTGCCCCAACAGCCAACCGAGAACCCAGACCCACGAAAGGGGGGTGAATCACGTGATTACATACATCTCTTCCGGTACCTTTATATCTCACCCTATTCATAGTCAGTTACTACCCATCTACCTACCAATTGCCAACCCGCACACACACATCTCATCTCATCTTACCAGTCGATTAATCATTCCTATCCCATCACGCAATGCCCCTTCAATCCCGAGCTCCTTTTTTGCCACCTGCATCTATCTACATATCCTCTTATAATAAAAGCTCAAATTAAGACTGAAGGTTCCTTTTGTATTGGGTTCGTTGGATGCCGTGGGGTACCTGAGTTGACTGGTGTGTGTGGGCGGGACGAGGCGTATTACGTTTTTGGGCACTGTGGATATGCAATGGGCGCGAGAGGGTGCAATTTGAGATGGAAGTTCGCGGTAGTGGGGGTGTTTTTGATGGTTGAAGCGAGGAGGAAGTGGTCCAAGTAGGGATATTCTAATATATGCTTGGGTTGACGATATAGAACCAAAATGGCGAGAATTATTAAAGTGGTAGTAGAGTTATTTATAAATGAGGCCGAGGGAGCTTCTGGTTCTTAGGGGAAAAGCAAGGCTATTATTGTATAGTGATTGTAAGTCTCGTGGGCGTGTGTAGCGTGAGAAATGGCTTTTTAACTTGCTTGCCTTGCTTCTATAGAATGAGTGAGTATAACGAGGAATTTAAGGTATTTCACATATCAGTAAATTATAGTGGTCTAAGTCAGGTGGTAGCGTTTATTGTCTTTTGCAATAGGGCTTTATTTAACAACTAACGATGCAAGCGTCCACTTCGAGCTCTGTAGTCTAACGCGAAGGGTGAAATTGGAATTCATGTATGTAGTAATGAAAAATATGTGATAGCTAAGAAAATAGCTGGGATTGGGACTTTCTTCGCTGGGTACTTAATAGGGTTATTAGCGTTTTGTCTCAGGGTGTAAATACTCATATTCCTGTAGTTAATTATAGGCATTTTGGTAATAGATAATATGTCAAGATATGATGACTCAACTACATTGTCGAGAATAGAGGACACTACCACTAAGTCTCTTAACGGGAAATTGCCTTGTGAATTGAAAAAAGTATATCGTCGCCTTTACTTTCTCCTTGCCCTGCTATATCAACACCTTCGTATATAGAATCAGGCAGAACGATCACACTCTCTTTCTACTTATTTTCCCATGCCGAAGGACTCCATAACATAAACCCACCAGTATCCCTGTCCGCCTCAGAAAGCACCAGGCTAAACCTAGACAACACCTTAAACCCGACACTCCTATACAAGCGCTCTCCCTCCATACTAGCTTCCAGTCCCACCGGGACCCCTTCAGCCTCCGCCCTCTTAACAACCTGCCCCATCAACAACTTCCCCGCGCCCCTCCCCTGAAACTCCTTAAGCACAACACAACTCTGCGTATGCCACCTATTCACCCTCTCGGGATGAGATTGGAAATGCTTCTCCTCATCCGCCTTCCCGACGTTTTCAAACCACTTTATAGCATCCAAATCCGCCGACTTATCCCCCCCAACAAACAAGCCGAACACTTTGCAATAGACCGAAAACAACCACCCCAGAACCCACAGCAATAGGGCATTCCGACTGGCAATCTGCCTCTTCGCGCCCTCGTCATCGCCCAAACGGACGAAATGCGCATACCCAACCACCACCGACGGATTCGACGCCTCTACCGCGACGTACCCCATATGCCGCGCATCAAACGTCCTCGCCGTGGCGCGCTGCTGGAATCCCCGTACGTAGTGCTCAAAATACTGGTGCCGATGCGGCGCAAGCATGTCCGTCAGAGACGTGTTGTTGTATGTCACGGCGGCGATCCAGCCCATTCTGTAGCCGTCTGTGAGACGCGCTGGCCGGACTATGATGGGTGACCTGGCGGTAGATTTTGTGCTGGAAGAGGCATTTTTGCCCGATGTGGTGAGGGACATGTTTCTTTTTTCTTCCAGTATTTTTTTTTGTTTGCTCCCGTTACTTTGCTTGGGCTTTTGTACAATAAGTTATATTGTAAAGCTGAGACTATCGATGTTTAGCTATATGAATTTCAAAAAAATATGAAAATTTTCAAAGGTTTGAGAGAATTTACGGAACGGTCTGAAAATGGTTAGGAGAGCATACCTTATATACAAGGTGGTTACTTCCCCAGGGAGGGCTGCAAGATCATGAAATGAGAACTTTAAATAAACTCTGGTTGGTAGTAATCAGCATGTTGTCGGTGTGAGTCATCTAATAATAATTACTTGGTCTCGGTCTACCTACTCGGGAATCTATTGTCCGATCACGTGCCACTGTATTTCCGACCTTCCTGATTTGGATAAGTCAGGTGGAGGGCAATGATGGGGTTTTATAGGTAATCAGTGCTGGTGGATGAGGTATTTAATATGACTGCATTGTTTCATTTTAAGGTTTTTAGTTATATGAGACTTATAACTGTAGAGAACGTTGAAGAATACATATAGGTATGGGCCGGTAAGGTATTTACTATTTTGCAAGACATTTCTCGGAATAGACCACAACAGGTAGGTACCTAGGTAACTAGGCAACCTCTGATATAGACAACGCGATGCGCTATTTAAGCTGGAGTTTCTGAAATTGGAAAGACAAGAACCCGATATTGGGAAAATAAGCATTTGGTCGAGAATGTTCACTTGAATTTCTTTCCCATAGTCGTCCCCTAGGTTGTCCGTCATGACCTAATACCCAGCATGCATTTCACTCTTCTATTTCCGGATCGGAAAAGAAATCGATCCTAGTGTTCTCCGATAGGTATTGAAAGTTTAACAAGTTCTCAAAAGCTCGTAGAATTCCAGGAGGAGAGTGAGATGCCATCGGAAGCCTTTAGTTTAAATTCGCCAGACACTCACATTCTCATCGCGAAGAGCCTTGTTCCAGAATCGCCTTCCATATTGTCAGTCTATTAGAATCTTGCGTGGCTCGAAGAGAGAAACACCTATCGTTGGCGTAGAGGATGCTTCGAGAAGGAGAAAGACATGTAATCATATTTTGCGCCCCTTCAACGCATATGCACGTCTCCACGAGATCCGGACGATTGATAGAAGGCCACCACAGCGCGCATTAAAGCCTTCCTGTGGCTTCTGGAAATTGTCATAGTAGGCTTGAATGAGACGAGGATGGCGCGGCGGTGCGAGTGATCATGCAATGGACTCCAATAGGAAGGTTTGGAGGAGAAAAATGAGAGAAATGGAGCCTGAATGAGATAGAATGAATATTCGAAGAAATTCGTGATTGGCGATCCTATGGCTGGATGATATAGACCATGGGATAAAGTTCAAGTTAGCATCGTTATGTTGCGACGTCCAAGCTTGTAATGGTGATGATCAAGGCCGTCGATGACTTCCGGTGTCAAAACAAATGTAATTAGGCCCAAAAACGCGCTCATCCTCGATTATAACTTTCTTAAAGATGGCTTTCCAGGGTTTGAAATTATGGAAACGCGAAGAGATTCTTCGTGGCAGAGGGGTTTTTTGAACTGCTGATCCGTCAGCTGACGGTCCGTATCCAGGCGGCGGACTGAGAAAATCAAGGCGAAGCCATCCGGATATAAAGATGGCACTATTCTATACTCACTCATGTTTCGTATATCATTATCGGCATATACTTGTGCTGCTGTGATGCACCATCGTAGAAAATGAACGGACGCGACAGATTGCAGTCCAACAACCCTCGCTAAGGCAACGTTCTAGATCGCTGGCGCAGGTCATTGTGTAACTGAATTCCTTTCTATTGTAACCACCAGACAACCGCAATTTTGTATGGCTGTCTACTTTGTGCCTTGGCGTACCTCGTACCTAGTGCTCAGTTGTATCGCCACGCGGCCATCGCCTGCGTGAATTAATCCCGTAATTGTCACGTCGCTGTGGCCTTCCAAGATCTCGAGGTACGTGTCCATCAACCTCGTTGATAGGTGGATCGGGCTGTAGCGTCGGCCTTCTAAAGGCTTACTCGTACGGCTTATATCCTTATTGCGGATGATCACTGACTGGACTACCTTATTAGTTACCGTACTGTGCCCCCGCTGACGCCCTTTGAAGACGACCACGCGCCCTTCCGGTGCTGGCGAGATGGCGTCCATGTCCATGTACGGCGCCCCAAATCCCTCGCCCAACGCCCATATCGCCGCCCCGAAGGCAAGCAAAGCATGTTATACATGCAGAAATCAAAAGCGGAAATGTGATAAGGTTCTCCCCGCATGCTCTCTATGTCTTCGTATGAATCGCTCTTGCGACTATTCTGATCCTCAGCCGACTCCCACGTCCGAGGACTTACACGTCTTGCAAGCGAAGATAGCGGAACTCGAATCTCAGCTCGAGTCCCATATCAATGGAGGACGTGGCCTTGTTAATCATGCTCCCCTTTTCGGTACCCCTTCCTCTCTGTCCGGCGTCGAGGCCCTTGGTCATTCCGCCGCAGGTTATAGCGAGCAATGGGGTGCGGTTCCCAACAGGTTTCCAGCCATTGCTTTCCTAGACAAGAAGGCCTTCTTAAGTGGGGGGTATGCCCACCTGTCTCCTTACCATAGCCATGAATGCTAATTTCCAATAGCATTGACATTCCAAAACCACCCGTTAACATCCCAGATGTAGGCAATTCGTCTCCCGTGTCCCAGGTTTACCAGATGCTGATTTTCAAATTAGGATGTCCTCGAGCATATGCGAGATGGCCTGACGGTAACTGCCATTGCGGAGCAATACGCCGCAACTGTCCACCGATGGATGCCCATTCTTTCCCGAAAGTACCTGCTTCAGGAGCCGACGGATGTCCCATGGGACGGCGGTTCTGATGCGGCTTTGCTGTATCTCTGCATGAAGCTCGTAGCATCAAGATTACCTGATGGAGTAGAAAGCTTTCGGGCTCCGCTATACCTAACTGCAAAGCGCTTTGCGTCTGTATTGGATCTCAACGGAGCGGCTTCGCTACAGAGACTACAAGCAAATCTTCTTATTGTATGGTACGAATACGGCCATGCAATTTACCCCGCCGCCTGGATGACTGCTGGATGGTGTGTCCGATATGGAAATTTACTCGGCATAAACGGGCATCATGAAGCGATGCAACTACTTGGCCGTCCGGTAAGGACATGCAACCCACTCGCTGAAAGCACTGTCTCACTTTGAACAGACAACATGGATTGAGCAAGAAGAACGTAATCGAACATGGTGGGGGGTTCAAGTGGCGAATAGGTATGGCCTTCTGATAGAAATTCTCGATCGATCAGCTCACACCCTTAAGAATTGTCTCATATGCAAGCCAAGGATATATCATGGACTCTCAAGAACCACGGCCAGACGCTGCTCTGCCTGCTGATGACGACGCATGGGTAGCTCAAACCCCAATCCAAGCGATGTTCGACAGTTTGCTGATAGAACTATAGAACAGAGGCGAACTCTCCGCACCTACAGCTCTTCTTTCCAGTCCGATTGATGATCCTGTAGGACCATTTTCTCGTCTCTGTCAAGCTTCCATAATGATGGGCAAAGTGCTTTCTCATCACTACCATAACACCTTTCCCTCCGAGGCAGCACGCCTCACACAAGTCAGCAAGTTGTCTGAAGATATCTTGGATCTGTCCGGCAAGATCACCGAAGAAACCAACCGGTCTCCCGATTTTCTCAGCCTTTCAGCTCCCTTGGCGCTCCTGTCCCGAGCATTCTGTATACTCTGCGATCCATATTCTGGCCTAGACGGGTACGGGTTAGATCCAAGCACTCCCCAAGCTGCCGAAATGCAACAGCGCGCAGCCGAAGGCTTGAAGACGCTCTCAGGAAATATGTATGGCTTCGGCCAAAAGGTCGAGATCAGCACTTCGGGCTTTCAAGACCTGGATTCCGTCAATCCTATCATAATGGATGCGTTGTACTCCGCTGCATTGAATTTTGCCTGGTTTGTAAGAAAGAGTGGGGATATGCAATGCCAGACGTCGTTGGATGAAATCAGGAATTGGCTAACTAAACTTGGGGCACGGTGGAGAAGTGCCGCAGAGTATGCGAGACTTTTGGAGGCCCAGGAGTTTTCTTATGCTATTCGTGGTGCGGGACCTTGACCCGAGGGGTGTATCGGAGCTATGGGGCGTTGGTTTATACGGAACTACTATTGCCTGAATGGCGGAATTTTAATATAATGATACCGGGGCGAACCGCGAGCGTTTTAGCAATGGCATCATGATAGATGAGCGTCGACTCGAAGAGAGTTCTCATCAGAGAAATACATCATACAACTTTACCAGTCAATAATACAATATCCCACTACCAGTAAGAAACATACGAATTCTTGGGAAGTTTCATATATAATCATCTCTAATTATATAAGGTACAGTAATATCCCATAAAAATTGAAGCCCTTTTAGAACTTGTAGACTTGATCCTGAGAATATCCGAGATCCTTGAGGATACCGGAAAGATCACCCTGGTCTTTAGGAGATTTCTTCATTCCGGAAATAGCCTTGTACATGCCTGGTGGCCCACAGACAAAGACCTTAATGTTCTCATTCTTCGGCTCTGGGAGAACCTTTTTCAGCAATTCCTTGGTGATGAATCCGGTGTCTCCCCTCCAATCTTTATTAGGCGCCTTGTCCAAGACGTAAAATGCTCGAAATCGTTGGGGGTAGGTGTTCTCGAGTTCTGCCAACTCGTGCTTTAGGAGGATGTCTTCCTCTGTAACGTTTCCGAAGACAAGTGTGACCTTCGTCTTATCGTTGGGGTTATTGAAAATTGCGCGTGTTAGCTGATACATGGGCGTGATACCGGTTCCTCCAGCAATCAGAGCAATGTGGTTGTGCTTATTTTCCGCCCAGGGGTATTTGGGAATAGGTCCCTTGATTTCCAACATCTGTCCGGGAGCCATATCATGGAGGTGCGTTGACATCGGGCCATTGGGGTATTTCTTCACCAGAAGGTCTAAGTAGCCCTTTGCGTCTTGGATTGGTCAGCATAAGCAACATATCGTACAACAATGGTTACTTACTCTCATCGTTAATGGGTGTATATGGTCGGATAACGGGCTTCTCCATCTGCGGCCCTTTATATTTGGTAAGGATAGCGGATGCAACATGCAGACCGCTAACCTGGTCATCCTCAGGCAGCGCAAATCGGAATTTCTTCGTGTTATGGTTAACGATTTCAATGTTGTCAAGCCGTAACTTGATGAATCCCTGGTCGCCTCCAGTAAATGCCACATTGCCATTGCCGCCCTTCCCAACAGGCTCGTCGCCCTTTTCCACAGCCTCCTTGGCTTTGGCTCCGTTCCCGAGGGTGTCTTGGCTGAGGTAGTAATAACTTCCACCTCCCAGGACGGTCGCAATGCCGGCATAGAGAGCCTTGTTGGAGCTGCTACTCAGTTGCGGTTCGGTTGCATATCGACGGCATTGCTGTAGAAAAGGTAATTAGCCCTATTGATGCTTTTGCCGAGAGTCAATTGGCGTTGGAGGGCTCATGGAGGCACATCTCCAATCCAGCGGCATTGATCATGACAGGGGACGCGAGTAGCACTTACAGTTCTCAACGGCTGAGCCGACCTAAGTACATGCCTTGCAAACATGATGGGGATTTGTGGAGTGGGATGGTGTTGAGAGATCAATTGCAATTCCTGGGGCGGGTTGGACTTGAGTGGGATTGAAAATCAAGGTCCCACATACAGTAACGTCATTGAGGTCGAAGCTCCAAGCAACTGGCGAAAGGGCGCTAAGCTCAAAGAGGCATCATATTTAATCTTAGCATCGCCTTCCACCAAACGCCGCCACCCCCTCACTGAAATCGCCTGATTTTCTACCGGAAAGCGGTGTTATCGCGTTATATCGTGCGATATTCTTGTTGACCTTCCCCTTTGCGTTCAGGATGTATTGGGTTTCCTTGGATAACGCACACTCCTTCTATTGGCACCGAACGCCAACTTTGCTCGCTCGCAGAGACGTCAGTATTGCTCCCAATACGACTCTATTTCTTGGACTACATCGATCCTAACCGTGCCTAACGAGACCTTTCTCGTATAGCAATATAGTCAATCTATATGCAATACTTGGCTAGGCATATTAGTTCTTTTGGTTTTTGCCTTCGAAAGTCGAATCGCAAGCCCGTGTAGCTAGGCTTAAATGTTGAGAGAGCCAGGCAATGGCTTATTCTGCAATGGCACCTCCTGGAGAAATAATATCTTGGCACTTATCCTTTATTTCAAGCTGAAGCTCCTCGCAAAATACCATTTGAGCCATTTGAGCCATTGGTCTCTGACTCTCTGAGAATCAAGTGCTGTTCCAAGCGTTTCCACCTTTTCTAACTGTCAGCCCATTAATTTTTAATATTAGGGTACTAAAATTCATGTACACGGTTGGGAAATCGAGTCTATTTGGGTCTATGTTGTTCTTGGGTTCAAATCCGAGAAGAAGAGGGAATTGCACAGGTGGGCATTCTTTTCTAACGCATTTGAAATTTCTTTTTAAATTCACATGGCATATACCATCAACCAGAGCATGTCACAGTATCCTACAGAAGGGGGCGGCGGCTGAGAAATCAATTCTCAGCTATTCCGAACTGTAGACCACAGTAATTGAATCACCTGGACCGTCGTCATCCGTCGCCAGTGTACCAAGCCATATCCCACTTCGACTGCTTCAACTCGGAGCTTACGCGACCAGATCATCCTCATTGTTATCCTTATTATCAACCATACTGGGTGCTGTTGAATTTGCTACGCCGCATGACTGATTCGTCGGGTACGATGTATTTGGATTTAGAACTGCTGGGCGATCCAGAGGTCTTGTCGGAATTGGCACTGGATTTGGATTTGGTTCGGGACTTGGATTTGAATTTGGACTTGGAGTTGGACCTGGATTGAGACTTGGGCTTGGGTCTAGATTTGGATTTGGATCTGGGTCCGGACTTGGAACACGAACGGAAATCGCTGTCTCCATCATAGTCAGTCTCGCTCCAGTCGTCGATCGGATCCCAATCTTATGCCAGAAACTCATGGTCGATGATTGAAAATTGACTTAGGAAGTTTTTGATTTGTGAAGTGGTTGAATGGGGAACAGGCTTGGAGGGAGTTGTTTGAGGTGCGTATCCAACAATCGAATGAGACAGACTGATGGCTGTAGTGCAGGAATCGAGGGTGTTTGAGTTGGAGATGTGGAGATGTCGTTTATTCTGGAAGTTCCCAAACCTGGAAGGGCAGAGCCAACATATACATCTTCTCTGGAGACGGCGCAAGGTTTCCTGGGTAATTCTCTACTTTTAACCTCAGTGAGTTGTCCTTGGGGCGCCCCTCCGAGAGACAGAAAGGCGTGAGACTTCCTGAAGCTTCCTTGGAGAACCCATAGACCAAGACAGTTGTCTCAAAGGCTTCACACGGCCTTGTAACACGACGAACGGAAAGATTGCCAAAGAAACATTTAAAAATAGTAGCGATTTCGAGTCATACAATAAAGCGACGTTTCAAAACTCATTTTTGGGTTGTTTTGACAGCTAGAAGGATAGGGCTGCACAGATACTTGTTCGGCCCGGCAGCTTACGGCCGGCTAACCCGTATACTTCCTTCTTCATCCTAGGTATACTTGGATATTTTACCACTCCCCCTCGTCTGTCTTTTCCTGTCTTTGGTTATGATGATTGGTGCCGAGCACTATGCGCCGTAAATAGCTTCGTTTACTCCCGTTCCCGTGTCTAGAATTTTAATACACAGTGGCTATGCATGAGAATTGTGCTTGTATCGGAGCTACGGTTCAATACCGCTTCTCACAAAAGTTTCCTCTCACACGCCTCCCGGATGTCTCGGTCTCATCAGCTCAGCCTTCGGGACCATGCATCTGTGGCCCGTCCTTGTCTCGGTTGGAAAGAAGTTGAGCTAGGTTGAAACCGGCGGGGTCTACATGGGAACAAACATTGCGGATCGTCTAGGGAACTGATGTCCCTCACACGTGATAGAGCTCTAGCAAGGAACAAGAGGTATATCAAATTAGAAGCTCATGACTTCTTGGGCCTTCGCTACAATATCGATGAATGATTGCATACGATGAATTATAATAGCATAGTTGGTCAATCACTCGACTTGATCCATTTCGGATATTATACTGTAGGTTGGAATTTGTGTTTGGATAAACTAAATGCTGTGTGCCATGTACTTTTACCGTCCCAATTTACTGACAGCGGCACGCAAAACTATAGATATTTACTTTCAACCCTCGTGAGAAAATTTTAATACCAAGGGGAAGTTAAAACCGTACCTCTGACGCCAGTGATATTGCTGCATACCAAAGGCCGTATCGAACCGGAATAGGTGCCACTCTACTTTCTTGAAATTGACGCCGCCAGATATCATTTTGTGCACAATAGCCACTTCCTATTACGCTGTAAGGAGATAATGAAAATCATGATTTAACCTAATTCAAGCGATCTACTGTGTTGCGTATATGCATGTCGATGCATAGCATGCGAATAGAGTTGTATTGGCCGGCTGTAAGGGCAATGTCTACCTTATGAAATGAACATTAACGAGACTTAGCGACTACCAATTTCCAACTTCTATCCGAGCAGTTCGATCTTCACTCCATCTATATCAAACAATACGAGCACTCGTGTTAATTACCATCATCGTGTCGGCTCTTACAAGAAACATAGCCCTAATCACTTGCCGAAGCGTGCGTCCAGGGGTATCGACAAGGCAACTGCCCTCGCCCTAGCACGCTATGGAGTTCCTGTTGTTGTCAACTATGAAGCTTACACCAAGGGCGCCGACAGAACAGTCCACGCTATAGGAAACAAGGATGCTATTTTCGTCAAGGCCGATGCTAGTACTCTTCCCATCATTGAATGTTTCATCAACACCACTATCAATCACTTCGACAAGCTCGATATTATCATCCCCAATGCTGGCTCTGTGCCTATGAATAGTTTGGGCCACACAACGGAGCAAGACTTCGATGCCGCCTTCAATTTAAATGTCAAGGGTCCAATTTCGTTAATCCCAAATCTTTTACAAAAGCTAACATAGAACCATAGAGTCGCTCCGCACATGTCAAACAACTCCCATACGCCGTTCTCTCGACCAGCCCCAGCGCTGTCTCTACGGTCATACCCTTATCTCCTGTACCCCCTATAAAAAGGCGCCATCAAGCATATGGTTGGCGTGCTCAGTAAGGATATCGGGGAAAAGGGTATCTGCGTTACCGCTGTTGCTCCAGGTCCCACAGGTACAGCAACTATCGAGAAGGGGAACAGCCAGGAGTTGCTAAGGACGATCACTGGCTTCAATCCACAGGCTAGAACTGGTATGCCGGAGGACATTGCGGATACCATCACGAACTTGGCTTAGAATTCCAGGATCTCGGGTCAAGTAGTCCGTGTCAATGGCAGCCTGGTGTAGATGCTGCCGGTGGAGGATGATGCGAGGATGCAGGTTTCCGATAAGATTTCATAGTACAGGACCTTGCCTGCAACATAATGCTAACTCGGGATAGGAAATATCCTAAACTTGAATACTACTTCGTGCCACATTGAGATCGGCGGAACCAAGGGCGGCAGTAGCCTCTTTTCCACATGTAGTTTGTGTCTTTCAGAGCCCACCTTTGGCAGGCGGGAGAAATATCGAGGTGATATTTCAATACATTACCGAAGTGCCCCATTCTACAAGCCTTTGCGTTTGTAGTTTTGTAGGAGCACGAAAGCTTAACACGGCAAATTGGAAGGGGCGGTTGAAAGTGAAAGTAAGATGAATTTTCACTTTCGCTGATACCAGTTCGAAAAGTGTGCGGGACGGATTCCACTTACCAACCAATCCATTTTCTCACATTATATCACCAATGTCCTATAACAACACCGCGTCTTGTTTCAATGGCAAAAAAGGACAAATTAAAAATGGTCCTGGTGAGCAGCCATCTAGCAATATCCTGGCAGATACCGGGCCTCAGCTTGAAGCACTGATGACAGTTATCCCGGCGGATGAATTTCCAGATGGTGGTCTCGAAGCGTGGTCTGTCGTCCTCGGTGCTTGGTGTAGCAATTTCGTCTCCTTTGGTTGGGTTGCCTGCATGGGCGTTTTCCAAGCCTATTACCAGACACACAAACTACACCACCGCTCCCCTAGTTCTATCGCCTGGATTCTGTCGACTGAGTCCTTTGCATTATTTGCTTGCGCCCCAGTGTTTGGACATATATTTGACAACTATGGCGCGAGAGCCTTGTTGGTTGGGGGAGCGGCCTTCCATGTGTTCGGGTTGATGATGGTTTCTCTCTCGAAGGAGTACTATCAAATCCTCCTCGCACAAGGGGTTTGCAGCGCTGTCGGCGCCAGTGCAGTATACTGGGCTTGTAGCAATGCGGTGGGGACTGGGTGGCTTCGTCGGAGAGGATTGGCAATGGGAATTGCATCGTCAGGGAGTTCAGTGGGCGGGATTGTAGGGACGTGGGTTTGATATTCGTCCCCCTTGCCGGGTATTTCTAATGATGAATAGGGCCGCAATCCCAGCCCTTTTCGATAAGATTGGTTTCGCGTGGACGATGCGAGCGGCTGCATTCGTGTACCTATTCCTCCTCTCCATATCAATCACGACCGTTAAGTCGAGACTTGCACACAAGTCGGTGAAATTTCAGGCGTTGGACCTTGTGCGTCCTCTAAAGGAGAAGCCTGTTCTCCTAGTTGCAGTGGGATGTTTCTTCTTCTTCCTTGGTGTTCTCTTGCCAGACAACTTCATACCAATCGAAGCAATGGATGCCGGCATGTCTTCATCGCGGGCAAATAGCCTACTCGTAATATTTTGCGCAGCAACGTTCGTCCATCTCCCCAGTATTTCCGGGAAACTTCTGGAGACACGAGCTAACCTGCCACATAGTACCATAGGTCGCATCGTGCCGGGATGGGCAGGCGACCGGTTTGGGATTTTCAACGTCACCATCGCTTTTACTTATCTGTCTACGCTCCTAGTTTTCGTGCTCTGGATTCCTGCCAAAAGTGACCCCAGTCGGATGGCATTCGCAGGCCTCTATGGCTTTTCATCTGCGCTCGTATCCGCGATCCCTACATTGGCTGCGCAGGTCTGTTCTAATATCGATAAGCTAGGTGCATATATGGGCGCAATATATATCGTGCTATCTCCTGCAATCCTGATGGGCCAGCCGATTGTTGGGGCGTTGCTTGGCGCTTCTGGGAGTGGAAATTATTTATATCTGAAGATATTCGCTGGACTTATGATGTTTATCGGCGGGGGCGTATTTATTTTTGCTAGGTTCGCGTTCGATGGTGGGGAGAAAGGGATCTGGATATAACACGCCGTTCATATAGAGAAATATCTAGCGAACTAGTAATATTTATTATTTAGGTATATTTATAGTTAATTACTTTATATAACCTTTATAATAATAATTATTAATAAGTAAGTTATTAAAAATAGTTCATATATAAACATCGTTTCTTTTCTCTCTTTAAATAGCTTTTTGTTTCTTTTACTAGAAAAGATTATATAATACTAACAACATTAACTTGATAAACAGGTAACTAATCCCTTATTATAGATAGTACAACCGACTATTATAAGCTAGTTAATAATAAACTCAGGCTATTAGTAGTAGCTTATTAATATATACTTTTAAATAGCCAACTATTTTCCCATTAAAAGTAGAGAAGGTGTAGAATCGTTTATACATAATCTAATTCGTAACCTGTATCGTCCCTGTAGTCTTTACAATCCCCCTGGGCCAGCTCCGATCTTCCAGATCACTACTCGCGTCCCTTAATTTACTCTCACTATCATTCCAACCTCTTTGGTTCCCGTCATGTGAATCCCCACTTGTCTGTACTCTCTCCAGATCCGCATCCCCCTCAATCACTGTCGTGACGCCACCCGTTTTCCCGATATCACTCCTTAACACAAAAGTCTCGGTGTCTTTACTGCGGAGATATCTCGACGCCCGCCCGTTGAATTGCGGCTGGCGGTTCGAGGCGCTCGGGGTTGTCCCACTGCCCGAGCCACCAATGGTGCTAGAGAAGTAGGCGTTGAAGAGGGGCCGGAGGGTCGCGGCGCCGGAGGCGGTAATGCCAATACCTACTTCGACGGTTGACCAAATCGCCACGTCCATGGTGGAGTAGAGGAAGTCGTTTATGTCGGCCATGCCACGGATGTATGGAATGCGAATGATCGTTGCGCTCGAGGCACTGAGGGTGGTTCAGCCATCGTCCTTTAAATTACCCAGAGGGGATGGGGGAGGAGAAGCGGCAGGATTATACTCACATGGCACCAACGGCAAGAATTGCGGCAACGGAGAGTTTGGTGCGGATGTTCATCTGCAGGTTCCAGACCATAAATACGGGGATAATGCCGAGGGTCCAGTCCGCCGCGCAGGAGATGGCCGAGTAGGCATAGAAGCTGTCGACTATGACCTTCGGGTTGATGCAGGTTCCCTTTCCGCCGGTATACTGGGTCCAGAAGTAGGACGACGGACGACACTGCAGGATAAAGAGGAAGAAGAAGAAAGCCGAGTAGACTTCCGTGACGATTATGACCGCCCAGATGATGACTTTGTGGGTCCTCGCCACGGCGATTCGAAGGAGGAAGATGCCGATGCTGAATTTGAGCGCCATACAGGTCAAGATGTAGACGGGTTCACATGCCCACCACCACTGGACGTTGATGATTAGCTCAGAGCTCCTCTTGCCCGTGAACATTTCCTTACCTTCAACCCCTGGGGGAGCTCCCCCCGTGGAATATCATCGGCATGCTGGCCAGTTCCGTGATGTACCCCGGAGAGCGCAAACGTACTGTAGACCATGAAAAGCGCCTGGTGAGTCTCGTTAACATTTTCGGCACATCAGACGTAGAATCGAAGAGGGTACTGTACCCAAGCGGCGACCGCAGACCAATCGTCGAGCCCAAAGCCTTTGACAATAAGAACCCTACAGTAGCATCGTAGACCTATTGCTATGGTGCTCAACGCGATGAACAAACCCACTGTTCCAAGCAGTTCCGGTCCTCGACCCGCGATAGTCACGGTCATGATGAGTAAAGCGAAAGTTTTGGCTGACCGGCTTCGATACTCGCGCTGCGGAAGGGAACCAGGAGACGGTGGCTCGATTTTTGATAGTGAGCTGCATGAGATATAACTAAGTTTTTCAGCCCATCCCGGTCGTCGTTATCTGCCGACCTTGCCTCCTGGCCTCCCCATCCCATGAGACACTATTCCGGAGATCCCCAATGCAGCGGCATCTTCCTCGCCCCCTGCGCTAGTGACGACTTTGTTTTCCACTCCGTCGTCCATTGTTTGGCCCCTGGCGTATAAGTGGCACGGAGGTATAGCCCAGAAGCAAAAGCGGCCGCTCCAGCACGGGGACCACACTTTACTCGGCTCGGGGATTTCAACGCCTTTGTGCAACTAACTTTGATGAAGGAGAGTGAAGCCGCAGCTTCGGGCGGGCCCATGCTAGTGGTGTTGGTACGGAGTATGCTTTGCTCTGTATGGGCGGGTTCCCTCCGTAGCGCGGCTGCTGGCTATTATTACGTATCCAGCACCCAGGTTATCTCCATGCACGGCGAGACACTTCCAGAATCAATCTACAGCAGCAGCAGCAGCATCTCCACAAAGCTTCCGAGGTTGGGCGGGAAATAATCCACGGCCACGGCATCTAGAACGCTGATTAGCCAACGCCCCTGGCGCCCGCCGATCTCTGCAGCAGGCTTGGCGGAGGTGTTTCCCACAACTGCTACCGTGCCGGTACTTATCAGCAGCACCCCGGCCCTTAATGGCTTGCTGCCCACGTCGTACCGATTTAGGGGGGGATTGGTGAGCGAGATTTGGAAGCATTATTCCGTCTGATCTGAAAGTCGGGGGGGGGTTGGATGCTGGATGCTGGATTGCTGGATGCTGGATTGCTGGATGTTGGATGTTGGATGTTGGATGTTTGGGTGTTTGGGTGTTGGTTCGAGAATTCCGGCTCGTAGTTTCGCCCCGCCCGCAAACCCCTAAACCCACTGAATAAATTATTAACACGCTGATACGGAGCACATGTACTCGTGGTGATACTGTAACAAAGCCCTTCGAGACGCTTAGCAACCAGGAGGAACCCCGTATCCTCAAGAGATTCCTCCGTGTGTCGAAAGCTGTTGCTCACACCCACCACCAGGACGCTCACGACGGGGACCACACTCTCCAGGGGGAGACCTGGCAGGTTTGGGAAAAACGTGTCCCCCCCGCATTTCCGGGACGGTAGTGCGGTAGCGGGGACCTTGAGAGTCATGTTTCCCGTCCCAGGAGGCGGTTTTTGCAGATCTTTTTTGGGTGGCCGGGGTGCCCGAAATACCCCCTGGGCGGAGAGAGATACCGTACATCTTCATGTAACTTACTTACTTACTCTTTGACCCCGACCTCGACCTCGACCTCGACCCGGACCCCATTATGCCTTATGGCACCACCACCACCACCACCACCACCATCACCAGACCAGACGAACAGGCTGGAAATCAAATTGGGGTTGCTGGGATGGCACCATCCCTCGAGTACCATAGCGACCAAGACTGGAGTATTGGTATGTTCTATTGTTTAAGTTCAAGTTCAAGATCAAGATCTGCGCGAACGCACGGGAAATGTTCCGTAAGAAATATAAACAAAAGTACATAATAACACCGATGCCGAACCGTTTGCTAGTTGCCAGTAGCCAGCAACTAGCCAGTGTCAGAAAGTCGGGATGCACGAGCCACATGCCACCAACAGGAGCGTGTCCAGCGTGTCCAGACCGACGAGCCGCTCCGCTCCGCTCCTCTCCTCTCCTCTCCTCCCATCGTCCCCCCTCTTTTATACCGAGGTCCCCGTAGCGGTATTCGAGGCAGGACAACAGACAAGAGGACAGAGGGACAGAGGACGACAGACGACAGACGACACGAGGACAGAGAGCGGAGGACGGAATAATAATTCAATTCGCCAGACTTCCAACGCCCGGGCCCTAACCTTAAATCTTTTCCCACGCCTTGCCACGCGACCAAATTTCCACATTTCCTTCACATCGAATCGAAGCATTCCCTCCTTCTTCTTCTTCTTTTCCCGACACCGACTGGTGGCGGTGGCGTTGCGATTCCGCGCCAAAAACTTCCGTCTTTCCTCCGTACGTGATTCTGCTACCGAGGCACCTAAAAATAGGCCTGTCCGTGTCATGGAAGTTAGTAAGGCCTCCGCTGGGACTCCAACATAGGTACATGTACCTAATTTAGACATGGACATAGATACTCAAGCCTAACTACAGATCGGGGAGGGTTGGTGTTGGAAATACATGTACGTGCGATATCATGATAGATTGGTGTTAAAGATACTGCAAGTACGCTTAGTATAAGCACGTCCTCTACAACCGGCCCTAGGGCTAAAGCTCTTGTAATTAGATTGATCGTCCCAATCTATGCTTTGACTATTATCTACTTACCGCTACCTGCTTTGGCTTATAATAATCTTAATAACCTAGCGCATTGTAGAGGCTTAGCTGATTCCACGGGGATGAACCGTCATGTGTCATGGCTAATCCGCATCCAGGTTCAGCCCGCCAAATTCCAAAGGCTGGGCAGCCTGGGCAGCTGGCCTGCATGGCTTCTGATCATCATTCTTCGAAAAAGAGTCGGTCACAGAAATGACATCCATAGTTAAATGTACCGCCGTCACCATATCCGAGTGACGATCATCTCAGGCCTTGAGGCAGCGGGCCTCATCTTATTAGCTGTTCTCCCTCTGTTCATCTCTGCCGCCGATCACTCCTTCGATAGTCTCGACCCAATAATACCTGTGTTTCAACCACACCTTTGCAAGTACCGGAATTTGATTTGGCTCGGAACGGTCAGAAGACACATTTTCGATACCGCCTGATCGCCTTATTTGGGAAGCTGCCACTCTCGCAATCTCAGGAACAAGCGCTGCTCGATGGCGACGGTGGCCTTAGCAGCCGAGGGGACGATGATGAGGATCTGCAGGAGGAGCAGCTTCGAGATACACTTTTTCCACGGAGACGAGTCCTCCATGGCCAATTTAGACGCAATTGTTTCTGCGCTTGAGAAGTTGACTATCCAAGGTAAACCCGATGGTTAGTTTCCAGTACATTTTTATCGGTCAGCTCGACTGGCTCAGGTTTCCTCATTATATAGATAGATTCCCTTGTTTTTACCTATTGTTCTGCCGGCCTGGTTTCTGTCACCAATTCATTCCCGTGCTATCCTAGGCTCCCTGCACTGTTTGCCTTATCTCCTTGCTTGGATATTACCATTCATCTCGTCTGTACTACCCCATCTCGTCTGTACCACCCCATCTCTCTTTGGTCCTGTCAGAACATCCGTGCATTTTGTTCAAGGTCCGCAGTTACAAGGTGGACGAAAAACCAACAAATGCACGTCGGGCAAGGATATCTCCAGAGTCCATGCTCTTTACGACGAGTTCTTTTCAAAAGGGATGGTCCAAGGAAGATTTTGCAAGGAGGATAAGGTTCAGCTGATACGAGAAAAAAAAGGCGCACTCGGCTGCTCGAGGAGATCCAGGCTTGTGATAATACCCTCTCCAGATTTTGGCGAAGCAGTCAAGAGATAGTATTAATCGTGGAATCATGGCAGAAGCGTCCAAGGGACACTCCGCTCCACGTGAGTGAACACGCAAGATGCCTTCACAATGTTCTTCAAAAGTATTGGCGGTGTGAATGCCCTCCCCCCCCTTCCCCCCTCCCCCCAACGATACGTTGCTTCGATTAGAGCGACGGCAAAATAATCAAGAAACTTGCTAAACCCGCCATGCATTCTAATCTATTATTCGCGTGAACCGAGTTCTAACAATGGGAACATCGATGAATGCTCGTAGCAACAAATAGAAATCCGCATCATCGCAAAAGGGATGTGTATGCTCAATCTTTCGTGATTGTGCAGCGATACACGTCATCAGTACGGAGTAAGGTAGCTTCGGTTGCCAATCATCCACATGTTAATAATAATAACATGTGCGCAGCGAAAGAGAATCCAACCCCAAGCGAAAGGCTGCTGTGCGATGGGCGCATCTAGAACCGAACGCCACGATGACCAGGTAGTTTACGAAGTACATGTACTCGAGTACCTCTTCCCAAGACTTCACACTCCGAATCCCAGCATCAAGTCTCCAAGCGCGGTTGCCTCGATACACAGCAATAAGTCTACACCAGTATCTCCGACGATATCGATTCCACAACACCACAAGATGTGACAACTATATGCGAGATCGCGATACTGCAACCAACCGCGCAGTCATGTTTCGGCTTCATCATAGATGTAGAGGATAAGCTGAAAAGGGCCATATGTCGCCCTAGAATGGCACAGATACTTTTCACCAAAAGTTCTGACCCTCGACCTCCTCCTCCTCCAAAAGGCTGCTCATCCTCCGGGGCCTAGGGACCATATCGATGCCATGACCCTCGTTAAACTCGAGCGCCTCACTCTGGCTGTAAACTTGGCATCTTCACTCACTACTCCAACTCCACACCACGCCCTGGGTTAACGAGCGCTGGAATAAGAGGGACATCTTATTCCTCGCGAGCAACTGAACCATAAATCCAGGATCACGGCCACGACCCGTAGATATCGAACGGCCGCTTCTAGCCCAGCGCTTCTTTTCCAGTGACCCTTCGCCTCGCGACACAAACTCAAACCTCTCCCTCGATCCATCCACCCCAACCTAAGTGTGCTATCCCTCGGTATCATGCTTCTAGAGCTCTGGTTCGCAACGCCGATTGAAGCACGGCGGCCGCCCAGCGACCTTGTAGACGGGAAACTGAATACCAGTAGGGATCTGGCCGTCGCAGAAAGGTGGGTGAAAGAAAATGCTAATCTGGAAGATATTCCAGCAGGGTATTGGCAGGCTGTTAGTAGTTGCATTTACTGTGTTTTCCAGCCGATGCCCAGGGATATGGGTCTTGACAATCCGGACTTTAGGGAGGAGGCGGTTTGGCAGAATGTTGTTGCCCAGTTTGGAAAAGGAATTGCAGGCTTAGAAAGGCGTCGAGGGCCGTAACATTTGGGATTATTACTGTCCTTGAATACTTCGTATTGAAGCCAATATGGGCGATCATCGCTGCAGCGAGGTCGGTATTGAAACAATTAGGACCCATGGGATGGATTATTATTAAATTCTTATTATGTCTCTAACAATATACTCCTATAATATACCTCTTCTGAGCCACGCAATGCTTTGTATAACAGTATGCCGAGGACAAGGGATCTAGTTTGTTCATGACAAGGAGACAGACAGCAGAGCACCAACACCACTACTCCAACTATAGGCACCCCTTGGTCTAGCGTCCATTGCAAACATCCCTAAAACAATGGCGAGATTCGACATAGCGTCTATCGGTTTTTCATTGCTGCATGTTTTGAAAACTTAACAGCAATTTCCTCCTCCGTTAACTTCCTCGTTTTTGTCCTCAGCATATCGGCTAATTCCTGCTGGCTCATGCCAATTTGCGAACCCATTGGTACGAGCTTGGATGCCAGATACATGTAGTTCTTGGTTAACACCCGATATGTGATTTCCAGGTAGTCGATGTTCTGGAATACTAGCGCACCTTCATTGGAATAGCGCTCCTTGGCTGCGAGGAACGCGTGTGGGTGGTCTCTCCAGTGACGAAGTGGGTTAAGGTGGTGAGATGTATGATAACCATCGTTGAAGCAGAAGCGGTTTGACTTTGTGGCATGTAAGCGGCTGACATGAAGCATTTTAGGGGGGGGNGGGGGAGGGGATATTTGACTTACTGGGACATCGATGAGTGTTATACTAGAGCGGAAATCCGAATCTGGTGATACATCATCGACGAGACAATGTTGGCCCCAGTTCCCAATCATCAGACCCACCCGGAGAACGACAAATGGCAATAGGATGACATATAACGTTGGTTTGAATTTCCATCGCGCCAGCAAGTACATCATCGCGTATGCAGACCCCTCGGTAAGTAGCATACGGCACGCCAAGTTGTATTTGCCTTTGCGGACAAAGTAGCAAGGGAGGTCGAACCAGCAGAGAAGCAGGAATCTCAATTCGTAGTGCAGGAAATGAAGAACCGAGTCCCGCTGGTAGCGGATAGTACTCGAGAGATCATCGGGCCCATTGCCCTCGACATGGTGAGCCTTAACATGGTGATAATAGTACGAATCCCAGGTGTGGCCCATGAGCGGCTCCAAGATGTACGGGAAGGTCCAGTCAAAGAGGCCGTAGGATTTTGAGAGCACGCCGCGATTATGGATGTGATTGTGCATCATGAGGGTAAAAGCGCCAGAGCACCATACGATGTAAACAACGTGGGCGATCCCATGCCATAGATTGAAATCGTAGAAGAGATATATCGCACTTGGCAGGGCGGTGGAGAAGTATAGAAGCAGGTGTGAGACGAAAACGACGTCTGTTTCGTGCCGTACTACCGTCCTCGCCCACTTCACGTACTGCTGCAGAATACGTTCACGCCAATTCCGAGGAGTCTTGAAATCGTGGAGGTCGTAGTCCCAGCTAGAAAAGATGGTAGGCTGGAAGTTTGCGTGTTTGGGGTCGTTGAGGCTCGACAGGAGCTCCAATTCGGATCCATCCGGCCCAGGACTTGGTGAGCCATTGAGCTCAGAATTATTGATATCTCGATACAAGGCTTCTAGAACAATATTGTCCGGGGGTGTAAAGTATGCTTCGTCGGGGCGTTTGGCCGCAATAGTGGATATGGCGGTGGTTGTGGACGCCATATTAAGGCCGGCAAATACCCCGAAACGGTAAATATTAACAGATGAATTGGATGATTATTTATGATATGGCGGAATGTCCGAGGTACGGCCTAACCACAGATAGATTACCCTGTACAGGACGCAGCTTGGGACGGGTATTAGATTGCTAGCAGGAGAATCTGCGGGGAGGCATGGTGTGAGGCTCGCTGAGTGGTTCCGGGGAACGGCAGGTAATAAACACAAAACGCAATTGCTCCTGTGGCGACCCAGTCGTCAGGAGATTTTAAGGGCAGGACGTGGGTGTGCAGTGCCGTGCTAGCAAGCCGACGACGCGAGCAGGAAAGCAGACAAGAATCAAATCGCGCAGCCGTGAAAGAAACACTGGTTCTATATTCGCTCAAATAGTGACAAGGTATGAAGAGACGAGGTCCTTGAGGCTCAAAAACGGGGTGGTACAGCAGAAGGAGTCGAGTGTTGTTGACCCCTGAGCTGAGAGAGCCCGAAAAAATTGATCGGCTCAGCCACGCGTACAATATCAGGCGCCACCCTTGGGCTTAGTTGGTTTAGTGGTGTGGTCGAGACCAAGCGATAAGGATAAGGATAAGGACGAGTATGTACAGTAAGCCTCCGTCAGGACCTTGCATAATCGTACAACACAGTGATATATATTGAATCGCGGATAAGCCGTGCTAAAAAATACTGGGGTCCATGTTGGATTTCACCCGTTTCTCCCTACATACTATACTCCGACTGTGTTTGTCCCTTTGTCCCTTATTGCAAAGTAATAATGGCTCCCTCGCTTGAATGCACCTCAAGGGGCTGATACGCGAGGGGGTAGGTGCTCTGTTGGTGGAAACAGGCACATAAACTCTCCCTCCAGGGAGCTACGCGGCCTCCCTTAGGTATGCAAGCACCTAAAGAAGATACTATTGTGTTTACAGGTACCACAGTACCTAGGTGGTTTCACCTAACCCAGGCATTAATCCCAGTTAAAAGAAAAATTATCATTATTATCCAATAAACTAGCCCCACTACGAAGTAGAAGATAACCCGGCCATATAGCGATAACCCTCGTCCTATAGTACATTCAAAGAAACCCCAAGGCCCCATACATTTACAGCATCATCATACCAATATTTCGCTCTCTCCAGACTCCGCCGTTTAAGACTGCCCAACGCCCTCTTTAAGTTGCTCCGCCATCCCTGCGTAATCGAAATCACCGCCCTCTCGAGGAGGGCTAGAAGTGAATGTTGCATCCGTGTGCTTCCCCGGCGTACTCATATTATTATTACCATTAGTATTGGGTTGAGGAGACCCGGTATCGGCGGGGGGCTCGGAGCAGGAATGCGTGTTCTCGTCCTCTTTGCCTTGCACTTCCCCGTGCTCGTGATGAATTGTAGCATCGTGATGTTGACCCCCGCGGTTATTCTCATGCCCGTGTCCACGTTCCATCCAAGGCTCGACAGCTCGGTCATAAGTACCGCTGCTATCATGCCGATTCGCACCTTCTTTAGCAGCACCGCCAGTCCACTCATGTCCCTCCATATTCCCCGCAGGGTCCTCACTGATCCACTCAAGATGATGCTTTTCCTGGCCCACGGCGACATCACTATTGTGCCACTCAGTAGAGTTCTTGCGAGCAGGCGGCTCAACCCAACTGTGATTCTTGGCCTCCGACCCATTGACTTCCCAACCGCCGATGTGCGGTGGTGGAACATCTGCTACCTGCCCGTAACCAGCCCACGACGGATCAGCATCGAAACTCTCCGTGACAGGTATATTCCACCCGTGGTTGACGGCGTTGGTGGGATCCTCATAAGCGCCAAGATTAACGACGGTAGTAGCTAAGAAGTGGTCGAGGTTCGAGGCTGCGTTAGAATGCCCGGTCTCTACTAACGTAGAATCACTTTCAGTCGTAGTTGTGGATGAGAAACTGAGGTTCTCGGGAGGCATGTCGAAAGCTTGTTGATGTAAGGGGCTGGCGCCAAAATTAAATTGTTGTGTCCCAAAAGGAGACTGTAGGCCCGCCGTGTCCGGCGGCGTGACAAGACCGGTATGGGGGTGTGCGTTGTGGATAAAAGCGTCATCCATCATATTCGACTGGTGCTGGGGCTGGCTTTGTAGCTGTACGGGTGCTTCCATGAAGGCACTGAAATTCTCGTTCATCGTGGCAGAGATATGATGCCTGGGATGAGGACCTGGGGACATGATAGCCCGTCTCGGGGGTGAAGGATGGAGATAACGCCAGTAAGTCCCACCATTTCCCTCACCAGAGCTTGCTTTGCGGAACGTCCAGATGATAACTGCCCGTCTCACGAAGGGCATCCCGGGGCCCGATGCGGATTGTACTTCTTGGTACATTGATATTTGCTTGACGTATTCTCGCACTGATCTAGAGCCTTCCCCCGGGAAGGAATCCCGCTTCTCTTGGTGCTTTAATTGAACATCTGCGAGATTTGTGAAGGCGTGAGCCCATGGGTTCGCAGGAAATGGAATCTTGATGCGCGCCTCATCCTCATTGACCGACAACACTTGGATCCACGATGCCTGGGATTCCACTGGTGGGTCAACGGCTGGATCTCGACAGAGTTCGGGCGGTTTCGTGAGAGTGGTGACGATTTGCCAGACACAACTCTCCAATTCGCCTCGAGGTATCGACAGTTCAGTGCGGCTAACAAGTTCTGCTCCTTCCGGTGGATGGGTGGACATCAACTTTAGAGACACATCCATGTGGATGATGTCACATTGGAGCTCCCCTGCCGAATGAAGCCGTTGAAGATGTGGAAATCTACGCCACCAATTAGGAATTGACTCGAGGCTATCGCTAGGTCTCTGCGACTTTAAAATGGTACATTGGTGTGCGACATTCCCATCCGCATAGAGGTCTTCCTTGCTATCCCTTCCATTGGATTCAGCAGGGATCGACGTGGACGTGATAAAGAGCCAGAAATGAGTCGGCTTCATAGACAAACGATGCATTGCCACTTCCTGATTGGCATCGGCGTATTCTCTGAATCGATCATACCGTGTATGTGGCAACCGGCCCTCCGAGATAGCTCTCAAACATGGGTCGTTCTTGAAAGATTGATTCTCGAGACCTTTTTTGCCGTCCTTGGCCTCTGGGAAGAGCTTGTGATCTGGAAATTGTGAGCAAAACTCATACCACGTTGTGGTTTGAACTTACAAGCTGGGTGGCCCTTGAGAAAGCCCTTGATGACTTGGATGTGGCTGGAGACTTGTTTCCGATTGCGCATCATGGTAGGATCTGGATGCTGCCCAGGGGGAAGGCTCTGGAGGTATGCGATCCATAAATATTCTACAATCAGCTCATTGCGGCCATGGAGCTTTCCTTTGTAGGAATATTTGCTCCTGCCCATGAGTGGGATCTCAATTAAGGCTATTCGGTGTCAGCGCGAGGAATACTAGGCTAGGAAGCTTTCCGGTCATTACCATCAAGAAATGCAGCCTCGAGAACCTCTGGCCACTTCGAGTCCTCGCCATTCCGATCACGCAGTTGGCGTTTTCGATATGTCTGATACTGCGGAGAATCGGCGATAGGGTTCCGAGTAAACCTCTGCAACCTTCGTCTGCGTTGTCTCTGTCGTCGTTGCTCCCAAGTCTGTCCTACAGACTGGTGCGGAGGTAATGATGGGACTGTTGGAGTAGGATACATGGGCCTGGTTGCCCGAGACTGAAGCTCCTTATTATCATGATAAAGCCCCGCCGAGGCAAGAGCATGGAGTTGTGAGTTGCCAGCTGAATCCGTTAGAGGCTGCCGGGCCCCTACGCGTAAATGTCCACTGGGGTCGTCGAGTGGAAATTGATGGGATGGATAGCTTGAAGGCACAACGTGCCTGCGGAGTTCCATTGATCGTGTAAATATACTTAAGAATGCTTCACTTGGCTTTAAGAACTTGATGGCGTCACCAGGACAGTTCACGCACTCGTAGGTTTGTAAGGCTGCCCACAAAGGATGTCCGTTCCGTGGGGAAGAATAAGGATTGTGGTAAGAAATGCTTGAAGGAATGGCAGCGAGAACTTGGGGATGCAAGTGACTTTAGAGAGAGAATGCCAACATGTGACTGAGAATGGAGGAGCGATCTCCTGCTTATAATAGTAAACCCTCCGGGGATCAAACTGCGTCAAGGAGCTACTGAAGGAGGGACTAAGGAGCTTCCCTTGTACACAGGGAGAGCTCAACGAGATTAGATCCACCGTATCGGTTGGTAATACTGAGGGGCACTTACTTCCATGATACCTAGAACACTTCTTGCAGCTACAGGGAGACGAGACAAAGGGAGCTTTCTAGCAAGGGGAGTGGTTGATTCTGAACTGCCGATGCAAGGACGCCCGTTTGCGGAGGGAAAATAAGCTGCACTCACCTGGCGTTCGAGATCAAAGGAATGCATTCATCTCGTGCAAGCATGTGGCAATTAACTTTGGCCACAGTAGTATAGCACGGAGATGATCTCCGCAGCAACGCAGCAACGGCGACAGGCACGGGAATGCTGAGGGCGAGGAAATGAGATAACAATCAAACCTTAGGAATGAACATAAGAGACAAGAAACTTCTATCTCATTGTTTCACTGTTCCAATTATTGAGTGCTATGTAGACATCATGTGGGTTCAGACATTCCTCTCATAGAGTTAAACCGATCGAGTGCCCAAAACTTATCGACAGTCCGCACAGTCCGCGCGGGATAGCGGGGTATCGATAATGCCCCTCGACACATTTAGGTTTGCACAGGCAAACCTTTTTGTAGCGAAGGGGCTAAGTTGGAGGTGCGGTTCCAGGGATTTTGCATCGAGGGCTGTTGGTGGTGGCGGCAAGGGGTGCAAGTGCGGACCATCTCACCGCCAAGAAAATTGACATCAAGGGAGGCGAAAAAATATATCGCCCGATGACAAGGGCCCAGCTCCTTCAATCGCCCTGCCCGTCATGCCCTTCGATATTAAATTTCTTGCGGCCGGCGCCCGTGAGCTGTTGCAGAGTAACCTTGCTCACTTGACTGCCCACCTTCTTCTGCATTTTCTCGATCTCCTCTTCGGCGTCAACGGAATCCGCCGCCGCGAATTCTAGAACAAGGCGGCGGCCAAGAAGATGGGTGTCTTTCAGTGCCTCTAGTGCATTCTCGGCCTCGCGGGCCGTGATAAAGTCGGCAAAGGCGAAGCCGCGTGTGGAATGATCGAATTTCTTTGGCACCCGCACGGAGCGAAGCTGGCCATAAGTTCCAAAAAGTGTCCGAATGTCCTTTTTAGAAGCTTCAAAGGGCAAGTTCTTGATGATGATCTTTGTGCGCTTGCCGGCCAATTTTTTGGCTTTGTCGTCCTTTCTCCGATCCTCAGCCGCATCGGCCCCTTTGTGCGATGCCTTGATCGAGAGCTTGTGATCGTCAAGGTTGTAGCCATCCATGGCCTTGAGTGCAGCCTGGGCTTGACTCTTTGTTTTGAACTCCAGGAAGCCGAAGCCCATACTAAGGACCTGGCCTGGCCTCTTCACATCCGTCTTGGTGTTGACGCGAGCAGACATGAACCCGTCAAGAGGCTTGAAAACCTCCGTCAATCGGGCACTAGTGGTGCTAAAGTTGAGATTCCGCACGAATAACGTGCTAGTATCAACCGTATCCTCAGCCCTTTCCCGCTCTAGAAGGTCGGACGCGGATAGTTTTTGCTCCACCCCCATGTGGTCTGATGACGCAACAACGGCAGTGGTGCCGCTTTCAGTCGTAAATAGATCCTTGGGCGCCTTCTCTAGAAACAAGACGGAGTCCTTTATACGACGGTACGCTAGTCTGGCAAATGCCGCTCGCGCATGGGTTGGTTGCGCGAACTCGACAACAGCGATCGTACCAGTCGGTGGCATCAATACTCGCAGGACCTGTCCAAACTCTTCGAACATATTCCGAACCTCCTCGAATTTCATTCCATACGGGAAATTCTTAACGAGAATGCAGGTGTCGCCCCGCTCTCGCCTTTTGAAGGCATCGAGGTCCACTCCGTTGTTTTTGAAATATGCCTTTGTCTCTTGGATAACGGACGTTTCTGCGATAGCCTGTTTGACTCCAGCGTCTGCAGATGTGGGATCCAGCAACTCAGACTTTGAGACCCCAAGACGATCAGCAATCGCGGAATTCACAGCATCTTGATTCATATACAAGGAGTTCCAATTGAATGTAGTCGAAGAGGCTTCCGCCTTCTTCTTGATCTGCTTCTGTTTCTTGAGTGGCAATTTCGCAATGGCAAATTCATCCAATTTATTCTCTCGTTTCGGTGCAGCAGGCAAGATGTGCAGCAATCTACCTTGGAACGGCTCACCATCAAGGTTGTGGAAGGCCTCAGCGGCAGCGGCTGGATCGCTGTATTGGACTAAAGCAAAGCCTTTGCTTGTACCGGAAGCATCAACCGCAAGATGGACCTAGCAATGGTGATTAGCATTGAGAAACATAAATATAGAATTCCCATAAAATAAACAACTTTGTTTGCCTTCAGAAAACACGAAGCATCTACTAAAATTAATCGTCCAGTTCACATCATGTGCTTTAAGCATAAGCTGTCCCTATCTGGATATTCATCACGAGGCAAGGAAGAAATATGAAAATATGAAAGATAGAGGCATGCATACCTCTTCTAGTGACCCATACGGTTGGAAATGAGTTCGGAGGTCTTCTTCGGTAGCGGAATATGATAGATTCCTGGCAAAGAGACGCCCGTGCTTTGAGATTTCTGCAACAACCGGGTCCACCTTTTCTATCTCCTCTCCCTCAAACATGGCATCATCCTGGGCAGGTGTATCATTTGTGAGAGCAGCCTCGTCTGCAAGTGGTTCAACCACAGGAGGGGCGGCAACAATATCCACATTGTCTGTAGTTTTTGCAACGACGTCGTCTGGATCCACCAAATCCAAGAGCCTGTTTGTTCGGCTACGGAGCCAATCGTCGTCTGTAGCAATTGCTGTCGTCTGCGTGCCTAGCGTGGGTTCCACCATCTGGACTAGGGTGTCGATGGCAGGCTCTTGCAGGGCTGGCGCCGGACGCGCACTGATGTCCGATGCGACGTCGACAGGAAGCGATGCGGCTGGAGCACTGGTTCTTGGGGGGCTGGGTTTCCGAGTTTTCTTAGGCACCGATTCATAATCATCGTCGCTTTCGGCTTCAGGGAGTTCGACCGCCTGGATCTTCGTGGGCGGTTGCTCGAGGCCGTCATCAGCCTCATCCGCCACAAATTTCTTTATTTTGGACGCCGGCTGCATGACCTCAAGGAACTCCTTCAACTTAGGGTCTGCCTCATCGACATCGCTTCGCTTCCTCTTGGTTGCAGCATTGATCTCCTCCCTCTTGGAAGCAGCCACTTGCTCCCGCCGATTAGCTTGGGCATTTTCCCTCTCCTGTTCGCGTTGGGCCTTTCTCGACAACGGCAGATTCGAATCCGAAATCTATCAACAGAACAGTAAGCAGAGTTCCGCCGCGGGGCGGCGAGGGGGGGGCGGCCTGGCAATTACATACCGGTCGAGCAATCTCTACCGCAATCTTCGACATGCGTATGAATGAGCGATTGAAGTATTTTACTGCCTTGGCAGCATCATCTGGAGTCTTGTATCCGATGTAGCCAATCCTCCGATGGGGGATCAACTTCGCATCGGTGATGGCGGATGTGACGCTGAAATGTTTCTTGAAGTCATCCTCGGACAGAGTCGGAGGGAGATTCTTGATAAAGACGCGTGAAGAAGCCATGGTGGCGGCCAGGGGAGAAGGGGGACCACTGAGTAAGAGGTGATGTATATGATAGCACATCAACACATTGCGTCTGTGCCTGTGTCTGTATCTGTGTCTGTATCTGTATCTGTACTCTTCGTTGTGCTGGTAGAGGGCCTCTCTCTTGTTTCTCTCCTGGTGTTTGTTATTGACTTCGAAAAGAGTAGCGCGCAGAAAATAAAACTTCTCGCGTGGTTGTCTTTTCCCCGTCGCCCGTCCCGAAGTTATCCCGGTCCCCCGACTCGCCGACTCTCGCGTGTCCAACCTGTCCCACGGCCTCTCTGCTGTGGCCCACTAGAGCTCGCACCATTGGGCCAGCAGCACTTGAAACCGCGCCCAGTATGGTGGCCGCCACAGCGCCCAAGACTGGTAGCAGTACCTCCATTCACATTCTCGCCCAGTACTGCGAATTTGCGACTCAATATACAAATCAGCCCCAAACAAGCTCTGCTCCGATCTCTTCTGCTGCTGCCAGTATCCCACGCGTACGAGCGATCTGCCGCAATCTCAACCTCCTCGGAAAGCATCCTGTTTCGCTGTGTTATCGAGCTGCCCAATTACGCAACAGTGCTATCTACAGATACAGGGGGTCCGGACAGTCCTCAAGCCAGACCTTTGATCTCTATTACAGAGACAGCGACAACGAGAACGAAGCTGATATAGACAGTATGGCGTCGGAAAAGGGAAGCACCCAGGGCAAGGAGAAGCTGGAAGGTATGTTCCCAAAGCTGAACAGCCCCTGATGTCATGTTCGCGCCTGCTTTCAATCATGCTAATACGCTGTCTTTCCAGCCCAGATCAAATCGGCGGACATGGTGAGTCTCCTGTCGATCTATACACAACGCGCCATTCTGCAAAGGCGGATTCAGTGACTGGAACGCGCCTAACACTGTGAATAGACGGACGATATGCAGCAGGAGGCAATCGATGTCGGTACGTGATGGAAGATGGCCTTCAAACCTCTGCCCAGCCGCAGAATAGCAACTAACTTCATCTACAGCACAAGAGGGCATGTCCAAGTTTACAATTGAGAAGGTAAGCTGATATCCGACCTAAGACTGCATTGCGCCGGCTCTGCTGATCGCCGGCCCCCTTCTTTTTGCAAACATAGCTAACCTGCCCCGCACTAGGACATCGCACAGTATATCAAGAAGACCGTATGTCCTAAACGAAGCTCCTAGTCCTCTCTAGCGATATACTGATCTGCTTCGCCAGTTCGATGAGCGCAAAGGCCCAACCTGGCACTGCATTGTCGGCCGTAACTTCGGCTCATTTGTTACCCACGAGACGAAGCACTTCATCTACTTTTACCTCGGTCACTGCGCGATCCTGTTGTTCAAGACCCAGTAAAAGGCGTCATGGGTTGCTCCAGCTGGCTAAATGAGTGGATGGATGGATGGATGATTATTCATGGATGATAATGTCTACGACGAATTGAGACAAATGGGAAGTTTGCAAAGGAACAAATAACATTGCAGAAACTAATAATAAAAACTCAATAATGAAGAGGTGACTATCATTTGACAATGTAATTCACAGAGAAGTGAAAGGCTAAACAGCTAACTCTGCCCAGAGATGAATGTTTTATGCTGTTCTCCTCCGGCTCCTGAGTCACTCAAAGCCCCGAAACCACATGTATTTTCCTTGCGTTCTTCCCCCGCTATCTATTTCGACCTTAATACTCCGCTAAACCCCGTCAGTTTATAACTATTATCAATCACCATCCCAAAAGACTAAACGCCCTGTGAAATCCGATACCGTGATCAGACGATGGGCAACAGTTTCGGCTGTAGCAGACCCTGTTCATGCTCATATTTACCATTCTAGTCCCCAAGTAGGAGGGCCAAAGAAAATTGCACGGATCGGGGTTAAGGTTGATCAGATTCTTGCAACAGCTGCTCTTTGCTATGTAGGCACACTACTGAGAACGGTGACCTGATCACTGACACCATTGCCGAAGTTGCCAACGATCTTCGGGTTGATATCGAAGAATCCAAAGCAAAGGAAAACATTTACTATATGCCTCGTGGAAACAGTTATCTCTGAGCCTGCGATTAAGAGGGTTGGCGCTGCGGTTGCCGTCTACCTCGAAACAATCAAATATACTACCGCCCGATGTACATATCCCACATCTATAATATGATATCCCTCCAAATCTTCCAACGATGTCCACATCATTCGATTCGAAGTCGGCGGATAAGATAACGCTCTGGTCGTCATCTGGCGCCTCCCTTTCCTCGAACTCCTCGCTGGAACCTGGAGTACCGAACCTGGGACCTAACTCGATATCACTAACATAACAGATTCGTGATGAACGCTATGTGCCAAAAGCCAAGAGGGGCAGTTCCACCTCTAAGGTCCCCAAGAGGAAGAAGAATCCCACGGTACCCCAATATTTAGACGACCCTCAACCGTCTGGTCCCCAGTATATCAGCTATCCGAGGATCAACTTCCTGTTCAGTCTACTAATCAAGCCCCGACAGGTGGTGACCAGTCTCAGCTTCCTTAAAGTCTACGCTTCAATTTCGCCTCCCCTCTGTCTCAGCCAGCTCCGTCCCTCCCGCTTTTCGACCCCGAGCTTTATCGCGCGGCCGTCAGCGTATAGGACTCGCGAACACTCTCTTAAATGGCTCTCATGACGCTCATGATCTCTTCACACGGGCCCTCCCGCTTTGTTAACAATCCTACCCTTGCTCATGAGATCAAGTGTTGGGGCCGCGCCTCAGAGCTTCTAATGGCCGGTTCATCTATCATATCTAGTAGAAGCCATTTTCTTCGTGATGCCCAAGACAGTCGGAAAGTCCTAACAACAAGACGCAGCTTCAATGATTTTCTTCGCTCCATCAGCTCGGTTACTATTACCCCTACGCCACCAGACGTTGTTGAGCGTGGTCGCCGGATTAACTGACCTGGAAAGGGGAGCGGTATCAGAGGGACGCGGCGGCAAATATAGCCAATATTTGAAGCTGATTTGACAGTTCCACTGGCCTTTGACAGCGTATTCCAAAAAAAAATTGACACCAGATATCTAAATAGCCCTATAATATTTCACTTGATTTTAAACTATCTCTTTGATTTAAAATAACATTCCAGTTTTTTCAACAAGAAGTGTAGCGCCTATTAGCATCCTTCGGGGAGCGACGAGAGAAATATCTTGATGATCGCATCATGGATCATAGTTTCGTAAACCTTTGAGATTTGGGAAGTATTTTTATGAGCGGCATATGTTAAGCTAGAGGTAACAAAGTTAGCCAAGGGAGAACCGATAAGATTGTTGGGAGACTCCCATCATGCAAATGCCGTAGCGGGAGTGCTATTCCATATGAATCAGCTGCAGGACGGGCTCGTCTACAGGCACCTAAGCTATCGAAGTCGGAGAGTTTGCCATTTAACATTGAACTTGGAATTATACAGTATGTATTTAGACTTTAACAATAGGTTTAAATTAAGGATGAAGCCGATGACAAACATGTAAAGTAGAAGTCACAACAACCCCTCGATTATTCATCTCATCTCCCCGCCGATTAACTTAGCAAGTGCATTTCCTTTTACATTTCCAATACTTGATATCGTATAAGCCTACTAATACGATATTAAAATTTAGTTTATCTCTTTCAAGGGCAAAGCAAGGACTTGTCCAATATGAAACACTGATGTACAGCTATTTTTTTTTAAAAAAAAGTGAGAGTAAAACGATAGGTATTACAGCTTATAGAAAGGTTTATTATATTATTATATCTAAACCAAAACCTAAACCGAAATATAACTCTGTTTGGAAGTTTGAGCAGAGTGGTTTTATTAGTAATAATTGTGTGAGTTAATAATGCCAAAAGTTCGTAGTTGATATCAAGGGATTGCCTTCGAAACATGCGCGTGATCCATCCCTAGGAAGATAAACGTGGTATTTAAGTATTAAGGGGTGCATCTTCTCCCTTCAGGGATCCCGTCCTCCACCACTAACCATCATGGCACTATCTACTAGTCTACTCATAAGCACCTTCCCCATCAATCTCAAAAACTCCGGCAATCCACCCCCTAACGGACCCCCTTTAAACCTCTCCACCGTATCCAATTTCCTCAGCACCCTCCCTTCATCTAGTACACTCGCACACCCACCCCCCTCCTCCAGAAGTGGAACAAATATCTCAATAAATTACTGGAGGCGTCATGTATCAATCAATATACCACCTTCATCCCCACATTCTCCATTTCAGGAACGGAATGTTGTATTACATCCCTGCCTATGTTCATCTCATCCGTACCGGCCGCCGCCCCGGGTATATGCCGTGCAGCCCAAATTTACCCCGCTAAAAAGGTAATATATTATTTTAAGCACCACCTTCGGAGCAGGTTGCCGAGATGGCTTGATGGATAAAGAGCTTAAATTTGGTTTGGTTTGGTTTTCCCCGGATTTTTCGTGGGGTTTGCGAGTTGGAACTGTGAGGGTGGGTATTCATATTGTGAGGAGGAGAGGAGCTGGAGAGTGATGGGGATTTTGTTATGATGAGTACCTAAAGGTATGGTGAGGTTGGCGGGGGTTCGTTTCCGCACCCAACACTTACAATAACGCCTAGCAGATAGACATCCTAGCAGGGAAATGGACAATTTAGGAAGAGGACGAAACAAAGAAATGATACGCCGATCGAAGCCAGGCCACTACCGTAAGCATCAGCCGAGAGGGAACCCTTTTCAGGGGTCAGCCTAAATCGAAGTCAAACTAAACGATTGCCTCTATAACCAAAACATACGTGCGAATAACAGTAACAAGCTGCGCAACCTATGATACTAGTTATCAAAGCCTCTCTCACTTATCCTGAGTTTTACTAGAAACATATAGAATTCATCTCGACTAATTTGAATTTCTGGCGGTGTGGAAAAGTTCCCAATAATTGACGTCGTAGAGTTAGTAATATTTTAATTTAGCGCTTGTTACTCTCTTGCGAAGTTAGGCGAAGCTTGTGATAGTGATAATGATGTAATTTATTTCGAGGTATATATAAAGATTAGAAGTCCACTCTAAACTAGGCAGGAAATTATACAAGCCAAAGTTGACATGGCGAAAGAGGTTGTATTAGCGGTTATTATGAGTTTATAACTGTATCCCAGCTTTTATTTCCAGATCTATCTAATCTAGTGATTCCATCACTTTCGCTGGTCATCAGCCCCCTCTAAACTCTCGGCCCTCGCTCAAGCTGGTCCTGTCTTTGCATTGCTCCACTTCGTGAACGCTATATCCTGACACCTGAATCCGTTGACCACAAGAGCCTTCGAAAATAGCGAGCTCCATCCGTTCTATTCTTGAGGGTCGACGGTGGGCTCACTCAGTCGGTAGGCCCAATTGGTAGCGGGCTTCGTTGCAACCCAAAAACCAGGGAAATAAGCGGCAGCCTCCCAGTCAATAATGGCAGCCACGCTGTCCCCATCATCGGAAATGAGGATATTGGTAGGGCCAAGATCACAATGGTAGAATGGGAGATCATTGTCAAAGTAGGGAACCCGTTCATCCGAGATATTGGACATGTATTCTTTCAATTCAGGACCTGATAAGGGCCCGAGAGTCATCGGCAACCAAGTCGGGTTGGAGACGGGAGGGCGCCCCATGAGCCAGTACTCAAAAACCCCGTATCCAGAGGCAGACTCGTGTCTCGAGGACGTCTTTCCAGCAAGAGTGGCGCAGTGCTCGGCCATCTTGTTGGCAATGCTCTGGCACTGGTCAGTAGAGAGGCTCGGCCACGCTGCATTCAACGTTCGGGCATGGACTCGCTTTATGATCAAGAATGTGCGGTTAATGGATCGGTCGATCCACGAGTATAGAACCTCGGGCAATGGTACAGAGGGGAAATTATCGCGGACGAACTCAATAGTCGAGGCTTCAAGTTGCCGCTCTTCACTCCATCCTTTCACTTTGGAGATGACTTCGTTTCCAATACTCCAGACGGTGCCTCCGGTGCCACATTCCTGGATCCGATCGGTTGCTGAATCACCCTGGCTCAAGTTCATAAGAAGTGAGTCGTCTCTAGGGAGGAGATGAAATGTGCTGTTGTCGTCCTGCCAAGAAACGATGCTGTTTCGTGGATGCGCATTATGAGCGCCAACTTTGGCGCATATCAAGCTAGTGCCTAGAGTCCACAGCTGGGGATTCATTCGTTTCATGGACTCTCGCGCTGGTGGTTCCATTTCGCCATTTGAGTTAGCATAGGTCACCATGCGGCTGGCTAGCATCAGCCTGGAATAAAGCTTACCAAAACATATTTGCCTCGAATTTGGAGCTTGTCCTCCCGCAAGTTTGTAGTAGGAGAGGGGACAACGGTGCTGGGTTGCACACTTGTATTTGCTAGGTATGAATGATGGGAAATATTGAAGATGGAGAAGGGGGAGAAGGTCACAGGTCCTCGAGAGGGGAATGCTGGCGGCCCCGGAGCGTTGTTGGTTTGTTGGTGGTCCTCTGAGAGGGGGGGGGGGTTGCAAATTTAGAAGCCACACCACACCCTTGATTGAAGTTTTATATTCGAATTTATACAGACAGCTCTAACCAAAACGCGAGTGCGAATAGCAATAACAAACTGCGAGACTTGTAGTACTAGCTATCATTACTCGCTTGCAAAAGGGGGCGAAGCTTGTGATAGAGATGCGATTATTCTCAACCTGCTCTATATTTCTACAAGGGTGGCCGGCAACACTACATGTAATTCTAATAAGCTTTCTCGCCCGTTAGCCAAGGGTCTTGCAAAAGCTCCTTGGCCGTTGCTCTCTTCTCAGGCAACCAGGTCAGAGCTCTTCGCATGAATTGGAGGAAGCCCGACTTATCCTCTAGTTGGGTCTCAAGAGCCTCCATTGTCCTGTGGTCCGGGATGGGTGCAAGGCCCAGCCACTCCCCTCTGTCAACAGTGATTAGTAGAGATAATGGAGAGCAATAGATTGTTGCGGATCGCCTGTCTACATATCTGCTCTGTCCGGGTAGTCAACATACCTTGCTCGTCCCAAAAGTCAGCTCTCCTCTCTGGATTCTTGGCTAGAAATTCAGGGGGAGGCGGCCCCAACGCCGCAATGAGCTGGGCAAGGTGCGCAGCATCATAAAGATCGCCATCATCGTCACGCGCTGTGAAGAGTCTCTTCGGATTTAAAAGGTCCCAGGCCTATTCTCAGAGCGGTTAACTCTCCTGAGCAACAAGACCGACTATACAAATACAATAACCAGACTGGGACTTACGGTGAGCCCAACACTCCAAATATCGACGGGATAGCTCCATCCTACATAAAGCAATGTTTCAGGAGCCCGGTACTCCAAAGGCATTATGTCGCCACCGTGTGGTCCTGGTCCGATCCTGGCCTCTCCAAAGTCAGATAGCAACATTGGACCTCCCTTGGGCAGCATCAGACGGGAAAGATAGATGGTCCGAGTAGATGAAACTGGCTTGCGAGGCACCGGAGATGTGAATTCCATTTTCTCGAGCTTTCTCAACAGGTTGCTATCATAAATTCCCAGGAGCATGTTGCCATGGTGTACATCTGCAATACATCAGCGGCGGAGCAAATCATGGACTAGACAGAGAAGCTTGTAGCTAAAGGGGCGATACCGGTATGGACAACCTCTCCATGGGTATGTAGAAAATCCAAAGCCTTTAGAAGCTCAATGATAGCGCCCCTCACGAAGTCTGTCTTCGTCAAACCCATTTGGCCGGAACACCACCTTCATGTCACGCAAGCTCATTTGGGCAGCCTCAAAGACGAGGATGATATGCTTGCCATCTGGACCGGTGACTTCAAAGGACTCTATAAATCTCCGGATATTACCTCGACCTTGATGTAAACTATCCGCCATATGGCGGGCCATATGCTGGTAACATGGAAGTTCACGGTGGACCAATGAGGTATGCACATACACCTTCAGTGCGACATACTGATGATCTCTGCAAAAGTTAGCTGAATATCAAGATGCCGACAACTCGCGCACACTTGCTTCAGATCCCGAGCCAGCCATATAGTTGAGGAAGAGCCAAAACCGAGCTTTGCAATTACTTGGTAGCGGTCTTGGAAAACCTCGCCCAGTCGAACTGGATAGAATCGATCAACTCGGTAATCGGGCAACTCCCCCTCCTCAACTTGTTGATTAGCCTCGATGGTTTTGAACCCGCTAGCTGGAAGCAGCCGTGGCACCTCCGCAGCGTTTGACGCTGATTCGCCTAGTGACTCGGCCGAGAATGACTTCCATAAAGTCGTGGTGGCTATCCACAGCGAGGGCATTCTCATTCTAGGATGCACAGAACGAGCATGTCGAATCCTTGGCCCCGTGCAAATCGTGCTTGGCCGGAGGTGACAGTTCAAAGTCAAAGTTTGCCTTGCCAGGGATGCCATTAATAATTGTTGAAGCATTGAAAGTCGTCGTTATGAAACGCGTCGCTAATTCGGGATACGTCGTTCATCCCTCCACCGCAAGGGGCGAAATAAAGTTTTACGTCGCTCGCTCGCGATTCTACATCAAACCCGGGAAAGAAGTGCAATAATGTTCTTTTATATGCTATCGCGGACAACCGACGGGGCCCACGAGCCAGCATCCGAAACGGCGTACCCTGGCCCCATTTCACCCTATGTTACGGAGTAAACATCAAATCGCTGGGGCATTGTCGGGTTTCGGTTCATCTGATCTCATGTTCCTGTACCTTTCCGGGCCGGCGTCAGCTCAGATTAATAGATTAATAACAATGAGATGCGTATACTCGAGTAGAGTTTATTCGACGAGAAAGGAGATTTGAAGGACCAAGATCCGGGTGAGCAGGAACGCCTCATCCCTCGGGGCGCTGTTTGTGCGACGTCGAGTTTGTTCGGGCATGATCATCGCGAGACGGGGAGGGGGAGGGGGGTTACTGCTGAAGCCGTGATACGTGCTGTATGTATCTATACGTAGCACCCCTCGGTAGGATTCATAATTCATGTTGTCAGGAGGCAAATATCATCCGGCGTTGTGTGAACACCGTCAACGCGGAAACGGAATCTATCTCGTCCACGGTGGGTAACACAGATATCAAGTGCGAGGCACGATGATGATATCGCACCTAGTAGTCTGGGAAGAATGCCGCAAATCGTGCAAATCGCACCGGCATTCGGATAAGGGCGACTGACGATCGGATGTTGATGCTTTGCAGGAATGTGGCTTGCCAGGAGAACGTGGAATGCGAGGATTAATGTTGCGGACGTCCACGTCCACTCTCTGATCGCCGAGGACTCAGGACGGGGCTCGTCCGCACTCTACGTCGCCACTGAATCACTGATAGACATCCAGTTGCCAGATTCCAGACTCCAGTCCCGCTCTGCCCTACGGAACTCCCCCCCGTCGGAATGGGCGAGAGGATATGGGGTCGTGTTTCTCCCAGCGACCATCGTGATTCGCGATGGAGGCCAATTTTCGGGCCAAGGCTGCAGGAATAATTGTGAGGTGAGAGCTGAGGTGAGGACAAGGTCGTATCCCGCCTATCGAGACACTGTAGTTAGCATAGTGGCGGGCGATGCGGGCGGAAGCCATAATTCGGGACATAACAGGGATCGAATCGCACGAGCGGGCACTGAGCAGACTCAACAGAGACGTTTACAATAGCAACAATGGAGTGTTGTGGCTCCGCCGCTGCGGGAAATTGGGACTCGGTATCAAGGAGGAAGGAAGGAATCCCTCGCGTCGAAACACACAGTACGCAACTCAAGGTTACCGGCCCAGCTACGCGGTACTTGCAGCAGTTACATATAATATAACCTTACTTATATAAGGTACCTATGTTTCGAACGCCTCCGGGCCGTGTAAGATCTGACTGCCTGGGATCCTGCTTCATAAGCTGCAGATCCAATACCAGTTCCGCGTAGGGAGGCACTTCCATGGCGGGATCCAAGGCGAAGAGGCCTTTCCCGTGCCGTCGTCTTGATGTTGGCTACCTAGGTGGTGCTGGGCAGTTAATTGCCCCCCCCGCCATGTGAGTGCGATTGTGTATATGTGGCAATCGAGGGTGGGACGAAAGCGCAAAGCTGCCAGCACGGGGGGGGGGGAAACAAGAAACAGAGCCAAGCGTAGGAAGGAATGGAAACAATGCCCGTTGATGGTGAAGCGTGAGGGCGGGGGCTGGCACTGGTGGTTGGGCCAATCGAGATGATATGTAGGACAGCAATTGTCTCGAGCGAGCACTCACCGAGTTCCAGGACGCCTGCTGGCTGGCTACTGGCTGCTCAACAGGCAGCTTTGTGCCTGATTGCAGAGACACATGGCCATCGCCCCCACCGAACCAGCCCAGCAGCGGTCATTGGGGATCCGGGGACGGACAGTCGGGGATGGGGGGGGATGGGGATAGTGATCGAGATATTCATGGGCGAGATGGAGATGCTTGTTCCGGAGGGAGGGAGCGAGGGACTTTACTTTATGGTACAGTCGAGTCCGCCGATACAGTACTTTATATAACGCAGGATCACTTGATGCGCACTGTACACTGTACCGTGGACGAACTAGTAGTTTTCGGCGTAGTGCTCGTGAAGTGCCTGGCCAGAACCCCTCGGATAAAGGATGCATCATGGATGGCGGATCATGGATCCTGGATATCCTTTTCAGGTACGGAGTACGAAGTACATGTACATGTACATGTACACATCGTACAAGAGGAGTACGGACGAGGGCGGACGATCTTTCCGGGCGGTGCGCGGTGCTGTACCTGGGTACCCGGGTCCTGCTTCTGGAGTTTGTATCGAGTGTCGTTCCATGCCAAACGCTGGCTGGCTAAGCTGGCAATAATGCTGGCAAAGCTGGCTATGCTGGCTATGCGGATTATGCTGGCTCTGCTCCGAACGAGCGTGAGTGCGAGCGTGAGCGTGAGAGTGTGCTGGCGAGCGGGGCAGCTAAATGGGGAGCATCTCGGTCAGCAGCTGCAGAGGTACAGTACTATACGGTACCTGGGTATCTACAGTACCTACGAAGTACGAAGTACGTAGATACGGATGTACCTCCGAAGTAGTCGGTATGCTCCGTAGGCAGAGAGAGTGCTTTGTACCTGCCTTGGTGCCGTGCCAGTGCCACACACCCTGGGCACTTGAGAGTCTGGCTGGCTACGAGTACCTCGAAGCCAGAAGCCGAATTGGTTGATGGCAGTCGTGATGGTGGTGATACCGTGATAGGTGATAGGTGATAGAATGATGAATGTTCGCATTTGTAATCGAGTGCAGTAGTGTAGCACAGTACCGTACCTCGTAGGCACTCGTACCACGCTGGTTTCTGCCTTTCTGCACCTGGTCACACCACTCCCACTAGGAGTCTGGGACGGAGCACCATCATAAATAAACAATAGATGAAGCGACGCCCGAACTAGCGAAAAAAAGACGACCGACCCGCGGGATGCGATGCATTTTTGCTCTGGCCCGTGGAGCAAGGACGAAAGCAGGTACCTACGGTAGGTACGGTACAGAACAGACAGAGGCCTAGAAAACCGGACCAGACATTATAAGAGGGGCCAAAACAGAGTACATACAGTGTACTGAGCACAAGTAGCAACTTGATTGTAGCACAGTCCAGTACTGTATATGGGCGCAACATCCTCTGCTCTTCGTTTATCCCTCGTACAGAGTACCAAGGACATCATCCTCCCGGTGACGGGCTCCCCCGGGGGCAGCGTGGACCACGCAGGGTGACATCTCCCGAGTTACTTAGTGACGGTGGCCCGTCAATGGCGCGCCCCGAAGTGGACCAGCGGTCCCTAAACGTCGCACGGCGAGTGGTACAGTAGTACAGCACCGCACACGACACTGCGTACCGGTCGAGTTAGTGGCAGAGCCAAGGGCCAGCAACGCCAGAGCCAGCGCCCTCAATGCCCCCCCCCCCCGGGGGTTGCCCTGAGTGCCCCCCAGCAACCAGCGTCTGGTACTTGGGGCAGTGCGGTGTGCTCCGTACTGGATGAGGTACCACCCGCAAGAGCGAGCACCCTCTGTGCTCGAGTAACCACTGCCTACCCTCTGCCCTCTGCCCTCTGCCCACGGTTCCAGCCCAGCCCAGCCCATCCCATCCCATCCCCAAGCCTAAGCCAAGCCCAAGCCCACGCCCGTACAACCCTAAGCCCAAGCCTAAGCCTAAGCCTAAGCCTAAGCCTAAGCCTAAGCCTAAGCCTAAGCCCAGTCGTCCCACACCCCCCCCCGGCGCTCCCCCCGACCTCCTCTACCCTCTGCCCTTTGGGTTCGCCCAGTCGGGTGCCCGCTGGCCGCTGCGCTGCTGGTGCTGCCGGTTGCTTGTTGCTGGTGCTGGCTGCCGCTCGTGCTGGGCTGTTGTATTCGGTTGCTGGGGATGAACCACGCCTCACCTCACCTCACCTCAACTCGACTCAACTCCATTCATTCTACCACCCGACTGTATTTGCACTTGCACCTGCACCTGCACTTGCAGAACAAAGATCCTCCTCCCCTCCCCTCGTTATTCCGCATCCCGAGGCCCGCCGACTATCCTATCCTTTCACCTCCTGGCTCACTTGCTCTCGCCCACTTGCTGAACCTCCCATCCTGCTAGCCACCCGAATCGACCTCGATTCGATGTGATTGTTCTTGGCCGGCTTGCTTGCTTTCTTTGAACTCGCTCGGTCCAAACTTCGCCCTGACCCCGACCTGCCTCCCAAATAGAATGGACGCTGCCATCGCCTTTATGTCGACCGCCGTCTAACTTCCTCCATTGTTGGCTGTGACCGGGCAACGAAGCCTCCCGAATCCCACTTCCCTCGAGACCTCCCGTCGAATTCGATCACGACCACCGTCCCTCGAACATACCCACCCTTCCCCCGAGCCCTCCCCTCACGATGCCTTCCCTGCCTATCCCCGATGGCGGCATATCGCTGGGGACCTCCCGCCAGGAGGCCGCCAGATCTGGTCCCGCGATGGAGGTCGTGGGCCTCTCCCTCGCCGATAGCGTCATCGAGGAGATGATCAAATGTGTGCAGCATGGAAAACCAATACAATTGTCCTTGGGGGAACATCCGGTAAGCTCTGAGAGATCCCCTTGCTGTTGAAAACTTCACTGGTCGGTGGTGGTGGAGGGTGAAGGTGGAGGTGGTCAATGGTTCAGCTTCACAACCTCACGTTTCCATTGTCGCTGAAGCGGGGGATATTATATTATTCACTGCCTGGCTGGGGCGGTGGACCACGTCAATTGTTCACCTTTCACAATAGCTCACCTTCCTATTGTCGCTCAGGTGAATAGCAGCACACACCTTGCTAACTCTTGCCCCCCACCAACAGAGTATATCCTACGGGACGAGAACCCAGCACCTTTCAACCTCCGTCGACCCCTTCACCCACGAACTCTATCGCTCTACAGAATCAGATCCTCAATCCCCCCCAAGTCCATCCACGATGTCGGCCCAACCCCAATACGTCAAGAAAAGCAACCACACCCACCCCCTCTTCATTTCGAACTTCCATGCCAAGTTCGGTATCAAACTTTTCAGACCTACCCCGAAACCTGGTTCCAAGCCTGCTCCCGTCACACCGGTCCCCGACCCTATTAGCGAATCTACGGATGCTGCCCTGGCGCAATTGCAGGCCTCTTTGGCTTCAGAGAATGCGAGGAAGAAGGAGAATACGTGAGTTTTGACCTCCGCTTTAAGAGTATAGGATTTATATTGACGTCTGGTAGCACCAAATTCATTAGGGAGGGCCTTCCGGTTCCAGGTCAGCGAGGCGCAAAGCTGAGCAAGAAGAACAATAAGCTCTTGTCCCAAAGCACTGGACGATCGATGCCCTCCAGCCCAGCTGTCTCGGGTGTCGGTTCACCTGCCCTCGGTGCCACACCCACCCCCGCCCCCCTCTCCCAAGTCCAACAACAGGCAGAGCACCTCAAGGCCTCGCGCAAGCCAGTCATCCATTTGTTGGCCCTTGACCCGATGACCGAGGATGCGCTCGAGGCTGCTCTACCCAAGCTCAGCAAAAGCGACCTCAAGCAAGCATTGCAGAAAGTGGGCGATCTGAACGAGACGACCGGCAAATGGGAGCTGAGGAAGCTCTGGTTCAAAGAGCTGGATGTTTGGACCTTCAAGTACTCCAGCCGCGAGGATCGCCAGCGGGTCATTGACAATGCTGTTAAGCAGTATGACAAGATGAGACTGGGCTACTCGGACCCTGAGTGGGACCGGCTCTTGCCGAAGTCGGAACGCGGATCTGGAAAGTGCTTGAGTAAGCTCCAAGGTCAGATTCGCCAGGTGGGAAATCCAATGCCACCCAAAAAGGTCAAGGTTCAGAAGGATGATAAATCTGGACGCGACACATCGGGCAGCGAGGATTTGTTTGATGAGAAACCTGCACCCAAGGGAAAGGGGGAGGGGGCGAAATCCGCGTCGCAGGGCCTTGGCAGCAAGGTGAAGAAGCCCAGCGAGAAGGAAGCTCAGGCCAAACGATTGCTCTCCAAGAATCCAACCCAGGCCAAGGCAACACCAGCCCCCGTTAAGAAGGAGAAGCAGCCCAAGGCAGGAACCAAAGTCCTCTCGACCGAATTCGTTTTGGACTCGGATGAAGAAGATACCTACATGCCCGCAACCAAGCCGCTTCCTAGACCAATTGACAAGAAGAAGCGCTCTCGCGACGAAGAAGATGAGACGAGCGATTCGAGCATCCCACTGAGCAAGAAAGTGAAGAAGGACGTTGTCGCGACCTCGCACCGAATCTCCGATGCCAGCCAATCTTCGCGCCTCACCAACACCTCGACTCACTCCTCTGCCTCAACCAAGGGCAAGAACACCTCTCCCCAGAAGTCATCGCCACTTGCCTCCTCTCCCCCTACCAATGCATCCGAATTCGACAACTCCTCCGGAAACCGCACCGTATCCTCCTCGTCCGCTTCCCCTGCGGCCCATGCCAACCTCAAAGGCTCTCGTTCCCCAATCCAGAAGCGTCACCAAAAGTCCTCATCCGTTACCTCGTCCACTTCATCCAATAGCTCTACCCGCTACTTGAAGCCGGAGGTTGTTGACTTGGCGCGCAAGTACCGAAGCTTCTACCCCACCTACGAGGCCCTGCACCGCGAGATCGCCAACGCCAAACCAGGATCCCGGAACAGCGAGAAGGAGAACGAATTGCTGGATATGCACTCGCGCCTTGCGGCTATGAAGCGCAAAATTGTAGCTGGTATTGTTGAGGTTTAACTAAGCTGCAAGGTACCTTTTTTTTTTGCTCATTAAGGAATTGCATTTGTCGCGCAGCTGCGCCGGGCATAGTTTTTGGAGTCCCCCACGGCGTTTTACATGCATGTATGATGTTTTATTTTATTTTCCTTGAGTTCGTCCCTCATCTGAGAGGGCGCGGGATTGATTACCTTGCACATTGACACGAAAAAAGCTGTCACCGGTGGAAATTTGAAATTTGAAATTTGAAAATGGAAATGGAAATTGCATTTGCGAGAGATGGTTATGGAATGAATCGATGGCGATATGTTGCATGGAATGGAATGGAAATGGATGGATTGATACCAAGGGAAAGCGTTTGCATTACTTTTTTCAAAAGATAGGGAATGCACAATCCAGATGGAAATGTTAAAATGAAAACTGAGCTTCTTTAACTGGGTTTGAGTGCGCGTAGTAGGGGCGTCTGGTATGGGGTGGGTTGTAGAGACTGGGTACGGAGTAACCAAGCAGGCTTGTCTTGCATACGTAAAGGAAGATATAAATCTACCTGGCTACCTACCTAGTTGAGCAGCGAGTATTCATCTTAAGGAGGGGACTGTACAGAGCGTGGGGTAATTAAACGTCCCTTTCTTGTTTGTCGCCTGCCGACGAAGGAAAACGAGTTCTTATATGTAAAGGTACCTAAGCATCACAGCTTGAGAATCAATACTCATGAAGGATATTGGCATATAGTGGGTATTAATCTTAGTTTTAAATTTCATTTACAGGTAGTATTATATCAGCACTCCTCGTCCATCCGTAACCCCTCGCGCAAAAGCAAAGCAGAGCAAAAAGTAAATTATTCCTTCGCAACAGCAACACTCCTCCCCTTCAAGGCCTTCTCAGGCGGCGTCTCTGTACCTGTACCGACCTCCTTACCCTCCACATAAGTAGCACTCGAAGTATGGAAACTACTCGGATGTTTCTTGCCCGTGACATCGAGATAGATAGCCTTGATCGTGAACCACAAAGCTTCGCGACCTTCAAAGACCGGGTACACGCCTACGCAGAGCAAGCTGCCGAAGATCCAGATTATCCCCACTACCACCCAGCCAGTGAAGAATTTCTCGCTGAAGATGTAGCCGCTGCCGTACATCGGCATGGGCCAGAGGACGAGGAGTGCGAGAGTCATGACGACGGTTGTGATTTTCGCGATGTTGGATGCGCGTAGGAGGCTGGATTGTTCGGCGGCTTCAGCTTCAGCGCTATGGTGAGATTCGCCAGGGACAAGTTCGAGGTCGATGTGAGCTTCGGCTGCGAGATCATGGTCGTCGCCTTTGCGGATTGCTGCCATGGACGCCCAGTCGTAGTTATCCATGCCGAAGATGAGCGTGAAGAGAGGCGTGAAAATTAGTGGGGAGAGGAGCGCTACTACGTTTCCTGCTAGCATGGGATTGTTGCTTCCTGTGCAGTCGACGTCTAAGCTGCCGCAGGTCTTTTTGGCGGTTACGAGCCAGGCGATGAGGGAGCAGACCAGCCCAAGGGGAGGTGTGAGGGTGGCTGCCCAGGCGTTATGGCCTTTCCACATGATGGTTAACGTCGCGGGAATGACTGCGGAGGAAATTATAACGCCCATCATAAGGTAGAGGTAGCCCATGGAAACGCCTGCGTAGAAGACTATTCTCGCCCTGTCAGCTTGTTTCACGTCTAGACTTGGGGAGGGGCTATTTACGTCCGACAGAGAAAGCTGCCATGAATAAGCCAAAGCCGACAACCATAGCGTGAGACATATATATCAGCCTCTTGCCGCTAGCGCCGGGGTTGATATATGTATGGTAGATGTCATAGGTGAAAATCGAGGAGACGGCAATTAACTCTGCAGAACTGGCGGAAGTAACAGCCATGAAGACGATAAGCAGGATGGCGACGGCACCACCACTCCCAAGAAGCGCCACGGCGGCGTATGGGACGACCAACCCGGCGGAAACGTCTGCATCTAGCATACGGTTGGGGAACGTAGGGAATGCGGGGTTGCTTTCGAGGGCCAGAGCAGCCAGACCCATGGTTGTAGCCATAAGCCAAGGGATAGCAAACCATGATATACCACCCATGATGTAGCCGGGGAGAGCGTGGACCGGGGATGCGGCGATGGCTTTGTTGTAGTAGCCATTGTCTAAGAATACGCTAAGATATCGTTAGTAGCTGGCTGTAGAGTGAAGATTCATGATTTCACATACGTTCCAAAGTTACCAACAATGTTTATGACGAAGAAGATGGCGCCCTCCTTGGATTGCATGGTCAAGTAACTTCCTCCAGCATTTCCTTCAACTGGATGGTCGGCTGCCGCCTTGATGAGCAGGTCAAAGACGGCTTTAGGAGAGCCGAGGACGCTGCTCGTGGCATATGTGGAGAGGGCAAAAACTATGATAATGATGAGGAGGATGAATGTGTGCACCTAAGATAGGATTAGCACGACGTCTCTAGGTACCGGAGTAATTGAGTTCGGTGGCATTACCCAGTCAGTCAGGAATGTAGCCTTGATACCACCAAACATAGTGTACATCACGACACCAAGTGGAAGTAAGAAACATGCTGCCGCCGTAGGCATTCCGGTTAGGGAAGACACAACCGCGGAGCCGCCTGTCAACAACATAGATGTGACAAGGATGTTGGTCATCAAACCGAAAACGGTGAAGACGATATGTGCCTTAACTCCATATCGCGCTTTGATGACTTCAAGGAAGGTCTATCATGCTTGGTTAGCTGGTGTGGCCAAAGGATTTAGGGCGAACTTACATGAGCATTAGGCGCCCTCCTCTTCAACTCAATGGCAATAGTCGCAAATAGCAAAATCTGCACAGTAGCACCACTAGCATACCAGAAAGGGCCCGAGACGCCATATCGATATGCAACACCCGAGCTCTGGAGCAGTGTAGCCGCCCACGTCCAAGAAGACACCACCGCTGAAGCCACCAGGCCCGATTTCACAGTTCGGCCTGCTGTGCTGAACATTTCCGAAGTCTGAAGCTCATGGTTATAGCGCTTGAGGATCCAGGTAACCAGGATCTGGGGGAGGTGTCAGTAACACAGACAACTTAAAACATGCAAGCAGTAGGAGTCTAGAGCTTTGGGGTTTAAAGGAGCCTTACCATGCCGAACGCGAATAGAGCACCGAGACCCAGGACAATACCATAGCCCCAGCCTAAGCTGAGCGGCGGCGCGATTGCCATCTTTTCTGATCACAAGACAGGGATACCGCGGGGGGAAAGGTGCTGACCACGTTTTCTGGGGAAGGCGACTGATGATCCTGAATAACGAAGGGGCGACATAGGGCGGTAGAGCTACAATATATAGCTGTAGCAGAGCTCCTGCTTATCGGGGAGCTCTGAAGATGGGGTGACCATCCCGCTACCAGATATCCGGGCTTGCTGAGCTACCCATGAGCGGAGAAGCCAATCGAGACAGACGTGGAGCGTTTGTCATTCATGGATATCATGCAAATTGGGGAGATGGCTTCACAGCCCATGTTATTTGCATATCCCGAGCAGCGTAAAGATTCGGAGGAAGATCGGGTTGGTTGATAGAGGCTCAAGATATGACAGATGAGGACGGGCAATGTGTGTTGTGGTACTCGTATTGGACTAGGTGGTCGTCCACTAGGCTGGCAGACACCCAATTGGGCACGGGGGCGTGGTATTATGTGGAGCGAATAGGGCCAGAGGAGAGAGGGCAAGATTAGATCCTGATGCGTTTGACGTGTATAGTACAGTCAGTACGAAGTACATGTATCGCGAATTAATTTCTAGGGAAAGATAAGTTTCCATAGCCTCTCGTAATGGATTGAGAGGCGGTGGGGACGGGGGCTGATTGGTGCGCGCGAGGACGATAAGAAGTCCCCTGTACCACAAAGACAAAGCGTGATAAGCTCCACGATAAGCTCCACGACGAGGAAAAAACCTACTTTTGGCCCTCGTCCCAGATACGAGTAGCGGAGGATACGCCCCGACTGCGCGTGGGGACTTGGGACTTGTCGGGTGAGTCGGGGTGAGTCGGGTGAAGTAGAACGGAGGGCAGTGGGATGAGAGATGAGAGATGAGAGATGAGAGATGTCCACCGCTGCGCTTCCGTAAAAGCTATTTGTCGGGGATTCCTCATGCTGATTCGCTGGGACGAACTATCAGATCCCCAAGTTGAAATATATATCGAAAGAAGCTCCAACTCTACTGGATAGGTATACACTTGGTATAGGTAGCAGTCCTCACGCCCTCAAAAGTATATCGGCAGGTAGTCAGTGCGCGAAGCCGCAACCCCATGCCAAGATCATGATCCCAACGGCGCAATGGTCAAAAAACAACGTAGCTGCTAAAAAAAACAAAAAAAAAAGCCCTTCGAGCAAGGTCTCTCAATTGGTCGTTAATATGACTCTAGGCCAGCCCATATCTATAATATCAAGAGAGGCTTAGAGCTTGCAACGTCGTAGAGGGAAAAAAGGAACCGCTTGTAGCGACCTGGAACTTTGTCACTCAACAGTTCCAGACCATGGAGCACTCTGGCAAAGATCTGAAAACGAATAGAAACGTCTGCAGGTATGATACTGGCCTTCCGAAACCCCACATAAATACTAGTGTCCGCCAACTATTGTATTACAACTCCAGACTACTGCGCCCAGCTTCGTCGCAAACTGCAACAAAATATCTCGTCTATACCCCCTCCCAGTCATCAATGCTATCCCCACCCGTCTGGGCCAATTCGAAATCGCACACTCCCCATAACGCCTAGTCCGAGCTAATAATTCACAGGTATTTTCTTTTTTTCAATTCGGATTTCTGAGGCTCGTCCGCTTTCTGTTGTAATGCAACGCTCGATACACCTTGATAGCTCAACTGTCAACCATACTGCATATTCTGTGGTGGTTTAGGCGGCGGGCTGCCTGGACCTCCCCATCCTTGAGGCGGCCCAGGAGGATATTGGTTCTGCAAAGGCATCCCCCCTCCGCCTCCGCCTCCGCCTCCGCCATTCATCTGAGCAACAACATCCTGTCGGTTTTGGAGCGGCTGCGCGTAATTGCAGATAGAGCAAACGACATCTTCGTAGCCCTTGATACTGAGCGGGATAACGGGGATGAAGCAGAAGGTAAACCAGGGGTTACGCTTGATCACACGCGCTGAGTAGTTGCCCTGTGGTGAGTTAGTTGTGATGCACCGGCTACGACTGCGAAGCCTCGGTATTTGCACGGCAGAAATGACTTACACAGTTGTGGCATTGGCACACGACGCCTTCATAGCCCTGAAGTTGTTTAGAGAATTCTGTAGTGGCATGTTAGTTGGATCCTAGAAAGCCGAGATAAGACGACGGCCATCCTAGAGCTTACCAGTCTCTCCGCATGTGAATATGAAGCACATTTTAGTAGACGGGGCTTTGCTCTAATATAATACGTTCAAAAGGCCAAACGAACAGTTTTCTGCGAGAGTAGGCAACAGTGGACAAGTGGACAGTTGATTGATTGGGGTTATGAAGCAATGTACGTACGTGTTGCTCCGCGTCATACATTCCTTAAACAGTGGCTGTGGCAAGTCCTCGGTGCCTCCCTCCCTTGGCGCCTCAGTGATGGTGGCGCGACGTTTTTCCGAGCCTGGGCCGCCGCTAATAATAAGCGATCTGGAGGCGCACTTACTTCAAGCTCGAGCTCGATTTTCCGAGCTTCCTCTTTCTTCCCCCTCCAGGCGTCGTCCTCTTCAACGCTGCGTTTCTATGCCACAAACAGATACGCTGCTGACCGTACGCGGCCGCAGCTATCAGATGGTCTGGATGCTCATAACATCTGGGCCATCGCCATTATGCATATGAGAAATTCGGAGTACTCTTCAACCCACCTCGTCCTTTCCCTCTGTGGAAAGTGACTGGTCTGCCCGCGAGGGTTCGGCGTGATCTCACGTCTGCAATTGGCATCAGAAAAGCAGGGCAGGTCGCTCTTTATCTATCCGCTTGCGGAGAAAAGGGAGTTGTGCCTGTTCCTATGGGAGAGCCGTTGCGAAGATTGTGTGTGCTACGGCATGACACTTAAGTGCAATACGCGGCGTGCTGGTTCCTTGCACCTTGCGTGCCTAGGGACTGGTACAATTCGATTCCGATTACTCTGTTGAGGACGACGCTTCACCCATTTTTCTTTGCAGGTAAGCTGTTCTCTGCGTGTTGGTGGAATAAGGATACTACTAATTTGATACTATGACTCAACCCTGCGCAGAATTCGAATCCCGCAATTTCCGAATCCGTCTTATCCAGCACCAAACAATTCACAACTTGGGGGGCTACAAACGCGCGTTGGATTAATCATCACGACTGCCCAGCCCACTCCTGATCCTCCGTATTGCCAGCTTTCTCTAGCTCTTGGTGGTTAGCGTAGTGAGGATTGACCAACATTTTCCACAATCCTAGGAGTTGATCGCAGAAATCCACTTGACCAGCTCTACTATTTTCAAACCTGCTATGGTAGCCTTCTGCATCAGGCGCTTTATAACGCGAACCTACCTTCCTGCCCGGCCTTCCTCCTCCCAGTTTTGACTCAGTGCGCGGTGTAAGGCAACGACGAACTTTTCTTTCATATCCGTGAATTTCTCGGTAAGTTTTCCAAGGGGGAGGTTCATATCATAGTTCGCGTCATCACATTGAACTAAGGTTCTTCGATACTTCATCCTGCCGCCATCAAATCCCGCCTCCGGTTCAAATCATCCTCCCTAGCAAACCTCTTCAGCTCTGAAATTCCTTTGTCTTATCCTTGCTGGAAGTTGCTGCATAAATATTGGGCCTTGGAGGGCTGTTAGAAAAGACAGACTATCGCCTTGCTAAATGGCGGCCCTTGCCTTTCCCTTGCATCCAGTTCTACTCGATCTAGCTAGGGGGTTAAAGTAGCCATCAACAGGTTGGATCAGCCCCGATATCCATTGTCATGGGTCATCATCTCGACTATGAACGCGTCTTTGTACGGCTCATTCCCGACGGAAACTGGGAGTGGGTAGTTCGAGGTTTTGGAGATCAGACCATTGTCTAGTTTAAGGATCGATCTGAATCTCGCAGTGGAAGTTTACTGCTGGGTTCTAGATACCGTCGCGACTCCCGAGACATTGGTACATATTGCGTGGACGGTGAGCTCAATTCATACTAGAGTGGAAAAGCCTTTACGGTGTTGTAGATTCTGTCGACCTCCTTGGGGATGGTAGACCTATAGCTAGCTGAGAGCTAAATTGAAATTTTTATGCATAAAGTTGCTCCTATCACACAAAATAATGACGACAGGAACCCAAGTGAGGCCCCGCAGTGCGCGGCTAGCCGGAACCCCGCCCCGTGCCGCAATATCCCGAATTACAAATATAAGCTTATAAGGAGGTCTAGATTGATTGCATTCCGAAGGGAAGTGCATTCCCAGAGCTCCTTCAAAAACCACCATAGATCCATACTGTAGGGAGACCGTTTGTGAGCCTAAACAATATGGCAAAAGTATTCCCGCCGGAGAAATTGCGAGGTGTTGCGGCTGAGGTTGCGGCTTTGCTGAAGGAGAAGCGCCAGAGTGTCTGTGTGGGCGAAACGGTATGTTTGTCGCCGGTTCTTATTGGTGGGTTTTGGCGGTCTTTGAGGCCCAAATGGAGGGTTCCGTCGTAGATAATTATGATTTGCTGCAAGATGTTGGGTAGGATATCAGGTCCGAGTTAGATCTCTAGGTTACCTTCCCTTGTTTGGACGTTTCGGACTTAGCATAAACTTCCTTCCCCCCACCATTACCTTATACATATTGACTCATGGCTAATGAGATAGCATGCAGGCCGCTGGTGGGATTATCTCCGCTTCCCTCCTTAGTACGCCCGGAGCGAGTGGGTTTTATAAGGGTGGTTTGACAGTATGTTTATACCCTCCATCCTCGCTAGGCTCTAGACATTGGCTATCCATCTTCCCACTTTGTTATATCTCCGGGGTTGGAGATCTCTATCACTGAGCAAGAAAGCTGTAGAACTAATGGGCGACTAGCTATACACACTCGAGTCGCGCATCGCTTTTGGTACACCCACCTCATTTCGTTCCCCTGGTTGTTCTCATTTTCTCATCTGTTTTCTTTTAGTCTGATGCAAATCAACTATCTAATCTCTTTGGCAATACAGCTGGTTGGACCCAAGAAAACATAACCAACTACCGTGGACCTACTCCAGACATTGTCGCCGGCTTAGCAACCAATGTCCGCGCCAAACTAGGTGCCACATACTGCATCTCTGAATCAGGAACGGCCGGGCCAACAGGCGGTAATACACCAAACAGGACCCCGTAAGTTTTACCACTCATCTCCCCCAGTTGTCCCTTTTATCTCTCCAACATCAAAAGAAAATTCTCAAGCGAGAAGATCTATAACTGGTATTTAAAGGAGAATGGCAGAGAAGTGCGCTAACATAGGCAATAGGGGATACTTGGCCCTAGCCGTAGCAACCGATGATGGGAAGGTCTATAAAAAAGAGACCAATACCGGCCTTGGCGGCGATAGGGAGGCGAACATGATTGCCTTTGCGGAGGAGGCATTAAGCTTGCTTAGAGATGTTATTAAGGGAGATACGAAGTTGTGAAGTCGTTTCCGGCTTGACATTTTTGATTAAGAGTATTATTGGGCCGAGCTAGAAACCCCACGGCCCGCAAATGATAGTGTGAGGAAGCAGGTTTGTTCGGGGGACTATAAGGACTACCTTAGAATTCTACTCTACATTAAAAATGACGATGGCTTATATAATCTATCTCTTGGGTTTTAGGTTGGCCACAATGCATATATTCAAGACTATTAATGTTTCTGTCATCTCTCAATGCAAGCCATCACCTCTACGCTTCCTGCCGTTTTCTATCTACTTTCGAGTCGATGGCAAACATGTTGTACATATATGTATTGTTTCTCACTATCTACAACCTTAGACCATCGAGTCCTCTGTTTTTACAGCTTCTACAGCTTATACAGGTCCGGGCAAGCTCGCCCCTGCAATAAGCCAGCCGCTTCAGTTCTGAAGTGTCAGCAAGCCAGGCCGGTAAGGTAGGGTGCCATAATCGCCGCCGGAGTTAGGGGCTCGTCCCTGGTAGAGCAACTGTAGGTTGCACGGATCAACCGTCATTGTCTCGTCAGCGTTGCTGCGAACTAGATCGGCGTGGCTGATGTCATTGGTCCAGGTGGCGCCACTGTTGGCTTTGCCGGCGAATGGCGCACTCTCGCTGGTGGACTGCGGTGTCCACGAACCTCCCAGACTGGTGGCCGTGAATGAGCGCAAGTACCGCCCGTTTGCTCCAATCGCCTCGACGATCATGAGGTATTTGTTCTGGCCCTGGACAGTGTAGACCTGAACTGCTTCGAACAGGTTGTTGGTCGAGTCGCTCATGACAACCGTCGATGATGTGCCGAAACTGCCCGGGAAATTCCCGATGGGCATACTGGCCCGGTAAATCTTGCCATTGTCTCCTGCAAAGAACAGGTACATGGTCGTGCTGTCGCCGATGACGGTCTGGTCGATGCAGCCGGTGCTGGAGTCGGAGATGGTTCCGGAGAAGAGTGTCTGCGCCGATGACCATCCATTAGCATTGGTGGGATCGCTTGACGTCCGGTAGGAGAATGCGGTTGGGCCCCATTGATAGGCAAGCACCCAGATGCTCTTCGGGGCGAAGTAGAACAGGGTGGGCGCAACGGTGGCGGAATTCATCGCGTTCTGGCTCGCCGAGGCCATGTCAGACCAGTTCGTGAAGAGGCCGAAGACCATCGAGCCCCATTTCGACCCTGTGTCATGGGTCGTCGCATACACGAGATGCTGGCCGTTGTAGACGACATTGGTGAAGTCCTTGAGCGATGCCCAACCCGCCTTCGGGGTCGCTAGCAGGCCAGTCGATGTCCAGCGGTACGTCGACGGAAGAGTGCACGTCTGCGCCACGACTACCGCCGCCGATGCGAGCAGCACGCTGGTCTTTATAAGTCTCATCGTAGTAACGTAACGCTTTCTCCCACAAAGGATAGTTGGAAAGGAAGAGGCAGAGGCGGAGGACCGCCGGGTTTATATAACTTAGGGCCACCCCTCTTCGTAGCTTAGCAGACATATTGATAGAAGAATCTGCTATTAGCCACCGTTATGGCTGGACGGACCCGATTGCTCCGCAATGCGGGGAGCACTATAAAGTAAACGTTAATATGTGTATTAGGCAATTTAATTGATATACTCTGCTGCGAAATTCAAAGGGAGGCTTGCCTTGCATCTGTCCATTGTCTCCTTATAGGTGCGCATAACACTAAGGTAAGCGAGCCTGGGACGTAGTTAGAGAGCTTGGCAGGAGCGGCCACTCACGAAGCGCGACTTTCAGGATATTTAGGAGCCCCAGGGTCTCGGCTTGAAGAGTTAAGTGGCCGACGGAGATATTCTTCATCATTTCGCAAAATATATTAATCTTAGAGATGTCCAATTTGAGCATCTTCGCTACTAGGTAGAGTAGGATCCTGCCAGTCGCTGCCTTTAACTGGCACAATAGTAAGGTTGATTCTTTGTCTGGAGTGGGACGTCGACCGAGGTCATCAAGTGTATTCCTACAAAAGATGTTAGTCTATGCGGATTGAGAGGTGCTTAATCCGAATTAGATAACATCGACTCACGCCGCTGCCGTAGAAGCATCTGCCATATGATCTTGTCGCTGCGTCACTACATTTGTCGCCGTAGCAAAACCTTTCCCAATTAGCTCACACGCTTGTATTAAAGTCTTATTAATAACTTACTTTAATAGATAGTTTACGGGCAGCTCTGTGAGTGAGATACCCCGCTTTCTCCTGCACTGGTGAAGTTAAGCTGCCCAAGGACTATTCAATCGAGAGGGCGCATAAGGACGGAAGAACTGTAGCGTACGACACGGGAGCTCACTCCTTTTATGCTATATCGAGACCCTTCCGCCGAGCACCGAGTTTTCCTAGAGGCCGCTGCTGAGCTCCCTTTAAACTTTGCGTCCCTATCCATCATCTCGAAGCGTATGCACATATCGGGTTTGGAGTAGCTGCTCTGCTCCCCCTTTTGACATGGTGCGGGAATATAGAGGTGCGCTGTGCCCCAGACCAGACACTGTCATCGGCGTCTAGGCCCTGAAAATGCCTTTCTCATGACCATACACACCAATAGAGACGTCGAAGCGGAGCTGCTCAGCTGCCCATCGATCGCCCTCGGCCCTGCTGCAACCCAAAATGCTCATGGTTCTTGCAGTTGAGCGGTGGCCAAGGGCTTAGGGAAAGGCGCTCCAGCTTCAAGCCTCATGGGCCATCATACTTCTCCTCTTGTTTGCATGCCAACTAGTATGGGTTGAGCAGGCGATGGCTAAGGATCATACTATTATGCGCTCCTAAACTTGGATGTCGCGCCCGGAGGCCACACCGAGATATTACTACCGGCTCTGATGATCTCAGTTCTGAGCATGGCTATAACGCTGGGAGTGGCGGAGCGAGTAGGGGAGAGGGAAGGGGCGCACCCCCTTTTGAATATTGGATTGAGGGGCTGCGGAGCTGATCTGCTCAGCTGTGGATATTGTTCAAGCCGCAGGACTTTCATGCTGCTAGCTGAGCCCATGATGATGTGCTGCCAGGATGGTGAGTCGGCCACAGCGCAGTAAGCCCATCCTGATAGCTACACAGCATCACATCATAAATGGACGGTGGTCCCTCAAACGGCCATGCGTACTACGCCTTTTTGGTTGGTCAGTTACGCCTGTCAGGAGAGGCGTACATCAGTACCTAGGTAGGAAGTCATTTCCACTTTCACCTCGACTTGCCATCTTCACTAATGCGCGTTGTATAAACTCACCTATAATCACGCCGAGATTGACGATAGGAATTCCGCCTCCACTACTCCATATAGGAGATTCTCTTAGATCGGAGGCGGATCTAGTCCACTAGAGGCGCAGTCACCATAAACTCATCCTGCCCCAGGCCACGTTTATCAGGTAATTCTCGACGGAGAAGGCCATTTCTTCGATTGGCCCAGGTTATACCGCATAAAAGGAATAGCAAGGGTAGGGTGGAAGAGGGGCAGGCGTGGGATGGTAAAGGTAGCATATGGGGAGAGTTAGGGGCGAGGTGAGGAGGGGATGAAACGGGGTTCTTATAGACGACGTCGACAAGCAGCGCGCCTGGCGGAAGCGAGCGTGCCTCTTTATGGCGCATTCTTGGGGAATTTGGTGCAAACCCCCTTTCGCCATTATTATTATAAGCCCTGCGGCCATTACCCAAGGTACCTTACTTACCTACCTTACCCATGTATGACCCCCTCTTTCCTATGCAATCTAGATAGTCGGCGTACAGCACTATAATTATTATTTAAAATGCTCAAAATTGCCTATGGAGTAATGGATACAATCGAATGGTGTTTCTAGAGGGTTACTGTAGTAGGTACCGTGTACAGTACATTTGTACCCTAGAAAATACCTGTTCCAGGCTCAAGGATACCTAAGGTGCCTTATAATTAGCTAAGTCACTCTGACAGCGCACGTGCCACAGCTGCTGACAATCCCAACGTCGATGCGCAGGTGGGTTCCATCATGCAGCCAGCCACCTAAGCCAGATAGACAATTGACAATCCTGATATCAACTTGATCAACATATTCATTCCCCCCGCCGATTGAGGGCTCTATACCTGGAATTACCACGCGCGGAAGCTGGCATCGTGATCTTATCAAGCTCCATGCCTCCCACCAAATATACTCATCGGTGATGCCATTGCGATGGCGAGTACGTGGGCTGGGCGGACGCAGCGGGTCAAGTGCCTCTCTAAAGCCAGGATGGATATTGTTTTCGGTTTCCACAGTATGGCTGGTACTGGTTGGTGCCATGACTCCTGCTCGAATTGCAGAACTGCGGCAAGAAACGGTTTCTATGTTTTACCACGGATTTGATAACTACATGAATGTCGCATTTCCAGAAGATGAGGTTGAGTCCCCCGGGCATGTCATAGACTAGTTACTGATTGTCAAATAGCTACGGCCTGTATCCTGCGTGCCTTTAACTCGGGACCAGCAAAATCCCCGCAATGTCGAACTTAATGATGTCCTCGGAAACTACTCCCTCACCTTGATCGACAGTCTGTCAACGCTTGCGATCATAGCATCCGCCCCTCCGGATCGTGAAGGAACAGGAACAAAGGCGCTGCGGGACTTTCAAGATGGCACGGCTGCCCTCGTTTTACAATACGGAGATGGCACAAGCAGCACTTCGGGGAAGGGCCTACGGGCGCGGGGTTTCGATGTCGATAGTAAGGTTCAAGTTTTTGAGACTGTCATAAGGGGCGTTGGGGGCCTGCTGAGCGCTCATTTATTTGCGGCTGGGGAGCTTCCGATAGACCGCTATAAACCTCGATCGGAATGGTCAAGTTCTATAAAGAAGCTCCCGAAGGGGGAGATCCCGGCAATTACATGGCCCAATGGGTTTCGTTATAACGGCCAGCTACTACGGCTTGCCCTGGATCTCGCCCAACGTCTCCTTCCAGCGTTTTACACCCATACCGGAATGCCATATCCAAGGGTCAACCTTCGTCATGGTATTCCGTTTTATCTAAATTCTCCGCTGAACCATGACCCTGACTCCGAGGACTCAACCGAGGATGGAGCTCCTGAGATCACCGAGACTTGTAGTGCCGGAGCCGGAAGTTTAGTCCTTGAATTCACGGTTTTAAGTCGCCTCACAGGAGACCCGAGATTTGAGCAGCTTGCGAAGCGTGCGTTCTGGGCTGTTTGGGACAGGAGAAGCTCCATTGGACTGCTTGGTGCTGGAGTTGATGCTGAAAGTGGCAAGTGGATTGGACCTTATTCAGGTATCGGCGCTGGCATTGACAGTTTTTTTGAATATGCCTTGAAAACGCACATTCTTCTCTCGGGACACGAGTTGCCGAACATCACTATTCCTTTCGAAGAACCGCCAGATTCATGGCTTGACCCAAACACAATCTACAATCCATTGACTGCCGAGGAAAATTCACCTGATGCTTTCCTTGCCGCATGGAATGAAGCACATGCGGCAATTAAACGGCATGTTTACAGCGGGATTCATCATCCGCACTATGTGAATGTTCACTTATCCACAGGCTCGCCGCAAGCATATTGGATAGACAGCCTTGGTGCATACTATCCGGGGTTGTTGACACTTGCTGGGGAAGTGGAAGAGGCCATTGAGACAAATCTTCTTTACACAGCACTGTGGACCAGGTATGCGGCACTGCCAGAGAGGTGGTCGGTTCGAGATGGTCATGTAGAAGGCGGCCTTGGTTGGTGGCCTGGACGACCAGAGTTCATAGAATCCAATTACCACCTGTATCGGGCCACTGGAGACCCATGGTACCTTCATGTGGGCGAGATGGTGCTGAAGGACATCAAGCGGCGGTGCTGGACCGAATGTGGATGGGCTGGTCTTCAAGATGTACGGACAGGCGAGAAGAGCGATCGTATGGAGAGTTTCTTCCTTGGGGAAACAGCCAAATATCTTTATCTTCTCTTCGATCCGGAGCATCCGCTGAATTCCCTCGATGCAGCTTATGTCTTCACTACCGAGGGCCACCCACTGCTCATCCCTCGAGAGAAACTCCCAGCTATTATTAGACGGAAAGCAGGAGGTGCAAAAGAAGTTCAACCCCGCCATGAGATTCGGGCAAGAGCCACCTGCCCTGCACCCCAACCTCCTCTCCCTTTCTCTATCTCTACTACTGCTGCCAGGCCAGACATATTTCACGCATCAAGTTTAGTAGGTCTGCACCACATACCGAACACCCACGTTGTGGAAGGGGCAATTTATGAAAAGTCTCAATCCAACAACGAGTGGATATCAGATTCTCAAATCTTGTCAAATTACACCTATTATCCCTGGACACTACCTGATTATCTAATGCCTTCCAATGGTACTAGTAACGCACTCCCGCTAGGACAGACATTTACCATTGAGTTCCCGACCAATGCTCCCGCAGCCACGCCATCTGGGCACTCGAACTTCATGGCCTTTGGTCCGCACGGCCTTGTCAGACTAAATGAAGGAATTCTAGTCAAGAGTTTATCAGGGCTTAGGCTTGGAATGGTCTACGAGTCTCCATCACCATTCCGTGCCCTTGACGGGCCCCTCCATGAGACTTGGCGAGTCTGGAACATTGCTAATATCGCTCTGGGGCGTGACGAGCAGGTCTTTATCCCAAGAGAGATCATCGGGGAGTTGAACGACCCCTCTTTTACGCGAATGCGGGACCCGGTGATGCTCGATATCGTTCTGCAATTAGAACACGACCCTCAGCTAAACCAAAACTCAAGCGGAAACGTTGAAGAACTCTACCCTGACGAAGATGTTCTTGAAAATAGCCCAGGTCTTGCTTTTGATAATTCAATTGCGAATCCCGGACTTGCTTCCGAGTATAAAACTATGCTCACTTCTCTGCTACGCCACGTCAAGTCCGCCCTTAGAGACCCAGCAGCTACTCTCCTCCCAGAACCTGAGATCCCGCAAACATACCCCTCCATAAAAATACCAGCCATCATGCCAACCGGCATGGGCGCCGCTCCCATAGTCGATGTGGCCGACTCACCTGATCCAAGCGAAGGCCCTAGGACCGATCACTTGTCTTGGAAGACCATCTACTTCGCAGGAGACGCTTGCTCCAAAACTCCAGATGAAGCTCCAAGAAAGCATGAAGTCATCGTGATTCTCAGGGGCGGGTGCACATTTTACGATAAACTCGCAAACATTCCTAGCTACTCTCCGTCACCGGTGAGTCTCAAGCTTGTAATAATAATCGACCATCAAAGTGGCGAGGAGGACGATGGGTTTCCCACCGGAGCTGGGAGTGGATTATTTAGGCCGCTGCTTGATCGGCCGCAGGTTACGCCTAGTGGGTTGATTAGACAGAACCCGATTTCTATGGTTATGGTTGCTGGCGGGAAGGAGGTTGAGGAATTGCTTAGAAGAAGTAGGAGTGTGGGTATTAGGAGACGGTTTCATATTGAAAGCCAGGGGCTGATAGTGGGAAATATACATGTCGTTTAAGAAGTTGGGCTGCGGGGAGATAATCGATGGGGGCTAAAAGAATATGTTCATTATGATGGCGTTGGGGGTTTGATTTGATACGGGTTGAATATGTGGATACAGGACTCATGGTGTACTCGAGTATACACTAAATTCATGCATAGACAATTGGGTGGCAACATTTTGGAACAGCTTCTCTAACCATAGTAAAATTATACTACAAAGCATATTGACGATAATAGTTGTTAGCTCTTGCCACTAGTAGCGTAAGCCAACTGAAATGCGCGTTAAGAACTCGAATTTGGAATTTGGAATTTTAATGTGGAATCAACATGGACAGCTGAGCTTGGTGGTGGCTACGTGAGCTTTTGATTTGTCATTAGCGATGCCCCCCAGTACCCCTCGATGACGACCTGATACCCGGGAAATGTATAACTACAACCTCACAACCTCATCTCCCAGCTTCCGCAATCCTATCAATTAATTACCACTATCTAGTCTTCTCATTCAACCAAAGTCTCCATCTACCAAAACAAACAATAATATCCAGCGCTACCAATCATATCATAACCTCAGCCTGCCTCTCACGCTGGAACCCATCCTCTTCGCTGCTCTCGTAGCAATCGCAATCGCCATGGCTACCAACACATTGCCTCTCTTCCTAACCCGCCTCCTCCGCCCCTTCAGCACATCCACATCCCTCCACCTCGCCGCCACTGATGCCGCGGCAGTCAACGTACCAGAAGGTGCTAAGAAAGCCACAATAGCAGCAGGCTGTTTCTGGGGCGTCGAGCACATGTTCCGGAAAGAATTCAAGTCAAAAGGCCTCTACGACGCACGCGTAGGCTACATCGGTGGGGATACCGCTTCGCCCTCGTACCGCAGCGTCTGCTCCGGCACTACAGGGCACGCCGAAGCCCTCCAAGTATTCTACGACCCATCCAAGGTCACATACAGCCAGTTATTGCAGTTTTTCTATAAAATGCACGATCCTACGACAGCGAATAGACAAGGCCCGGATGCTGGAAGTCAGTACCGCAGTGCGATCTTTTATCACGATGAGGAGCAGGAGAAGGTTGCGAGAGAGGTTACGGAGAAGGTTAATGAGAAGTGGTGGGGTGGGAAGGTCGTCACACAGATCTTGCCCGCGGGGCAGTGGTGGGATGCGGAGGATTATCACCAGAAATATCTTGAGCCAGGAAATAACCCAGGTGGTTATGAATGTCCAAGTCATTTTTTGAGGAGCTTCCCTCCGTTAGAATAGTTATGTTGCAATTATGTTAATAACTAGCCTAGTGGGCTGTATCCTATTCATGCTCCATCTAATATTAGCCATCATCTGTATCATTCCCCTTTGTCTATATCAATCTACACAAGTCTCGTTGATTTGCACCAATCCATATTGCTTTCCTGTACCTTTATGCATTTAGCTGCCAGCGAGATTCGCGGTGGAGACACTTGCGGATACGGCCCCCACCGCAGACAGCGGAACACTACTCGGTAAGTACGCATATCAGTACAAGAGAAATGTCTTTAGACTTGCCTTGGACTACTTATTTTGAAGATGGAAGCGGAGTGATTAGGATTGAGGGGTAAAAGATAATGCGGTAAATGTAGCAACATAAATTTGTAAGCTAGTCAAAGGCTTAACGACCAGGTATGCTCTCTCGGAATGCGAAGCAAGACAACTATATATTATTAGTCCTGGCATAAAATAACACAAGTGGGACTGGTTGGAGTAGTTCCGATTGTAGCGCCATTAGTAGTGTAGTTGCGATCGGTGATTTTAACCAACTTGCTACCATCGGTCTCTAGTCACATCCCCTTCCACGCGATCAAGAGGGGGGCTAATTTTTACAACTTAACCATAAGCATAAGTGCGCTATATGACGAATCTATGATTCCTTAGCCAACGGTAATTTTTATATACACATGAAAGAGAGGAGACTATCCCTGTCTTCAAGAATAACAAACCCACCCCATTGCTCCCCGCGACCGACAATGCCAATGAAATCCACTTCACTCTAAGATCTTAAAACCGTCTCCTACTTTCTCCGATTCTGCTGCATCATCAAAATCTGGACCATCCGAATGAAGATGTTCAAGAAGTCCAACTCCAAACTGATACTCTCATTTACAGCATCCTTGCGCATCAAACCGCGCTCTGCCATCCGCGCGTGTGCGAGAATCTTCTGCACATCATAAAGGGTGAAGCCGCCGAATACTGCTAATCCACCCCAAAGCCAGATGTTCTCGGTAAATGCTAGTGTTCGTACGGCGGTGGCGGGCAGTACCAGCGGTGCAAACCCTGAAACGGCCACGATGGCAACACCTGCAAGTAAGGGTCCACCAAGATAAAGATATTTCTCTTGCTTCGCTGTAGCTCCAACGAAGGAGATTGATCCCATCATGGCGAGTGTATAGAGACCGGCGCGGGCGATCAGGGCAGGAGGCGCCATGAAGAGGAGAGGGGCAAGGAGTGCGCCTTGGGTGACGTTGAATGCCGTCCAGCAACCATACTTCTGGATGTAGCTATTGAACTGTTAGCAGCCTTCCTAAACTACCGTTCGTCGGATTATGACATACTTATCTGGGCTTGTAGCTCTTGTAGCCATCATTGACCCGATGCTCAATCCCAAGCCACCGATCATGACGATCCATGGGTTAGTCGCCATCATTCTGTACATCATGCCGGATTGGAACATGGCCCTGGCTGACAGGCCAATGATTCCGATGCCCAAACCCGTATGCAGAAATGTGTCATTCAAGTACGCCCTCTCGTACGGTGGCATCCCCCCGTCCTCGCGAGTTTCGCGATTGAATACTAGATTGATAGCAACCATTGTTCCGCCAAACATCGCCCCTCCCACTATCAGCCTCCGCATCAAGTTGCCGGAATCCGCAGGCGGCACAGCCTGCTGCTGCATGTACGTTCTTGATGATTGCCGGAAGGCATTTCGAGCTTTCGTGAGTTCGCTGACGGGTTTGGCGGTTCTTGATGTGAAGAACACGGTGGAAGGTTTGCTATGGAACGATCGGACGGGAGCTGACTTGAAGGCGGCTTTCGATGCTCCAGTCAAAGCGGAGCCAAGGACAAACGGTCGTCGCATAGTGAATGCCATCCTGAGCTGAGAAGACTGGTGTAGGGTTCGATCAACTCTGGCGGGGAAAAGCGAAGGAGGGTGCCCTGGATTTTGGCAGTTATAGAGTTGTAGTGATGGCGATGGCGATGGCGATGGCGAGTCGAATCGCAAAGAATTGGAAAGCTCTTGATAGGTTGGGGCGCCAAGGGCAACGTCATCTGTAAGCAGCCCGCGGATGACACGTGACCCGCCCTAGACCGGACCTCGGAGCGTTACAATCGCCGCGTGGCGGGCCGATCTGATAAGGCAAATGCCTGGAACGCCGCGTGCTGAACACCGCAGAGTCATCCGGAGTAAGATTTCAGAGCAGGCTGCGAATACACGGACTGGACTAAATAGGTTCACACTATGACTGCAGAGCAGCAATTGATGCGGAGTATTCCCTCCCACTGCACCTATTTTTCTAATTCTTCTCTCGCTCCTTATTCCCATACCATACTGGGGCCTCTCCTCTCCCTACGTTTCTAATGGATGGGCAAACCTGATGTGTTATCGCGACGTGGGAGTACTAAGTTACTAGCATTAGAACGATGTCTGGGCACTCCCAATCTGAACTGGCTGCCTTGACTGCCCCTCTGGCCTCGATGCCTTCGACAGCTTCAGCTTCAGCTTCAGCAGCAGCTACAACTTCGAATACGGCCCCAACAGGCTCGGACGCAGATGCATCACCAACGCATAGCCACGGCCCCGAGCAGAGAAAGGCTTCCCATTCTGCTCCTCATGCGCTCACGGCGCGCTCGTGCGTCACTTGTCGCAGGAGAAAGGTCCGATGCGACAAGCAATTCCCATGCTCGAATTGCACCAGGGCCGGATCGCAATGCATATTTCCAGCGCCTGGTCGCGCCCCTCGTCGACCGAGGGCGGGCGGAAAGGCTACAAGTGAGAGGGAAGCAGAGCTATTGAAGCGCCTGAGAAGACTAGAAGGTGTCGTCGAAGATCTGAGCGGGCAGGTCGAGGTGGAGGCGATCAAACACTCGCCCTCCAGCGACAACTCATCGATACAGCGTGAAGGGGGGTCGTCGACTACCGACCCAACTTCTAAGCAGACCAAGTTGAGGGTGGTGGGAGTCGACGCGGGCAGCGGGACAAAGAAGGAATGGATCCATCGCGCCGTAAGGATCGGGCAGGGGCCGCCCAAGACTGCTTTCAGCGCTGATGAAGTCGAGATGGGGGTTGGACGCCTGGTTTACGATGAAGGGAAGAGTCGATATGTGTCCCATCCCTTCTGGAGCCAAATAACGGACGAGGTTGAGGAAATCCGCGAGATGCTCCAAGACCAGGGCTTCGACTCAGACTCGGATACACCTATTGCCCCAAGCAGTGCTGTAACCGAGTCGAGGCATCAGAGTTTTATCATGGGATACAATAGCAGCGACGTTGATCTTGCCCAGCTCCATCCCCTCCCATCCCAGATACCGTTTTATTGGCAGACGTTCCTCGACAATGTCCACCCCTTGGTCAAAATATTACACGCGCCGACAATGACCAAAACCATAAAGGAGGTCCAGACTAATCTGGACAGTTTGAGTAAAAGTACGGAGGCGTTAATGTTTTCCATTTATTTCGCTACGATTACATCCATGAATGGACAAGAGGTAAGCTAACAATGCCAAACAACTTGGATTCATTGGACTAAAACACTCCAGGTACAAACAAACTTTGGCGTTTCGAAAGATTTTCTGCTGAAGCAATATCGATTCGGGGTAGAGCAGGCGCTGGCAAGAGCTGGCTTGCTCAACACCAGCGAAATTGTCACCGTCCAAGCCTTTGTCCTGTTCTTGATTTGTGTTCGACGACATGACGATACTAGATTTGTATGGACCCTAACTGGATTGGCAATACGAATCGCCCAGTCCCTTGGTCTTCACCGTGACGGAGCAAAGTTTGGATTGAAGCCATTCGATATAGAGATGAGGAGACGCCTATGGTGGCAAGTTTTCATTCTGGATACGCGAGCCTCCGAAGATCATGGGGCGGACCCTGCTATTCTTGATTACACGTTCGATACCGAGTATCCTACGTCATGTAACGACGAGGATCTTGATCCAAGTGCCACTGAGCTTCCATCCCGTCGGCCCGGGGTTTCTGAGATGACTTTCTGCCTTATTCGATATGAAATATGTAGTCTATCACGAAGGATATCATATAATCAGCTCGGTGGGATACCGTATAGAGATGGGCCGCGATCGATGACGCTCGAGGAGAAGGAGAAACTCGTCAGAGAAACAGCTAGTCATCTCGAGGAAACATATCTCAAATACTGCGAAGACGCAGGACCCCTTTATTGGGTTGCAGCCACCGTAGCCCGGCTTATCACCGCGAAGATATCGCTGATTCTCTATCACCCCCTCACGCAGCCTGGCAAGCCAAGCACCCTTTCCCAGGACACCCGTGATCGCCTCCTAATGGCTTCCATCGAGATTTTCGAGTACTCACGAGTACTGGAGGAAGAATCTAGCACCAAGCAATGGGGCTGGCTTTTCCAAACTTATATACAATGGCATGCCATAGCCTTCATTCTTGGGGAACTATGTACCCGACCTCCTTCGGTCATTGTTGATCGTGCGTGGCGGGCCGTTGACAGTATCTTCGGTACATGGGATGCCAGATTAGTTCAAAGCAAGAGTGGAATGCTGTGGAAGCCGTTAAAGACGCTTATGGCAAAAGCCCGGCGAAAACGGGAAGAAAATATGGCCTGCACAACTGCCGTTGGCAGTAACTTGGATCTCGGAATCCCGAAAGACTACATGCGGCCTCTACCGTTAACATACCCTCATCCTATGCCGCCCATCGACTCCCGAAATTCCCCAGGTTCTCAAGCCGCGAGAAATGCCACTCTTACATCCATGGATACTCCCGTGTACCAGGAAGATAGGGCGATAATGGAACCCCAAATTGTGGGTATGGGTATGCTTGCTCCCGACCAGGTTCAACTACAATTCCAGCAACAAGCCCAACAACCGGGGCAGCAGCCAATGCCTTGGTTAATGGGTGACAATGTGCTGGGAGACCTGGATATGAATGGCTTAGAAAGTGATGTAAGTTGGGAAGGATGGGATGATCTTGTTAGGGATCTTCAGACGGAAACTGGAAACCAGCCCATGGATATGCAGACAGGTCCTACTTTGGGTGGTATGGGAACTTGGTGGTGACAGCTTTTGGTTACTTTATAATGCCGGTATGGTGTTCTGGGAGGGTGGTGTCTGGGTTTCTATGGTTCATGATATGATATCCACGGCGGGATGTATGTGGGTGGGCATTCCAACACAACATCCCTCTAACTGTTTGGAGTTCTGCACTAGCCATAGTTGTATATTATGAAAAGTATATCGCTACTCCATATTTCCACCTTTCTCTACTTATTTAAATAGTAGAATTTAACGATTATATAGAAGAAATAGACTTACCAACCTGTTAATTATGCTAACTACTCCCTTCCACCTTGCTCAAGGGTCGGGCAGTTTATTATATTCTTTCTGATGCTCCTCACATCTCTATGTCCCTTCCCGGCCGTACCCCTTCTGGCTGTGCGGTTTCAGCACATCCCTTACACGACTGTAGAAACAAGTGAAGCCCCTGTGGCCGCTTTCGCCGCAATATTATCCTCACCTTCAATTACACTGTAATCGCTATCAAGCGCTGTACCGAGCACTCAAGACTACGCCACCGATTTATTTTGTGCTGCTATATACCAAGATTTTGAGAAACTGGTTGGGGGGTGTTCGAGGGGAATTTCAAGTGTTTATACTTTGTCAAGGGGTTAGTATCGCCATCTACAGATATTTTGTCACTTACTTATTGTTTGAGGTTTAATCATTTATTTAAACGATATCCGCACACTAAATGTATATTTCAAAGGCTTCTATCATTTTACTTCAAGGCTCAAATCTAAGATATTAATTTCAAGAAAATCTACAGGAGCATAAGCGCACCCTCACGGACTCCATCTCCAATTGTGGTGTATGATAAGGCGGCTTCCTTTCTACTTAGTTGGCGAGCTTTGAATGCCTTGCCACAGTTAGGGAAGTTTAGCTTTGCTCCTGTTGGCACTGGTTATAATGCACGCCGGTCAAACTGGAATTATCCTTCAAGAGAAGTTTATGCGTGAAGCAAAATCAATAATGGAGTGCGTGTATACAGACAGGGACCGGGAGGGGGGCAGCTAGAAAGAACCGTGATACTTTGTCGTGTTCGAAAATATGAGATGCTTCCCTAAAGAGTATTCACAAGCAAGTGCTTGAAGTAATCTTCAATTAAACCGAGAGTAATAATGTACAAAGCTCACTGAGGTCCAACTATGCAACAGCCCCAGATAATAACGCCACACTCAAGACGCCATAATTCTGCCCCGAAAACGGAGGCTCTGTAAAAAGGTACAAGAAAGTCATTATCATCATAGAACACCGCCTTACAATAGCCTAGAATCGTTGCGCAATGATGCAGAATGTTCGTGGCAGGCCATAATCATACAGCTGTAAGAACAGCTTATCGCCATCCTCCCTTACCCATAACACCAGTGACACTCTCTCTCATCTTAGGTGTGCTACTATAAATCCCGGCGTGTCTCGCAGAGTTTGCAAAGTTGCCGCTCAGTTGCCGTGGCTCGCCAATGGTGGTGCGCCGATTGGTCTTAATGACCGGCTGGGTGCGAGGACTCAAAACGCTAGAGTGGAAGCTAGACTCTTTGTCGCTCCTGACCATCCGTCGAGCATGGCTGGCGGTAAACATGTTCTCATTTGGAGGCGACCCTGCCATGGTAGCCGCGGTAGGGCTTCTGCGTCGATGAGCTCTGCTGATACCCTCATTTGATAGGCGAGGGATGGAGCCTGTACGTTTCAAGGCCCTGCCTATTTTTGAGCTATCGGAACGATCCATATGCCAACTGTTTTCACCATCGGACGAAGAGTTATGTCCACTGTCGGAAGGGATATCACTTGTTGAGCTCTGAACAAGGTGCAACGGAGATTGATTCAAAACATTCCCAGTATCAATGGTGCGTAGAGGTGACTGTTCAGTATCAGATGATGAGAGATTGCTCATCTTCGGTGGTGGTGGTGACCCCGTCTTCTTCTTGAGGAAACCGGCCTGAAATCGATTTGCCTTGGGTCTAAGATCGAGGGATGGCTGTGGAGCAACGGGGATAGGAGAAGATCCGAGTGAATCATTTGACACATCTGCTGTTAAATATGGCGGCAGTGTAGGGAGCACTAGGGACTGTTCCGCTGAGGATACTTCGGGTGTACAACGAGTCTTCTGAGGTGTCTTCTCAAATTCTGCCAACGTCCCGGATTCTGTATCATCTCGCCACCTGACACTTCGCTGCTTGGAGGGCGACTTTTTCTTCGGCGTAAAGGATACCCCTTTCTTTCCTAAGACTGGTTTTCGCCGCCTGGGTGAAGATTTCATGGGCGATGAAAGTATTTGGGGGGCCATTGCGGAAAGAGATGCCATTTTAGGAACCAGTCGAGGCTGGTTGTCTAGGAAGCTCGCTGGCTTCTTTCGCTTTGGCGTGCCACGTTTCGTCGGGGAGAACTTTTCAATGATATTCAATGATCCGTCAGGTTTGACTACGTGGGATACCGTAGTAGAACATTCCTGTAATAGACGACCGAGGGTACTCTTCGCGTGCTGGATAGCATCGACTTCGTTCATACTCAATATGTCGTGCAGGCAAGAAATTATGTCGAATTGGGCAGAGAGAAGAATTTGAGTAACATCCCCGTCGCCAACCTTTTCCTGCTCTAAAACTTCCCGCAGCGCCTCCCTCCCGGCATTGGCTTTGAGAAGTTCGGCTTCCCGAGTTAAGCTTGCAACGTCAGGTCCCTCAGCGGATCCATCTACTTCTGCCAGCTGCCGGATACTGTTTTGCAAGGCCGAATCAATTGCACGCTCCCAATTGTTCTTGTCTAACTTCTGATGATAGTGTTGTCTGCTGTTCTCCAGCTCCAAAAGGATACCTTGAGCGGTTTTCCGCATCGCAGATAAACTAGGCGGCATGTCCTCGGCATCACGAGAGGCGCAAATAGTATCAAAAGCTGCAACCCAGGCTGACAGTACTGCAATCCGTCTTTCAATCTGCCGAAGTCGCTTCATATTGCCCATCTTGTCTTGCCTCTCATTAACAGAGTTATCAAATGCCGCGCGAACTCGTAGAATTCCTTCCCGTGTAATACCATCGCGCTTTTCGTTTTGTTTCCTGAATTTGACGAATGCGGTCGCATCTGAATCCTTCTGCTGGGCAAGTAGTTCGTTGATCAATGCACGCTGCTCATCAATCTTGACCAGGAAATCCTTCACGTGTCGGTTGACATTGTACACATTTCTGGTGACTTTGGTCTGGATGTTTTTGGCTCTGTTTGCGTAGCGGAGGGTGTTTTGTGTTTCATCGAAATGAGAACTCGATGGGCTCACACACACAATCATGACAGTCTTGCAATTTCCTCCAAGAGAAAATTTCAGAAGCCGAGTAAGCTTTGAATTCCGGTATGGGACGTGGTTCCTCTTGCGGGGATCACAGAGCGCGTTGATGCACCCGCCTAGTGCGAGAAGGGATTTGTTGATGTTTGCCCCTTCGATCAATCGCTCGCCGCGATTCTTCGTTGCGCTCGCACGTTCGCTGCCGGCCAAGTCAATAATGCTTAGGGTAGCCATCGTATGTGGTTCATTGACGTCTGCATTTCGGTCCTTTTGAGCCAGATTGATTTGCAAGACAGCATGGGATCGGGAGGATGTTGCGTTAGCTGCGGTTGGAGAAATTGTCCGATACTCGTTCCCCTGCACGATCATATCCATAACTTCTTGTACATCTCGCGGATGGTGGCTCGATAGACCCGCTACAGATACAGCTTGATTGGCATCCTCGCGTAGCATTAAGCCTTGTTTACTTCCCCCAGGGACGAGTAGATCACGGATCGTCTCATTATAGATCTCCAGATATGACAAGGAAACTTCCGTCTGCTTCTCATCACTCCGCTCAGCAATTTTCTCGAATAGTTCTTGCATCGTAAGGAAGATGATGCCAGGCTGTTGGGCAGTTCCAGTAATGGTGTGTGTTTTCCCGCAACCGGTAGCACCATATGCGAATACGGTTGCGTTGTACCCTTCAAGAACGCTGTCCAGTAGACCCCTCGTTGTTGCTTCGTAGACATCCGCTTGTGTTGTATTTTCGTCAAAGACCCGATCAAATGCAAATTGTTGATCCTTCACTCTTTTGCCCATATTCGGGACGACTGATCGGGAGAACTTTTGCATGGGGTTATCCTCGGGAGGGTCGAAGATTCTAAAAGTGTTAGCTTGCAGAAATTAAAACTATAACAACAATACATACAAGCACTTATCATCCAGGACTTTGATCACGGGCCGAATGCCCTTTTGGCCCAGCTTAGGTGTAGGGAGGCCAGCAAGAGACCCTTCTCCAAGGAATAAAGTACCCTCATCACATTTCGTTCTATATATTGTGAGCATTCGAATAAGGGAGGACGAGGTTTGCATAGGTACATTTGGGCTGCCTCCCGAATCGTGAAGGGACGGACACGGACTGCCAACTATTAGATCTCCTGTATTATATTTAGATCAACAATCGAGACATACCAGTCACCGATATCGAAGACGCTCCAGCGGCTGCGGTGGCCATTTCTGTTGTGTTGGAGAAGGAAGAATCATCCACGTTCGTTGCAGATGCGTAAACAAAGATTCGCGTGAGCCAGCGGGGACCTTTCCGCGGTAAAAATTCCTGAAGCAAAGAGGTTGAAAATAAATTCCAATATTTTCCGTGTAGAGATGTGCACACCCAGTGTTGCGGTCGTCGTAGTCGTCGTCGTGGTCGTCGTGTTGTTCGTTTGCGACTCGGGTCTCGAAGTTGATTTTCTGGTAACGATGATAGGGGCCGAGGCGTGTTGCCGCAGCAACGCCTAGCTCCAGGCTAGTGAGTTTCAAGTCATTGCTTGATTAATCCACCACCTAGCACAACTCCGCCTAGGTATGTCAACAATCGCAACTTCGCAAGTGCGTGTGAAATTGGCAAGCTACCTAACAAGTCATTAGAGTGCTCGAGTAGGGGTCTACAGTTTTTGGCATCGCTCCATAATCAAAGTATAATTACATATACCTATGCTTATCACTTTCACGCTTTGGCTGCCCCTCATTCCTTGCGTTTATCACGTATTACCAACCTTTCTAATTGCCGACTGGATCTAAATCCTGCCTGACAGTTTTCAAATACGCTTTTTCGTCCAGCTCTCATTTACACGTACCAGATCTTGGCACTATCGCCAAGTGTCACTATGGTCACCGATATCACATCAGATCGATAGCGACAGAATTGATAGTTTTGTAGGTTAAGGATACTCTCTGCCCCCCATGTTCACTTTTCTTCGACTTTAGTCAAGTCGGTGTCCCAATGCTGCTTCACAACAACGAAATTAAGTCAATCATATCTAGCATATCCATCAACTATCTGGCTACCTTCAATAGCAAACACAAACAGCCTCGACGTAGAGTAACGCTCGGTTCCCGTTGATACCAATAGCAAGCCATATACTTAGCGTTATGATGGACTGTGATATTTTGTTTGGATCTTGGAAGGCTTAGATCTCTGGCTACGGCGTTTATGTATATTTGAATGAATCGAAATGCCCAATTCTATCGATTCCCCAGGGAATATTAACGTACCCAATGGCGGAGCTGCCATCCTCACAATCCATCCTTGATTTATTTGAGAAACTATATCTTATTTTGAATTACATGGGATCTCGCAATTTGCGTTTACTTTTGTACTGAGGACATTCACACACCTTTTATTCAATTTCAACCTCATCGCTTCTCCTTCTGAAGCTCCATGGGGGATAGGCACCCCTCCACGCACCGGATAATTTAATTTTTGGTAGTACAACCATTGGGCGTAGATGGTTGGTCGAAACGAAAAAAGAAGCTCGGATTGCGTAGCCTGTTTCTGGGCAGGATCTAGAAAGTTTAGTAAACCACCACGCGGATTTCTAATACTAGGTAAACTACTACATAAAACTATTCATGAACTTCGTTTCCACCGGAGCTTCCGTTCCACGATGTTGATGAGTAATCTACATGTAGCGGCATCCTGCATGTAAAATCCACCTATGACCGCTACTCAGCGTTTGCATCAATGGGTGGATCGGGATAAACTGTTACTAAACATGTTCATCGCACCATTTTATGGCATCCTTATTCCGCAGCATCCGCAGTTTTGGAGAGTGTGGTAGCACCATGCTGCAAAGTCCATGGTCAACGAGCTTGCTGCCACGGCCGTATAATTTCTATATAAGACGATGAGATAGCTCCTCCGATATTCTCTTCTAGCCCCCCGTTGATTCATTGCTTAACAATCTCAAAGCCTCCTTATAAACCGGATCCGTCCGAAAATGGGCCGTCCAGATATCTTTTACGAGCCTCCCAAAGGGCAAAAGTCAGGGCTCCCTCACGACCCCTTCAAAAGCTTCGTGGTCCCACGTCCTATTGGTTGGATAAGCACCACCAGTAAAAATGGTCAAGACAATCTGGCTCCATTTAGTCAATTCAATAACGTATCTTTTGATCCCCCAACTATCCTTTTCATCGGGCATCAATCTGTGTACAAACGTGACAGCAAGGACTCTGTCAACAATGCTAAAGATACCGGCGAATTTGTCTGGAATATGGCAACGTAAGAGTATTGACCTTTTTAGTTTCATCGGCAGTTTTTGGAATGTGGCGATAACAAGCATATCACATAGGAACGACCTCAGAGAAAGCGTCAACGCGTCCTCCCTGGAGTCATGGGACGACGAGTTCCCCATCTCTGGAGTCACCAAAGCCCCAAGTCGCGTTGTGAAGCCTCCCAGAGTTGCCGAGTCACCTGTACAATTTGAGTGCAAAGTTCATTCCATTGTCCGGATCGCCGGGGATTCTCTTGTAGGAAATTCTGATATTGTCATTGGTCGAGTTGTTGCCATCCATGTAAAAGGAGAGTATATTACGTCTGATGGGGTATGTTTACCCCATCCTACCCTTAGTCTGTTTAGGACAGAGCACTAAGTGGTTTTTAGCTTTTTGATATTGTGAAAGCGGCACCCCTTGCCCGTCTCGGCTACCGTCAGTACACGTCTATCACGCATACTTTCGACATGGAAATGCCGTTCATGCCTGATGATCACGTTAGTGGTGGAGTTCTTTCGGGCACAACTGGGGAAATTAGGCCTATGAGGAACGTAGATGGGGAGGAGGAGGAACCCTCAGAAGTTGCACATGGACAAGAAGGCCATTGATATCAGAAGGGGGCTGAGACAATGAAATGAGGGATACAGTTTCTGATACTGCTGTCAGGTATATTGATTTGATGGGCTCGCGATATAGCAAGTTTTTATCCCGAGTGACATCTGATTCTGGTGGCCGCAACGTGAAATACCCAAAATCCACCACCGTTATTGCATATTGCATTTCAACCCCCCCCTTCCATGTTCATAAGTCCAACTTGAGAAGAACAGATTTAGTCTCCAAAAAGAAATCCAAACTATAGTTAGGCAATCCCTCCCTCCCAATTCCGGACCCTTTGTACCCACCAAAAGGAGTGTCCTGCCCCGTGAGCGGACTAGTACAATTCACACCAACAGTTCCTGCTTCCAAACCCTTGGCGAACTTCAACGCCCGATCAATATTCTTAGTAAATACAGAAGCATAGAGTCCATATTCAGTATCATTAGCTTTCGCCAGAGCTTCTTCCTCTGTTTTGAAGACATTGATAATCACAACCGGCCCGAACACTTCCTCTTTCATGATTCGCGAGTCTTCTGGGGTTTCAATAAAGATTGTCGGGGAAATAAAATAACCTTTGCCGTCCGGACTCGAATAAGGTTCATCTCCTAAGATAATCTTACCGTCTTTCTTGCCGATTTCAAGGTACTTCATGACATTGTCATATTGCATCTTGTCCGCCAGAGGGCCATGGTTAGTTTCCGGCAAAGTCGGGTCGCCAATATTAACAGCTGCAAACTTGGTCTTGAATAGCTCGATGAAACGATCTGCAACTGTGTCTTGCACATATATCCGAGAGTTGGCCATACAAGTTTGCCCGCTCGTGGTCTGAATGGAGAATTGGGTGGCGGCGGCAGCGGCGTCAAGGTCTGCGTCTTCGAAGATGATAGCTGGAGACTTTCCTCCTAACTCAAGAGAGATTGCTTTCAGGTTTGATTTGGCTGATGCCTCTTGAATCAGTCTTCCGGTTCTGGTTGAACCGGTGAACGATAAAGCCCGAACATCCATATGGTAGCTCAGCACGGAGCCCGAGACATTGCCAAAGCCAGTTATCACATTGATGACACCTGGAGGAAACCCCGCCTCCTGGATCAATTTGGCCAATAAGGCGGACTATATATATCTCAATACTTGTTCAACAATGGAAGTCGTCGCTCTGACGAAAATAAATAAGAGGCCTTACCGTCAAAGGAGCCTTCTCACTGCTCTTCAAAATAACCGTATTCCCAACAATGAGCGCTGGGGCTAGTTTTTTGCCGAAAAATAGCAACGGAACGTTCCAGGGAATAATCGCGGCAACGACACCATACGGCTGCCGGAAAGTCAAATTTACGAAACCTGGAGTATTCACGCTAGAAGTGCCTTGAACACCGTATCCAGCCTCGGAATAGTGCTCAAAAATCTTGGCGCAGGCCGCTCCATGGAAATAAGATGAGATAGGGTGTCCCATTGATAAAGCTTCCAGAGTTGCAAATTCCTTATCATGTTCCCGGATGAGGGTTGCTAACGTTTTGAAGTATTTTCCGCGTTGATCTGGACTGAGGGCGGCCCATGCTGGTTGAGCGGCCTTGGCTGCTGCCACTGCTCGGTTTGTGTCTTGTTCCGAGGCTTCATGAACTGCGGTCGTCTTTTTTAGTAACGCTTCAAATGCTCAAGGCAGGCTCATGTACCTCTAGCTACCACCTCTTGGGTCTTTGGGGATATGAGATCGAATGTCTTTGCATTCTCAGATTCGACGAACTATACTCGCAAACCCCATATCGTCAGTTAAATGTATCGTTTCCATTTTACCAATCCAGGCGACATACCTCGCCATTAATGAACAGTCGAGTCTCGATCGACTCTTCCGCAACTGTAACGGTCATGATGGCCACCTTTTTGGTTTGGCTTCAATTATGGCTTTTAGTGGCGATACTTCGTATCTGGAGGATATTGAAGATATGATGACCAAGAGCCTCGAGAACTATATCCCTGAGATTTGGTCGCGGGAACTATTGGTCTTGGCCTGCGTACAAACTTTTGCCTTGTTCCCCTGGCGGGGTTGAGGGAGGGGGGGGAGCTAGCCCCACATTGCTTGGAAGCTGCTCCCCGCATTATCAAAGCAACAACACAGATCGGCAAATCATCATCAAAGCAACAGATATCGGCAAATGTGCCCGGCTTTAATAGGTGTTCGTATGGCCTTATGGTGCTATAACTAATGTCGTATTCCAAAGTGCTCTTCTTTCTTAACATGTATTAACTGTATTTGCCAATCAATCAATACAAGGCAACACTTTCCTCTATATATATTCTCCACGGAGCTTGGCACATCAGTAAAGCATGGCAAGCGAAATAGCAGAGTTAAAGAAGCTGGTGGAGTCCTTGCGGGGGGAGGTGACTCGACTGAGCGGCAAGTTTCTATGTTTGATGTTAATACTAAAAGGTGCTAACGGCTCTCAAATTGCAGATGAGAATGAAGTCAAAAAGCTCCATTTCAAATATGGTTATTATTTGGATAAGTGTCTATATAAAGAGGTAGATAATAGCTACACCAACACTTGAAATGCCCAGAATAACAGGTTACTAGGTAGTTGACCTCTTCGCCGATCATCCAGACACCTTCGTGGAATTCCTTGGAGGTCGCTACAAGGGCAAACAAGGAGTCGAGAGGCTATATCGAGGCCGCTTTGCCGCCAGGTTCGTAAACAATCGAAACGGCCCCGTCCACGGCTTCCTTCTCGACCATGCCCAGATGCAGGACGTCATAGATATTTCTGCGGATGGTACGCGCGCCTGTGGACGGTTCCGTGCCCTTATGAGTGCAGGTGTGCACAAGAGTGTCAAAGACACTCACCCCCGCGGCTTTGTGCAATGGTGGGAAGGTGGTTTGTACGAGAATGAATATATCAAGGAGGACGGGGTATGGAAGGTTTTCAAGCTGAAATACTTTCCCTTTTGGCATTCGGATTTTGAGAAGGGCTGGTCAAATAAGGAGATTGGGGAATTTGTTCCCTTTGATACTGTAACTTTCCCGGAAAATGCAACGGGGCCTGATCAGATTGTTGAGCAGCTGATGCTGTGGCCCGATACCAGAGTTGTGCCATTCCACTATCCGCATCCCGTTACTGGGAAGCAGGTTGATGAGGACGACTTAAGGGCTCCTGGGTATGGTGAGGACGTTAAGACCAGCAAGCCTGCATTGACCCTCTCATAATGGCTGGATACGGCATTTTCAATGCCTCACTGAGTAATAGTTCTAAAGCAATTCCACCATTTTAACTACCACATAAATCCTGGAAAATACGTGACAATGATTTAAACTACATGGGGAAATGAGCTTTAGAGAATTCTGCTCCGTTTGTCTAAGTGCCTGTACAAGGGTAAGATGATTACTGAGTGGCCTTACGAAAATTTTCCGGTTCTAAAACCTAACCAATGTTTAAACAACTAGCTAATGGAGTTATATCGACAGAGGCACTCGATCGCAAAGGAAATAGTAAGTCTCCTAGAAATTCAAGTTAAGTTCATTTCATTGATAACATCGAGGTTTGCTAAGACTATCCAGGCAAATTAATAACGAGAGAAAATTGGACGATTAAGAAGACGGCTTACAATAATGGCCGTACGGCCTTTGAAAGGAGAGGCATTGAGTAATAGCGGAGGTGGAATAAGACAGGATAGAAAGAGCTAACAAAATAGAACGTCGGTGAATGTCTGTTAAAGGAATAAGCAATATAAAATGGGAAAGAAGCTCGAAACGATGAGTCGATAATATTTGTTGTATATTTTGAGATCTCAAATTACACCTTACTCATTTTCAGGAGAACGTTATTCTACAAAGACAAGATCTAGTCAATTTTACTTGGGATTACCCGCTTAAGCTCTTTCTATTTAACAGGGCAATGTCCCTGCTTGTGCTGGCAAATAGATACCTTCAGCGAGAATAGGAATTCCTTCGAATTTGCCAGAACATACGGGAAACTCGTTGGATATAAATACAATAGGAAGAATCTATACGGATGTAAGGATTATAATTGCTTGATATTGGGGAATGCTATACATAACTGAGTAGCTGACATTAGTAGGACTTGTTTTAACATGACAGAATAAGAGCTTTAGATGCGAATAGCGGCAATTAATACTGTAACAACCAAAAATGAAGGAATGAATTTCATAAACAGTACTTAATTCTGGTAGTAATTCATATAAGGCGAGGAGCAACTTCTACGATCGATCCTATTTCCTGCGCGTGTCTCGCATAAGAAATGGCTAGATCTCAAGTGGAAGCTTGAATAACTTGATCGCATTCGTTCTTCCAACAGCCTCCTTTTCGCTGGAAGGGATATCCACAGTTTTCCACCAGTCCTGTCCCTCCTTGGTATTTTCATAAGGAGTATCTATAAGAGTCAGTATCTGGAACAGAGCCCAAGAAATAAAATACTTACCAATAGCATATAAACATCTATCAACTCCAAGCTCTTCAATACAAAACTTCAGACCCGTCGTCGAGAAATTTCCTGAAGTAGTGATATGGACATTATGCGTGAAGTAATACTTGTAATCGTGCTTCGATGGCCGCGAATCCTTCTTCCACGGATGGTTATACCAATGACAAGCACGCCAGAGATTAAACGGGATGCTTTATGGGCCATTAGTTACGGAGTCACTCAAATTTATTGACAGACCAGGAACTTACTTCTCGCCCAAATGACCCGCGACTATCTGAACCTTCGGGAATCGATCAAATACCCCTGAAGAGCACATGGCATACAAATGAAATGAAAGATCCAAATGAAACTGCACTCCCGCTCCTAGCATATGCTTCCTCGTTCCATATGGTTGGTCTGGTTCAAGGTCTTGCTTGATTCGATAGCGCGGATGGAAGTAAACAGGCACATCGAGCTCTTGCACCACTTCCCAGAACGGATCATATTTGGCAGTATCAAAGTACTCCTTGCCGCTTCCATCCTCTCCCGTGCTCTGGAAATCATTTACCAGTCCACCGAACATACCTAATTCCTTAACCGCACGCCGAAGTTCTTGGGCCGCTTGAACTGGCGAGTGCATTGAGAGGGCAGCTAGAGCTCCGAACCGAGGGGGATTCTTCTTGACTTCGCCCGCGAGGTAGTCATTGGCTGCTGCTGCAACTTGTTCTGCCTTTTCTGGATTGCTCTCGCCTTGAACGCCTGGCGAGGTGAGGGAAAGCAGCATGTATTCTACACCTTCTTCATCCATGCTTTTCAGGCGCGAACCGTGAATGTCGAACAGCCTTTGCTCGTGGGCAGAGAGGTCGGAGCTGGCTCCTTTGGCGGGGGTAAGTAGGCCGTGCCATTGTCGTATATTCTCAATTCCTGCAGGATCAATGATAGCTTCTTCGATTGCGATAGTTCCCCGGGCCATTTTAATGGATTTAGCGATGCGTCTTAGGCGGGTACTCGTAAGTCAATGTGTCTGATTTCAAGGATATTCACATGGAGGATGTTGCGCCGAAATATTCGAAATTCACCAGACTATCTCTCCAAGATGATTCATCACTTGAAGTACAGGTAATGGCGCCCGATTGCTTTGACAAAAGCTGAGCTGCGTCCGAGCAAATGTTCGGACTGCGGCACCAATATAAAGTCCATTCTCAATTGCCGATATTACCCCGCGATGGGAAGTTGGTGATATATTCGACTATCGAATCGCGATACAACTACCGACATCAATGCTTTCGAGGTTCCCTTGATAACCCCCTCCACACCCCGCACCTCTGTTTGGAATGCGACGTGGACCGTACCAAGCCGCGGCTATTATCCAGAGCCCCACGAACGGGCAAAGCGCGAACATAGCGATAATGTTGGATTGTTTATTAGAGATATTGGCCAAAGTAAATAGCTGGTATTGTCCTCTGCCTCTTCAACCTGCACCGATTCCGTGAGTGGTCTTCGTCACATGATGGCTCACCTCTTCACTTTTGCTCCTGTGGAGCCTCCAAACTATACTGAAGGTGTCAAATCCAATAACCAAATTAAATATCCCGACACTCCCTTCTTCCAGGGGATGAACAAGCCCGCGAGGTTCGAAGCGGACATTTTTGATCTCGAGGTCTCTGGGACCATTCCGGAAGATATAAATGGCACTTTTTACCGCATACAACCAGACCACCGCTTCCCGCCGATTTTTGAAGAAGACATACACTTCAATGGCGACGGAATTGTATCTGCCCTTCGCTTTGAAAAGGGCCATGTGGATTTCCGACAGCGTTACGTACACACCGAGAGATTTAAGCATGAGACGGCTGCAAGGAAGGCGTTGTTTGGTCGGTACCGAAATATCTATACTGACAATGAAGCCGTTAAAGGAGTCATCAGAACGGCATCGAACACCAATGTTGTGTTTTGGAGAGGCATGCTGCTCGCAATGAAAGAGGACGGGCCACCCTATGCAATGGACCCAGTGACGTTAGAAACTATTGGTCGTTACGATTTTGATGGGCAGGTAAACTCACCTACTTTCACTGCACACCCAAAATTTGATCCTGTAACCGGTGAGATGGTTTGTTTTGGGTATGAAGCCGGCGGAAATGGTTGCGATGCTTCGTGTGACATTGTGGTGTATACTATCGATGCCAATGGCAAGAAGTCGAACGAGTCGTGGTATAAAGCCCCATTCTGTGGAGTCATCCATGACTGTGGGATTAGTGAAAATTACCTTGTGCTTCCAATGACGCCTTTGAAGTGCTCACTTGACCGTCTGAAGAAGGGAGGGAACCATTGGGCTTGGGACCCTAACGAAGACCAGTTATATGGAATAGTACCGAGGAAAGGGGGCAAACCCGAGGATATTGTGTGGTTGAGAGCAGACAACGGTACGAGCCCTATTTTGCAGGAACGTAAACAATATCTCTAATGCAGTGAAGGTTTCCATGGCCACGTGGCTGGCTGTTACGAAAATGAAGACGGCCATATTGTCTTTGATATTGGCGTTGCAACCGACAATGTTTTCTTCTTCTTCCCACCCGAAGGAACACCTCCCGAGACTCTTCAGAAGAGAAACAAATTGACATCTGACACCTATCGTTGGATATTTGATCCCAAGTCAAAAACCAACACCCGGGTCAAGCCTGCCGAGGTTTTTGGAATCAATGGAGAGTTTTCTCGCATTGATGACCGTCTGGTCACTAAGCATTACAACCACTTCTGGCAAGTACAAATTGAGCCCAACCGTCCTTATGACTTCGAGAAGTGCGGGTCGCCAGCTGGAGGATTCTTCAACGTTCTCGGGCATTTCACCTGGGACGGAAAGACAAAAGATGTCTACTGGGCTGGCCCGACAACAACGTTCCAGGAACCCGTGTTTGTACCGAAGAAAACAGATATTGAGGGCGATGGTTATCTTATTGCGCTCCTGAACCATCTGGACGTCGTACGCAACGACATTCTCATATTCGATGCCTTGCATCTGGCCAAAGGGCCCATCGCGGCCATCCACCTCCCGTTCAAATTGCGCCTCGGCTTACACGGAAACTTCGTAGATCAAAGAGATATCGAGAACTGGGAGGAATTGAGAAAAGCTGGTGGGGAATTAGGACCAGTGAAGCCAGCAGAAAAACCTTTGCCTTGGCAGACATAGTTAGTCAATATAGTCAACTGGTCGAGGTAGAAATGTATTAACGACGAATATGCTTCTTCTAAAGGGATGGGCTGACGAATGTGGACTGTGATGACGGAATCGGGAATGAGGAGGTCTCTAGCTTTTCCGTTAATTGTGCCGTCCCCGTGTGCAGGGCAATACATGATATTGGACTTGAAAAGCTGTACGATTGTTAAATCATTCGCGACTCGTATTTTGGGGATGCGAAATAGACCGTATCTCTCAAGAAGAAAGGGTGTTTTCTGCATAGCGCAAATAAAGAATTGAGCTGGAAGCTAAAGCCTGGCTTTAACGTCTCGGAAATTGGAAGTCATGATTTGGCTATTCCTCAAAACGGAGTAGGCCAGTATCATATATACCTGTCACGGTGGAACAATTTCAACACCATGTGAAGTTGGACAACGAGGGGTAGTTGTCATGCAGCCATTCATGGGCGATACTTGAGCCTCACTGTCTACCGGCGTGATGACAGACAGGGAGCATCAACTTGTGAGCTCAGTTTGAATCTCACTACTGCCGGGTTGAAACGTGGCTTGAACCAGGATCGGCCAAGAAACGTCGATTCGCGCAAGGGTGCCTTAGAGTCCCCTCCACTACTGAGTATTCCGTACGCCCGCACCAACTGTGGCCACGGCAGGAAATATTATTGGCACAATAAATAATAATGATGCTCAAAAAATATACTTCGCCAATGGCGTGCGCCCAGGGATTGACCGTATGCGGGCCGTTGGCAGTGCTGTAAAAATGGCTTGTGATACGAAGTATTCGAGTGTGATAGATATCCTTTGACTAATAAGCTGCGAGGGAGGAAAACAACCCCTTATCTACTCCGTAAGGTACAGGACATGTACATGTACATGTACATGTAGCTCTACGACAGCCGCTACCCTTGGAATAATAAGTTGATGATCAGGGCCGAAGAACACAGCCAATCCATAGCAAGCGCCATCTTGGGATGGTAACGTTGGCGTACCGAACGTTGCTTTTCATGTTTCCATTAATCAAAGATCAACACCCTCCCGTGCAAATCCCCCTTGCACAACGTCTCTAAAATAAAGACGTACTCTATACCAAGTACTTCGTACGTGTACATAGTACATGTGCACCGTATGGTACGCAATATCTCGGGACCTGCGTACGCCCAAACTGGCCAACTAAGCCGGATTCAGCTCCCACTATCGAAATAGGGGTTAAGCGATATGAGATCGGACCACCAACACGGACATCACGACGCCTCGAGTGCAACTGCTCTGCTCAAATTTGCGCCCGCTCCTCCTCGCTCTCCGGAGGCGCATGTACTTACTGTAACAACACATCAAATGTACAATGTACAATGTACAGTATGCAATACAATAATGCACGGTAAATTGCCCAGGCACAAAGCGGAAGGCCCGTGAGAGATCAAGTCTCTGTCAGCTCTGGGATTCCGCGGTGGAAGGAAGCCCCTTCACTCAGCATTGCTCTCAATACTGTAACTGGCTCTCCAACTTATTAGTCTCTCCTTACTTCGTACGTAGTACAACTTCTTTCATTCCTTTGTGCCATCCTCTCCCAAGCCCTAAGAGCACCGCGTTATTACGCCAGGCGGGCCCACCCAAATCCCGCGTTCAAAGCTTCAACCAGAGATCTACGCGCCGATCAAATGGCAAGCTCGTAGGATCAATGTCCTGCTCTCCACTCCGCCGCAGATAGCGGCAGCGCTGAAAAGGACCCCGTTCTTTCGAATATCCCGCATTTTGTCCTTGTTTTCCGTATCTCTGCATCATCTACCATCTTTTAGCACTGAACGCCCAGCCGCCGCAAACCCTTCACGGCCATCGATGCCGTGACATACGCACAACAAGCTAGAACTTCGGGCCGTTACTTCGGATTTCACTCGATCTTTCCTTTCGTTCAGATGGCCTTCCTCTTTAACCTGCGTTCAGTCTATATGGGCAAAACCGACAAGCATCGCCGAGCGTCGTCAGTGAGCTCTTCTCTACCACCGATATCCCAGGATGGGTCATTCCACGGGGCTCCTCCTGTTCCCGAGCGCTCGACGTATCGACTTTCGAATGGCCGTGCTATGGGGTTGCCTGGTTTCGAATTCGAGAACCACAATCCACCGCAATATGGCACCTATTCTGAGGCCTACAGCTCAGTAACTGAAAAGCATAGCGAACGGTCGGTGGCGTCAGCAAATGGATCAAATAGCACATCTGCTTCAAAAAAGTATGGCTGGCGAAAATTGGTATTATATGGCGTGATAATCGCGCTGGTTATCTTGGGCATAGGATTAGGGGTCGGTCTTGGTTTGGGAAACCGGCATAAGAGCTCGTAAGTCTAGCAGTTAACCTCTTCGCCGAATCAAGTCTAATTGCAGCTCATAGAAGTACAAGTCAAAATGAGTCTATTGGCAGTGCCAGCAGTAGCAGTAGCAGTCCTCCGAGCAGCGAATCAGGCTCAGCTCAAGACGCGCCTCCCGCGAATCTAGCTTCTACCACAACCTTTCCTGCGGGCTCATACACCTTCAATACCTACCTTTCCCCTCCCGTGACAGACTGTACCAGCAATCCATCGACCTGGCTCTGTTATCCGTACTCCACTTATGGCGAATCAGCCTCGTCCTCTAGCGCGGCATTCGACTGGGTCATCTCGAAGGTCCCAAACACACCAAACAACTATAGTATCTCCTCGACGAAAAATCCAATTGACCTGACTTTCACCAATCTCCCCTTAACTCTGAAATCCGCCGGCACGGCAGAAGAGCATTATTTCCTCCAAACACCCATGGAGAAAACTACCAAGCCCACAACCCAATTGGGCAGTGATAGTGTGGCCGCCACGTGCCATTTCACTGATACCACATTCCAGGCCTATCTATATACGAAAAAACCAAAAACATACCCGAAGAGCGATGAGAATGGTGCCTACACGGCTTGGCCGCATGCTGTGAAGGTTGAGCAGGTATCCGGGGGCGGGGCCGGAACCCCTTCGTGTATTGGACCGAGTGGAAGCTCCCTGGGAGACTTTAGTGTGGAAGACAATGGACTGCTATGCGATTGTTTATATCTCAATACTGGGACTTGATATCTGACGTGCTATATTTAGTTACGATGTTAACGACATTTTTGCATTAGCCTTGGCGTTCCATTTATAGCGGGTTGCAAGTTTACACAGGGGCTGGATTTAATGGGAAATTGTACATGCATATATTACTTTCCAGTTTTGGTTTAATATAATCCATTTTGCACTTCTAACCATTCAAGAGTTTATACCCGACTTTTCTTTTAGTTAGGTATGAAAGCTTTGCACTACTGTACCTATGAAACGCGAATTTATTTCGTATAAGAAGCCGTTGCATTTCGGAACCTACATAGGACCTCCCATGTGACCAACTAATGTCAGAAATCTTGGCTGGGCAGAACTGGGTTCGTTAGTGCGACATTGATGAAATTTGAGAAAGGAAAATACATCTATAGGCCTGATTATCTATAAGCAGAGACTCTTGAACCAAGAAACAACTAAGTGTACTCTATACACCTTAGATATGAACCTTAATCAGATTAATCCTTGCCTTAGCCGCTTACCAGAAGGCCGTTTCTTGCAGTATGGTAACCTGAGAGTTCAAAGAGGATGATGAGACACATGGTTATCCAGCAACACACAGAGAATCGACAGTCTAGACAAGTCCGTCAAGGACACTCAACCCTTTTTATGCAACAGTATTATACCGCCATAGTATGTTCAAAAGTATTTTTGATATGCAATCTAAGTAGGGATTGCTAAAACTCCTAATAAGATGCCAAGAAAATAATAGAAGTGCTAGATAAAATATGCGATATTATGGTGGTATAATGCATATCGCTCAAAGCAACCAAAGCGTGATAAATTGCAACCCATTCCCATGCCCCTCTCACCCCATCTAAGAACCACCATCAAGGAAAGCTCGAATCTTCACTCGCTCTGTTGATTCCTGGGGGGTTGGTCTCTTTTCGACTCCGTGGTATCGGATCGGATCCTGGCCTTCGATCCTCTTCAACGTAAAACGAATCTTCGCCTCCTTCGCATCCCGGATCTCGTAATCAGTTATCTTGTATAGCCCATCATACCGGATACCTTCTGAAGGGGCATACTTCGAGTTCTTGTTCTGAGCTCGAAGAACACGCAGCGGTTGCCCCTTTCGATACGTTTCCTGAAGCAACTGCGTTCCTTTCGACGGCGTCCCATTATCACCGGAAGTTCCGCAATATTCAATTACCTAAACGAGTATTAGCGCTTAACAACTGCCAAAATCATTTCATGTGTACAAACATCGCCATTATCTATATCGTCATATTCTGTGCTTGAGACTGCCACCGCATAAGCGCCAACGCCGCCCTGGCCATGGATGCCAGCCTCTTGCTCTCCATGAGCGCCGTCCCTAAACGCGCATAACCTCGAGGGCCACCATTGTCCATTTACCAAGCCATTATCACCAAAGGTATTTGCCGACTTCTTATGTTGGTAATTTTGTTCGAGCTTGTGTTGTGTTCGTTTTTTCCCCGAACTTAGGACGCCTTTTGTAGTTTCGATGCCACGTAGAAGATTTGGATCAATGTCTTCATTCATCCAACGAAGCCATAATGCCTCGGCGTCGGCTCTGATATCGTAAGGGAAGGCATCCGTATCCGGGCTATCGAAAATGCGTCGCAAGCCTCCTTCGTCAAGAACCTTTGATTTCTTGATGTAGCCCTGCGGGAATTTCTGGTCGTTCGGCGTTAGGAACTTGTAGAACTCCATTTCATGCAGCTTCGTCCGTAAATCCGCCGTACGTTTCGCCGCATTTGTATCGTTTTTGTGCTTGATGCAAAGCGTAACCATATCCTTAACCTCCCTTATAGATTCTAGGTCCCTGCGGGAAATCTTTTTGATGTTGGGCACATCATTATACCATTCCGGAGCCATCCTGGTATAATCAACCTTCGTCTGGGATTGGTACAGGGCTTTCACTTTACTCTTCGGAGGCTTCCGAGCCGGACCAAATGTACTTCCGGGTGTCTCGGCTTGTTCGCCAGCAGAATCGGCTGTATTGATTGCATTATCTGGCGACCTGAGTTTCTTTGGAGAACGGGGAGGATCCGCAACAGTCGTATCCACAAAAATGACATTCCTTGGCGGCTCATCTGTATAGTTTATAGAGATTAGCTACAGACAAAAATTCTGCCAGTGCAAAACAATACCAGGTCTCTTCCTCTTCTTTGGTTTCAGGTTCGAATATTTGAGAGGGTTCGGGTTTGGGTTCTTGATCTCAGGCTTGATCAGCCACGGCAGCGCGGGCGCTCCGTTGAGTTGTTCTTCCTGGGGGTTGCGAGCTTCAACCTCAACCTCACTGGGTGCTTCGACTGCTGTTATGGGTTCCGCCGGAGGCTCAGGAGATTTATTGACATCCCCATACACCCCCTTCGCTGTAAAAATGCGCTGAATATATTCTCTTATATCTGCTTTCGACTTTGGGTCTGGACACCCTTGCTCAGTCGTGCGTTCACTCGACAACTGGCTGTCCATAGTTCACCGACGTTGGAAACGGGAGGGAAGGCGGACAGGGAGATGCCGGATGGTGAGGAATTAGGGCGTGTGGAAGATCGACGACTGGTGGCAGAACGTGAACAGAGTACTTCGTACAATCACAAGATAAGACTTGGTGGCTCAGTTCAGTCGCCGAGTCTAGTTGGTGCATGGCCCCGCAAAGCGTGCCTCCGGGCCGCCGCCAACACGCCAGGGACCGCCATTTATATACCTAGGTACTCTATTCCTACCGTTACCTAGTAGGCAACCTTTCTACTCTGAACTCTATGTTTGGAGCCCCGAAGCCCTGGAGTCTTTGACCAAAAGTCAGGTCCCAGACTCCCAGACTCCATCATGCGATACTGTTCCACCACCCTGGTTCTCTGTGTCCGCACCCGGTCCTAATGTCTAGTTCGTGACACTAGGTACATACCGGTACCTATCCCTATTATTTCAGGGATTGAAACCACAAACACTGTACAACGAACTAAATCGAGACTTTCCTAACTCTTGTACAAAGCGTTGCTCTTCACAATACACACTTGTTGTTATAATTAATCACCTTGGTAAAAAGTCAGTAGTACCTACGTAATAAATGCCCTGAAATCTTAGTTCCTAGGTGTAGGTGGTTACTGAACCCAAAAAAAAACTTTGTTACGTGGGTCCCCGGCGCACATATCAACAAATCTGCATATGAGGGGTGGAGGGGTCATTTTGGTCGAGGGCTACGTAACCAATAATCCGCATAATTGAACGTAAAGAGCATACGGAGTATAAAGCACAACTAGCTCCATCCTCTATATGGGATTTCCTGCTTCAGCTCGATTATCTGACTGTACTAGTAATCTCCGCTGCGGATGAAGCGAGTGTATCGGGAAGTCTTGTTTGAGAGGTGGCAGCTCAGAAGGCTCAAGTTCCACACAAGCAAAGCAATAGCCCCAACCCTTCACAAGTTCGGAATTCAACATAGATCACAAAAGCAACGTCATCATCCCAACATGGTTCATGATCAATATATTTGCTCTATGCATTTGATGCTCATTGACCGGCTCATTGAGCAGAGGCTACAAAACAACCCTTGTGCAGCGCAAACCCATTTGATCCAGCCCCAATCCCAACATACCATCGTCCAACCGCTCAATAAAAGGTCGATGGTCGCTTTCCAACGAAAATCTTTGTGCCGGCTGCCTTAGAAACGCGATGAGGAAGAGGAAATTTTAGGTCCTTGGTGAGGAGTTGCTTGATGTATGGGCGCTTGACGTCGTCGGTCTTCTCGAGCTCAACAACCTTGAGGATCTAGTTGGGATCATGTTAGCGTTTGCCCATTTATCTGGGAATTGATTGACGTACGTGGACCGACCGGAATCGGGATCTGTGTCTGGCAGCCATATCTTGGTAGAGAGCCTCGACAGCATCGGTTCTTGACATCTCACGGTACTCCTTGTACATGTTGTGGGTGCCAGAGCGGGAGTCATATCGGATCCAGATACCGAAGTTCTTGACCTTTAAGGGGCGCTTCTCGTGGATCTAATAGTTGTGCCATCAGCATCGCACCATCTCCGAGAAAAGAGCACTACCCACCACGTTCAAGCTGACAATCTCGCCGTTTGACTTCTTGACCTTTCGCAGCTTCATCAAGAAGTACCAGAAACGGGACTTTGCAACCACGGTGTTTGGCGCAAAGATTCTCATCCGGTACAGCTTTGGTGCTGGGTTTGCCTCAGTTGGCAGATGGCGGCCAATGACCTGGTATTCTGTGAGACGACCTAGAAAAATCATGTCAGTTCCATACTTTTAAATGCGCTCGTATAACAGATGATCCATTCGGCACCAATCCAGAGAAGGCTACGTGGTGGTCCACCGAGGGTCCGTTCGTTCGAGAGCTGATATTTCAGTGGGAGGTTCAAGGCAGAACTCCTTTGGGCGCGCATCTAGGTATTGACGGTCGATTGAGATGTGAGTTGGCCAACTAGGAAGCCAAGGCAGTGTTCCCTCAATGGTTTCTTGCTCGATCCCACCATGTCCCCCATTACACCTGATGTTCTGCTTCCTCCGCAACCTGTATCCATATCTTATCCCAGTATCATAGCGTCCAAAGCAGAAGGTCGTGCTTGATTGTCGAGGGGAGTCGAAATCATCTCGAGGACGCAGTACCGGCTCGTTCGATCTACGGAAAGGAAAGAAATCTGTAGCTTACCCATCTTCTACATGTTAGCATTGTATTGAGTAGGTTGGATGGCAATAGAACTTACTGTGAAGTTTCCTGGCGGTGGTCGTTGTCGTGAGTTGTCGCGATTCCAAGAGTCTCAAGCCGGGCGAATTTTCGTCAATTTGGTAGGGCAAAGAATTGTGGCAGCCCTGAGCTCGCTTCTATATTTGCGCTAACCATATCCAGCTACCGCAGCAACAACCGAGCTTGGTGTTCCTGCTACTCTTTGAGCCTTAAATCCCAGGCTTCAAAACCGCACCCCAGAACTACGACAAACCCGCATGACTTTACTTTACGCTCCTACAACTCAACTCAGAGCTCTGCGCGCCTACAATCCATGACTTTACGAATGACCCACTTACCAAATGGATGCCATATTTAAGGATTTCGGAAAGGCCTATGCGGAGTTTGACGGCTACAATCTTGCAAAGACTCTCGCGCCCGTCGCTCCTGAAGCCCAACCGGACAGGTTGTATAACTTTCACAGAAGTACGAACTTTAGCTCGGTCCAGAAGGACTTCAAGAGCAAAATCTTACACAACAATGCCTTACCGTTCAAGCTCACATCTGAAGAAAGCAATGGCTGGGTTGAGGTTTACTGTGCATATTGGAAGGCTGTTGGTGAGATATTGAATGCCGAAGCCGCCACCAAGACTCATAACAAGGTAATCGTTCTTTTCCGCACTTTATCACGATTCTTATAGTCCTGGTAAGGACTTCAGCTCAACGTCACCATTTGATATCATCACGTGATTTACCAGCTTTTTCTTCTTTGACATGTCATTGACCACAGGCGCTCTAAACTGACATGTTATTAGGTCTCGTGGGGAAAGGTATATGAAGCTTGGAAGGAGATGACGGTTGTTCTCATTCGTGGTTACACCAACTCTGGATTTCAAGCTTGGACTGTGCCTTGTCTTTATGTGGCCGGCAAATATATGAGGGTATTTGCCATTAAAGCAGACGAGGACGCGGCAAATAACCCCAGTTCTGCCATCAATTTTCAAGATGATTTTAATCCCGAAGCTGAGAAGAACGAGAAACTCGAAGATGCGGCAAGGCAACTTAATCGAATGTTCCAAATATGTCTAAGTGACAGGTGAGCAATTCTTAGCATATCTCGATCCTATTATGCTGATAAAAGTCATTAGAGCTCCTTTGGAGGAGTCGAGAAAGTGGGGGATATATAATATCATTAACCTACTATTCAAGACCTACTTCAAATTAGGTTCCGTTAGCTTGTCGAAGAATATCCTGAAAGCGCTTCAAGCATATCGCGGCGACATGCCACCTCTTGACAACTTTCCGTTGTCTCATCAGGTTACTTTCAAGTATTACGTTGGCGTCATCTGCTTCCTCGAAGAGAATTACGTGGAGGTGAGGCTACCTCGGGTCCAATTATCATCCCATTTACTGACATCCTTTCTTCAGGCCGAAAAACACCTGACAGAGGCCTGGCACCTATGCCACAAGGATGCAGTCCGCAACAAAGAGTAAGTGCTCCTCCTCCACTCATACTCTATGCATCCATCATACTGACACAATATAGACTCATCCTAACATACCTCATCCCGTGCCACCTGCTCACCACCCACACGCTCCCCACCCTTGCTCTTCTGTCACCATATCCACGCCTCCAAGACCTCTTCCTTCCTCTATCCCGCTGCATCAAGAAGGGCGACCTCTCAGGTTTCGATGCGGCTCTCATCGCAGGCGAGGACGAGTTCGTCAAACGCCGCATCTACCTAACGCTCGAGCGAGGCCGCGACATCGCTCTACGCAATCTTCTCCGCAAGGTATTTATTGCAGGCGGCGTTGAAGAGGCGAAAGAGCCCAATGCACCTCCAGTCAGGAGGACCAGAATCCCAGTCGCCGAATTCGGGGCTGCAATTAGTATCGGCAGCAAGGAGACGATGGATAATGATGAGGTGGAGTGTCTGTTGGCCAACATGATTTACAAGGTAAGTTCTTTCTGATTCTCTTTTTCGACATTCACTCTCCAGCTTGTGCTTTTTGGTGCCTTTGGTTTGAGGCGCCGCATTTATCGTCTTCACATGAAAGTTTGCCTTGCGCAGCCATATCCCCCTCCCATTCGTCGAGATTTCTCGGGTGGCACCACATCACGGTGAGTCAACAACCATGAATAACAGCTAACCATCGATGCCATAGAACTTAATGAAGGGTTACATAGCAAGGGAGAAGGGGATGGTAGTGCTTAGTAAAACCGGAGCCTTCCCCGGGACCAGTATCTGAACTTCTGAAGTCCGCCCTCGCCCCCCTTTTGAACTCCGGTTCAGCTTATGCATGGCCCGTTGGCCGGTGAACCCGCCGAGTAGTGAGTGGAGCCACAAATGTTCAACCTGTACAGCATCACCATCGTCACTCCACCGCTTGTGCTCGAGATATAAGGTTCTTTTCACGAGAATACTATGGCGGATCGAAGTGTTCCGCATCAATGCCCTGACATCGTCAGTTCCCACGCACGCAAGAGCAACCAAACGCACCTAGGTACTATATGGACGAGTCACACGAGTCACACCTAGCTAGGTCACAACAAAAGCATACATCATCATGGCTCTGACCAATACACAACTTTTGACCCCAAACTGCTTCTCTCGACCCCCACCCTGATCCATCCTTCCCCTAACAAGTTAACTTGCCCCGCCCCCTTGCATTCCTTCCGCATTCTTGTGACTCACGCTGAACCCCTGACCACTGCCAATTGACAAATCACAATGGGACCCGCAAAACCGAGTGTTTGGCATTCTTGGATGCCAAGTGCATCCTCCGGCTTTTTGGTGCCTGAGCCTGGTGGTGGTGGTTTGTGCAAGATCGATATTTATCGCCATATATTATCATTATTCATAATTATTCATTACTTGCTGTGAAATATATATAGAAACGTAAAAGGGACGAGGGAGAAGAATATGATTTTTTATTTTCTCTCCTGATATACTTAAGATAGTTCCTTCGCTCCCTCCTCCACTATCTCCAGTACAATTCCTGGGCCGTTAATAATCTAAAGGCTATGACCCAGGAGGGAAAAAGCGCCTGCCAGCGTCCATCCTGGTTGAAATATAAAAAATACAATTCATGATAACCCAGTCCACCAGTCTAGAGGGTTGTACCAAATCCCGTCTCTCAGCTCTTAGGAATGATATTATGACGGCATGAGGAAGATACAGCTTGGTTTCCGTCGCGGAAGACAAGCAACGCAACGTGAGATGGAGAGCATGTGCTAAAACAGAAGACAAACACGTAACAAATTTAAGCTTTTCAATAAATCCCAACGAACACATAGCCACCAATATAGGTGAGGGATAGACAAAAGAAGAGTAGTGATACAGCCCATTTAGATTAAATCATATCCGTACTCCTAAGTAACGCCTTCGTGGTATCAAATAAAGCAAATCGAACTTGAATATCGTAGCAGTGAGGATATTCTGTGCTGGCTAACAACGAGGAGAGTAGTGCATTGTGATGTGAAACGGGGAGTAGAGGCTGGGAGTGTTGATGATTGGTGATGGAGAGTGAGGGAGTCGAGGGCGGGGTGATGTTCCTGGATGATGGATTGTGAGGTAGAACTAATGATGCGTTCGGATGCTACGTGGCGAGCCTCTGTAATTCTCGTCAGCATTGCTTTATTTGCGGCTTGCTGTCACCAACACCCAATAGAAAGGGTTGAGCATTAAGTGACGGGGCGACAAGGAGAACTTACGCAGCACTCGCAACATCATCGACATGGTTGCACAAAGCCACAAACAGATCAAAGAACAATTGACTCCCGCCAGCCTGCATCTCCATCTGCATTGTGCCACTTCGCTTGAAAGTTCCCCGACTGCGGATAATGAGCGCGAGGTAGTGTGCCCGGAGCTTAGAGTCGCTGTCAGGTGTATTGGCGTAAGCGTAGCGGGCGGAGGAGAGAATTGTGCTACACTGAATGCCCGATTCTGTTGTCAGAGGTATTATTAGCGTCTGTTATACTGGATTATGGGACGGGCAATTAGAAGACAACATACGTAGACCTTGCTTGCGAAGTGCAACGCGTTTCAGTTCCTCGAGGCCGTATTTCTCCGCCGTGCAATAGATAACGGTGTCCTTCAACAATTCGCCAGCAACCCCGCTATGATGGATGGTACTCTCCACGCTCCCTGTCCCTCCCTCACTAGTCTCCAACTCCCATGAATTCCTCCGCTTGTTATGCACCAGGCGAGGGTAGTAGTCGCCTTTGTAGAGGTATTCGAGTACCGAGGAGAATATTTCGGGCTCTTCATCGGGAAGTGACACTCTCTTGTTTGGTGCTTCCATAAATTGGCCTCTGCATGCTGCCTGGAAGAAGGGCGAGATGCAGAGGACGTCTTCGTGTGCGGCAAAGAGGCGTTGCTCGCGGCCAACGACGAGTGTTATTATCGATGAAGTTAGGGTGCTGTTCAATCTTCCCGTCAGTTATTGTAAACGAAACTATCCCGACAGCGGCGAGGGGATGAGGGTTTAACTAGCATACCTTCCAGGCGGGTGCGCTTCTTCGGCCGGAGCCCTTCGCATGGACCGCTCATGGCGGTTCTTAGAAATGCCATGGTCCCGAAATGATGATCTCTTTCCATCTCGTCGCTTTTTCGAAAAGCTCTCGGTTTGTGACTTGTTGACGCTTCTGCCGAACATCCTCGATGAAGAGTGCGTTATATCGCGATTGCTAATCCTCGGTCGGACGGTCGACTTGATAGGGGCTCAAATATCGATCCGCGGTCGTAGATGTCGTGAATGTCGTGAATATTGCGGTGGTCGATGGTTGTCGGGACGAGGAGTTGTCGATGGCTTGTCGAAGATTCTGGTCGAGTCCGGTGGTGGCAGGCTGGCGATAGAAAACGAAAGAAAGGGAGAAAGAAGGGAAAGGAGGGGGACACGGCAGATATTTGTATCGAGTTATACGGGGCAACGGGGAGGCCTGCTCTGCCTATTGTAGGGAGGAGGAGGTTGCCGACGCGAGTAGGCATCGGGGGGACGCGACGGTGGCTTGGCGGCAGAAACCACTCTACGCCAACAAGACACGGGTGCACGTGAGTCAGGTCAGGTGCCTCGCCCGTGCGACGGGATCCCACGAATCGCTGCGCAGCTCATCCCAGAACTCGACGCCCAAAGCGGCCACCGCCGGGACCTTGGCCCTGCTGGCGCTGCTGGCGGCCCTGGAAATGTGATCAAAAGTCGAGGCCAACCTTACCTTACCTTACCTTACCTTGCGTATTGTACGTACGTAGTAAGTACTACTACATACTGTACCCAGAAAAAGCAACGCAACGCAACACGCAACACGCAACAAAAAGAAAACGACAAACGACAAACGACAAACGACAAACGACAAACGGAAAGCGGAAAACGGAAAGCAGGAAACGGGAACCGGGAAACGACAGATCTACTCAGTACTTCGTAGGGATTGAAACGACTTTGTGCCGTACTTTTTCAACGCCTGAGAAGCTGTCCAGGATACTCCGGAGGATACTCTGTGTATCGGTATTATTTATATATTTATTTATTATATTCTTGGACTCTTGCCCAGCACAAAACAGTAGCGTTGTTCTAGCCTGGCCCGGCTTCCCGGTCACTGCTCCCTGGCCATTCAAATCCCCGGCTGCTCCTGCTCCCAGGGGTTGGGTTTGAACTTGGAACCTGCAGTCCGGAAAAAGGGGGAGCATAAAGGGGATGGCTCCAATTGACCAATAACGAATGCAAAATACGGGTGACAATTATTATTAACTCTGGCAGAACTTACAGTACAGCAGGAGACTTACGACGTACGTCGTCCTCGTGTGCATCTCCTTTTATTCCAATCATAAATTACCATGAAGTGAAGATCGAATTGAGTGCTTTTATGCAACGTCCTTCGATACCTCCTACAGTACATGTACCTAGATCCTCGACACAGGGAGGAGGGCATTATCTCCCGGTTTCTCCCACAGTACTGTACCTCCGTACCTGTACAGGACGGTACTCGAGTACGGACTGGTGCTGGCTCTCCAGCTTTTACACTACGAGTTTTCGAAATCTTCTGGCGGTCGGATTAATAACGGAACAAAACAAAACAAAACGCCGACAGTGCATGACGACGAGGTACGTTGCCTCGTAGCGTGACGGCGACGGCTGCAGGTAGTCTTCGGAACTGAAGATCAAGTAAAATAAATAAACAATAAAGTCCTTCGCGGTTTTTTAGGTAGTTCCAAATATTCCAGTTTCTTTAAGCAGTACATGTACATGCCTCCACCCGAACACAGTCGATTTCCGTCTTCCTCCCCTTCCCGGTGCCCGCACACTCAGCAATCAATCTTAATACTATTAATCTGCATCGTGAGATACCCACACGTATATATCTCATCAGCAGGCCCCTTATAATCCATCACTCTCGTCCCATTGCAAGCTGCCTCGTTGTAAAAATGCACATTGTCCCCATTATACAAAATCCGGGCGCATATGGTTTTCAGGTCCTGTGGGACGGGGTTGCAGCCGCAATTCCCAAACGTGGATTCCTCTGACGGGTCGGCTCTTAGCCGGGTGTAGCTGAAGCCATCGGTTGCGAGACTGACTGTGGGGATTGTTGTTAATTTTGGGGGCACGTAAGGCAGCATATCGGGGGATTGCTTGATTGATTATCTGAGGGAGGGTGTAACGAGCCTTGGGTATTTGTTCGGAGGAAGACAGTGGTGGCCAAGACGGCCTCCGCGAAGAGCGCGAGGAAAAGGAGAGGGCGTTTGGGTTGGAAAATCATGGTTGCAATGACTGGAAATGTTAGCTTGCGGGATCATCCTATTTCTATCGATTGGAATCCCAAGAGCTTGAGACAAACTTCTGCTTACACGGCTTTAGTGGAGATATTGGTAAACCAAGCCTGATGAGGTACCGGAACAAAGTATTAACGGAACAATATAAATCTTACTCAACATAAAGATATCTTTAGCTATGGTATCCTGCCATTCCTTTATATGCAAGACGATGGGATGGGTTGCCCCAAAGTTACCTAGATGCAACTAGAACATGCACAAACCCTATAGGCATACTATATTCTTTCGTTCAAGGTAACGGTGTGATACAAACTATTGAAATCTTGGCACTATTTTAAACCGGCGAACATGATGCGAGCGGGTAAAAGAAGCTGCCAGCCATAGCAGTCCTATAAACCCTGTGGTGTTACACAGCCTTCCGAGGCCGTTCAGCTATGCAACTACTCGGAGATGCTCAAGTGACCCAACGGTCACAATGTCACTAAACGAGCTGAGCGTAAAGCTGAAGGGACATTTAGAGTAAAGTGGCGTGATACTGGATATGTCAAGAGTTCAGATTTTCTTCGTCCCTTCAGGCTCCTGAGTTTCTTGAGCAGCTTCCTGAATAGTGTCCACAACAGTTTCTATTCCTCCTTGGCGCACCATAGCCTCCTGATGTAGTGCACTATGAACAGCCTTTTTCTTTACATCAAGCCCAAGCTCTAGACACCTGGCTTCCAACATCTCTCCATGGGAGCTTGGCACTAATTCATCCCTCCCAGCTTCTAAAATCAAAATGCGTGGCGTCTTCGGGTCAAACCCCTGCTTTATCAAACCCAACGCTCGCGGTGTGTCGAAATGATTTCTCAAGAACGGCCAGAGATACTTGTATGGAAGCCACTTCTGCGGATACAACGTCTCGAGCATGGCTCGGATGCTTAGAAATGGTGTTTCCAGTATCAAAGCCCTGAGGACGAGTCCCTGTAAAAAGTGCTGCTTTGCAGCCCCAAGATTTGCAGCAACTCCAGCTCCGATAGACTGGCCCCAGAGGACCACTGGAACTTCTCCGTCATCACGGCCGGAAAGTTCGGAGTCATGCTGCTGCTTAATCCATTTCAAAGCGGCAGCTGCATCTTTGGCAATCCCCGTCTCTGATGGCCTGCCACGGGACGTCCAATATCCTCGATAACTGCAGCACACCATGGTGTATCTAACAGGTAGGTTGAGATTCGAAGCCCTCTTTCTAAGCATTCGTAGAACAGGCGAAAGAAAAGGAAGCCGCGGAGGTAGTGAAGATGCATTACCTACTACGTATAAGCCAGTTGGTACAAATAATAGGTAATGAAAGAATAACCTTGAAAATATAAGATATAAACAGTCTTTGCAATGGGGGAAACGCCAGCACTGCTCTCGACACTTGCCACGCACACACTAATGCGAGTTCCATCCTCTGACCTGATTCGCTCCTCTCGCCATTGTATCCCACCGCATTGATTCTGATAGTCTGCTATCGTCTCCCATCGTGAATTGGGAGGTAGTCCAGGCATATAGATTATCTTGTTCTGGAAGACTATCATCATAAAACATTTCCAGGTCCATAATGCAATGAAGAGACCACCAAACATCACCGGAGGAACCAGAGCTGACGGAATATCGAAGAATCCCCGACACTGAAAAGCACCAGGTCGAATTAATGGTTGAGCAGCTCGCAATCTAATTCGCCGGTGAGGGGCGCTGACAGGCGCCAGATTGGTTGCGCATTGTCGATAACGTCCAGCTCGAGTGAGAAAATGAAGCATTACAAAGCGCATCCCACGGCAACCACCAGTGCAAACGATACTCGTATACAGTACTTGTATCGTATCCCGAGCCTATTAGTTGAAACCGCGCATGTTGAGTTGTTTGTTGGGTTTTCATTGGAGTGAAATAATTTCAATATCCATTTTCCGCCTCGTAGGCTCGTAGCCCCGTGCCCCGCCTCGTCATCTACGTGGGTTGGATGGAACTTTCTCGCCGCCGGCGCATTCCAACAGCTACGGCATGAGCCAACACATCAATATCATGGGTTGAACAGACTCCAACGCAACCTACACTTCTAACCCACAACCACAATTCGTCCATAGTATGAAATATGCCTTCAGAAAAGGAGAACACCCCACTGCATATATCCATCGACAAAGACGATGCAGCAAGGCACGATTCCCCAAAGAGCGGCGGGACCCCGCGGAGCAGTACCGGCTGGGATGGCAAATTACGAGTAGAAAAGAAAGCTGAGCTGGCCAACCCGGAGGCTCTATCAGATCCCGAGTACTCAGATGAAGAACAAGTCCTACCAGGGGAAACGCTCGAAGCAGACGAAGGTACGCGTGTCCTGGCTTTCACCTCGTTGCAACTACAACCCATTCATGGGCGGGCAGATATTGCATCAACATTGATATCGAACTAACATGCCCCACTCTCTCCAGATCTCCTCGACGACTACCCCTCCGACACCGAGGAAATTGATTGTGTCCATGCTCGTGTATCCTCAATTCCGGCCCTTCGCCTTGAGCGATTTAAAGCGGTAACCCGATTATGTCTCCGCCAAAATTCCATCACCGAAATCGAAGGCTTCTCCTGCCTAGCCGCCACCCTCAAAGAACTCGACCTCTATGATAACCTCATTGCACATATCCGTGGACTTGGAGACCTTACCAACCTGACCAGCCTAGATCTATCCTTCAATAAAATCAAGCATATCAAAAAATTGGACCCCCTGGTGAACCTAACGGACATCTACTTTGTGCAAAACAAGATCAGCACAATAGAGAACCTGGACAGCCTCACAAAGCTGCGGAATTTGGAGCTGGGCGCAAATCGGATACGAGAGATACAAAACCTGGACAACTTGACAGGCTTAGAAGAACTATGGCTAGGGAAAAATAAGATCACAGAGATAAAGGGCCTTGATGCGCTGAAGAACCTTAAGATCCTAAGCATACAATCGAACCGTATACGCCAAATTTCCGGGTTGGACTCATTAACTAGTCTCGAAGAACTGTATATCTCCCACAACGCACTCTCGTCCCTATCCGGATTGGAGAATGTCCGTGGCTTGAGGGTACTAGATGTCAGCAGCAATCAGATCCCGAACATAACTGGTCTAAAGAATTTGGACAACCTGGAGGAGTTCTGGGCCAGCTATAACCAGATTTCAGATTTCGCGGAGGTAGAGTCCGAGTTGAAGGACAAAGAGAAGTTGACTACGGTTTATTTTGAAGGGAATCCACTGCAGTTGAAATCTCCGGCACTCTACAGGAACAAGGTGCGGTTGATGTTGCCGCAGGTTATGCAGATTGATGCCAGTAAGTTGTCCTTGATTCACAACATGATAATACTCTACTGATTTTGGTAATTATAGCATTTGTGAGGGTTTCATAGTGATAGCTGGAAATGACGATAGAGAAGCAAAATTATTGGCACGGGGAGCATGGTTATGTATAGCGCATATGGCGAAGGCGTTCAGGAACGCATTATCCAGGTTTTGCGCAACCGTTCACAGCTACAAGCAACACTATCACGTATACGTAATACCCCAAGGCTACGAGGAATGCAATGCAAATCATGATTATTTCTCAAAGCTCCTCCCGTGATCAGTATTCTAGGTATCAACCTGCAACGACAAGTCATGCAGTAGACCAACGCCCTTTGATGTTCTCGACTCCATACTTGACTTACGCAAATATGTGCAATGTTCCGAGGTACTGACTCCATCATTAGCCATTATGTCATCAAGGGTAGTAGGGAAGTGTACTTACATCGGTAGGGTTGTTGAATCTAAGACCGCGGTCTAGACCAGTGATAGCATCTATCTCGGATTGCTCTAAATCGAAATCTGTGACCTCCAAATTCTGCTTCAGGCGGTCAGGGTTGTTGCTCTTAGGGATAACACCCAAGCCACGCTGGGTTGACCATCTCAACAGAGTTTGCGCAGGGGTTCTGTTGTGCTTCTCTGCGATCTTCGTAACAACAGGGTGCTCAAAGAGGACCGGTGTGTCCTTCGCCTTCTGCCACTCAAGCTCAATGAATGATTGTGGGCCAAAAGATGAATAAGCGGTGACTGCAATGCCTTCACTCTTTGCGAGCTGCAGAAGTGTTGGTTGGACGAGGTAAGGGTGGTGCTCAATCTGAAGGGTGGCAGGTCTGATCTTGGCATATCGGAGCATATCCAAAATTAGGGACCCTTGCATGTTGGAGATACCAATCGTCTTGGTCAATCCTTTCCCGACCAAATCCTCCATTGCATGCCAAGTTGACTCGATAGAGGCATTACTGAGTTGAACACCCTCTTCCTCTGAGTAGTTCCATCCGGGAGGATATCTGACCGCAGGATCGACATATTTGAGGGCGATGGGGAAGTGAATGACGTAGAGATCAAAGTAGTCGACGCCCCAGTCTGCCAACTGCTTTCTGCAGATTGGCTCTACTTGGTCGGCGTCATGGAAGGAGTTCCACAGCTTGCTGACTATGAAGAGCTCTTCACGCTTGACCAAACCGTCCTTAATTGCTCGGGCAACGCCTTCGCCTGCCTCCTTCTCATTCCCATAATCTATGAAGGGGAATGTTAGCTCCAATTTTTTGTTTTGTTTTGGAGAACTTGGGGACTTACCACAAGCTCCATCTAACAGTCTGTAGCCGACTTTGATGGCGTTGTAGACGGTGTCGGCGCAAGTCTCGTTGGCAACCTTCCACAGACCAAAGCCAACCTGTGGCATGGAGTGGCCGTTGTTCAGCTTTATATTTGGGACCGTCATGGCTGGAGATGTGTAGAATCGATATTGGAAAGTTTGTGGTTTGAGTTTTGCGATTGAGCTCGAGATTGAGATCCTTGGTGGGGTTGTTAAAGAAAAAAGGCGGGGCAATGGCGACGTTGAGGGACTGTTTAGAGATTAAAAGATATCAGCATTTGCCACCTGCTTTGAGATCGCCAACAACATGCCAAACATGAGGGGAAGGAAGGGGAGCTACCGGGTGAAGACTCGAAGAGATTTCATGTAAAGTATCTTGTACTTCTGCTAGGCCATAGGAAACCGATTGGGGGGAGGAGGCTCAGTATTATATGGTCGGAAAACACTCCAAGTGATCTTAGATAACGGCCGGCGTAGCTCGTGACTGCTCCCCACCAATACTCCGTCCGGTGGCGGGGCTTTTCTTGGTTCCTTTCCAAAGTCCACATCTCCCGGGTTGAGGCAGCTCTGGCGCTCTTCACGCCTCATTCCTCGCCCTGCGACACCGATGTTGCCGTCATTTCAGTGAGGCGTGGAGCCTGCCGTGGCTGCGGTGCCCACTGTGCCATGGATAAATTGAGTCCGATGGATCTTTTCCAGAGCCTTTCGATCAATAAGAACCCAATCGGTGTCGTGCATCAGAGCCCTGGTTGGTATTGGCTTATTAGGCTGTTTGTTGCTGGGAGAAGTTCTCGCGGCTAAAGTCGATGGCGGCCATAGCTTCCAGCCTCCCGATCGTCTTTCCCCATCCATCCTCGCCAGGTCCACCAGATCCACCAGCTTCACTACGTGAAGTCGTGAACAAACTCCATGGCACAAGAGAAACCAGTGCCCACGTGAGATCAATGCCAAGCTCTCTCTCGCGCGAATATATGGACAGCAGTCCTTGTATCTTGCGGTCGGCCGGCACAGGGAGCTTCTCACGAGGGTACATGAAATGCCATATTGTCAATATGGACTGGCCAGCGGAACAGTCGAGAACGGAGACTCTGGGTCCGGATTGGGTCCCAGCTGCATCGACAACATGTTTCTATCTTTCCCATATATCAATCATGGCATCTACGAGGGCCCATAGACGCCATCGCAAAGGCCAAGGGCCTTCATGCTGCTCTCATTGCTTGAGGCAATGCCAATATCCAGCGATATTGAACCTCGTCGCAGCACAGCCTCTCCAGCGAGCAGGCCGCTCTGCGCGCGGGTCACTTTGAGCAGACATCCAATCGAGGGTTTCTCCAACCGCTGTTCTGGCCCGAGAACTCTCTCGAGGCCGTTTGCGGTTCCATAGCACAGCTATTTTCTTTGTGTCAGCCGTAGCTGCGGTGCCAGAGAAGGTATTTTCGGACAAAGAGCCAATGTTCCTTGGAGCCTTATTTCAAAAGAGTTTTTCATCGTCACGTCCACTTTTTGGTTATACCTACCAAAAGTTCATTTTGGTATCTCAAAATTGTACCGAGCTTGCCCAGCTAATCTACCAATCATGTTGCAACGAAGTAGAAGGATAGGCGGTCCGGGGGCGAGGGAAAATGTTGAGGAATATAATTCCTGGAAAACACACCGAGATGATCCCGATTTTGAGGACGTTGCAGAGATACCGTCATGGTACTTACATGAGAGGCGAGACACGTTTATAACCTCCCGTGGTGTCGGAGAAGAAGAATCCCTCGATGGCGAGCTCCAACCGGTGATGCCCAAACTTAGACCTCAGGAATCCCTAAATCAAATGCATAAAGACTTTTTGAACCTGAAGATAGACGAACTCGCGATCAATCCAGAATATATCCCCTTTTGGAGAGGGGTTAAGATATTAGGCCAAGGGTATGGAATATAATCTAATAATATTTTAAAGCATATCTCTGACTGTCAAGTAGAGGAGAAGGTTGCGTCGGACTGTGGGAATATAATGGCCCTCCCGAGGCGAGACAATTGCCTCGGAACGTCGCCGTGAAGCAGAGTCTTGGCGGGGCATATTCAAGGGCTCTTACCCATGAGGGTAAAATCCATTGGCGTATGTGCCGGTATATGCCCACGCATATTGTTCGTCTTCTTTTGGAACCCAAAGCAGCTGTTCCTAGCGATGGTTTGGACCCTGAATTCAACGGGAGATTTCGACGGCTGATAATGGAGTATTTCCCGCTTGGCTCTTTGTGGGACCTTATCGACAGACGACAGCTGTTGGCAATGCCGTTTGAAGAAGTCACATTATGGCGTATATTCGATTGTTTAGTAGATGGCATTACGGTTATGTCTAACGGTTCAGAAGCTGTGGTTGACTCGGCTACAGGAAACGCACGTTTTTCGCTATTGCCAGCAAGATCTCCCCTAAGGTCCCCCGAAGCCTCAGAGGCTAAATGGCAAGAAGTCTACCACCTCGATTTAAAACCAGCAAATATTATGTTGGGGGATAGGGATATGAACCACTCCTGGACTCCTGTGGCTAAGGTATCAGACTTTGGGTGTTCGGAAGCAGTACCCCCAAAAGATAAACAGACTCCCAGATGGAAATACGGCCTGCGACGACCTGGGACAGCTGGTTACCATCCGCCAGAACAGTCAACAAAACGTTGGGAATATTTGGATTGGGAGACTTCTGGCGTAGCTGGTAACTATGGACCGCATACCAACGTCTGGGCAATTGGCCTGATCATGTGGGACCTCGCAACCTTGAAAGACCGCACATCAGAATACGAGGGCCCCGTGCAGCTAAAGCCCTTCTTCCCAAGCTGGCAAATCTCAAAACGACCTGCCAAAGGCTTGACTCATGGTAAGTATCTACAAACTGTACCCAGATACAGTCAAACTTTCAAGGACTTGGTATACGAGTGCTTATATGAGAAGCCTAAACATCGGCCAGACGTTCTTGAGCTTAAGGGGCGGATATGTAAGGCATGGAAGCTCGCTGATAGTGCAGCGGGCTCAAAGGGCGAACTATGGAAATGGTTTATCCCACCTGAACCAGCGACGACAAATATACCAAGCCCTAATTCACCATCAGTTTCGCCACGTCCGCCTCCGTCTATTAGGCAACCTATATCTGAAATGGAACGGCAAATGGATGAAGAACGCGATAGATCCCCCCCGCCCGTGACTCTCCTCCTCCTTAAAATTGCCTATATTGACGGCCCAGTCAACAAAGAACGCATTATCTCACGCTTTGATATCCAAGTCCCTGACCACCATACGGAATACTCATTCGTCCGAGGCCTTAAGTTCCGCATACGGGCCAAAACCATCCAGCACAATGCCCCTTGGATCTCTTACGATAACATGCACCTACAGGTCACATCTATTCCTCCTAGCCGCATCCATCTCAATGACGATCGCCGTACACTAGCATCCTACGGTTTTACTCTCGATAAGCAACCGATATATATCAACCTCCGTTCTACCCCTGACTTTACTTATGGCCTACCAGATGGCTCGTTACAAAGTGGTGTTTCTATTCGATTTAACATCTCGAGTGTGACACGCCAACATAGTACCGTGGAGTTTAGAGGCATACAGGTCGACACGAACATTACGCGATTAAAGATGATGCTATTTGGACATACCAATGTTCCAGTTTGGCAGCAAATTTGGTTTTATGGCAACATAGAGGTTAAGCCAGTCGATGAGGAGCTAGAGAATATCCTATTGAGCAAGCACATCACGAAAGACGGCGAAGCCATTACAGTCTGGATAACTGAGGCGAAGCTAGCGGACAGACTGATGGGCATCCCAGCCATCCAGGAGCCCGCTACGTATGCTCGGATTTATCTCACCAATGCGAGGCATGAGCACCGGACGATGGACATACCAAACATAACTGACGACACTACAATCGATGATGTGATTGTTGCAGTAGCTAGAAAGTCTGGTATTCCGATCCAGAGGCAGAGGTGGCGGTTTGGTGGGATTTCTCTGACTACACCGGCTAATATGAGGTCTCTGCGGTTACGGGTAATGGCGTATAACGAGGCTATGTGTGCATTTACAGTGTGGGAGGTGGAGGAAACGGAGACAGTTTGGGTTGAGCCTCCTGGCGGGGAGATAGTTGAAGAGTTGGTGGGCAACCCTAGAGAACCGTACGGTGAGGGCGATCAGGTCGAGGACGATCTGTATAGCGCCGATTAGGGGGGACCTGGTGAGGGCGGTTCCGATGGTGACTAGTTAGCCATCAACTTTTGATATCTGGTACGCAGCGAGAGGCATATTCTAAAGAATGACAAGTAAAACAATAAAGACAGCTACCCTCTCTATGTCAATAGAAACAATATTATCAAAACCCAGATGAAAGAACAGTGCACATCTATGCAAAAGTGGTAAATTTCGGAAACGACCATGTCCCAAGCTCCTTTAGAGTGATTCAGGCATATCTCATGAAATCATGCATACTCCCCAGCGGCCGACGCAAATGCAGTATGATATAATATACTCTTGGTTTTGTACCTTTTGCCCTCTCGTTGGTGTTTGCATTTTGCATATAAGCAACTACTAAATAGTCCGCTATAGCCTCTGTTAAGAGGTTAGTTGCCGCAGTCTCCATTATAGTACACAGCCACCGTTCATATCGTTTCCCACTAATCTGATCGCAAACAGCTGGCTTTTCTTCAAAGTTTCCGGGGACGAAGGAGGGGTCTAGAGCTAGTGTGATATCAAATTCAAGTAAGCCAGATACGGCCCGAGTATAAATGCTCCTTATGCTCCTGTCCTGTGCATCTGAGTCTGGAAAGGGTCGGGTCCATCACAGAAATTCAAATCATCCCTACTGCTGTTGCAAAGATAAAGCGCAAATATAGAAGCTTGGAGAAAAGAGATTTGAGAGCGGACAGGGGTGTCGGAAAGCCACCAGGAAATAGTTAAATAGCGTAAATATCAAGAAGTAGTCAATACACGTACATATATTAATATATAACTATATAATACACCCTCAGAGACAAAAGTCACTAGAGTATGAGTCAAGAGGCCAGTCGATGCCATAACCCGCCATGAAATGATCCAACGCAAAATGCAAAGCACATTCAAAACGCTCTATAGAAAACCAAATCCATGCCATAATGCTTTTCGAGTCTTCGAAAACGCCGCGGGTCAATTACCATTCCATGCATGCTCTCGTACCTCGTGATCATTCCTGTCCAGTCTCGTATAACACCCCTAGGATGCAATCAGTATCTATTTTATAATCCCCAACCTCAAACTGGGCAGCCGAAATCCGCAGGATCTATTGGATTACTAGCATTCCAGCACCGACTACTAATGTACCTTCTCGCTCAGGTAAACCACCGCAGCATATCCCGCGCAGCACGCTGTACTCATCCCATGCGCACACCAAGGACACTTGACGCTTGTGCTGATGACGCCACTAACGCCTAATGCCTTATCCTCAACCACATTATCCGGTTGTGCCATGCATTGGTAGATTTTGCTCGGCATATCGTGAAAATATTTGCATGAGCAACAGATCACGAACATCTTGGCAATCGGCTCAGGAGCCTGTTGGGGCCGAGTTGAGGTCAGTTGTGCAGAAGGTGAGCTGGGAAAACGATTTCGATTGGGCGAACTAGGTAGAGGACGTGGGATATTGAGGCGTGCGTCTCGAAGGTACTGACCGCCCGTTGGCGAGTTCGGGGAATTGCCTTCTGATTTAGTCCCCGGCAGCGGTATCGGTGGTGGCCTGAAAATCTGCTTATTTTCCCGGTGGTCGGAGGAAGCTAGTTGCTTTCCTTTCTTCAAGGCAGTTCCATTCCCTTTCTTATCCGGAGGCTTTGTGAGAGCTTGGTGTCTAAGAGTGGGGAGGAAGCTAAGGTCTTGCAGCTCCGGCGTTGAAGCAGACCGGGAGATGCTCGATTGGCGCTGCAATTCGTTGGTGTGCTCCTTTGATGGCTCTTGTGAATTTCCTGACGTAAAAGTAGCTGCGCGTTTTTCGGATGAGTTAGGAATGGGCAGGCTGCCTGTTGATGTTGCGTGGTGGTCTTCCTCGCTGGCAAAGTCAATTGGCATTGCTGATCTGCTCCAGCTATCTCGGCTGCGGTTTACTGCTTCATCATAGGGTATTGTGCCTGCCCCGGCCTTCCTTCTCATTTTATGTAAAGAGCGGGTGGAGCTTCCAGCGTCACCATGTATGCTTATGGTATGTGGTTTCACTTCTTTCATTCCTGGGGAATATTCCTTCTGTGATTGTGGCCGTGAAGCCATTGGAGTTGTGGCATTTGAAAACTCGTCTAGAGTTGAGTACTCTTCGCTCGAGTCTGTTGCACTCCGCACATGAGACACAGCACCGTCTCTATGACCGGAGGAAGATGTCCCAATATCTCCACGGAGTCCTCCTGGATGCTGTAGCCCACGCCCTGAAGGAGGACAAGTCGTGGGTGTAGGATCCGAAGTCGGTGGTTCTTGTGACGAATCATTGGTGAGCGACTGGATAACCCCTCCTAGGACTCCTTGGGCCTTGCTGGCTAGTGCCACGATGCCGTCCATTGCCCCAGTCGCGGACGAGCGTCGTGTCTGTGGCGGTACAGAAGTATCCATGGAACTAGAATTGAGATTCTTTTCAGGAAGCTGGATAGCTGTAGATTGCCTTCGGAATGGAGATTTAGCTCTAGCATTGAGACCTTTGAAGCCCCGACGACCAATTTGTTGTGAGGAGCTAGTCCCCTGGGCTGCTGTCGAAGAATCGCTGTTGAGGTCCAGCCGTGGGGGCGTATACTCACTGAAGAAAGAGAAAGGCCTCTGGGTCTCAAAAGGTCGATCCGTACTGATATTGAAATCGACCGCTGGTGCTTCCGAGACGATAGCAGGTGCTTCAGCACTCACGCGGCTTTTAACCGAATGAAATGAGGGCGATCTCCTCATGGTAGAGTCAAGCGCTTCAGCAGCTGGATCGTCGTCCACCAAATCCGGACTCTGCCGGTGTTGTTTTTGTGCGTGGTTATCAACATCACCATTGTTCGTCGGTGCCTGGGACGGCTCCCTATTTCTATGAGAGCTTTCGCCAAAGGAATTTCGAGATGGCGACCTTCTTCCATCGGTGTTTATAAGATCAATTGTATTCGGATGCGGGGTCCATGGGCTAATGAACTTCCCTGCCTTGGATGAGTCTCGATTATAAGACCGCGGGGCTTGATTGGGTTGTGCTTGGACAGGGGCTTGTCCGGAAATACAACCACGTGGATTTTGATCCAGATTGACATTCCGGTCCACAACTGGAGAACTGTCTGATGCCTGGTTTGAGCCTCCAGTCACTTGGGCCAGCCTTCCTGCTTGGTCATACAAGCCAATCGGATCTTGCGCGGTTCGTGCCGATTCATGATATATAGATGTAAGAGGTGCTTTGTGCCTCAACGATGGGGCCCTGGAGCTGCTTCCCATACTCGGTTCCCTCGACGCACCCGAGGCGCTGTCCCTCTCGCCATCTAGAAAGCTCCGCGGCTCACCATTTCTCATCGTAAAGGGTTCCTTGGCCTTATCTTGGGCAGCGGCTTGTTCCGAGAGTCTGAGCTTTAGGCCACCTATAAATCCGTTGCCATTGCCAGAGGACGGGCTTTCTTGCGTTGGCGTCACATGTGTCGTGGTAGGGGGAGAATTTTTCCAGAGACTGGGAATACCTTGTGTGGCATTGATCAGACTCTTCAAAGCAACATCAATACTTCCCCGTCTTGAACGATTGCCGCCCGGCGCCTTGTTATCCTGCTTTGATTCCAACGGACCCGATACCATCTGCAGTGCAGGGGAAGATGAGGATCGATCCATGGCTATTGCCAGCTTGGTGAGTCGATTATTGGTTGGCGGAGGTTTGCTCAAGCGATTCTTCATCCTCTGGGCGTGCTTGGTGTCAGTTTTGGTCTCCAGCTTCCCCTTCTCCGCCTTCCGCTTCTCCTTTGCGGCTTGCTTCTCCTTCTTCCTCTTGTTTCCGGTGATATCATCCCAGCCCGGGGAGCGACAAATTGACGACCGGTCCGATTCAGAGCCACCGTCCGCCTTCTCTTGAGAAACCACAGTGCCGCTCCTGATAACATATTTCTTGGTGGGTACGGCTTTGGGACTATCCGGTTGTGGAATCGAGACGGAGAGCTTCGGGGTATGGACCTTCGCCCGGGGGTCATTTGGTTGTGATAACGCAGGGCGGCGGTCTGGCTGGGGGTTCGCAGCTCTGTGCTGCGTTATGCTTGTGCGGCGGGTGTGTGAAATGGTATCGGGGTTCGGCGAGCCTTTCATGAGATTCACCTATACGATACAGAGGGCGAACTCAGCCAAATAGAACACTCAAGACCCATTGAACAAGGGAGTATACGCCTCGGCACCGGCATTGGTTTTGGCTTACCTTGTTCCGCCTCTCCAGATCGAGCATCCGCTGGAAGGTGCTCCGTCTTGCGAGCGGTGGGGTGCGGCCAGGTTCGGTGGATGCCATGGCTAGCTAGGATTTGCCGCCGCGGGATACAGCTGGAGAGCTCTGGTAACTTGCACTTGTATTTGTATGTGTGGCTGCCGTCTGGGTTTACTGTGGCCGAGCAAGATATGCCTGGCATTCAGGTGGTGGAAGTAGTGGCTTGGGCATTAAATAAGTGACCGTTCCGGCCGCCGCCAGACAGGCAAAGATGCGGTCAAGATGTGGTGAATAGCAAACGGCGGGCCGGAGGAGGTGAGCGAAGAGTAAGGTGAGGGCGGGCGCTCCAAGCGTGTTATTGTGGTTGTGGTTGTGATTATAGGGACGTCGTTTTCTATGTTGGGGGGGGGGGAGCGAGAGCAATCGACAACTGAACTAGCTGGCACACGGAAACAGAACGGAGAAAGGAGAGGGAATAAGTAAGAAAGGAACTACAGCAAGATGAATAGCGAGTGGTGATAGAAACAGTAGAGAACGAGGGGCGGACAGTTGGGGGGGGGGAAGGAGGGAGTAGATGTATGTCGGTAATAAGGTAGGTAAGGTAAGGTAAGGTAGGTAGGTAGTGTGGGAGTTGTCGTCTGCAGAAGATGGTACTTCAGGTAGGTGGAGGTGGGTGCTTTAGCAGTGCTGGCAGTGGGCGTAGTTAGGGGAGGTTAGCATTAGTCAGTGGAGGTTTGGTGGTAAGCCGCCGCGATCTCAGCAAGTGCGCGGTGGTGGTAGCAACAGCAGTGGTCGCGGTAGTGCTGGAGCCTGTTGACGCCTGCTGAAGCCTGTAGAAGCATGTAGCCCGTCGCGGCAGGCCTGGAAAGCCTGGAGTTACAGTACTCGTAGTGGTGTGTGTGTTGTGTGTCTTCTCGCCTTGGTGACCTTGGTGGTGTGTCACATTCGCGGTGGTCACTGGCCCCCCCAGGGTCAGCCCGTGGTCCACCCGAAGCGCCGCCCCACGGCCATTTATTGGCCTGGTGTCGCGAGAAAAGCGAGGGAGCTCTTTTTACCCGGCTCAGCCAGCAGCAGCCAGCGCCCAGCGCCATGATCCATCCATCCCAGGAATCCCTCGGTTCACAGGAACTCAGAACTGTGGATATGCATGTCACATCTCTCAACGGAGCTCAGGGGAGGCGCTACTTACTGTATGTACTGTGCTGTACATGGACATGGACATGGACATGGACATGTATCACATACATATTCCCGCGGCTTGAGGCGATACCACCACGCGGTACGTGGTACCAAGGGCGCTCCCGAAATACATATCAGATCCTGTTTGGGCCCGGTCATTCGACTAAGGTATGAAGTACGGAGTAAGACTCCAACTCCAAGACTCCATCGCCATCGCCAGCGCCAGCGCCAACTCCAACTCCAAGCCGCTTTCCCTTCGCCAGGAAGCTGCTGGAGCCGTGACACGGTCAGATGGCCGGAGCTCTACACCCTCCGCTCGTCGCATAAAATTCAAACATGCAAGCGGATGGGGCATGGAGGATGGAAAGGCCTTCGGCTGCCCTGATGTGGTGGCGACCAACAGGCAGACAGACCGTCTCGGCCATGGCGTGGACGGTGGAGAAGTGGGAGAGGGGGGAGGAAGATCATGAATACGAAGTGAGTGGAGGCCGAAACAACAGCACCCACTGGGTCGTCCTGGGCTCGTGGCGCAGGCAGGTATGGCCGCCACGTTGGGATGCTGGCATGCTGGTGAGGTCGTCCGGGTTGTACCATATACAGCCTACGGTAGAGGTAGAGGTAGTCATGTACCTCCCTCTCCAGCACTCCTGGGTCCTTACGAGTGCGCTCCGGATGCAAAACACGCTTTTGAATGTCTCTCTCCCTCGCCAGCGGGTCTTGCATCGCTAGTCTTAACAACGAAGGAACAATGGTCCACGATCTGCGGCCCGGGGATCGTCCGCTCGGCAAGCTTCCAGGCCCGCCCGCTATTTTGGGCTTTCCAACCCATGGGCCGAACCGTCTAGTGGTACGAGTAAGTACTCAAATAGTGACCGCACTGACAGCTCAACTCGCAGGCCTAGGTCTAGGTCTAGTTCTAGGTCTGAGTCTGAGTCTAGGCCGAACCACTCGGGCACAGAGACGGAGTACTCTATACAGTACAATATGTAGCAGATGGAGATGCTGAGTCTACCGGAGTCCAGCTGCTCCAGCAACAAACTTGCTGCGTCAGTCGAATATATGATATATCCCATCCCGTGCCAAGCAGCCACCGCCCATTTGTCTTGTCGTCTATTCCAGTTATGGCCATGCACGAAGTACGCACCGCGTACGGAGTAACCAACTAACAGCAGGACTTGATATTGCAGTCCGTCATGTTCAGCCCGGTTGAATCAGTCTGTTCAGGCGAGCAGGGGACCCTCGATCGGATTCCAGGGGGGCCCGTCCCCTCGGAAGCGGCGTAACGCGACCCCTTCCCTACCCGCCATGATCGCTCCAGGGAGGCTGACGGGAGCTTTCTTCAGATATCGTCGATGCGGGTGAAGCCACAACTGCACGACCACTCCGTGCGTCATCTACCACGCTCCCTCTCGATCCCCTACGATCCTCCGGATCCAAGCTGTGTTTTGGAATGGGAAACTAGCATGTCTTCCGTGCGAGAACAGCACAGCTGTGTCGCACCAGCAGCCTGGGGAGCTTGGACGAACCGACTAACTGTGATGGTGCTTTTAGGCCCCCACTTTCTGACATCGTGAATGGCATACGAGTTATGTCGAACCACCTACGCTCCAGCCCGCGTTCATCACGCAAGATACAGACGAAGAATTAAATATTCTCGTCCAACAGCCATAATCACATAGAAATCTCCTTGCACCCTGCGCTACTCCTACTAGGCGTCAAAGGCGAAAATATCTTATCGAACAGGCGGTTCTGCCATAGAATAGAAACTCGCTTTGGATTTCCGTTGAGCAGCATTACGCAACCCTCGGTATTAAAAATAGTTCTCACCGCCGGAGAAGGTTGGCTCGGCTTCAACGTGCTACTAAATCCGACTCGACACGAGAGGCGTTGGAGCGGGGGGAATAGAATCATCATCTCGTCTTCTCGTTACGCAGCATCGTGCATCTAACATTTCGCCGGTTCGTACCACACTCGGCACATTAATTACATAGTCACGTTCAGGGCCTCGGGTTTGACTTGGGAATCCTATGGGGATGCGGTGGAAGTATCCTTGCTGCCTTCGTATATTTATCGAACGTCCTGTAACAAGTACCCGCCAACCCTTCCGAAGCGCTACATATTAGAGCGCACAGTACAATTACTGTACCTGCTTCCTACCACGCCTACGGAGTAGGTAATCTTTATTTGTATTTTCGCTTATAGAATGTTTCCCTGCAGTTGCTACTAGTGCCGAAGGAACAAAGCGGGGATGTCTTGAATTGTCTTATGCATCGAAAATTGCGTCCTCATTTTCCGCTTTTACTCACTTCTCGTTATACCAAAATGTAATACAGACGAAAAGCAAGACACAACAAGCAAATACGATGTCTCCATCGACCCGATGTTTCGGTATCTTTGTTTTTCCTCCCCTTCAATATCACACAGCCGATCATTTCCGAGACTTACAAGGTAACGGAGCGCTTACGCTCAGGAAGAGGATTCGAATATCGGAACAAACGGCACCAGTGCGCAGGTATCAAATAGAGAGAAAATTGCGCTCAGCACTGACAGATATCTTTAACCGATGCTATTTTCATCGGTTTTAGCTGCATGGATGGAGCCAGATGCTGTACCAGATGCTGTACCAGCCCTGGAAAACGATAGATACCTACCTAGGTATGGTACGTTACTGTCATCACCTGTACCCAAAAACAATTTATCCCTCAAAGGGTCTGTGAAACAGGGCCATTCGCTATACTTAGGTTGCCGATCAGTATAAAAGCAACCCGAGAAGTTGAGACAAAGGCCCATACTATCAATATCCCAAAGTCGGAAGCGAGTTGACTTTTCCGCTGGACGCCATGTCTTCCACGTTGAACCATTCAGTGATGTGCATCGCGCCACCGCATACGTGGTTGGATGAGGTTTGCGATTGACAGCGTGGAGCTCACATGCAGCGGCTAAATCACCAACAGCTCAGGTCCCATTATCTTCGAAACCATGCTTAAACTTCAGAAGAGGTTGTTTTACTTTGTCTCCTTGGAAAATCGGTTCAAATACACTTCCTTGCCCAACCTAAGTCATCATCTGCACCAGTCCCTAATTCAAGATTCGCCGGGCGGGCAACAAGATGGCGAGATTAACTTGACTGAATTAAGGAAAGGAGTATGATGTGATGCTTGTGTATCAAGAGCTTTTTCATAGAGGCTATGTTGTTCTCCGTCGAGGACTAGAGAAGCTGATGTGAGTCACTTGTCCTTTTGGGGGTATTATCTATATTGTTTGTGCATCATATGGAACTGAGTCGCGAGGCTAAGGTTCAATACAATAAATGCTATTATTCAGAGATCTCTATATTGTACGAGAAATTCCGAATCTCGATGTCGCACCAACATTGCCGCAGCTTCTAAACACTTTCCCTAAGCTTAAGCCAAGTCAAACTTCAAACGCCGCTTACCATCGATGGGCAACAAACCCGCTGGGAATTGTCTCCTGCTTTCCAAATCTTACACAAAGGCCATCTCTACCTCGCCTTGCTAGAGACTCCAGCACCAATTACACCAGGTAGTTTCTCCTCGCCGATACTGAACAGCATACCAATAGCCGAACTCACCAAGCCAACCATGACAATAGTGAAGACGGCGATGAGCCAGAAAGGTCCGCTGATATCCTTCTTCTGGCATGCGCCCCCTCCGTAATATACAGTCCTGTGACCTTTCTTGTTGGCCTTTGTATCCTTAGAGCCCCCGAACCAAAATGTCTCATTTTGTGGCACACATCCACAGCTGAAGCATGCACCCTTTGCTACACCACCGTCACTAATTGTGCCATACTTCTTGAAACATTCGCCATGACCAGAGCAGTTCTTCGTCGCTGAAATACAGGCATCCAGGGAAGAGTGACATGATGGGATGACACCGGTGACAGGTCCCGCGGTTGAGTTAGAGGTCTTAACTAGCTGAGAATCCACGGGGGGGGACGGGGGCGCAGAGCTTTTGGGTGATTCACTCATGACCTCCTCACTTCCTTGTCTCCGACCAAGAGAAATTTGTGGAGCATTTTCATATGACCCGTATGGTTTCGAACTCGTTTCCGACAATCGAGATGCCTCGGGCATGAGAACTACCACTGTGTTCATTTCCTGGTTCTTAGCCCATCGAATCAACCCTTTCTGGGCAGATATCAAATCTTCGAGTTTGGACTGGTCCTACCAGATGCTGTTAGCGTATGCTCTTTACACGTTTCAATGTTCAATACCTTAGTTGCACCCAAATCGAAATGTATAACCTTCGACTTCCCATTCCAACACGCTTCTTGATAAGGATTGATAGCATCCTCCAGCAGGCAGTCTCGGCTCTGCCCCGATTGTTGATTCAAATCCGCGATAAACTTCTTGTTCGACTTCAATGATGGCGGCTCTGAGATGGTAAATGCCGGTTCTAACGGGGCCCAAGTATTTAGGAGAAGCTTTGTAGCCTCTGAACACACTCCCTCCACAATCAAGACCAATTCTGCTGCCTGACTTTGCTCTAAGTCTTGGAATAAGGAGCTGTGTCTCCCACCAAATTTGTTGATGTATGATAATGTGTCCTCACTAGCACCTTTTAAACCATGGTATTGCGATGTACCTAAGCGTTGGGCGAAGACTAGTCGCGCCTGTTCTGGGGAGAGGGCTGGACGATTCGAGGCATTCGGCGATTCGTCGCCTTGGAATATGTAGACGCTGGCATCCGAAGCCGCGGAAGCTGCGCTGATCAAAGCTGGAACCAGCAGGCTTGTCGAGAGCCTCATAATTGCGGTGGGAGACTGTGTTTATGATAGGAGAAGCTCGGGTTCAAGAGGTGACGACGATGCTTGAAGCTCGTCGGGGATAACTCCACGATCGAGCTATTCCAAATCAGGCTAGTTTACCAGACCGCTTTCAGATTCTGCCGCCGTAATGAAGGAGGGCAACGACAAACTTCAACAAATGATACATCGCGACTTTGGCATCAACCAGTCTTCTTAGCCTCAACCCGATCTTCTAACTTATTCTACTTGTTAACACGACCCAATCTGCATAACCTGGGGTTGCCAGGCTTCCGCTACGTCTCTGCAAAGGCTCGTCTGCCACAAGGCGAGCCTCGAAAACACTCGCCCATTATGTTTCGGTACACGAGCCGCCGGATGGGCATCTTCTCCACGAGTCGACTGCCCTTGCGACTAGAAGCTAAAAGGCAGCAAGCGCAGGTGGTAAACATACAAAAAGTCCGGTTTATAAAGCCAAGACTTCGTGTTCGGGCGACGTACGTCTTGGGCGCATTTGACTTGAATAACGTTCTTCCCGCTAACGGGTTCATTTAGATCGTTTTTCATATATGCTATCACGATATATGCATGTATCAATGTTTTTGACAAGCTGGTTCTCGACCCTTTGGATCGTGCAGCAGAGGAGGCGTTAAAAAATACTCCGGCTGCCGAGTTGGCCGAGGATACGGACAAGCCGCTCTTCATACCATTTCCTGGGACTACGAAAGTTGTGAAGGCTCTGCCATATCAGGGGTCTGATCCAGAATGGCAAACATTTATCAAAATCAATAGAGATCGCCCCCTACAAGCCAGGTTGCGAGGTCAGTCCACTCGATCCACGAGTGAGGCAGATCATGAATTGCTGATGTTTCATAGCTGAGCTTGCTGATTTGATCAGACAACTTGGTGAGAGTCACCCGCTGATAGCCCTGAAGTGTGGGAAAGGATTGAAGCCGAACAGATCCTGGATCAATATTGACTACCCAAATTATCCCCCTCCAGGATATGAGAGATCTGGGTATGATTCCCCCATAAGGCCACAGTAATATAGAGCTGACATATTCCGTGAATAGGATCGAGATATCAGATGAAGCCGTCTCTTGGGTGACCGCTCCTGTTGATAGCCACACAGTCTTCAGGTTACAGAAAATTTTATGGCCACAGGCTCTCATGAGATCATGCTGGGACTTTGCTAAAGTCCTTGTTGCGGACGACACGAAATGGTTCGCGGGGATACTCGGAATTCAGAGTAATAACTCGCCAGTTCCTTCACTTGGCGAATTAGTCACTCGAAATGAACATCCGCTTAAGCACCCAGCTCTCAACAAAACCGGACCGCCGCTAACCACTGAGCCTGCTAAGTCGACCGTCGATGGCAAAATAGCGGAGGATGAGTACTTCGCATCCGCCGAACAGACTAAGTTAGCTGCTCTCCGCCAGCACTTTTTGAAACCAATTGCGGCATTCAAAACGAAATTCAAGCAAACTTGGTCACCAGCTCGTAATTACCCACCGCGAGGGTGCATAATATTGAAGGGGTTGGTGGAGTTAGAAGGGCCAAAAGCATATGTGCTCTTTGATGTAAGCGCAGCATGGGACCCCAAAACGAAAACGTTCCATAAAGACAGCTATGATATAAAAGTGAAAAGGTTGTCCGCTAAAAAGCAAGGGCCACTTTCTCGATGAACGGATTACTCCTTAAGTTATTCAAAGGCGTCCACTGTGTTATGGGCGTTGGTAGTGAGTCAGTAGGCGTTGCATGGTATACCAGGTTTATAGAATGTATGTTACAGTTGAACCAGCTCTTGTCATTATTGGACGTCCTATCTATGCCGTTGATGTTAATATCCTCTCTTGCTAACAGTAATTCAAAAGTCGGAATGTGCGGCATATGTTGGCTCGAGCCTTTGCTTAGGTACAGTCTCTGGAAGGGAAAATCCCCCCCCCCCCCGCCGTTAGGAAATCTCTATACAAATTCTATAAAATAGCTCTCAAGGAGGAAAGGGGAAAGGTGCGTGTATTTGGGACCTAAAACCCCTACTTAGAATCTTAAATACCTAGTAACAGGGCCTGTTTTACACCGTGCAAACCTGGAGTTACTATAGTTACGGACTCGCTTCGGGGGGGGGGGGGGGGGGGGGGGGAGGGGGCATTTTCCCGTCCAGAGACTGTACGTATAATTATATCTACTAGCTATCGGCGATAACTAATGTAAATCAGCCTCTCACCTTCGTCATCAAATTGGCCTAGTCAAGCCAAACTTCCCACCTCAGAATAACATCGCATCCTTTAGCGGTTCTAAAATACACGCCCAATGTCACTTTTCGGGCAATGAGTATTGCCGATATAGATTTATCATATAACCAATTGCAATCCATTCCTCAGTTGTTACTATTGTACATATCTATTACTCTATCTTGAAGAACTCGCTTATAGCAGTCTATTGTTGTTATCGTGTTTGTTCAGCCTGCTATTGTCACATTCACTCACAGGCCATTGTCCTATTGACAGGACACGGCACAATTCGCCGCCAATTTATTATAGTCGACTCTACTATTGTCACAACCTCAACCTGACTAGTCACGTTTGCTCTCTCCAGGAATACAAAAAATTTCCCTACTCTCTCTTCTACTCCCTTTCTTGTTTTGTCTGTCTCGTCTCGCGATGATTAATTTGAAGCTACCCCTTGCTAGAAATACCTCAGCTTTAAAGCTTCCAGTTCCAATTTCGAAATCAATAAAGATGTCTGGAATATCCCACACTCTTAAACGGAATGGACCCATCGCATTCAACATGATAGCATCGGGCTCTGCACCAGGACCAGATGCCGCCCCTCTTCGGCGCAACGGTCCAATTGGATTCAGCATGGAGGGAGCAAAGCCCTCTAGCCCTCCAGCCCCGGCTCCTGCTCCTGCTCCAGCTCCAACCGTAAGCTTCACCTCTCACTCTCCAGTACAAAACGCTAAGATGTCCACAGGTGCTTCGACGCAACGGCCCAATTGGATTCAGCATGGAGGGAGCAAAAGCCTCTAGCCCTCCGGCTCCAGCTCAAACTCCAACCGTAAGTTTCACCTCTTACTCTCTAGTATTCCAAACCGCTAAGACATCCACAGGTACTTCGACGCAACGGTCCAATTGGGTTCAGCATGGAGGGAGCAAAGCCCCCTAGCCCTCCAGTCCCGCCTCCAGCTGCCGCCCCTCTACGACGCAACGGTCCAATTGGATTCAGCATGGAGGGAGCAAAAGCCTCTAATACTCCTCCTCCTCCTCGCCCTACCTCCCCTCGAGGTCGTCGAGCTCCAACTGTAAGTTTCACCTCTCACTTTCCAGTACTTCAAACCGCTAAGACTGCCAAAGCCACCACGTCGTAATGGCCCCATTGGATTCACCATGATGGGCGCAGCCACCTATAACCCCCCTGCACATCGTCCTGTCTCCCCTCTGGCTCGAGCTCCAACGGTAAGTTTCACCACATCCTTTTTATTATTTATTTTGACTGAATCTCGCAGTCACCTCCCCAGCACTTTTCTGCGAGTCGTACTAGTTCGCCACAACTGGGACAATATCCACTAGTCTGGGACCCAATGGATTGGTGCTTAACAGTATGGTACCTAACTGACTGGATGGACATGAGTCCAGACTATGAAGGGTTTGGCACTCTAGGATCCTGTGATCCAAATCTTGTTCAGCCTTGTAATATCGAGATTGTCATGGGCCAGGGCCAGGATGACGAGGACGAAATCTTTTAAGTTCTCGGAGATTCTCCGTCTTGCTCTCCGACATAAGTGGTTATTGGTCTCTCTGCTCATGGTTTGGTTGATAACATTTTTCCATCCTGTACATCATGAACTGGGTTGGCCTTGGAGAATGGTGAGCATATGGCGTTGTTTTGCTCTTTTTATCCTGTTACATTTCGCGGAGAATTGTAACAAATTTGGGAACCTTAGCTTATTCCCATTACTTGAGTATTTGTAGGTTTGAGGACCTGACCCAATTCAAACGATTCTTATGAGCGGCAAAGCCTCTCTCCACACTTGTGAGTTAACGTTATGAGCTGTCGTCCAGGTTATTTTCAACCAGCCCAGCCTCGTCAGCCTTGCAGCGCTCTGTTGGCCTAAGGGCACGAGTACGGTACCACGGAACACGGCGATCCCAGCAATCCAACCCAAACCCCGCTACGAAGCACTCGAGCATGGCGCATTATTGGGCGAATTTGAGGTATTCAAGTCGTGTGAATATTTCAATTTCGGTCAGATATAGAGGCCTGGGCTACGGAGCATAAAGGCCCAAGGATACGAGGGGCTGGCTGCTATCCCGTTTTGGGTACCTTCGCCACTGAGTCAGCAGAGCTAGGTCTCCAGGTGGTTAAGGGCGACAGGACCTGGTGGCCCTGGTTCTAGGGGTAATCTCACTTTGCGATATGCTAAGCCCGGGGTATTTAAATAATAATTATAGTGCTATGCACCGACGATCTAGATTGTATAGGAAAGAGTATAGGAGCTCGATATCGGAGGCATATATAGGGCAATGGCCGCGAGTCCCTGGTATTTCTAGCGACAAGAGTTTTGCACTACTCGTTACTAATTTATCCAGCTTCCTCTTCCAGTCTCCCTCGACATTATCTCCATGCCTCCACCGCCCCTTTTGCATTTCCACGGCCAGGTCCTAGCACGCAATACTATGGTAAATATGTCTAATGTTGCATAGACCAAGGGTCAAAATCAAAATCAGCCGGAATGATATTTCCGCCCCAGCATGCCTGGTAACATGTCAGGGTTGCGAGGCGCGTTATCGCATACAACACACCGATACCTGCCTACCTAAGGTAAGGTAAGGTACCTAGGTAGGTAGGTACTTTCTGTATCATCGCAGCATCGGTGATCATTGCCAGCCTTCGGGGGCCCCTCCGTGAGCACTCCCTGGACAAGTTTTGGTGGAATTCTCTGTGGTCTTCTTATTGTCGTCTCCCCTTATATTTTCCCGCGAGTCCTCTTCCTCATATCCCTCTCATCCGTGACCGTCCAGCCATCGCGAGGGTAAAACGTCCACCATGTTATTCCCAATTGCACTCTTCAGCCTCAGTTTCTTGAGTGGCCTTGCTGGGGCGCATCCGCATCCCGAGCACGATGCGAAGCTCGGTGCTGTGGCATCAGAGAGCTCTGAATGCTCGAAGATAGGAATTGATATCCTGAAGCAAGGAGGGAATGCCGCAGATGCAGTAGGCACTGCCCTCGAGCTCAATCAGTAGTTTTGATGGTTTTGCTGAATCTTTGCGATAGCTCGTAGCGATGCAATTGTGCGTTGGCGTCATTGGGATGTATCATTCTGGACTCGGTGGGGGTGGGTTCATGCTTGTCCGCTCGAAAACTGGGAAGTATGAATTCATCGATTTCCGGGAAATGGCTCCCGCTGCCGCATTTGAGACGATGTACTCTCCTCCTCTTTCGAACTCAAACTACTCCCTCTATGGCGGATTAGCTAGTGGAGTTCCCGGCGAATTGCGGGGATTGCAATATTTGCACGAAGGCTACGGATCTCTACCTTGGAAGGAGTTGGTTCTGCCTTCCGTTAAAATTGCCAGGCATGGGTTCAAAGTAACGAAGGACCTGGTCAGATATATGGCTTCTGCTACTCAAACCTACGATTTCCTCACCCACGAACCGACATGGGCTCTCGATTTTGCTCCGAATGGAACTAGGCTTGGACTGGGAGATATCATGACGCGGAAGCGGTACGCCAATACCCTCGAAAGAATTGCACAATATGGTCCTGATGCTTTCTATCATGGTGCCATTGCAAATGCCACTATCATGGCCCTGCAGAAGTCAAATGGCACGATGGCTCTCACCGACATGGCCAATTATACAGTGCAGATCCGACAACCGTCGAACATCACCTACAGAGGATTTAAGGTCCATGGTTGTAGCGCACCTTCCAGCGGTGCTGTTGTGTTAAGCACTTTGAAGATCGTGGAGGGATATGACATGTCAACCCCTTCGTTGCTGAATCTTTCCACGCACTATCTCGATGAAGCAATGCGTTTCGCATATGGCCAACGAGCTCTCCTAGGAGATGCCTCATTTCTCCCAAACCTTACTACCTATCAGGAGAAGATGGTTTCTGAGACCACCGCGCAGGAAATAAGAGCCAAAATCCAGGAATATCGTACCCTGAACATCACTGAATATAACCCCTCTAACTACCAGATTTTGACAGATGATGGAACGAGCGCGACGGTTGCGGCAGATAAAAGCGGACTCACTATTGCAGTAACGTCTACTATTAACACACTGTTCGGGAGTCAGCTCATGGTTCCCGAGACTGGTGTAATCATGAATAATGAGATGAATGGTACTTCCACGCTTTCCCCAACGTTCCAGCTCGTAACTCACTCTCATCATTGTCAGATTTTAGCATCCCGAACACCACCAACGCTTTTGGCTACGTCCCCAGCGAAGCGAATTTCATCCGGCCCTTCAAAAGGCCCCTTTCTTCCATCTCTCCCACCATCGTCGAAAATCCGGATGGCTCTGTCTACATCTCCCATGCTTCCGCAGGGGGATCTCGCATTATTACCGAAGTTATCCAACATCTCTGGCACGTTCTTGACCAGAACATGACTTCCGCCCAAGCCCTCGCCCAACCCAGATTACACGATCAGCTCTCGCCGAACACTGTATCGTTTGAGTGGGAAAGTGAATTGTTTGGCGTGAAGGGGTACAGCAATGAGACGACGGCTTTCTTCAAGAGCATCGGGGCGAACGTGGCATTTATAGCGCCTGGGAGCACAACAGCACAGGCGTTGCGGCGGCTGCCGAATGGCACATTCGAGGCCGCAGGAGAGCCCAGGCAACTTGATAGTGGTGGATTTGCGATTTGATATCGGACGGGATAGGAGAAGGTATCGTCCTGCATCCTGCTGGCTAATAACCATCAGGACGTATGTCTAATTTAATGAGAATCAACATAATACGTGGGGCAGCTCGTGGATTTTCATAGTGAAATCCCCAGCAGGATCACCAGACTAAATTTCAATGCGGAGTAAATACAATCAAGATCAGGAAACCCTCTCTACGAGCAGCTATGAATACCTGGACCTGCTGTGGCATATATTTATATTTCCGGGTACGAGTAGAAGCCGCATGGCTGCCATGCACCGATCAAGGATAACCTCAATAATATGGACCGACAGACCAACACCTGGGGCCGAAGCTGTCCTTCCCGAGAGTCTGTCTCTCCCATGCGTCTGATCTCACTCGATGGAGCAAACGGCCGTTTTCCCCCTGAGCCAACTCCTGAGCGAGTGCACGGGACCCCTAGAGTACTCTAAACCTAAAGGCGTCCACATATCCACACACGGCCACAGGCGCTTATCGTCACAGCTGCTGCCGCTCGTCCCAATCAACAACACCATCACACTGCATTCTGCATTCTCCATTCTGCATCTTACCGCCGGCCATCCACGTCCAACACATCCAACTCGAAGCGGCGCGTGGGCGGTACGCAGGGCCTGCCGGCATGGGCATCATTGGGTGGTCCGGGGCCTGCTAGTGTTGCCCGCTTGTATTGTTCTATTTCTAGACTTATCGCTATCCGATGCACGAGCGATGCACGTCGAATATATCTCTGTGCCAGTCTTTAGACGCCTGCCGGGAGCGAATCGAGGACCTCGCTGGGTGCTCCCCGATCGGGATGGCAATATATAGACTGGAGCGAGTGCTCTCTGGTGTCGTTTTTTCTTTGGTGCTGAATATATGCGATGCCATGGCCTTGTAGCAACGGCCTCAGTCCCTTTCCCTGCAGTTGTGAGTTTCTTGATCGCGGTGCGTAGTATCTGGGATACTGCAGTACGTCCACACGCGCAGTTTCAGCGTCAAGATGACGACGGGCGCCGGTTCAAGCAGCGGACAGCCTGCGAATGTGGGGTTACAGCTATTTCCTCCGCCGCCCAAGAAGAGGAACCCATCGAGGAAACCAAGTACTCGGAGACATGCGGTCACCCCCCAATCACCTCCCCAATCTGCGGTGGAGAGACCAGAGTCTCCGGCCTCCATAGCGGATGGGAGACAGTCGGCCCTGGGCGGCAGACAGACTCCTCAACCACCTGCCGGTGCTGCTACCACTTCATATATTACTCCGCCTTCACAAGCACATCTTGCTGCTGAGATTCCTCGTTCGCATACGTCCCTTTCCGAGGCTCCTACGCTGGTCCGAAGTGGCAGCATCTCCTCACAGAATTCGATTGCAAAGACCGGGCTAAATAGCTCTCCACCACGAGAAGAGCCCGTCATGCGGTCGATCTTCCCAAGATACAACCCCGATGTGCCTCTCGAATACCAACCATACTTCCCCACGCAAGCAAGCCCTACACACATCCCAAAGACCGTTATCAATCGAAGGCCGTACTCCCCCAGCATCCAGCCCCGCAGCCCTCCCGGCCTTCACAGCCCCATGAGCGTTGGCTCATCCGCAGGACATTTCCCCCAAGGAGTGCAGGATGAGACCATCCTCGAGCCTTCCAGCACCGATGAACTCAAAGAACTCTGGAAAGTCGCCAACGGCTGGCGGGTCTCCTCATCAGAAGGCCGTACTTTCTGTCTAAAAATGAACAGTGCCGCGGAAGAACCTGTCCATACGCTCTCGTCCGCCACACAACCTTTCTATACTCTACGCATAATACCGACCTCCACCTCTGCCCAACTCACCATGACGCGGCAAGATCCCAATAAATCGCCCTCGAGCACACCCCTCATTGGGAGCACCTTATCACGATCCAAGGACAAGGAAAAAGACAGCGAAGTTCTCAGTACCACCCTCGAAGAAGCCGCCCGCCGTCTCCCTCCAAATGACGGCCTGGTCGCCCTCCTCTATCCTCGCGCCGCATCCAGCATGGCCCTCGACGTCGTCACAAAGCCGCACCGTGCCGATGCGGCCTCGGTCATCGCCGCGGCCGAGCGTGAATGTGCACGTCTGGTCTGGGACGTTGATAGTCAAAAGTACTATCTCGTTCACCCCGCACTTTCCAATCCCTTTGTGGTGTCCATCGCCTCCTCCCCGGCCTGGTCTCGGATAGAATACACTCTCGAACATCCAGAATTACCCAGGAATTTGGTGAGACTTGTGAGGGATGGTTCGGGAAGCGGATACCTGGAGGTGGATACCAGTGCTGCGGCGAGAATCGACGCATTTTATGTTGTGGATGTAGCGATCTGTGCGATCATGTTGGTGGCCGTCGAAGAAGAGAAGGGCAGAAATATTGAGAGATTCGATGCTCCACCCCCGAACGTGGATACTCTTTCTCCTGCATCGCCCCTCTCTCCATTGTCTTCGCCAAGAAAAGCGAAGAAGGAGAAGAAGCGGGCGAAGGAAAATAAGAAAGAGAAGAAAAGCCCCAAGATGGAGGAGTTTGAAATAGATCTTGAGAGCCAAGGGAGTTTCAAGAAGGGCGGGAAGGATGATGACAAGGTACCTGGGTGCTGCGGGTTAATCTGGATGTTGATTAAGTGCTTCGTGTGGAGTTTTGTGTTGGTTATTAAGGGCGGGGTGAAAGTTCTTGGATGGGTAGGGAAGAAGATATTTACAAAGTCGTGATATTTGAGGCAAAGGATTGGATGGGTCTAGGCTTGGATCTGGGAATAGGTTGGTTGATATCGGTATCGGGAATCATCCCCCTGAGGCAATGGCCTGGCGTTTGGAAAGAAGGTAACCAATTTGGGGAATACCACTTAATGGTCAACATCCATCTCGGCCGTGCAACATTCGACATGGCTGCAGAAGACCAATTAATAATATATGTTTTATCGATCTATCAATCAACCTCTCACCTCTTCCGATCCCTGATTTTAAACTTCACACCATGCTTATTGACCCCACCCACCGTCCCCGTCTTCGCCATCTTGGCCCTCTGTATCTCAAGTGCATTCTCCGCCTCCGTCAAAGACTTTAACCGCTCCCTTGCAACCTGTAACCTAGTCTCCAGCTTTTCTTTCTCCCTCCTCTGCAACTTCCTCAAATTCTTCTCCTCGATAGAAAGGCTCGTATCTTTTTCCATCTCCGCCTCAACCTCCCACTCGGCTTCCTGCGCACGCAGCTCCATTTCCTCATCGTCCTCCACAAACACCGTCTTATTCCCCGCCGGCATCCTATCTTCGCCCTTCAAACTGGCACATCCGTTTTCCATAAATGCAATCCTCTCCTCCAGCGCCGCCACTTCCTTGATAGTCTGGTTCCTCGCCGTCCTTACATACCCCACATCCTGCGTCTTTAACAACCTTACCGTCTCCACACTCATCGCCGTATTCCCTCTATCCCCATTCACGGTCCCCGTTCTATTCTTTCCCATGGCCGACGGCCCCGACCGCGACAGCATGCCGTAGTAAAATTCATCAGGATTTCTCGAGACTACTTTCTGACGGAGGGCTTTGAGACTAGCTTTTTTTTGGTTATGATCCTTCGCTCGGAGGCTGTAATCCTTTAAAGATACGAGTATTAGTACATTGATTTGGGGAGAGGAGAGGAGGCAGGAATGTACCTTGTGTTTCTCGAGCAGGCCTAGTCGCTTCCGTTCTTCTGGCTGGCCTCTTTCTTTATGGTTGCGCCTCGCAACAGCATTGCGCATGGAGGACATCTTGGCGGCTCGTCTAGTATTCTACTATTTCCTCGATCGCTGTTGATATGTTGCGCTGCACAGCCAAAAGCTGACGGAGAGAAGTGGGATGGCGGGGTATTTCAGTTATCTCGAGGTTGTTCTTGGAAAAGCGACATGATATCGAAGCCCAAGTTCTGTACTCGGTAAAACTTTCTCCATAGCCTTGCTCGCCTCCCAGCCTCACCTGCGATTACTGTACAACCCCTGTCGCACGGGAGCTACTAGCACAAGCTCGGAAGAGCATCTTCTGGCCTTGACCGACTCGCATCGTGAATCAGAAAACCGTACGATCTCTCTACTTTTCTAACGACCCTCGCAATACTACGTACCGCAAGGTTCATTTCCAGCTTGTGTTCGCAATTGAACTTGAGCATTAGGAGTTAATGGCAGCGATGGCTCCCTCAGGAGCCACGGCAATGTCGGGCCAGGAACCAGAACCGCCCATGTTGCCTATGCCCTCCAGAAACCCATTACCACTATCTGCAGCCCAGGAATCCCAAGTGAGGGAGCTATATCATGCGCGGGTGAGGGGATACTGCGCGAAGGAGATTAAGAGTTCGTCCTGCTTCCATTTTCCGCATCCTCTATACCCTCCGCTTCATCAACACGACCCAAAACGCAAATGCTAATCAAACCCCCAGTATTCGCCGATTGCGCCCTAAACCGCACCTTTACAGCCCCCTTTGCCTGCCGCGCCCAAAACCGCGTCATGAACGCCTGCATGATACAACACGCCACGCAAGCCGAGCAAGATGCAGCACGAGAGGAGTGGTTTGCAACGCGTCTCAAGCGGCAGCAGGAGCGAGAGAAGAGGGAGGAGAGGAGAAAAGAGCAGGAGAAGTTTCACAGGGAGTGGTGGGGCTTACCGGCCGAGGATAGACAGGGAGAAAAGGGGAACGAAGTCCTTCGGAAAGCGGAGCGCGTGGGTGGCTTTCCAAGGCGGGATGATGAGGAGGGGGTGTTAAGTAAGGATAGGCATCGGTGATAGGGTTCGAAAAGGATGCAGGGAGACGGTGCGATTGGATTGCATGGGAATAGGAGTATTGGTGCATTGCTTGGTGTTCTTTTTAAAACTTGGATTCGCCGGATTTCCGGACGGAGAATGTACACATAGCATGATACGGATATAGGAGGCGGACAATTCGCGGGATGGGAATCGCCTTTCAATATCAGGCCCAGTATGTATTTCTCCCCCACTGTATTGTATTGCATTCAGATGTCAAGTGGTGGAGTTGTATGGACTCGGCTTATTTCTATCCATATATCTACCTATTATACACCTTCACTACTACTAGACTTTTATTTCCTCTCTAAAAGGCGCATATAGTCCCTCTGCTCGCTATCTTTCCCTGAGCATGCCGGCTCTCTACTTTCTATTGCCGTTGGCCGCGTCTCCCTTTCAAATAATCTAGGCGGGTTAGCCTAACATAGGGACATGGAAATACTGGGCGAAGTGCTTGCTTCCTTTTCCAACAAAATGACTTATTTACCCTGGTAGATGGTTTCCCTATCCTGTCGTTCTTGTCTTGAATAATGATGCGACTATTGCCCCTTTTTCTTTTGCGAGTCAAATGTTGCTTAGCCAGTGTCACTCGCTTTAACTTCCCTTCTCCACCCTCTAGCATTTCATACATAGCTGTCTAACTCAACTGTATAGCTTTGTTCAATACCATTGTTCCGTCTGCTTTAGTCTTCTTTGATTTGGTTCTGTTTTCAGGAAAGGGCATTAGGCGCGGAGCTTGTTTTCAAGGAAATCGAGTCAGCCATAACAAAGAACCCAATAATATATCGACTCCTGTTAATCTCTTCGGACTCGGAAACAGTCACAGAATCGAGTGGCAGACTTGCGCAGAGAAAATATCCCACGGTTTGTATTACCGTATTTTTTAGCCCGTCTCGTTCCCCTAGTATGTCAAGCTTTATAAGCCCCAATCTATCAATCAAACAATCTCCTTAGGAACCTTTAACCATAAATGGCCCCGGGAACTTAGGGTCATGGTTTATATGCTTTTATTGGCCTATTACGGGGTTATTTGGATGTTATTGTGTGATGGCTGTTAAGTAAGTAAACAGGTAGGCCGTTCCTTCATCAAATATGTATATAAACGCCGGGTCTTGACTTCTCTCCAGTTATTGATACCAAACTCGTTCCTTATCAACTCTCAATTCCCAGCTTTGCAGACCTTGATTCCGATTCGCAATTCTGAAGGCCAACTTTCCGCTGCCCGACGACAAGATAATGGAGCCCTCGTCCCTTACCGATAGGGAAATGAAGCGGGAAGCTACCCACAAACTTACAGAAAAAGTTGACAGTGCTGGTATCGATGGCTCATTTGCCAACAGCGGCGAAAGAGGCATTCCAAGCAGCGGAACACCACAACCCGATCCGCAGGATTCCACGTTCACACGTCCAGGCTTGCCCATTCAGGGAATCCCAATATCATCCCAAGAACTGGACCTAGAAATTGCGGCCGTCGAAGTCCGATCCACCCCAGAACGCGGACAAGCACTCTTCGCAGTTAATGATATCTCGCTTGGCTCCGTAGTCCTGTTCGAGAAACCACTCCTGATGATCCCACGCGACATGTCTAGAACAAACGATCCTCCTTCTCCTGACCCCCTAGATGCTCTTGTGGATAAACTCCCGTCGCCGGATAAGGAAGCCTTCCTAGGTCTGTGCTGCTTCAGGCGAGATGGGAATGAGAGCGTGAACAGAGCGGTAGTGGATACCAATGCCTTTGGCGTACAAGACGCGGATGCTGTTTTTAAGATAGCCTCGAGGATCAATCATTCCTGTGTTGCGAACTGTGACTGGGATTGGGTGGATGGGAAGGGTGGTGGTGAGGGACGGCTGATAATTCGGAGTAGGTCCTCGCTGTTAAAAGGTGAGGAAATTACAGTGGATTATGGGCATGATGGATACCACATGAAATACTTGTATGGATTTGATTGCAGTTGCGGAGGCTGTAAACCACCTCCAAAGGGCCGAATTTTGGGTCCCCGAAGCTTTGGCCCATAAATACGCAAAGCGATATGAGGGGCCCCCAGAATAATCCAAGGCCAATTACCAGAGTCTGAACTTACGGCGCTAGAGCACCCCATCTCCTATAGTCGATTTGTTAGTATCATGTATAAATATCCTTTCCTGAGCACTGGATGTGGTAGTAGTCATTTAGTGGCGGGAGGGCATCCTTTCTACTAGCAACTAGCAACTAGCAACTAGCAACTAGCAACTAGCAGTATACTTAATATAGGAATAATATCCAAGTGCAACCAAGTCATAGAATATATTTAGGGTAATGCCTTGTCTAGCGATCGTTTATAATCTCCAAGTCTAGCCCTCGGAATAAGTAGGGACTGGTATTGTGTATCATCCGAAGGACTTTGCTTTATAGGAAACGTATACTTGAACAAAGACACAGAAATTACAGAAGTCAACTAATATTACTGACAGCTATGGGTGGGCGTTACTGTCAACGTAACAACACCTGCTATGAGCACAACCGCAGATAACAATTTAATTGCATTTACCTACCCGTAGAAACCACTAATTTAGGGTTTGAATCTGATATCGAAGTTATAACAACATTATATTTATTAGTTGATGACTTAGCCTTACCTAGGTAGGCATTTTATTATTTGATTTAATCAGGGGGGAATATACCATTAACCAAGTCCAATACAGGCTAGCTTGCTGTCCTTATATGCTATAGAGATGTTAGGGCGTGGAGAAATTTCCAAAGATCAAAGAGCCAGAGGCGTATAGTGACGGATGAGGCCGTTATGGTAGGGCTCTCGACCGTCGATTGCCTTGGTTAACACGCCCGTCTTGGATTATCCCACCTACCTAAGCACATAGCTACTTTCTAGGTACATAGCTTGAGGAGTCACATTCTTCAATATGGATGCAGTTCAACTAATGTGAATCTCTAGAAATAACATGGTTGAATCCAAATTATCTAACCCTATGGTCAGTTGGTAAACCAACTACCCATGGACCATAGTTGAAAAAGCTATGCCCAATGAAAACAACCTCCAATTACTCATATAGATACACGGCTAAACCCATAACCGGAGACTTGCTATCCTAATATACCGGACTGTGAAAATTTAAAGCAGAATCATGCCCATCCCAGAGAAGGTCGCCATTAATGTGAATCCAACCATTGCATATGTTCCAATGCCTAATGATGCCCCAACAATGCCGGCGGCATCACTCTTCTTGCTTGATGATGCTCCTTGCCCATTTGAAGATCCGCCCCCTGTAACGGCTGCTGAGGCAGAACTGAGAACGCTGGAGCAGGAGCTTGCCGCACTGGCAGGGGTTACCACGGTCGCGTTGCCTCCGAAATCGCATGCCTTGCTCTTGTCCGAACCACTTATAGAATTGTAGTACGCGTTGAATGCGTTGGAGAGTTGTTCAGTTGCATTGCACATGGAGAATGTGCCATATTCACCGGTTGTGGTGTTTCTGGCGATCCCGGCGCAAGCTTTTCCGCCGTTGTATCCACAGACTTGACCAAAGAGCGGTCCGATGGCGAGTGGATCAATGGAGGCCTTGGCCTGGCAGCTAAGGCTGGACATCATGCAGGCGCACGCATCCTTGTTGGGAGTAGGAGGAAGAGAGCTTGCAGCGTTCCAGTTGGTACCAACAGTAGGGCAAGCTGACGTGGCTGTATTGGTAGGGTTATAGCTTGCCATGTTCGTGGCCTTTGGAGCTACAGAGCCAATTTGCGTCGAGAAGGCAGCATAATCTGCAAGGGTGCTCACGGACGATGGGTTGACGACCGACGCCAGACCATAATCATTTTCCTCTTGGAACCACTCGTACACGATACCGCCCGAGAATACTGGGGTCATCTGGTCGCCATAGAGGGCAGCCACCTCGGTGAACTTCCTCTTAGCCGCACCACCATTCGTGTTGCAGCCATATTCAGCGAAAAAGGATGGGACGCGGTAGCCTGTAAATTCCTTTACTCTGTCCGCATAGCCTGATGTTTGGAAGTCGGAATCACCGCACCACTCGTAGATGTTGTATCCCCAGAAGTCGATTTGGGACTCGGCGTCACCACAAACGAAGTAGGAGGCAACGGCGGCACGCACGGTCTGGTCGTCGTCGGCTGCGTAACCCACACCCATAGCGCGGTAATTCTTGGACTTGATGTATGCTTTGGTATCACGGACAGCAGCCTTCACCATGGCGGCCGACCCAGTATAGGTTAGGTTGTTGGGAACCTCGTTTCCGGCGAAGAATCCGATGACATTGGAGTAGCTCGCAAGAGAATCAACGACAGCGGTGTATCTATCTAGGAGGGTGGTAGTCCATTGTGGGTTGGAGCGATCAATGGATAGGGAAGGCTCTCCCAGATCGCTGATCACGTAAATGCCCGCATCATCGAGCAGCGACATGCAGTGCGAGTGATCCTGGGTCGGATTGATGGCGTACGTCCGGATAGCATTCGCTCCCAGCTTTTTCAGCAATGGGATATCTCGGGAGCACGCATCGGTATCGGCGAGGGGGTCAACGTAGGTTGTCTGGAAGATTGGCATCAGCGAGGGCTTGGGTAGAAGGAGATGTTGGCAATGCTCACCTTGTTGCTTCCACCTCCGTTTTTTCCAATGCCCGACTGGTACGCGACGCCTTTGATGAAGAATTGGGTGCCGTTCGTTTTGAAGAAGAATTTGGAACCCTGTATAGAGAGTTAACGAGAATGTCCCGGTTATCCCGGGGGGGGGGGGGATATAGCGGGTTTGAAGGGGAGCGTACCTTGATAACGATTGGATCGAGGGCAGCAGACGCGGTATTCAGGAGAAGGGTGGTCGCGGCGAATAACGACAAAGATTTAAGGTAAGCCATGATGGCGATGTAGAAGGAAGAATTGCGACGGCCAGACCTAACGAGGGACGAGAAAGACAGTTCAGAAGGGGGATAAGAAAGAAAACAAGAGCGAGGGTGGAGGTGGAGGTGAGGGTGAGGGTGAGGGTGAGGAACTGTGTATGAGGTAGAAAACAAGATGAGGACGACCAGGGAGCAAATGCGTTCTAAGCTGGTTCTGTCAGGGGCCTACCAACTGGACTGCCGCTGGACTACGGGCTTGTCCAGTTACTAGTGCACAGTACGGGAGTACTGTCCGAGTAGTCGTAGAGTAGCAGTGGTGGCAGCACGAGTAAGTCCTTCGAGGCGCAGTGTCGTCAGACGCCGCGGGCCATATTAGTGACGGCCAATAACCGTAGCCAGCGGCGATCGAGCCTGGGGGCCCCCCCTGAGAACGTGTTATTATGGTGATTATTGTTGTGGGCTTACTCCCTCTTGCTCTCACTCTTACTCCGTAAATTCAATAATGGCGGTTCGTGTTGGATGAATACGAATCCCAGGCCCAGGCCAGGCCCGAACGAGATGACTGCGCCCGGAGCCCATTTATCAGTGGCCGTTGGTCGTACTCTACGCGTACGTGTACGTCGCAGCGGAATCGCGGATTGATAGTTAGGGGGTGGAAGGAGAATATTCACTTTAGTAGATGATAATGACCATAACAGAACATAGTAAAAGCGATGCCCAGAATGCCCAGAGTGCCCAGAGTCTTGGGTTTCTCCCCAGCGCCCATGTTTGCAGCCCTACCCGCGGTCGCTCCCATCGTAAGCGCTTACCGCACGTCTTGGACGCAATGCTTGATATTGCTTGACCAGATAGTCGAGATCCGCCAAGGTCGATCGGAACATGTTTGTCTCGGACCCTGGGGTTTCTTTTTTCAGAGCAGGGCCAAAATAGTTGGAGGGAGGGAGGGAAGGAGAGAGTCGAGTAATGCTATATACATGCTGCCCAGTACCCACGCTTTCATACCCCTATCTATACAATATACCTAGGTAGGTAGGTATCCTGTCTATATCCAACCGAACGCCCGTTTGGAATTTATTTCCCTTGCCTTCTGTTTACCAGCCAGAGTACTGTAGTGAGAGGTGTCTCTCCCTTCCTTTTAACCACACCCATATTCATCATCATCACTATCTTCGCCGCCGGCGCCACTTTCGCTCCCTCTTAAGGCCGTTCAGATCCCGCCAACCCATCTGCCCCTTCGTCCCCGCCCTTGCCATCATCCCCGTTGCCAAAATACCCCTTAACTTTCGACCACCCCCAAACGGACCAGGCAATACTCTCCGCCGTCGCCACGACACACAATGCCCCAATAACGACAATCTTCACCCCTCGGGAAGAGCCCTTGAACATCCCGCTAAAGCCTGTTGATTCAAAGCTCGGGTTCGCATTTTGCTCTCTAGTCCGGGTTTCAGGCGACGGATTTGGTGGAGGCGTTTGTGGGCTCGTAGCCCGGGTTTTGTGCGTGGATGAGAATGGCCTTGCGAGTGGGGAGCTTTTAATACCATGGACTAGTAAAGGTTGTAACGGTTCTGCTGGGCGTCCCTGGGTTGAGTGGGATCGTGATGTGAAAAGGGGGCCGCGTTTGACTGGGAGACGATGGGCAAGTTGATTCCGTAGGAGAGCAGTTGAGCGCGCGAGAGGCAGCATAGGTATCTAAAGCGGGGCAAAGGCTGGGAATTTGGAGCGGTGGTTTGGGTTGAGGGGGCTTTTGTGGGTAGGAGAGTGATTAAAGGGCCACTTAAGACTGTTGTGAGGGTATGGGGGAAGGGCGGTAAATATACAAATTAACTGAGTTAGGCGAAGACAATCAATTTATACAGAGAGCTGATAATCCAAACGGTGCAAGGAAAGATGAAGAATACCTACTTAAGGTAGGTAGGTAGGTAGGTATATAAATGAACGAAATGTGACCTTGCTTGAGCCTCGCGTCTTGACTCTTGACTCCTGAATAGGTAAGGTACCTAGGTAACTCCGTCACTCACGTGGTCACTGAGTCATCCGGCTAAATTTAACCGGGCACTACGGAGTGCTTATCGCTCCGCTTACCCTGCTTGATGGAGGGGGGAATATTTGCAGAGGTACCACAGTATGTGAGACGTGATGATATCAAAGGTAAGGAGTAATATTTTTCTCGAAATAAGGTGGCCTTGGCCTTGAGTCATTGCATTAATATCTAGATGCTTCGTACATGGATCTAAGATTGCGTTTCCTCCACATACTCAGGCTTCCCCAACTCACTCCCTCCGTCGACCCATACTTTATTCAACTCATTCTCGATCTCGAGCTTCCTATTCTCCCACTCCTTCACCTTCTCCAATCGATCTCTCAGTTGCTGTAATTCCCTCTCGACGCCCATCTTCTCCTCCGCCGTCCCGATACGTTCCCACTCCCACTCTGTACCATCCTCCCCCATCCCAAGAGTTAGGTTAAAAGTGTGATAACGCTTCAGACTTGCCCGCGTGCTGATAGTTATAAGAGTGATGCCCTTTTCCTTGCATCTCTCGTACAGTAGGCCTTCCACATCACTGCTCACCGCGCTGGTGCCCTCATCAATGAACGCATACCTGGGTTCGTGATACAGCAGTCGGGCGATCGCCATACGTTGCTTTTCACCTCCACTAAGGACGTCCTTCCATTCTTTCCTCGTATCCCAACCCCCTTCGCGGTCGGGGAGGTAGCCGAGGCGTGCTTCCTCCAAAATATGTTTAAGTTCGATGTCTCGACGCCCTCGGTCGCGCATCTCGATTTCTCCATCGGGGTAGATCACTTGATCGCGAAGGGTCCCGACGCTGAGGTATGGCCGTTGAGGGAGGAACATAATACCATCTGTCCCAATACTACGAGGGCGCGAAACAAGGCCACGGTAGACTGGCCATAGACCGGCGACGACGCGTGCCACGGCGCTTTTACCAACGCCGTTGGGTCCTGAAATCTACGCTATATTAGATGGCACGCAAAGAAACGGAGGGAGGCCACGTACAAGAAGATGCTCTCCGGAATGAACAATTAGGGAGAGGGAATCGATCAGTTCTTCGCCACCACGGGGGAAGATAGACGGAGCAACGACAGGCACGTGCTCGAGACGGACACCATCAAAGCCCTTTTGAATTGTACCTTGGACATCGGACAGTGAGTATAGTTCGGGATGCGTACCACGGGGAGGGAAGTAGGCATCTGCGTGGACTCGGTGTAGTGTCGAGATCAGGGTGTATACACGGCTCGTATAGCCGGCTAACTCAGAGAGGTCTTTGATGGAGTACATCATCCGCCCTCCAGCATCTGCCAAGGAGAGCATAAGCCGTTTGTTAGTAATGAAATCCTTCATTCGGCCTCTTTCTCTTCCACCACCACTAGAAGAGGCATCGGCAAGTTCTTGAATCCCACCAAGACCGCCCCAAGCGGGCAAGAAGACGGGTAATGAGCTAATCAAGTAGCCATATGCACTCCAACTATATTTAAGAATAAAGTCCTCGAGGATGTTGTAACGGATTTTGAGGGTATAGATCCCTTCCATCCATCTCTTTAAACTCTTAAACTCCTTATCCAAAAATGTCTTTTCCATCGCTGCGCCTCCATAAAATGCCACCTCTTCAGCATTTGCGATGAGACGAGAATGGAGAGCTCTGAAGTCACCTTCCTTGCGCCCCTCTACAGCCTTTAATTTCCCAAAAGGTGGGGAAAGTCTCCGAAGGAGACTAGCAGTGAGTATATAATTGCTCATTAGCCCAGCAAACGCAAGAGGGCCAAGTGATCGATAAAGTTGGTAATTGAAAACCAAAAGATCAACAGTCGGCTTCCCTAATGATGAGTATAGGCTTGCTGCAGAATTACAGAAGTGTGTAAGATCTTGCGTGATAAACTGATCCGCGCCTTGCCCAATCCCTCCATCCAGGTTGGTTAATTTATAGTAGTTGAGATTATCGTTGAGGTATAGATCGTGGATATATCTGGTGAGTCGTGTGCGAAAAGCAATGGAAACCTTCGACTGTAGGAATTTGATCATGGCATTTGTGTAAGAGGCAAAGCTACCAATGCCGCACCACTATTTTTAAGTTAGCGTTATTCAATATCCAACCAAGATATTAGAGGGAATTCTGGTTATAATAGCGTACTTTAATAATTCCCCACAGGAAAGGCTTGCCATTTCCTGCCACAAGGTCTCGAACAATCTCTCCATCCAGTCTCGCCACCACCAAGGACAGGTATGTCCGCAGCATAAGGAACATGCCATGACTTAATAATAACCCCGTCTCCTTACTGGTCCATCTCGGTACCATAATACTCAACAGGCTGAGGAATTGATGCAAGAACGCTAGATTGAGGCCGGGTTTCGCATTGGCCGGCGGAACTTGGGGGGAGCGGCCATCTGTAAGGCGTGCAGCTCTCGGCGGATTCAGAAACAAGCGGCGATGGGCATCAAATGTCATAGGTTTGGTCGGATGAATCGTGACTTTGGAGGTCGAGTCTTTGTAAGGCACAAATATAACGCGGGAGCCATCCTTATTGCGCAGTCCGGAATTCCGTCGAAGCAGCCGCCTCCCTTGCTCCTTCTCTGCTGTGCGCTTCTTCCACCATCTTCTGCCTCCCAGGCCACCCGTTACGATTGACAGGACCAAAAAGAGCGTGGCAAGGAGCCTCGTAGTTCTTGAGGTGCCTTTGAGGCGCTGGCGTAGGTAGTCGGAGTATTTGTGGTAGAGGGCGGCCAGGGGATCTGCTGAATGCCGTAATGTCGATTGAGAAGCCATTGTGGTGAGGCCCTTAGCAGGATGGGCCCTGCCTCTTTGGTTGTAGGTCGGCGAATTGTGTTGTGATATCGCGGTCACATCTCCATGCTATGCCACCCGAACCACTCTGTTTGACCGAACAGGACCAAACTAGGGACTGTTGGATAGGTACCTAGATATGGCGCTTTCCTCGTGGTTGTCGGCATCAATGACTATGTCAATATGAATAATAGTAAGGCATGGGGGCTCTGCAACGCGGAGACCGCAACTTGGGTCTGATGGGATGGGATAGGATGGGATAGGATGGGATGGAATGGGATGGGAGGCGTCGGAGTCTGGAATTTGGAATCTGGGGTTGGGACCTTTGAGCATGTGAGAGCGGGCTCAAATCTGATGGCATCACACAGGTACAGTAGTACCAAGGTACCTACCTACGTAAACCAACCGAGGCACCAAGTCCCACTCTGGACGCGTGACACGTGATTCAAGTCAGCTGACTCTTATCGTCCGAGACTCTCGCACTCTCGTACCTTCGTATCAGGTAACGTACATGTACCTATATTATTATTGTATGATGGCTTCACATGGTCGGTAGGTGCTCGTACCGTATGTACTGTACCGTACTCCACAGGGGCGACTTAACGCTTATGGTTCACTAGTTGTGGAGCGGGCCGGCCCCGGCGATAGCAACCTCCAGATCAAGATCTTATCAACCTTTATGTACGAGACTACTAGTACAAACAGCTATTTACACTATCAGATCTCCGCATATCTACGTAGGGTACCTAGGTAGGTACTGTAGGTAGTAGGTAGTATCCGGAGTCTGATCAACTTACGCAGTCCGCCATCCCCAGCACATACGGAGGACTCGGCTGGATCATTCATTTCATCTGCACGTCGCCTTACCCGACGACTTTCTAGAAGGTTGCTGGCAGCGGGTTGATGCCGACGGCGACCCAATATGCAACCAGACTGCGCAGTACCTAGGTACTCGTGCGAAACATACCAAGGTACATAGGTAGGTACTGTAGGTACCACGTACCTACGAAGTACCTACAGTAGGCAATGATGGAAGGCGCCCCTTTCTTCCCTCTTCCCTCTTCCCCCCCTCCCCCTCCCCCTCCCCAGTCCATGCGAAAAAATAGATATGGGTTGTTCCTCAAGACATGTCTTCGAGTACCGTACTTCGTAGACCAAGTGGCGCCCGCTGCTTGCTCGCGTTGGAGGGCGTTGTGAACCGATAGGCCTGCCAGTAGCCGCCTTGGTGGGGATGGGTGCGTTATGGACGCTCTTTGGCTCCCGTCTGCTCCCGTCTGCTTGCTTCGAGAGGATCTCGAAGTCCATATCACATTCCTGGAATCTAACAAGGTGGACTGGCTGGACACTGGATAGTCTGGACTGGACGTAGGTACCCAGCGGCCCAAGCAAGAGGCTTCTAAATTTATCGTCTGTTCCACTCCACGGGCGGCGCCAGACTGGAATCGGCCGGCGGATGTGCCGTATGCCGCAGGACCCTATTGAGCCTCGGGGCATGTCCGGATGGTTCTCCAGGGATCCGGCAGAGCAGCCAGAATACAATCCTTCCCGCATCGTGCTTTCGTACAATATCTGCAAACATGCTGTACAGAGGATGCAGTATGAAGCAGCGTATTACTTCGTGCTCTGTACATTGTGCTCTGTACTCCATTCGCTGCAGCAGCATGAGGATGAGGATGAGCAGAGCCCCTCCGGCAGTAGCAATCGTGGAGCTGGTCTGCGGTTCCGCAAAATGGAGAGAGGCGGGCACGGCGTGTGATAGGATGTGTGATGCTTATGCGGTCTGGGCATACGGATCAGGGCGCTTAATTTTATTCGCCCCGTCCCCCCCCAGAGGATCTCCTGTCTCCTGTCTCTTGTCTCGGTTGGTGGTGGTTTGTGGTTTGCTATTTGCAGTTTGTAGTTGCAGTTGCAGTTGTAGTTCTGGTTTGCGGTTGATAATAGACAAGCAGAAGGCCCCAAGCCAATTACAAATGGGAATGGATCCGGTTTCCATGCGAGTGAACATCCTTTGTACCCGTCCGTCCGTACCTGTACAGTACATGTACCTTGGGCGGGAGAAAGGGGAGCAGACAGTGAAGGGTTATGCCTCCTCCTCTCCCCGTTCTTGAATTCTTTATCCTCGTACTCCGTACCAAGCAAGTCAGGTATTGACGGTCTGTTGCCCCGTACCCCGTATTCCACCACAGTCCACCAGTCCACGCCCAGACCCAGACCCAGGCCCAGCAACCCTATAGGTACAGTACATGTACAGCACACCTACTACCGGACCTGTACTTTATCCAGCGCGTTCATTCGTTCCATCGCAGCAGCTTCAATTATTCGCAACGTTAGGTATAGGTACCTAGTGCCTACGAAGGTCGAGGTACTCGCTCTGGAACAACATCATATCGTTACTCCGTACCGCCGCTATTGTTGGCGCTGCTCGACAACCGGGCCTGTTGCATCGCCGTAACCACATCCACATCCACATCGGCATCCCCAAACTCCATACCTAAGGTCGGTAGCCATAACCCACTCACTCATTCAACCCACTCCTCTTCTTGTCTTTGGCGCTCTGGCTCCCTCGCTCTCTCTCGCTCTCTCGCGCGCTTCTTTTGGATCTGGAGCAATCTTATTCTTGCCCAAATCTCGCTAAACCCTCCAGGGACCCCCATTGAGCTGCCTTTCTCCTCAGCCTCTCTCGACATCCGACCTTCATCCCCCACAAGAGAGGAGCCCAAACACCGCGATCCAAGCCTTCCAGTCTTGTTTCCTTCCCTGCCAATTGTCGCATTGTCGCCTTGTTGGATTGCATCGCGCCCACCTGCGTACCTCTCGCCGTCGCATTCCAGCCCGTGGAACGGGGTCGCCCTGTGGCACCGGAGGGCCCGCGAAAAGCACATCGATCTACCGAACCCGCAATCCAGACGCGTGCACCTCCCTCGTACGCCGCCCCCGAGACAACGAAACGGCGTTGCGTGAAGAAAGGAAGCGAAGGGATAGGAACGAGAAGGGAGAACGCGGCACTCATCCAGATCCAGATCCAGACGCAATCGCAATCGCTCCAGGTCTTACCTTCCATCGCCCTCGATGAGTAATGAGATAGCTCAGCCGACTGAGCAGAACCTTAGCCGCTCAGCTTCTTCAGAAGGTACAAAGGGGAAGCCTCCAGCACTAGACACATCAGGTTGTAAGTATACTCCATTATTACCCTTGTTTATCCGCGCGCGCAGCCATCTGCACTTCAGCGATGTCTTCGCACACGAGCGCGACCCCTGAGATTGAAAGATTGCCGAACTGATAAGCAGCAGTTACAAACGCACCCCAACCTCCAAGCTCTTCCACGCAAACCACCTCGACTGCGCAAGGCACCACCGGTACAGACAGCTCTGAAACGCCTGTTTTGGCGAGCTCGCTGAACGAGAAGGATTATCTGCGAGTAGCAGATGAGGCAGCAGAAGCCCCGAAAAAGAACCGCGGCCTACTTGACGTTCCATCACGATCCTCGTCACAGAAGATCCAGCCATCACCAACATCCACAGGCCTTAGCGGAGTCACCGCAAACGATCAAAGAGACAGCCTAGGGGGCCGGTCTAAAGAGTCAAAGGGGAGCATACTGGGCAGGACGCGGAATGGGAGTACGGGAAGTAGCAAGATGTCGACAACACCGCAAACCAGGAACAACGATTCTACATCCAATGCTACAGCTGCTCGGCAGCCCAAGAAGAAGAGCAGCATTTTATCGTTTCTGAGTTGTTGTATTGTCCCAGACGATGCCAATACGGTAGACGCCGCGGAGTCGATGCCTGCGAATAAAGTTGCAAAGGTTCCTTCTGGGCGCCCAACCACTGCTAGCCGGCCGGAACAACCTACGATAGGCGAGGAAGCAACTACGACGCAACCTCGCACAGAGAAAGAGGCGTCCCAGCAAGATGAGCTGCGCCAAAATGAAAAGGATGGCCCAAGTCCAGACTCGGATAAGAACATGCAGTCCGGCGCCAGTTTGCCCTCTGGTGCGAACGGTGATTTGAACCGGCAGGGGGATGCGCGTGATCAGCCACTACCAGGCTTACCCGTGGAAGCAGAATCAGCAACGGCTACAGAAATGTCGCCTCCTGGTCCATCAACTGCAGTCCGGAGCCCAACAAAGTCAGAATCAGCAGGGGCTGCAAACCCTCCCAAATTCTCTGACGACAAGAAGGATGTAGAGGGCGACGTCAAGATGGAAGAATCAGAGCCTCTCCCGGCAGAGAAAGGCGAGCCACCTGTTCAGGTTCCCCGGAAGGATGAGACTACGAGACAAGTGTTGCCTCCTCCCCCTCCTGCCCCTCCGTCCACGAGCGAAAGTGCGCCCCCGCAAGCGACTGAGCAGAAGCAACAATGGCTACTCCCACCCATTGCACCAAGATTTCAGGGCAAGAAATGTTTAGTATTAGATTTGGACGAGACACTAGTACATAGCAGTTTCAAGGTAACCCTCCCCAAGGCCCTCAAGAGACGTCCAATCACTAACTTCTACGGCCAGATCCTACACCAGGCTGATTTTACGATCCCTGTCGAGATTGAGGGCCAATATCATAATGTCTACGTGATCAAGCGACCTGGTGTAGACCAGTTCATGAAGCGGGTCGGTGAACTTTATGAAGTCGTAGTTTTCACTGCTTCAGTCTCCAAGGTAAGCTGGATTTTTACCTCCCGGTTGGTGTATGCTGACCATTCATAGTACGGCGATCCTCTCCTGGACCAATTGGATATCCATCATGTCGTGCACCATCGTCTGTTCCGCGAGAGTTGCTACAATCACCAAGGCAACTATGTCAAAGATCTGTCCCAGGTTGGCCGAGATCTTAAAGAGACTATCATCATCGACAACTCGCCAACATCTTATATCTTCCACCCCCAGCACGCCGTGCCCATCAGCAGCTGGTTTTCTGACGCTCACGATAATGAACTCCTCGACCTGATTCCTGTTCTCGAAGATTTAGCCGGCTCGCAGGTACGAGATGTGAGCTTAGTCCTCGATGTCGCCCTCTGAAGCAAATCATACGTGATGCAAATACACTTGCTATCATAGCGGACGGCGTTCGGTTGATACCTTTGGTTTCGTTGTAGAATTGTACTGTTTAATTATATAATGGGCTTCCTGGTGGGCCAGCTCGGTCTTTTGCACAAGAGCGGGCATGGAGCGGTTATTCAAAAAATGGACAGATTCAGGAAGGTGATGGCGTCTTCGAGGTGGGGATATAGGATGATGGACAACGCTTTGAGTCCGGCCCTGGGAAACTATCTGCACGCCAGTCATGGTGTTGTATATCCTTTTCTTGACCCCACCATGGAGGAGCTGGTAGGGAGGCTAAATCACGCCGACGGAAGCCCTGACCCTTTTTCATTTGTTCATCTTCACTTCAAAATCCAGCGTGCGCATGAGCGCTGGAACTTGCCACATGTAACAAAGCATAGTCGGGAGCGGAAGCCGCGCCATGGGGACAGGCGCGGCGATGCGTTGCATTGCATTGCTTCTCAAACCCACCTGTAATTGGATTACCAGACTTTGACCTCCAGGTGACTTCAAGTGTGGTGACATACATATCTATTCCATTCTCCTCTGATCTGATGTATGTACCTTAGCTATGGAAAACGAGAATAGAAAATAATATTATAACCCAAAATGACGGTACAGTAATAAGAACCTAGACTCGATACAATATCTACGGAGTAGGTGGGTAGATTTATACTTTGATGTGGAGTATGTATGAACCACGTACTTACCTACCTTAGGTACCTACCAAGGTAAGTAGCTTAGGCAGGTAGCGTGGCTAATAAGGTTCCTTACCTAAGGTACCTAAGGTAAGGTATGGTGGGCTAAGAAAAGTGAAAGGGGCCGCCCTGGTCGCAAGCGAGGCTCCTTTCAATCATTGTCGTGTCCTCAACTCCATAATTTAGACCCAGACCACCCGAACACGACACACGACCCTCACGCCTACAAACTACAAGCTACCATACTTCCACGTCTTACAGCTTCACCAATTAATCCCAAATTACTCTGATCTCTGCATCTCCGGTACCCAAAATGGTATGCGCCTTTGGAATCCCTATCCCTCCATGTCATGGCCATTGCCACTCATGACCCGCAGCTGCATCATTTCCAGCTCCCATTTCCTCCGCAACGTTAGTTATTGCCTTTGCTAACATAATTTGGCTGTAAAATAGTCATCACCTCGCTCATCCTCCCCAGTCAACCCCGCCGGCGCTCTGGGCTCCTCGACTGGCCGCCCTTCCTCCCCTACACCACCTGGTGGACCTAAGACCGCGATCCGACGACGCGCTGCTGCCGACCAGAAAGACAAAGTTGCCAATGTGCGCCCCAGCTCGACGAGGGCTGCAGGTGCTGGAGGAAGCAGCAGCACCATGTTGAGTATGTCCTGTCCTGTCCCGTTATCCTTCTATGGTTCCAGTGCTGGAGGTTGGAGATGGATGGAATGGAAGCGTTGATACCAGATGAAGAAGAACAGGAAGGGTTTCTAATCTTTGACGGGCTTGAGGGACCAATTGGGTGGAATACGCACGAATGTGTACTAATGTGTTTGTGCAAATAGAACTCTACACAGACGAAAGCCCAGGACTAAAAGTCGACCCTGTTGTGGTACTCGTTCTCTCAATCGTATTCATCTTCAGTGTTGTAGCTCTACATAGTATGTACCCTTTGCTTCTTTCCTAGTCCTTATTTGCTACTCTGTCCTATCGACCAAGGATGCTAATTGCTATCTATAACAGTCATTGCAAAGGTTACGCGGAAGTTCTCTAGTTAGGAAGGCTAGGTGGTGCGGAGTGCTGGATGGTATGTGTGGGTAAAGAGCGGATGAGCAGAGGAGCACAAAATGCATTTGGATCACAAATTTGGTCTGGCGTGATTGATACTGCGAATTGGGCTTGCATACATTGATCGGCTTAAGGGGCTATTGTATTATACGCGAATCGACTTTCTCAATAATGGCACCGGTTGTGCCATGGGTTTCGATGTGACTTCCTCAAGATGAGCTTTCGTTACCTACTGGTCGAGGCCTGTGCGAATTTCCTCCCAATTAATTACACTGTTCAGAATATCCCTAGATCAGTATATTCGGGTACAATAAGTTCGTGCAGTAATTATCTTTTCCTCTTGCGTGAAGCGGATTGGTGTCAGTCAGCGTCTTGCTTCCGCTCATTTGTTCGCCAGCCAGCCATCACACTAAGGGCCCTGGCTAGTCTACATAACCCCTTCAAAGTTCAAGCATAGGCTGGTGCGCGAAAACAGGTACTTGCCTTCTGTTCATTTCTAGTTGCTTATTTCCTTGGTATGGTTCCCCGATGTAGTCATTGGTCTATTAAATCCCTTGTTGGCCTACTTGTTCGTCGAGGCTCTAACATGTGGTGATTATTTCGCAAGAATCATCTAATGTCCAAGAATTTCCAATCCAGAGTACTTCAGGCAGACAGCATCACGTTCCTTCTAATCCGAACTATTGAATCCATCTGTGGGGCATTCGGGTCTACTCTGGTCTAGCAGAAGGGTTGACATTTTGACATGGACCCGAAAGTATGTCCTGTGCCGTTGAGGGAGGTCTAATTTACATCTTCGACATGGCCCATGGGATGGCTTATAGAGCGATATTGTGACTAATTTGTTGGTTATTTAGGAAGAAGGTTAGGGTTGCTAAGGGATATTAATAGCATGTTGATCCGCTATCATAAACTCTAATTTATTACTAAAACTGCTTAAACGTGACCAGTTTTTTTGCGTCACCAGATATGCATAAGCGTAGAAGTTTTCTAGTAGAATCCTGGTTCCGTGAGCCGGAATTTTGTGCTTGATATAGCTAAGTTTCCAGAAGGTTAGGCTTGAGCCATTGATTCAACATGACCAAGCATAGGTGGCCCTCGAAAAGCACCTGATATGCTTACGTATTTAGTTGTTATTTGTTTGTGGTTGCCGTGCTTTGCGCTAGCCTATTTCCTCCCCGTGTTTAATTCTCAACATCCAGCGATGTGTTCATAGAATGGAACTAGGCCTATGGCCCCATGTGCTTATAAGGCTAGAAGACAACATGTGGTTGCTTCAACGTCCTAGCTTTACTGGGCTTTAACGGGGTTTGCTCGAAGCCGTGGGACATTAGTGCCCATTCCAGCTATCTCATACTAATCTCAATGGGAAGAAGGGGTCCTCTGTTCTGTATGTTCTGGATGTAACCTGTACCAACCTTGATTCACAACAGTTTACCTGTAGTATTTACTTTGTCGGGTCCGTTTTCTTTTTGTAAACTCCGAATTCTTCATCCGATTATATTTCGATATTACAAGCATTATTCAAAGTTATCCACACTTACGGCAAACCCACTTTCGCCAACAATTACTTATAGCTATCGCTCGCCACCTCCAGCACCATCTCCCCCTTTCTCTAACACTCTCATTACAAAGCAGCCAAAATCCCAACAAAGACAGCCACAATCGCAGCGTCAGCACTCATCCAAATCTCCAACATGCCCGCGCCGCCGGTAACAGTAGCGAAAGTCGGCATGGGCGCTGAAGTACTTCTCGTCAAAGACGGCGACGTAGGCGCTGTACCAGCCCTAGTAGATGCAGCTGTTGCTGAGGACACCCTGGAGGTCATGAGCACCGAAGAGGCGCAGCTAGATGATGCTGGGGCAGCTAGAGCAGACGAAGTTGCCGGCACGGGAGAGGAAGCAGGACCAAACCCCGGAGTTGATACCGAAATCACAGTCGCAGAAGCAGACGCAGACGCAGGATGTGCAGCAGCGCACGAGCAGACGGCTAGAGCAGAGGAAGAAACCTGGATGGCTGACTGTATACCGCAGGAGCCGACGACGCAGTTTAGGGCTGAAGATCGGATGGCTTCGGACTGAGAACTAGAACATTGGCATGCATAGTCCGTTTGTGCGCAGCCTACTGCAGACCCGGCTGATCTAATGCAAGATATCTAAATAGAGGTAATGGGTTAGTTATGTGTGTGATGCGGTCGAAATGGGCGAACGGGACAGGGAGAGGGAGTGAGATGGATAACATACCCCGCAGGATGGGATGGCCGCAGCAACAGAGTCACAGGCACTCTGAGCTACTGCGGTAGCGGCGAGGCTGGTGGCTAGTATAATGCTGTTGAATGGCTTCATGGTTGCCTTTCGGAGTGGTTGGAGCGAATGTGGGCTTGAGGCACTGTAGTTGACTTTTTGATTGTGCTATGGTGAAAACAAAAGAGCAGCTAAAGATGATTGAAATCTTCCAGCTCCTCGCGAGGGAAACGAATGCATGAAATACTCTTTCATCGCTCCTTCACACCAGTCAATCGGCTGACACTGGGAAAAGGTACATCCTTTCTTTCCCTAGCTCATCCAAAGCCCCGATAGGCTGGTACGCCTATATAATCTACGGGAAGAGATGTCCTACGAATATAATATGGCTTGTCGGAGCAACATTGTGCGGGGATCGTTGCTGATTATGACACGAGAGCCTCTCTATATTCAGGATGCCGATGTGGGCCGAGGCGAGGCGAAATACACAGCATACTACTCACATGCATAGTTCCCACTTAAAGCAGAGAGAGGGCAATTTTCTCGATCAGGAAATGTCTCGGCTGTGCGAGGTAAAGGGAATTGCCAAGGAACGAATAATTCGTAGGCGCTTGTAACACTTTCGCAACTTAGACTTCGATAGCCACAAGGGAAATGCCCGGATGATGCAAAGGGCAGGCATACCGCAGAGATAAACACTTGGCATCAATACCAAGCTGGACATTGTTTCCAAGGTCAAGGTTTTGAGAAACAAAGGAGGGCCGTTTTGTGGCAACACAAGCTTGGTAAGGGGTTATGGGCATCCAGTTAAATTAAAATACAGCGCTACACTACCCCGTTCCATCACCTTTCTGTAAAACCCTATCTTCTATGCACTGTATCACTTACAGAAACTCTACTGTTTCACAATCAACAGATACTGTTTACCAGTGGTGAAAGAACAACTGCCTAGAGATGTTTAAATGTGCTTCGACACATACCTAGGCAAGGAAGTTATATGATGATTTTTAGACGAATCTGTTTATTAAACAGCCCATAGCATCGAATAGGAGCGCGGCGCCTACTAGCATGCGGAAGAAGTTATCTGCTCTATATGAATTCGTCGAGGCAAGTCGGCCCTACGACTATTCAGATATCCTGCTGACTCGATCATGTTCCGCTCTTCTGGCACCAAACAGCACAACACAGCGGGGTATCATGTGCCCCAACTTCTGGCTAGCCATTATGCACAGTGGTGTTTCCAAAAGCCCGCCATCAAATTCCACTGGGAGAGAGTAAGAGATCTGGAACTAAACAAAGAACCTGGCATAAGGACAACGACAACAGCCGTGACTGCGTCTGGATCAATTAAGGAGCTGGCTAAAATGGTAGGCAGGAGAACCCGGGCAAACGGAACCTGTGCGATACGTAGATAATCTAAAGTGTAAAGGAAATTCGTCTTAGATTCTAAAAACAGTTGCTCGCGGCTCCAGAGGAGTTTTCTAACTAACTTCTTCCTAGAAGGAGTTGCTACGACCACTTGGTCGTTGAACGGTGGGCCGCATTGGAAAGCAAAGGCACCAGTCATGCGGCGTTTTGGTCCCTCTGGCGGATAGCCGTTGGTGTTTATCAAGAAGTTGTAACTTTGTGCGGACGCAACAGTTGCACTGGCTAGAGGGTTCCGTCGCACAACCTCCTTTCCGGCCCTTGCATTCTCAGGAGTGTCTCGAAGCTGCACAACTGTGGAAACAACCTGCATGAACAGAAATGGATACTCTGACGCACCACATCAGGGAGAGGTACACATCATAGTCGCTTGACTAGGATTTCTTGACGCTAGCTTTGGCTTTGTTTGCTTGAATTCGCTGACGCTTAACAAGTCAGCCTTCAGGTAAGTAATAGCTTCCAGGTACCTAGGTACCTAGCAGGCAATCGTTGGTCAGCCTCGCTTTCTTAGCCGCCCAAGAACATTTGATTTTCCAGCCTTGTCAACGCCCCTACCTCACAATCTCCATCCCAATGAGGACCATTCCTCCACGGGGGACATACTCGCTCCAGCCCCCAAGTCATAATGAATCTCTCACTAACTGACCCCTTTGTTCTCGCACAAGACTACCCTGAATCCACCACCAGCAGCCTTCGCAGCGGGCATGCGTGCGCTCTGCGATTCAATCGCAAAGGTGACTTTCTAGCTGCCGGACGCGCCGACGGTGTCGTCGTTATCTTCGATGTGGAAACGCAAGGAGTGGCCCGCAAGCTGAAAGGACATACACGGCAGATACAGTCACTGAGCTGGTCGCGCGACGGGAGATATCTTCTGACGTCGAGCCAAGATTGGAAGTGCAACTTGTGGGATCTTCAGGATGGCAGTATCCTGCGGAGTGCTAGGTTTGAGGCGCCAGTATATATCGCAGAGTTACATCCCTGGAACCAGTGAGTTATCTACGAGAAGCGTGCACTAGGGGCGGCTAAACTGACCTTTTTTGCAGCCTTATGTTCATAGTGTCGCTTTTTGAAGAACAGCCTCTTCTGGTTGATGCCTCTGAGCCGGAGGTCGTGAAGTACAATCTTTCTTCAGCGCCAAAACGCATGCCGGATGAGAAGGTTACAGATAAGCAGGCTGCGCAAGATGCGAAACAGACCACGACAGTCTCGGTTTTTACGGCCTCGGGAAATCATATAGTGGCGGGTACAAATAAAGGATGGCTGAATATAATTGAGGTGGCTACACGTTCGACTATCTACTCTACGAAAATTTGCGCCGGCGTGGTCATATTTTTGCGTCTTACGAGCTCTGGGAGGGATATCGTGATCAATGCTTCGGACAGAATTATCCGCACGATACAGTTGCCCGATCTGTCTGCAGACCCAGACACAATTGATATTGAAGTCGAGCACAAATTCCAGGATGTCGTTAACAGACTGTCCTGGAACCATGTAGCATTCAGTTCCACCGGGGAGTATGTGACGGCCTCAACCTACAATAACCACGATATTTACATCTGGGAACGTAATCATGGCAGCTTGGTCAAGATCCTCGAGGGCCCCAAGGAGGAACATGGAGTTGTGGAATGGCATCCCCATCGGCCCTTGATCGCGGCTTGTGGGCTGGAAACTGGAAGGATTCATATTTGGTCCATCATCCCTCAACAACGATGGTCAGCACTGGCGCCAGATTTTGTGGAAGTCGAAGAGAATGTCGAATACATGGAGCGCGAAGATGAGTTTGATATCCATCCGCAAGAGGAAATTCATAAACGAAGATTGGACCTGGAGGATGAAGATATTGACGTCTTGACAGTGGGACCCGTGAAGGGTTTGGAGGAAGAGAATGCATTCAGAATGCCGGTGCAGCTGGACCTTCAGGATAGCGAGGGGGAAGAAGAATTCGTTACCATCGGGCGGGGCGAGATGAGAAGGAAAAGCCCGACGGAGGGGAGAGAATATATACTTGATTCGGAGGTGATTGGTAGTGCTGACGAAGTACCTAAGAAGGCGAAAACGAAGAGCAGAAAGAGGTGACAGGGCATTCTAACGGCGTTTATAGGAAGGGCGGCATGACATAAAATGGTAGGCGCAAGGGAAGACTGGCAGGGCTATTAAAGTAGATATGCTCTTCATGCTAGAGTTAGGAGGCAGCACTATACATTACCTAGCTACCTAGCCAAAAGGAATTGAAATCTTATACCAAATACATACATTCATGAAAATTCATGAAAATCGATTATACTAGGATAGCCTTCCCCTTTCCCCTTTCCTATTTCCGACTGACTCTGCAGATGTGTAAAGGTGACGCTACCTCACTAGCTAATAAGATGCGTACGTATTTAGTTACTATGCGGTGGCCGTGGCCTCAGTCAGTGAAGTCCTGCTTGATATCTTTTAGTCCGCTTACGATACTTTGTTTACTTGATGACCACAGTATCAGTTGGGGCCATGGTAACCGCTGAGAAGGCTTAAAACAAGCTCCATTGACTGCGGTTGTCTGAGGCGTGGTTGGTGGGAAGAGGAATCTTTTCTTAATAGAGTACCTAGTAGGTAGGTACCTTGGATACCAAAGTGCTTAATGTAGGTACCTAGGTACCTAGATAGGGAGTTGGGTTGCCATTTTGAGCCTAGCGTGGTTTGGGGCTTAGCGAATCTTGAGCCTCAACCTCATCTTCGTCTTTTCGCGCCTCGAGAAAGGATCGCCTCCTTCCGCGATCACAACCCACAACCCAGCGCATCGATATCGAAACTTAGGAATCGCGCGTCCAAAATCGCGCGTTCCTATCTGCAGGTCTTTCTCACGAGAAAGAATATCAATCCACTCCTTACGCCGTTGCTGCCACACTGCTGAATCAGTCACGGTCGGAATCCCGAGGATACGAGACGGGCCTTGGGCCTGCGCTGCCTTCAGCGCCAACGCGACGACAGCCTTCCTTTCCATTCTGCGCATACATCGACCTTGCTTCTAGCACTCTTGGGCAGAACGAGCTGTTCTTGCGACGCTTCTAGGACCGCATTGCGCGTTTGTCGAAGACCCCTCAAAACCCCGTTGGTTGCCACTATTAGTTTTGCCTTTGACTCAAGGCAGCTACCACCATGGCGAACCTCACCTTCGCGCATTCCGATGCGCCGCTTCGGACTATACAGGAGATCCAGTTTGGACTCCTGTCACCCGAGGAAATAAAAAATATGAGTGTTGCTCACATCCTCTACCCCGAGACGATGGACGAGAGTAGGATGAAGCCGCGCGATGGAGGCCTGAACGACCCTCGGCTTGGCTCCATAGACAGACAATTCAAGTGTGCGACCTGCGACCAGAACATGTCTGAATGTCCGGGTCACTTTGGTCACATCGAGCTGGCTAAGCCCGTATTTCACCCTGGATTCATCAAGAAAGTCAAGAAGCTGCTGGAGATAGTCTGTCATAATTGCGGCAGAGTATTACTAGACAGAGTCAGTGTGTCCGCTGAGGACTGCAGATTCAATTGTGCTTTTATGCTGACGTCCTAATCCTAGAACAACCCATCTTACAAAGCAGCCGTCGCCCTCCGAGACCCGAAGCGCAGGTTCGATACGATATGGCGGCTTTGTAAACCGAAAATGATGTGCGACAGTGATGCGACCAATGACGAGGAAGCCAACGCTGATCCGAAAGAAGCTACGAAGCAATCTCATGGAGGCTGCGGCAACATTCAGCCAGAAGTGCGCCAGATTGCTCTTCAACTTTGGGGTACCTGGAAGGTCCCAAAAGATGAGGACGGCGAAGGTGGCCAACCCGAAAAAAGACAAATAACTGCACAGATGGCACAGATCATTTTTAAACTCATCTCCTCTTCCGAGCTTCGCGATCTGGGTTTGAGCACGGATTATGCGCGACCGGAATGGATGATTATTACAGTTCTGCCAGTGCCGCCACCACCCGTTCGGCCCAGCGTCTCCATGGATGGAACTGGTCAAGGCATGCGCGGAGAGGACGACTTGACTTACAAGCTAGGTGACATCCTTCGAGCAAATAGCAATGTCAAACAGGCCCAGCAGGAAGGCTCTCCCGCTCATATTCTGCAAGATTTTGAGGGTTTGCTGCAATACCACGTTGCTACATATATGGACAATGATATCGCCGGTACACCACAGGCTTTGCAGAAGTCAGGCCGGCCGGTGAAATCTATTCGAGCACGTCTAAAGGGCAAGGAGGGTCGGCTTCGTGGAAATTTGATGGGCAAGCGTGTGGACTTCTCCGCGCGTACCGTCATCACTGGCGACCCCAATTTGTCTCTGGATGAGGTGGGTGTGCCGAGAAGTATTGCTAGAACTCTCACGTACCCTGAGACTGTGACGCCGTACAATATTGGCAAGCTCTCCCAACTGGTCAAGAACGGTCCAAACGATCATCCCGGCGCTAAATATGTCATTCGCTCCGACGGGACTCGTATCGATTTGCGGCATAGTAAGAATACTTCTGGCGTCAATCTAGAGTATGGTTGGAAGGTTGAGAGACACATTGTTGATGGAGATTTCATCATCTTCAATCGTCAACCCTCGCTCCATAAGGAATCGATGATGGGACACCGCGTTCGAGTTATGCCATATTCAACATTCCGACTTAACCTGTCTGTCACCTCACCCTACAACGCTGATTTCGACGGGGATGAGATGAATTTGCACGTCCCGCAGACTGAGGAGACCCGCGCAGAAGTCATGCAGCTATGTATGGTGCCGCTGAATATCGTGTCGCCACAGCGAAATTCTCCTCTCATGGGTATCGTCCAGGATACTCTTGCTGGCGTGTATAAGATGTGTCGCCGAGACGTCTTTCTAACCAAGGAGGAACTCATGAATATACTCCTTTGGGTACCTGAATGGGATGGCATCATTCCTCAACCAGCGATTGTAAAACCGCGACCTCGATGGACCGGAAAGCAAATCGTCGGCATGTTCATTCCCAAGATTGTGAACCTTAATGTGCCCAATGACGCAAAGGAGGATTCGCCATTGAAGGATGACGGCCTCTTAGTGAGTGAAGGCGAATTGATGTATGGTCTTTTGGCAAAGAAAAACGTTGGCGCTACCGGCAATGGTATTATTCACATCATATTCAATGAGCAGGGACCTGATGCAGCTATGGCTTTCTTTAATGGCTGTCAACGAGTGGTCAACTACTGGCTTCTGCACCATGGTTTCAGTATTGGTATCGGTGATACGATCCCAGACAAGTCGACCATTGAGAAGATTGAAGAAGCAATCATGGTGCAGAAGCGCGAAGTCGCAGAGCTCACTGCAAAAGCCACGGCCAATGAGTTGGAGCCATCTCCTGGCATGAATATTCGTGAGACGTTTGAGAGTCAAGTCTCGAAGGCTTTGAATACAGCTCGTGACAAGGCCGGTACAAAAACGGAACAGAGTCTGAAGGATATCAACAACGCCGTACAAATGGCCAGGTCTGGCTCCAAGGGATCTACTATCAACATCTCCCAGATGACTGCCCTTGTGGGTCAACAGTCAGTCGAAGGGAAACGCATCCCTTTCGGATTCAAATACCGAACTCTTCCCCATTTCACCAAGGACGATTACTCCCCGGAGTCGCGTGGCTTTGTTGAGAATTCGTACCTCAGAGGCCTTACACCTACAGAGTTCTTCTTCCACGCTATGGCTGGTCGGGAGGGTCTCATTGATACTGCTGTCAAGACTGCAGAAACTGGATATATCCAGCGCCGCCTTGTGAAGGCCCTCGAAGATGTCATGTCTAAATACGATGGTACCGTCAGAAATTCTCTAGGCGATATTGTTCAATTCGTCTACGGTGAGGATGGCCTTGACGCTGTCTACATTGAGAAACAAAACGTCGACAGTATTACCATGTCCGACAAGTCACTTGAAAACAAGTACCGCCTTGATGTTATGGATGAGCAGCATCCAGTGCCTTTCGATGTACTGGAGCATGCAAACGAGCTTGCTGGCGATCTCGCGGTACAGCGGCTACTAGATGAGGAATGGGACCAGCTTCGGGCTGATCGGGCCATGTTGCGCGAGATCCAGTACCGTAAAAACAACACTGATGAATCCATGCAACTTCCTCTGAATGTTCCTAGAATTATCGATAGCGCCAAGAGGCTCTTCAATATTCGCGACTCGGACCGTAGCGACTTGCATCCAACGGATGTTATTCCCCAAGTCCAGCAGCTGTTGGAACGAATGATCATTGTTCGCGGTGGCGATGACTTGTCAAAGGAGGCTCAGCTCAATGCTACGCTTCTCGTCAAAGCCCAAATGCGATCGAGACTTGCTTACAAGCGCGTCGCTGTGGAGAAGCGCCTCAATAAGCTCGCATTTGCTCATGTACTTGGAGAGATTGAGAGCCGATTCTCGCGAGCTTTGGTTAACCCCGGAGAAATGGTTGGCGTTCTTGCTGCGCAGTCTATTGGAGAACCTGCCACTCAAATGACGCTCAATACTTTCCATTTCGCTGGTGTATCTTCGAAGAATGTCACTCTTGGTGTACCACGTCTAAAGGAAATTCTTAACATTGCCGCGAATATCAAGACACCTTCTATGATGGTTTACCAGGAGGGAACGAGCAAATCCCAGGAGTCTGCTAAATTATTGCGCAGTGCGGTTGAGCATACGAACTTGCGCTCTGTCACAGCCGCCACAGAAATCTACCATGACCCTGATATTCAGTCAACCAATATTGCAGCCGATCTTGATATGGTGGAATCGTTCTTCATCATTCCGGAAGAACATCAGGATTCCCTTGAGAATCAATCACGATGGCTGCTACGTCTAATTCTCGATCGCCAGAAGATGCTCGATAAAGGTCTAAGAGTCGAGGATGTGGCGTCAAGGATCAAAGAGAACTACCCCAAAGACTTAGCTGTTATTTTTAGTGATAATAACGCTGAGGAACAAGTCATTCGTATTCGAATGATCAAGCAGGGTGAATCGAAATATGAGGAGGATGATATCGAGGAAGACATCATGCTCAAGCGCCTAGAAGCGCATATTCTCGACACGTTAACTCTCCGCGGTGTCCCGGGTATCGATCGAGCCTTCTTGAACACGGAGACAAGACTTGTTGAGGATCCTAACGGAAAGCTCATCTCATCCAAGTCTGACGAGAGATGCGTGGAATGGTATCTTGACACAAGTGGAACCGCCCTGGCACAGGTCTTGACTGTCCCAGGTGTAGACACAACTCGGACATACACCAATCATTTCATCCAGGTCTTCGAGGTCTTCGGTATCGAGGCGGCCCGATCTGCTTTAATGAAGGAATTGACTCAGGTGTTGGCTTTTGATGGCTCTTACGTCAATCATCGCCATCTTGCTTTATTGGTCGATGTCATGACGTCCCGCGGTCTCTTGATGGCGATTACTCGTCATGGTATCAACAGAGCTGATACCGGAGCCCTGATGAGATGTTCCTTTGAGGAAACTGTCGAGATTTTACTGGAAGCAGCTGCTATCGGTGAGCTTGACGACTGCCGCGGTATCTCTGAAAACGTGATGCTTGGTCAATTGGCACCTATGGGAACTGGAGAGCACGAGATACTCCTTGATCCTAAAATGCTTGAAACTGTTATTTCAGACAATGGTAGGATGGGTCTTATGCCCGGTCTTCCCGTGAAAGGTGGCGATGGAGGTGCTGCTACGCCTTATGACACTGGGTCTCCTCTGGCTGAAGTGGGATATCTGGGTACCCCCGATTACCAATCTGGCTTTTCACCTATACAAAGTATTGGGTCAGAAACACCATCTGGATTTGCTACAGACTACGGCGGCTTCGGTAGCAGTGGTAGTGGAATGAGCCCATACTCGCGAAGCCCTGGTGGTTATTCTCCTTCGAGCCCTTTCAGTACTAGCCCGGTTTCTCCAAGTTATCCGCCGACGTCTCCTGGGTACAGTCCAACATCACCAACTGGAATCACGAGTCCGGGCTACTCCGCATCGTCTCCCAGATTCTCACCTGTCAGCCCAGCATTTACACCAACGTCGCCTGCATATTCACCGACGTCCCCCAGCTTCGTGTCCCCAACATCTCCATCATATTCCCCAACATCTCCAAACTATTCTCCGACGTCGCCTAACTTCCACGTGTCACCTTCCTCCCCAAATTACAGCCCGACTTCGCCAAGTTACTCTCCGACTTCGCCCAACTACAGTCCTTCATCACCCAACTTCGCCCCAAGCAAGACGTCTCCGGGCTCAGGCTTGTCTCCGACAAGTCCAGTCTATAGTCCGAGCAGTCCCAACTTCAGCCCAACGAGCCCCCAGTTCCAGGGCAATGTTACATCTCCTAAATACTCTCCCACTTCGCCGTCATACTCGCCGACTAGTCCTCAATTTTCGCCAACGTAAGCCTCTCACCCGTCCCCCAAATACCTAGTTATAATATCTAACATGAAACAGATCACCTCGTGGCTGAGGTTTTTAATCGGAGGTTTGCTTCTTTCCAATTGTACCAACAAGATCTCGTTAAATGAGAGAAAAAAAAGATTCTGCACTATGGCGTTTGGGTACGTGCAAAAGGGGATCTGTTTCCAGCATCGTATTTTGAGCCCCTTTTCACACGGCGTTTGGGTTCTACACCGCTGCTACATCATGTCAAAAGAAATCCTGGGAGCGGGGTTGCGTGGAGGAATTGAATGCACCATGGTGGTTTTAGATATGTTATCAGAAGGGGAAGAACGTTAGCGAACAGATTGTAATATTGCAGCTCAGGGGCCGATGAGGTCTCTGGTTATGGGGACAGGCGGATGGTATGATGAAGGAGAGCGAAAATAGGTTTAGTAGATACTGCCAGGGGTTGAAAATCGAATTTTACTTATAAATATTGTGGCAACTGGGCGGTGATAACTCTTCGTGATTACTTTAAGATTCTCGTCCCCAGTGCCTCGCACTGCCCCGGTAGTGGTGAAAGCGAGTGGGTACAGGAATGCTACAAATTCCAGCCATAAAATCCGGTATATCCTGTTGATAAGATGGGCTGTCTAACTCTAGTACGGCAGATGACGATGCTAGCGAAGGTGTTCATAGCACCGACTCCTATTAGCGCCCGAATCCCTTTTTCTACTGCAAGAAATATGCAGCCCAGAGGAGCCACCATTGGACTCCTTGCCTCTGAGAAGAGCGTCACCTTGGCAATACTATACCAAGGCATCCCGTCGTGAATTGGAAGCGTTGATAGTCATTGCATGCAAGCTCCCAGCCACATTTGATCTTTTGCCGGTAAAGTGCATAGCTAGATCGGAGGTCAATGACCAAGCTCAAACCCTTCGCCAAGTTAGACATGAAAATTTCCTCACCTGCTATGAAATATTTGGGTGTGACAATGCCCACTTTACCGTTTCCGAATATATAGCAATCTCTCTAGCGGATCTCAGTGGATCTATTATCCCGCCGAACGAGATTCTGGTAGCGACAATCGCACACTAGGTGAGTTGCTCCTATCACAGCTCTTTGAGCTTTAATACGGAAGAAGTAGGTGCTAACAGGACTTAATTTCCTTGCCTTTCAAGATATAATGCATCGAGGTACTACATGTTCTATAATACTCCTGTCTCTTCGCGGAGATGTCAAAGTCGGTAGGTCCTCCTCGGCCTAAGGATTGCTTGCCCTGCTGATATTTTTATCTGAGCAAACCCTGAAGGGTGCATTAACATTGGTCTACGAAGCCCCGAGATGCGAGAAGATACTACAGCTTCGGCCTCGTAATACTCCAACTTATAGAGCGGGCCAGCCGGCGCCATGAAAGGCTAATCTTGGGGCATCCCGACAAGTGGTCTCCTTCAACCGAGCAAGTTTCTACAGTCAACAGCGTCGAGATCGGCCAAAGAACTTCTATTGGTGAGTTACTTGAATCCTCAATTCCAATATATTCAGATTGTCCCAGCACGCCTTCTTGAATAATTCGCCACGAAAGCAGGAGTTTGTGAGTCTGATTAGGTGTGCTCAGATATTCTTGCATATCCCATTCTGTCTTGAACGGCCGTGATAGCCGTCTGAGATTCAGAGAAGACATTTCAGCAGCGCCGGTCCAACTACATGTAGGAACAGACAAGATTTATCCTCAATACACTGCCGCGACTGAAAACTGTAGAATTTAAAGGTATTCAAAGGGTGGAAGCAAAACTACACAGAGCAAGAAATGTCCTGGTAGAAGGGGTTAAAGGACTTCAGTAGAGGAATATATACACTGTCAAAATAATACCTCCGAGACTAAAACAATACAAAAGTTATTAGTAGGCTTTACAGTAGAATTCGAAACCCACTAGTACTAGTACAGCTAGCTGTGTTTCAGACCCTATATAATATAATATCCCCTATATTGCACAGGAAGAGTATTGTAGAGTGCTGTCTGAGGATTGGGTAATATTAATCACAAGATAATATTCTCTTAACGACTTAATAATAGGACTACTATATAGTATATATATCGTCTTTATAGGCTATCGTTTATTTATACAGTCCCTTAGACTACTACGGATTTAGTATTAAAGGTGACGGCTTAATTTTAAAATATTAGCTGCGACCGCTGTGCCCCTTACTGCGCCCTACTGCGCCCTTGCTACGCCATTGTTACTAGAGTACGTATCTCTTAACAAATATAGTCAATCTCCACCCTATTATAATACACTAAGTACAAAAGCCTATACAATCTATTATTTTGTTGAGATCGTTCAATATGATATATCGCTATGCAAAGAGAAATCTCTTTACTTTTTCCTTCTACGCCTCGTTGCTTTGCTATGGCATTCAAGCATGCAGAACATCTTCGAATAATCCATGGACAGTGCAACTGCCCACCTCGACAACTCCAATCCATACCCATTTCGCAGCGAGCATTGCTGGAGTTACTAGTGATAATAAATACTCTATCGCTATAACCGGCAACACAGGCAATATCACCCAGAATAATCGAACAACCGATGTAATCATTAAGGATCAGATTCCTTTTGGTGGATCTCTTGTGCTATATAGCTTCATCGGAACGGATGCAGATAGCATCCTTTTAGGCTGGGCGTATTGCACAGGGGATGAGCTTACGTCGTTGTTCCTCGAAGCGACGGATAGAACCGCGGGCTTCACAAACAGTCCTATAACAGGCAGCTGCAACATTGCAAATGAAGCAACGAGCGTCAACCTCGTGACAAATGCCGGGTGCCTAAGTGTCACACAACCGTCTATAGTACCAGCAATAGATGGAGGCAACAAACTTTCTCTCCAGAACAGCAGCGTCGGCAATGTCACACTCGGCCGTGAGGAATTCAATCTGATTCCGTTTGCAATCATCGATTGCTCTCGCTGCTCAGCGGGGAGTTTAGCAGGTGGATGGTTTGAGGTTCACAGTGTGATGACAAGCAAAACATCAGCTGACGTTTGCTTGGGTATATTCTACCTGAGCTTGATATGTAGCGAGGTTTCTGTTCAATATGTGCAGTGCTTTATAGGCAATGCAACAAGTCATACTTTCAATGCGGGCTACAGCCTGGGCAGTTTTATTCAAAACTCAACCGAAGCGACAAATACGACATGTAAAGCAAGTTCTAGTACAAGCTCCTCACCTAGTGCAGGTTCTAGTACACGCTCCTTAGCTACTGGCAGACCCGAATTTAATAGATATTTTCTTATTCTGTTACTTGCTCTAGCTGTTAGATCAACTATTGTATATACTTAATTAAGTTAACTATTTTATTTATCTCGCTTAGTTAGATAGCACTCTATTATATAGTAAATTATTCGTAGGTGATTTTAGGCTATGTATTCTAATATACTTATAGTATTTAGAGAGCTTAAAGTGTACGTCTATATCCCATAGAGAAATTCATACCTAATAATTTCTCTGAACGTGTTTTCCTTTTGTACATCGTAGCCACCAGTACAAATAAGAGCTGCCAAACACCGCAGCGGTTGGAAAGCAATGTTCGTGGCAATTAAGGCACTCGAGGTATAGCTGATCCTGTATCGTTCAAGATACGCGAATATATACCTCGAGTCCCCGAAGTCGCTACTAAGCCATGAAATTTAGGAATGCCCAAAAAAACCAATCACGGAAAGCGGTCTACTACGGAAATGCGTTGGGCCGACATCACAGCTTCCCAACTAGTCGTACTCCGCACCGGAGCCGTGTTTCCCCTCTCTTCGATTAATACCTAAGGTCACTTGCGTACCTTACGTCCCCCCCATTAATCTAGACATTCTCGCTCACCATCTGCCTCCACCATGGCCGACGATATCGAGACCAGCTTCCAGGCCGCCATCGACGCTGGCAAGATCAACGGTGCTGTTCTCTGTGCCACCGACGCCGAGGGTCGGTTTGCCTACGACAAAGCGCTTGGCGAGCGCAGCCTGCTATCGGGCGAGAAGCGGCCACAGCAGCTCGACGACGTGCTGTACCTTGCTTCGGCCACCAAGCTGATTACCGCCATCGCCGCCCTACAGTGCGTCGAAGACGGCCTGCTCACTCTCGCCGGCGACCTGTCGGCCATCGCGCCCGAGCTCGCTGCCAAGCAGGTCCTGACCGGCTTTTCCGACGACGGCGAAACCCCGCTGCTCGAGCCGCCGGCCCGCCCCATCACGCTCGAGATGCTGCTCACGCACAGCTCCGGCGTCAGCTACGACTTCCTCCACCCGCTCGTCGGCCGGTGGCGCGAGAAATTCGCGCCGCTGCCACCAGACGGCGCGCGCCGGCCGGTCGAGGAGGCGTTTAGCTACCCGCTGGCCTTCCAGCCGGGCGCCGGCTGGATGTACGGGCCGGGCCTCGACTGGGCCGGCCGCGTGGTGGAGCGGGTGACGGGCTGCACGCTGGGCGAGCACATGCAGCAGCGCATCTTCGGCCCGCTCGGGATCACGGACGCCCTACCCGGTCACGCGGGAGGACCTGCGCGCCCGTCTCGTCGACCTCAACCCGAACGACCCCGATGCCCTCGGCCGCGCGGTGCTCGGCGGCGGCGGCGACATGAACAAGCGCAGCCGCGGGCACTTTGGCGGCCATGGGCTCTTTATGCCGGGGGACGACTTCGGCAAGGTTCTACGCTCGCTGCTGGCTGGCGACGGGAGGCTGCTCAATCCCGCTACCGTCGACGGCATGTTCCAGCACCGCCTGGCGCCCCAGGCGACCGCGGGGCTGCAGGCCGCGCTGGCCAGCCCTCTGGGCGTGTTCTTTCGTGTGGGCATCGACCAGGAGACGAGGCTGGGCTACAGCCTGGGCGGCCTGTTGACGTTGCAGGACGTCGAGGGCTGGTACGGGGAGCGGACACTTACCTGGGGTGGCGGCATGACGCTTACCTGGTTCATCGATCGCAAGAACGGCCTGTGCGGCGTCGGGGCCGTCCAGGCTACGCTGCCAGTCGAGAGCGACGTGGTGGCCGCGTTAAAGCAGATATTCCGCCGCGATATCTACTCTAAGTATACAGCATGGAAGGAACAGCAGTAGGCGTTATAACAATATATAGTCAACATTACTCGTATAGTTCCAACTATACGTCACACATCTACACTTTTTTTTCGACGAAAACCAACCCCCTACTTTCTGCCCAAAGATCACTTATATCTTCGAAGAACGCTTTATTCGTCCGATTTATCGTCTTATATATCTATATATATAAGTATTAAGTAGGATAAAATCGAGTTCGGATCCGTCGAGGCCCCTCAGGAGCTCCTGCCCCTACTGCCCTGGAACTTCGTCGATTCGGATAAAATAGAGCAGGCGCTTAGCCCTAGCCCTAACTTACCTTCAATTCGAGTTTCAGCGTCTCCAAAGGACGTTATTGAACCTCAATTCGGCTTTCTCTCTAGCGACCCTTTAGCCTCTGCCCCTGAGATCGAAAAACTTTTTGTTCCTAGCCTAATTCAGAAGCAACCCAGAGTCTCCACACCCCCTGAAAATACTGCACAGAGTTAAGTTCCTACGTTAAGCTGTCCCGACTACTTAGATACTCTAAGTTCCGATTCCGACTACTACTAGTTTAATTCAAATTCCGATTCCGACTTCAACTTCGAATTCGAATTTACCCGAGCTCCTAGCTCCGACATTTCTACTTATACTACTAGTATAGTAATATTCGAAGCTAGAGACCTGATTATCGAAGCCTACAGTTTTACCAAAGCTTATACCGAACAGTCAAAGCTCCTAGACTTCCTGGAGACTTTCAGAGAATTCGCTGAATATAGCTACTTCCAAAAAACTTCTAAGATCATCTCTTCCTAGATCTCAAATCTGGAATCAGCTACCCAGCAGCTCGAAACGAAATCACGTAACCTCTTACGTATCCCTAGCTCTACCTGCTTTACTTCTGAATTTTATCAGTTAAGTAAAAACTTAACTATACATCTAAATACTCCTAATTATTCTAATTCGACGTTAAGTAACAACTTAACTATACTATCCTTTGTAAATGTTACAAACTAAAGCTCTGGAGTTTCGAATCCCTCCCAGGAATAGACTTTTATTAGTAGAAAGCTAAAACTAACTTCACTGCCCAAAATAAAACGATCTAGCCCAAATAAGTTTATTATTATACAAACTCCTGGAACTGCTACTTCGTTCTCCCCCCTAGTAGCCCGAAATGCCCTGAATAAAGCTTTTACAGATAAAGAGATCAAAAGCTCTATAGTTATTTCAGTAACCAGATCTCTGAAAAAGAATCTAGTTATTACAACTATATCTAACTATACAGCTGATTTCTTGATCGAAAAGAGTGTTATTTGGGAGTATATAGTACTGTGGTGAAGCAGATTTACCACTCGTCACGTGTACAGTAGCTGCTCTTCGGAGCTTAGTTCTTCCGGGGCCGGGCACATGAAGTGCGCTGTGCAAAACAACTGTAGAGTAGCATGCTTCTTTACTCGTACACATTTTTACCTACCTAAAGCCCGACGCGCTTGATTGTTTACTGTACACTAGACTGTACATTCCACTCCGTTACAGTACCTAATCAGACGCTATATAAATATGAGCCTTGGTTCAAAGTAGCTATCCATAGGATCCCCCTAAGAGTATAGCTCTAATCGTAGATGAGATCAAAACATTCAATACTAGCCTGAATTTAATTAGAATACTTTATTAGCTTACGCCTAAGGAACGCTAGCAAAATCAGCTAGCTGGCTCAATAGCTCTCTCTTTTGTTATAGAACAGAAAGCTAATAGAGCTATTCGAAATAGACTCTATATAGCTAGAATAAGTGTACAAGTTGAAAAGCTCTATACTACTACTCTAACTACACAGTGTACTAAGTGCCTAGGCTTTGGGCACTTGGAAAGCTACTGTAGAAAGACTCCTACGTATACTTTCTGTGCTGAAAGTCACTTAACTAGGCAGCACTATTGCTCTAGCTGCAAAGTTACAGGCAAAAAGTGCCTACACCTAGCTCCAAAGTGTGCTAATTGCAAGGAAGCTCATGTGGCCACGGATTGATTGATTGATTGATTGGTTATTCCTTTTAACGTCCTTTGTAAGTCGAGAAACTATAGTAGAACAGTTAGGGCTCTAGAGCTCTAACAAGCTATTGTAAATACACGATTGAGAGTCAATATAGTCTGTGGACAGTGAGGGCCAAGCTCTAGTAAATTAATTGATTGATTATTCCTTTTAACGTCCTTTGTAAGTCGAAGACTATATAGTAGGACAGTTAGAGCTTTAAAGTTCTAACAAACTAATAGTAAATACAATAGTGAGAGTCACTGTGATCTGAGGACAGTGAGGGCCTAGCCTTAGTAAAAACAACGCAATACAAATGAAAAACAGTAAAATGACCGAATAGCTCGACTATAGCTCCGTATAGTTAAGCTCCTAATACTCCTCTTCCGTTCTCTCCAAGTACTACCGCTTTGTGTATATGTCAAGAAGAGATAAAAAAACTTTTTTCGACGAAAATCAACCTCCCACTTTCGGCCTAAAAACCTTTGATATCTTCGAAGAACGCTCTATTCGTCTTGTTTATCGTCTTATATATTCGTATATAGACGTTGAGTAGGATAGAATCGAGTTCGGATCCGTTGACTCCCCAGGAGCTCCTGCCCCCCACCCACTGCCCCAGCACTCCGTCGATTCGGACGAAATAGAGCAGGCGCCCAGCCCTAACCCTAACTTGCCTGCAATTCGAATTTCAGCGTCTCCGAAACACGTTATCCAACCTATTATTATTAAACTTCAATTTGACTTCCTTTCCAGCGACCCTTTAGCTTCTGCTTCTGAGATCGAAAATTTTTTCGTCCCTAGCCTAATTCGGAAGCGACCTAGAGTCGCTACACTCCCTGGAAATATTATACAAAGTCGGGTATTTACGTTAAATTGTCCCGATTACTTAGATATTCTAAGTTCCGATTCCGACTACTACGGCTAGGCCCTAGTAGAACGACAATCTGAAAGAACTACGCCAGAAAATAATTCGGAATTAACAAACGTTTATCTAGTATAACTATAACTATACTACTAAACGCAACTACTTTATAACTAAAAATACCTACTTTTTTAGCTATAAAGTAAATAAAACGGAACTACTAGAACGACTTTCTTGAAAAGGAGGATCCGAAGACTATTTTCAAAGTTATAGCTTATACTAGAGACCGACAGATCGATTTAATACTACTTATCCAGGCTAGTACTGATCTGGAATACCTAGAGTCCTCATTTGCCGGCAAATGTAACGCTTTTCGCTCTACGCTTTTCCCACTCCTACTTCAAGTTCCAAAGCTAAGTTAGTTAAATTATATTCTTTCGAATAAATAGCTTTAGCTTAACTTAACTATACTGGAACTAGCTACTACTTATACGACTAAGCTGAAAGGCAAAATACCTGGACTAGATCTAATTATATAAGTAATTATCTAACACGCTTATAGTACTATACTAGAAGTCTTCTTTAGGCTCTTTTCGGCTCTAATTGACGTTAGATACTATTTATTTGCTAGAAATAAACTACTAGAGCTATTCTCAAAAAGCTAGGAAAGTCTAACTACGTTTTATTTAAAGTATATAAAATAATATTATTCTTTAATTATTTAGACAAAGTCAACGAACGGATTCTAGTTCAACGATTAAGCTATTTAGCTACAATAACCCAACTACTCCACCTAAGCTAAATAGGGAGTAGGTTCAAAAAATCGGCTCTTGACGCAGCTTTGCTCTTCAATAATGAAGTCGAAATAAGCCTAAAACGCAAGCAAAAGATGTCGGCTTTACTTTTAGATATCAAAAGAGCTTTCGATCACGTGGCTAAGAACTAGCTATTGTCAATATTCAAAGACCTACGCCTACTTACTAGTTTAGCTAACTGGGTACAGTCGTTTCTAAATAATCGTCAGTTACATTTAGCTTTTGATAGCTATATCGAGCAATTTGCCAGCTTCAATACTAGAATCCCCCAAAGCTCTGCGATATCTTCTATCCTGTTCCTTATTTATATAAGAGTTCTTTTCACTAGTGTAGTTACAGTTCACCTACTTTCCTATATCGACGATATAGCTCTAATAATTACTATACCTAACTATACGAGTAATATCAAGATACTAGAGAGAGAAACAGCTAAGCTATTTAAGTAAGGAGCTAAAAGTGTAATTCAATTTGATCTTGCAAAGACTGAACTAATCTACTTTGGGCTTAGTAAAGCTAAGTTACGCCTGCTGGATCAAACTCAAATTGAGCCGAAACAGCTAGTTAGGTAGCTCGGTATTTGGTTTGATCGAAAACTCATCTACAAAGAATACCTCAAAATTCGAATAGCTTAAGCTAAATCGACATTCTTACGCTTAGCTTAGTCTGCTTAGCTAATACTGAGCGCAGCCTATCTCCAGCAGCTATACACCAGCTATATATAGCCTGTGTAACGAGTATTGCCGATTACAGATCGATTATCTAGTAGCGTAGCTAAGCTAGCTTCAAAAAGCGACTCCAGGAGCTCTAAAACCTAGTTTTACAGAAGATATTAGAGGAATTCAAAATAGCCTCTATTATACTAATAGAAGTGGAAGCCAGCTTACTCCCCCCTGGAATCCGGCTTAATAGCTCAATCCGGCAATATACTCTCCGACTTACGAAGCTTTCTAATAACTACCCGGTTAATCTAGAAGCTAGCAAAAACACTGAACAAACTAATGCCGATCTAGCTAACGCCTCAATAGCTAGGCAATACCTAGTTATACCGGATTCGGACTCGGATTCAGACTCAGAACTCAACGATACCGAACCCACTTTAGCTATACAGCTTGACCGCATTATCGGCTCAATTAACTGTATAGTTAGCTATAGCTACGAACGAATCCAGCACTTCCAATTCCCCCCCTGGGCCCGAAAAACACCTTATTCGGTCGAAATCAGTCAATTGCCCAAAGAGGAAGAAGCTTTAGCTCACAATACCCGAATATCGATCCCGAATACCCGAATTACCCATGTTTACTCCGACGCTTCCTATATACCCAACAGTATAGATATCGGAGTCGGTATAACTATACCTACTCAGTATAGTAGTATAGTTAATATCGGAGCCGAACAGCTAGTCTATAACGGAGAACTTGAAGGGGTTACACAAGCCATTGAGTACGTTAGTTCTATAGCTATACCCCGGCAGAAATACCGGAACTACTCCGACAATCAAGCCGGCCTACACCGCCTAAAAACACCTAGCGATAACCCCGGCCAAGCTTGCCAAATCAGAGCTATTCAGGCTACCGAAGCGGCAATCCAAAAAGGGGCTAGTATCGAGCTAGCCTGAGTTCCAGGGCACACTGATATCGAAGGAAACGAGCTTGCCGATCACTTAGCCAAGCGAGCTACATTTGAGGAACTTAGCTCTAATAGTACTAGTTTCGCTTACCTAGGAATGAAAATCAAGGGAATTCGCAGAGCAGAGTGGTTAAGTTATGTAAATAACTATACGACAAACAAGCCCAATTCCAACCCACTTAGCTATACTTGCAAGTTTATCTGGAAAATAAAGGCCAGGCCTTCAATTCCACCTAATACGAAAAGGGAAATAGCTAGTGCCTTTTATCAGTTCAAGCTAGGCCACGGATACCTCAAATCGTACCTATTTAGGCTAGATCGCTCTAATAGCGATCTGTGCCAGTGCAGTAAGAAAGAGACCCCTGAACACCTACTCCTTAGCTGTTCAGACTACAAAGGGGCTAGATCGGCACTCAAATCGGAACTTAGGGGGGTTAGGCTCACCCTACCCCTGCTATTATACACCAAGGTCGGAATAGCGGCGACGATTAACTTCCTAAAAGAGACTCTAGTGGATCGTAACGAGGAGGTGGCACTTGGAGAGAGCGGAGGAGGTGGATTAGGAGCTTAACTATACGGAGCTATAGTTGAGCTATTCGGTCATTTTACTGTTTTTCATTTGTACAACGTTGTTTTTACTAGGGCTAGGCGCTCACTGTCCCCAGATCACATTGACTCTCACTATTGTATGTACTATTAGCTTGTTAGGGCTCTAGAGCCCTAACCGTCCTACTATAGTCTTCGACTTACAAAGGACGTTAAAAGGAATAAACAAACAAACAAACAAACAATATTAGAATCTCCCAAAGTTCCCTAATATCACTTATCTTCACTAGTATAGTTATAGTTCGTTTATTCTCCTATATCGACGATATAGTTCTAATAGTTATTATACTTAATTATACGAGTAATATCAAGATACTAAAGAGAGAAGTAGTTAAGTTGTTTGATCAAGGAGCTAAAAGTGCAATTCAATTTGATTTTGCAAAGATTGAACTAATCTATTTCGGGCTTAGTAAAGCTAAGTTATATTTGTTAGATTAAACCCGAATTGAGCCGAAATAACTAGTTAGGTAGCTTAGTATTTAGTTTAATCGAAAACTTATTTATAAAGAATATTTCAAAATTCGAATAGTTTAACCTAAATCGGCATTCTTACACTTAGTTTACTTAGTTAATACTGAGCACAGTTTATCACCAGCAGCTATACGCTAGCTATATATAACTTGTATAACGAGTATTACTGACTATAGATCGATTATTTAGTAATATAACTAGGCTAGTTTCAAAAAACGACTCTAGGAACTCTAAAACCTAGTTTTATATAAGATATTAGGAGTATTTAAAATAATTTCTATGATATTAATAGAAGTAGAAGTCAACTTATTTCCTAGAATCTAGTTTAATAATTTAATCTAGTAATATATTCTCCGATTTACGAAACTTTCTAAAAACTATTTAGTTAATTTAGAAACTAGTAAGAATATCGAATATACTAGTGCCGATTTAGCTAACAGATCTATAGCTAAGTAATATTTAGTTATACTAGATTCAGATTCAGATTTAGACTCAGAAGTTAATAATACTGAACTAACTTTAGCTATATAGCTAGACCGGATTTCTAGTTTAATTGGCTGTATAGTTAGTTATAGTTACGAACGGATCTAGTACTTCCAATTCCCCCCCTAGGCCCGAAAAACTCCTTATTCAGTCGAAATCACTTAATTATTTAAAAAAGACGAAGCAATAGTCTATAATACTTAAATATCGATCCTAAATACCCGAATCATTTATATATACTCCGACGTCTCCTATATACCCGACAGTATAAATGTCGGAGTCGGTATAACTATATCTACTCAGTATAGTAGTATAGTTAATATCGGGGCCGAATAGTTAGTTTATAACAGAGAACTTGAAAGAATTATATAAACTATTGAGTATATTAGTTCAATAGCTATATTCTAGTAAAAATATCGGATCTATTCGGATAATCAAACTAGACTATACTACTTGAAAATACTTAGTAATAATCCCGGCCAAGTTTGCTAAATTATAACTATTTAGACTACTGAAGTAGCAATCTAAAAAAGGGCTAGTATCGAGCTAGCCTAAGTTCTAGGATATCCAAATATCGAAGGAAACGAACTTGTCAATTGTTTAACTAAACGAGCTATATTTGAGGAGTTTAGCTCTAATAGTACTAGTTTCGTTTACTTAGGAATAAAAATCAAAGGAATTCGTAGAGTAGTTAAATTATATAAATAACTATATAACAAATAAGCTTAATTCCAACTTATTTAGCTATATTTGCAAGTTTATCTAGAAATTAGGAACTAGGCTTTCAATTCTACTTAATACAAAAAAGGAAACAGCTAGTACGTTCTACTAGCTTAAACTAGGCTACGGATATCTCAAATTGTATTTATTTAGACTAGATTACTCTAATAGCGATTTATACTAATGTAGTAAGAGAGAAGTCTCTGAATACTTACTCTTTAGTTGTTCAGAATACAACAGGGCTAGATCGGCACTCAAATCGGAACTTAGAGGGGTTAGACTTATTCTACTTTTATTATTATATACTAAAGTCGGAATAGCAGCGACGATTAACTTCCTAAAAGAGACTAGGATCGTAACGAGGAAGTAGTACTTGGAGAGAGCGGAGGAGTAATTTAACTATATAGTACTATAGTCAGGTGTTTCGTTCATTTTTACTGTTTTTCATTTGTTTCGCGTTGTTTTTACTAAAGCTAGGCCCTCCCCAGATCACATTGACTCTCTCAATATTGTATGTACTATTTATTAGCTTGTTAGGGCTCTAGAGCTCTAACTGTCCTACTATAGTCTTCGACTTACAGAGGACGTTAAAAGGAATAATCAATCAATCAATCAATCAAGCTATTATCGACGATAGACTACTCGTATTCTAAGTCTACTTAAATAATCTATATTTCTAAAGCGCTAATACGTTTACGAGTTAGACGCTCTAGCTGAGCACGCTATTATTCTTACTTTCGTCGTAAGTCCGTAGTAAGTTGTTACAGATATTATTCTATCGTAGTAAGGGGAGGAGCGTTGTCTACCGAGGTATCGCGACCCTAATGTTTAGTGGTCCATATAACATTGGACAACTTAGAACTTTTATTATTATTAGAGATATCTCCTAGGTCTACGACAATGGGAGTCTCCTTAAAACGTGAATTAGCTTTATCTCTATTGTCTACGCCCATCCGCTACGCGATAAGGTCGTCGACGTTAGGAAATCTCGCGGTGCTGCGTGTTTCTAGACAGTGCCGAGAACCAGCCGCAGAGACACCGGAAGTTGCACGAGAGGCGTGCGGGTTCGAAGCTATATCGAAGTCTCATGTTACTGAACTACCCTCCTTACAGCTGGAGAGATCAGCTTGTGAGATGGGTGCAATAGTAGGCAGTAAAACGAGGTCACATAGACAGAAAATCAATCAGTGTGTTTTGTACAGAGCTGATCTCTACCACCGCCGAGGTGGCGAGAGATGCCCTATTATTCATTGATTTAGGAGTACGTCAAACGGACAGACTTAACTATCCCCATAGACTAGGACAACCAGTTATTCCGACTCCAAATCCATTGATCCGTCTTGCAAAACAAGGTTGAGGCTCTGCATTATCACTTCGGCTGCACCCGTATGACACTCAGAAAGACAGATAAAAAGACCATGCTTGCTTCCCGAAACACTCGCCCTCTACCTCCTATGCAGCCGTGTCTACTTCTGGGGGGGCCGCATCAATGAAGCATCGCCTGAGGCCCAGATAACATTCAACACCAACTTCTTAATCTTCCACACACCCGCTTCGTCCTTGATCAGGTCAACGGAATACTCCCCGCCCACAGTGTACTTGGTTCCGTTTGGATCCCTGCCCGTGCCGGAAGACGCATGCTGTGCTGTTGAAGTAGCAGTAAGAGAAGCAGTATCGGCTCCATCCTGGTAATTCACACGGACCATGCTGATATTGTGCGTGGTATCCATAGGACCAACTTTATTGAGAACATTTGTGCGAATCAGGGAGAGGCCCTGGAGGACTCTTTTGTTGTCATCATGAATTTCCATAGAAACGTCTTCTCCGGCCCATGCCGAGTTGAAGAGTGCGGAGTCATGATGATCACTGGCAATGGCGGCTCGGTACAGGGCGTCGGCGATAGCCTCACGCTGGCTGAGAGAGGGGAGGGTTTGCGGGAACGACTGCGACATTTTCGCGGCTTATGTTTGATAGAAGAATAGAAATTTATATTGTTGATTGTAGTCATGCTCAGTCTATCTATTTAAGTGACGGATCATATATGTTGAGTATGGGGATTTCATGTAAGCACGGCGTGTGCAAATCTTCCCGCGGAATTCTCGGGTTTTATCCGTGCCATGGAGAAAAACTCCGCCAAACTTGCCGCCAACTTCGAGGACTCCCGAAACCAACGTGGTCTTTACTTTCCGCGGCGTGCGCATCGTACGACAACGGTATGCTCCCAGAAGCCGCCACGATTTCGCGGTAAAGGCGAAGACGAATGTTTGCAGAGTCGAGTTAAGATGGACAGACCAAAGACGGGTCGCAGCGCCAGATGGGGCGCGGCCTGCGCTCCGTGTGCGGCAGCAAAGACACGCTGCATTCGCACCCAGTCTTCGGGGCCACAACAATGTGATCGATGCCGAAGTTTGGAGAAAGACTGCGTGGGTCAAACTTCTGGTCCAAGGAAGAAGAGACAGGCCAAGCCCTCGTAAGTCCATATTCATGCCCTGTTATACTCTTTGCGCATCAACACCTTGCGATAGCGTGGGGTGGGCATGAGCTCTGCCCCTAGGGGGTTCACTGCCCGTACCACTGCCCTTAGTACTACCCGATTATCTTCGTCAGGGTTCAACCGATATTCAATCGCTGAACTGCTTTAAACTCATCCACGTTGGACCCACTGTTGACTCTGCCTGACCAGTGTCAGTTTTGACACGAGAATGGCTCTGCCGGAAGAGGGACTCAATAATTTGATTTACTCATCGAAGACGCCGGGAGGGGAAAGCTCAACTGTACATGGCAGTTCATCCAATGGTAGTCTGGATTACCTCGCAAACAACCATTCGGCATCATCGGTTAGCACCAAACCCCAAGCTCAAGACACTCTAAGCCGGGATGAAACTGCTCTGAACACCCCAGCGCATGACTTCACCTCTAGCGCACCCACGGGTCTAACATGCACCTGCATGGCAACAGTAGACATGGAAGATCTTGTCCCCGTGGAGTCTGACGAGACTTTGTTGTCCATCTACAGGAATCAGTTGTCTAGTCCGTTGCCCTTTGTCATCATTCCAGCTGGCACAACGCCAAGACAACTGCAGGCAACTCGTCCATTTCTCATGAAGGTAATCAGAATGGTAGCTTCCGTCCGCCATCTTCGATTGGTGAGGGGACAAAGCCGCGCCGTTATGGAACATATCTCTAATGCCATACTCATGAGATCTGAGCGCTCGTTGGATCTCCTCCAAGGCATTCTGGTTTTCCTAGGATCCTACCACTACCATTGCATGGCTCATGCGCAGTTCAACAATCTGATCCGCCTAGCAGTCAGCTTGGTAGAAGATATAGATTTGAGTACATGCCCCAAGTCTCAACAGAGGAAGAGTCAGCTGCCTTTGGTACGTGCCGAGGAGCCCGTATCCAGAACGAACGAAGAGAAGAGGGCGCTACTTGGCGTCTGGTATATGAGCTCAAAGTGAGTCTCGCAACGCCTGAATGGAGCTTCATAAAGGACAAAACTAACTCGATAGCAGCGCTGGCCTTGTCGTGAAACAGTTAGCATTCACAAGATATACCAAATATATGGACCAATGCCTCAAAGATCTTGACGATGCTAGAGAATACAAGACAGACCAACTTGCCATACAGTTGGTCCACATCCAGCAACTCACCGAGAAAATCTTCCACTTCCACAGTAGTGATTCACCGGTGGACGAACAGCTAGGTTCGCCCGAACCTTCAACGATGGCGCGTCTAGAGGCATTCCGAGTTGAGCTAGACAGCCTCCGGAACGCACTACCCCCGAATCTTAAATCCGATTGTATGATTCCCCAAATGTTTGAAAATGTCGCCGCTGGTGCTTCGCTAACCCAGTCTGAGAGCCCAGACTTTCTATCTTGCTATCACAATAGTGCTTACCTCCGGATCTTTGAGCCTCTACTGGCAGGTTCACACCTACCAGATGCCGAATCTCAATCCTTCGCCTCGCTCTCGCTTTCAGGCGTGCCGATATCCGATGTCTTCTCACATTTCACTGCCGCACTCAAGGCCTGGCTCGAGAATTGGCTTGCCATCCCGGTCTGCTCCTACTTCTACATGCCTCAGCCCGCCTACGTCCAATTGGTCCATGGCGCCATGATGCTCTCTCGATGGGTAAGAGTAGCCGGGCCCAGCGCGGTCAAGCTTTCCAGTGCCGGCACGGCCGTGTCGCAGAAAGAATTCACGGTTCGCTGGCAACCAACGCCTGCTCTCAGCGGCGTGCCTTCATGTCCAGATCTGAGCTTGCCGAGGCCTCCAGCCTCACTATCCACCCAAGTCGTGTCCGCCCAGATACTCAACACGCTCAGGGCCAAGGTCACAGCGCAACCCAATCTTCAGGTTGATATCCTCGGCATCTTAGACACCATGGGAGCTCGTTTTGAGGCCGCAAAGATGGAGATGGCCGCGGCGCAGGGGGTGGATTGGGAGAATGATACATGGGACTTTGCTGCAGAACATTTGAAGATGAAGAAGGCTAGGGTCGAGAAATGGTGTGAGATGGTCGCCATGGCGGCAGGCGAGGGGAGGAGCCCGCTAACCGATGCCCATGACAGCGTTTACGAAGGGAGCAGAGAGGCCATAAATATGTTGGCAGGGCGGAGCGTCGACGGTTTCGGATGGGTAACATCAGGCTATGATTGGGACAACATGCAGTGGGAGAGTGCTATGTTTGATGAGATCTTGCAGGACATTCATACCGGAGCTATCTTCAAGCCCGTCGATTGGAACACAGACATGCTGGTCGATTTGTGACCAAGGGAGTTGAATCGACACTTATGCCTATCGATCAGCTTCAGTAGAGACAATATTCTGAAGTGCTCGAGATACGGGCATAACATTAAACAAATTGGGCCGGATAGGAGAGTTAGGAGTTGAAGTAGCTTTGGTTTGTGGGAGATCAGCCACGAGATGAGGCTCCACACGCGAGATTCGCGAGATTGCTGATGGCAGGAGCATTTCACTTTCAAAAACAGAGATGCGGGGATAGTCGACCAGAAGTAAGGCGATAGACATTATCATCCGAAAGTGTGGATCGTAAGCCTCCCAAAGTCAGGAATTTGCTATCTTTTGGTTATTTTCGATCTGAGCGACAGCACTTCTCCGCTTAAAGTCAGCGATGGGAACTCATTGTCGAGCTTCAGCGGTTTATCGTCCACCGTGCAACTGTCCGTCATGGTGGGAATCAGCAACGGGCCAACGACCCAGTTGTCCCCGCCTCAAATCGAGCCCATTAAGAGTCAAATGTCAGCAGGTGGCAAGCCATTTTCAGTGCGGACATCCTCGTAGTTATTGGCTTAAAGGAGTGGGGCACTAGTATGAGTGGGTACTTTGGTTTTTGGTCAGCACATTTCAAGATCGTCAAAAAACAACAAACACAACAACAATAATTCTTAGAATGGCACCCAAAATCCGATCCGCAGGCCCTATAACTCCTCAAAAACCGAAATCAAGTCATACTGTTTATACTACACGCCATAGAATTAGGTTTTTTGATGCATGGGATACACGCGCGCCTGGCCTAAGTTTACGTCAGTTTTGTCAGGACCGCGACCCCGATTTTGGAACAGCCTCTCGATGGCTCCGCCAACGTAATACCTTTGGCTCTCCTGCCTATCGTCGTACACGCAGGCTATCAAATAAGCTAGGTCGCCCTCCAATTGTCTCGAAAGAACAGTGCCAGATGCTTGTTTCGCCGTTGAGAAACCCAGTGCGTGACCAGGCATATAAGGCTCAAATTGAATTCCACAAATTGGGATGTAAGAAGCGCTCACTTCAAGCCAGGCTTAAGGCATGTACAAAAGGAGGTCAGCGCTATAAGCAGGCATATATTAAGAAGGAGATTTCACGTCAAAACAAGAGAAAGCGGGTTAATTATAGCGAGGAGCACTAATACAAAACAATCCACAACTTCTAGCAATATATCTTCTTCTCTGACGAAGCGCACTTAGATACTTCTTCCCAGGCCCAGGGCTATATTCTACGAGAGCAAGGAACACGTACGGATGCTGAGAATATACAGGAAAGGGGAGAGAGGACCGGGGTGAAGCTGCATGTCTTTGCTTGGGTTAATTGGTGGGGCAAATCTAAGCTTTACTTCTACCACGACGAGGAAGAGTATATTGAGCGTCCTCCTCGACCGCCAAAGCCTCGTACAAGGAAGTACGAGACTACTGACGAGTTTGAAGCACGGCTGAGAGAGTGGGAGGCTAGCCTGCCCCAGGAGCAGGTTGTTAAGCCAAAAGGGAACGCAATGACTCAAAAATACTACACTGAAACCCTCCTTCCAGTCCATGCCAAAGCACTGCACCAAGCTCGTCTTGTACGGCCAAATGGAGAGCTAAAACGGTGGCTTTTTCAAGAGGATGGGGATCCATCCCATGGGAAGAAGAAAAGAGGCATGGCACAGGTCTATTTAGACTCCAATTGGATCCCTACCCTTGTTCATCCACCGCAATCACCCGATCTAAATCCCACAGAAGAAGTAAGGAATATTCTAAAGCAACGAGTGCGGAGGAGGACGTGGAGAAATATTGAGGAGTATAAGGCAGTCTGTCAGGATGAATGGGACAAGATTACATTGGAAGAGGTCCGTGCACGCATTATAGAAATGCTAGATCGATGCAAAAGTCTAGTAAAAACAGGTGGCGCAGCCATTAAAAGTGATTTGTGGTGAGGTAGAATAGTAAATAATGAAAAATAAGGGGGATTTTTGCATATTCGCTTATTATTTGGTGTTGCATGAATTAGCGCATCCCCTGGTGGGTGTTTGCGATTGCCCATCTACGAAGGAGTCTCATTTCCTTGGGAACTTCTAGTTAATGCCCACACATCACAGAATCAAATGTTGACTGGAGGGGCTATAAGGTCGTAGCATTCATAATCCTCCATTAATTTAACCAAAAGCATCTCCATATACATAAAAAATCAAGACATTTCCCTATAAAATTCCTCCAGACGTCACGTCCAATCCCGGCCAGTGTCGGACATCTTCGACAGGAGGGGTGGTTACCTCCAACCGGCTAGTGATTGTGACGGCACGTGATTTGCGTCAGGTGACACTGAAAACGAAAGCCATTTTGGGCTGCCAAAACCAAAAATAGTTGCTTGCTACCCGTTGAAAGAGGTGTGGTAGCAAAAATAGCTGCTTGCTCGAGGGATGCAAAAGTATGACTGCAAAAATAGCTGCTTGTTAGAAGTGGTGTGGTACTAGAACTGGCTGCTTGTTAGAAGTGGTTTGGTATCAAACAAGCAGCTTATTCAAAGTATGTAAAGGTGTGGCAGCAGAATTGCTTGTTGGAAAGAGGTGCAAAAGTGCGATGGCAGAACAGGCTTCCGGTCTTAGCGGAGAAACGTTGAAACCTTATTTAGCATGGGCCCGGCGGCAAATATTTTTGGCGCGACTTTGCCGCCACTTCCAATCTTGGCAGGCTCCAAGCGCTAAGCGAACAAATGTGCCTCTAGAGTGGAACCGCAACCTATTGTCGTAACTTCAACCACAAGCTGAAATTGAAATTCGAAGGCAAGAAAGACCACTACGAGCAGTGCAAGCACAGGCTTCTACCGCTGAGGTTGCAGAATCTCAGCTTACTGTCTTTCATATAGAAGATGCCAAGACGACGCTGACAGATACTGCTGGTCTGGATCCCAGAACTTGTATTATAAGAGTTGTACAGGATGAGTATCCAGAGAGAAAGTCTTTGAGCAATCCCAGACCTCGACATCTAACGTTATCCAATGTATGTACAGCGCAGGCTAAATAATTTTCTATCTAGTAGATCCTCTGCTTCTCCAATGAGCATTAAGTCCTCAAACCTAAAGAGCCAATCTATCCCCCAGCACCCGTTATGTCTCCAGTCTGCAAGTCCTCAGTTCTCACCATAGGATTATCTCGTCCCTTCCGGCCTTCACAGAGCAGAGATTTAGTGCCTCGTTTTAAGAAACTAGCCGGTGTATATCTCTCTGGCCTAGGATAACTCTGATCCTAAACCTTTTTTTAGATTATAGGCCTTGGATCAAAAGAACGCTACTCACGACTTCTGTCAAGCTGAGTGGCCAGGAAGGTCCATCTCTAGATGATCCTTTAGATGTGTAATTAACGAGTTTTCCGTTCCTCCGTCCCAAAACGTAAATGTCATAGCCAAACTCGCTCCTTAGCTCGTCTGCCTTTTCCATAAAGGTGATTGATTCTCCTCCGAAAATTATCTGTCACGCGTTTTGTGGAGTATGAAGTCTGCGAGGCAGTAGATTGCAAACCATAGATTGATTGATTGATTGATTATTCCTTTTAACGTCCTTTGTAAGTCGAAGACTATAGTAGGACGGTTAGGGCTCTAGAGCCCTAACAAGCTATTGTAAATACAAGATTGAGAGTCAATATAGTCTGGGGACAGTGAGGGCCTAGCCCTAGTAAAGATAGTACTAAACAAATGAAAAGAAATAGTAAAATGACCGAATAGCTTAACTATAGCTCCGTATAGTTAAGTTAATCCTCCTCCGCTCTCTCTAAGTGCCACCGCCTCGTTACGATCCTAGTCTCTTTTAGGAAACTAATCGTTGCCTCTATTCCGACCTTGGTATGTAATAGCAGGGGTAAGGTGAGCCTAACCCCCCTAAGTTCCGATTTGAGTGCCGATCTAGCCCCTTTAAGCTCTGAACAGCTAAGGAGTAGGTGTTCAGGGGTCTCTCTCTTACCGCACCGGCATAGATCGCTATTGGAGCGATCTAGCCTAAATAGGTACGATTTGAGGTATCCGTGGCCTAGTTTGAGCTGATAAAAGGCACTAGCTGTTTCCCTTTTCGTATTAGGTGGAATTAAGGGCCTGGCCCCTATTTTCCAGATAAACTTGCGGGTATAGCTATTTGGATTCGAATTGGGCTTATTCGTCGTATAGTTAGTTAAATAACTTAACCACTCAGCTCTCCGAATCGCCTTGATTTTCATCCCTAGGTAGGCGAAGCTAGTACTATTAGAGCTAGGCTCTTCAAGTGTAGCTCGCTTAGCTAAGCGATCGGCAAGCTCGTTTCCTTCGATATCGGTATGCCCTGGAACCCAGGCTAGCTCGATACTAGCCCCTTTTTGAATTGCCGCTTCGGTAGCCTGAATAGCCCTAATTTGGCAATCTTGGCCGGGGTTATCGCTAGGTGTTTTCAGGCGGTGTAGTCCAGCTTGGTTATCGGAGTAGATCCGGTATTTTTGCCGGGGTATAGCTATTGAGCTAATGTACTCAATAGCCTGTGTAACCCCTTCAAGTTCTCCGTTGTAAACAAGCTGTTCGGCCCCGATATTAACTATACTACTATACCGAGTAGGTATAGCTATACCTACTCCGACACCTATACTGTCGGGTATATAGGAGGCGTCGGAGTAAACGTGGGTAATTCGGGTATTTGGGATCGATATTAAGGTATTATAGGCCAAGGCTTCTTCCTCTTTAGGTAATTGACTGATTTCGACCGAATAAGGTGTTTTTCGGGCCCAGGGGGGGAATTGAAAGTGCTGGATCCGTTCGTAACTATAGCTAACTATACGGCTAATTGAGCTAGTAATCCGGTCAAGCTGTATAGCTAAAGTCGGTTCAGTATAGTTAAGTTCCGAATCTGAAGCTGAATCCGAATCCGAATCGGGCCTAGCTAGGTATTGCCTAGCTATTATAGGGTTAGCTAAATTAGCACTAGCTCTTTCGGTATTTTTACTAGCTTCTATATTAACCGGGTGGTTTTTAGAGAGCCTAGTAAGCCGGAGAGCGTATTGCCGGATTGAGCTATTAAGCCGGATTTCAGGGGGGGGTAAGCTGGCCTCCACTTCCATCGGTATAATAGGGGCTGTTTTGAATACCCCTAATATCTTGCGCAAAGCTAGGTTTTGGAGCTCCTGGAGTCGCTTTTTGAAGCTAGCTTGGCCTCGCCACCAAATAATCGATCCGTAATCGGCTATACTCGTTACACAGGCTATATATAGCTGGCGTATAGCTGCCGGGGATAGGCCACGTTCGGTATTAGCTAGTCAGGCTAGGCGTAAGAAAGCCGATTTAGCTTGAGCTATTCGAATTTTGACGTGCTCTTTATACGAGAGCTTTCGATCGAACCAAATACCACGCCACCTAACTAGCTGTTTGGGCTCAATTCGAGTTTGATCCGGTAAGCGTAGCTTGGCTTTACTCGGCCCAAAGTGGATTAGTTCGGTCTTGGCTAGATCGAATTGAATCGCACTTTTAGCCCCTTGATCGAATAGCCTAGCTGCCTCTCTCTCTAGTATCTTAATATTACTCGTATAGTTAGGTGTAGTAACTATTAGAGCTATATCGTCGATATAGGAGAGTGGACGGGCTGTAACTATACCGGTAAAGAGGCCCCTTATATAAATAAGGAACAGGATAGGTGATATCGGGGAGCCTTGAGGGATACCGGTATTAAGAGCGGCAAATTGCTCGATTTGGCCGTCAAAAGCTAGGCGTAATAGGCGATTACTAAGGAACGACTGTACCCAGCTAGCTAGGCTAGTAGGCAAGCGTAGGTCCTTGAGTATCGACAATAGCTGGTTCTTGGCCACGTGATCGAAGGCTCCTTTGACGTCTAGGAGTAAGGCGGACGTCTTTTGCTTCTGTTTTAGGCCTATTTCGACCTCGTTATTGAAGAGCAAAGCTGCGTCAATAGCCGATTTTTTAAGCCTACCTCCAACTTGGCTCGGGTGGAGTAGGGTGGTCGTTTCAGCTAGGTAGCCTAATCGTTGAGCTAGAATCCGTTCGCTGACCTTGCCTAGGCAATTGAGGAGTGATATTACTCTATACGCCTTAGGTAAAGTGTAGTTAGGCTTTCCTAGCTTTTTGAGAATCGCTCCAGTAGCTTGTTTCCAGCAAGTAAGGTGGTATCCAACGTCAATTAAGGCCGAAAAGAGCCTAAAGAAGACTTCCGGAATAGCGTTATAAGCGTGTTGGATAATTACTTGCGTAATTAGGTCCGGTCCAGGTGTTTTGCCCTTAAGCTTAGTCGTACAGGCGGTAGCTAGCTCCGGTATAGTTAAGTTGGGCTAAAGCCACTTATTCGAAGGGGTATAGCTATTCCAAGTTGGCTTTGGGGCTTCGGGGGGCGGTGGGAAGAGCGTAGAGCGAAAAGCAGAGCATTTGCCGGCAAATGAGGACTCTAGATGTTCCGGATTGGTACTAGCCTGGATAGGCGGTATTAGTTCGATCTGTCGGTCCCTGGTATAGGCCATAGCCTTGAAAATCGTCTTTGGATCCTCCTTTTCAAGAAAGTCGTTCCAGTGGCTCCGTTTAGCTTGTTTTATAGCTAAAAAGTAGGCGTTTTTAGCTATAAGGTAGTCGCGTTTAGCGGTATAGTTATAGCTATACCGGATAAACGTTCGTTGATTCCGGATCATTTTCTGGCGTAGTTCCTTAAGGCTATCGTTCCACCAGGGCTTAGCCCTAGCCCCTACCTTCCTTTTTGGGATACTTAGGTCCGCCGCCTCCGTAACCGCCTTAGTTAGCTCTTTGGAAGCTTCGTCAAGTAGTATAGTTATACTACTCTCTTCTTCCTCAAGTATAGCTAAAGAGTTCGTATAGTTAAGTATAGTTATCAATTCAGGTGAATTGAGAGCTGTACAGTTAACTATACCGGACTTCAGCTTCTCTGAGAATATACCCCAATCGGCTAGGTCGGTATTATAAGCGGTGGCCAAACTTAGATTATCGACTAGCGGTCTAGTATTGCCGGCAATAGTAAAGTTAATACCGTAGTGATCCGATCCGAGATCTGGGAGTACGATCCAGTCCTGGATTTTGCTGGCTAGGCTTGGGCTGACTAAAGTAAGGTCTAGGACACTTTCTCTAGTCATATGAGGCCTGAAAAAGGTGCCTATACCGGGGGTATTCAGTAGCTCTAGGCTATTAGATTCGATCCAATCGACTAGCTCTTCGGCTCCAGGAGAAGTGGTAGGTGCTACCGGATCCCACCAGGGGTGGTGGATATTAAGGTCTCCGGCTAGTACAGTATTAGGGCCTAGGGCCCTAGGGTAAAGTACCCGATTAACTGTACGTAGGCCCGAATCGCCTAAATCCTGCTCATTGTAGATATTCAGGAGTTGAATAGTCGCGTTTGCCTCCGAAATATCTAAAACAAGTAAATCCGGGTCGTTTGGTGAGGTATTAGCTATACAGCTAGAAGGCCTAAACCCCCTAGCTATATAAGCTAGCGTTCGTGGCCGTAAGTGAGTTTTCGGTAGAATTTGAGTATAGCCGGGGTGGAGTACTGAGCGGGTATTACCTGGAACTAGCCAAAGCTCTTGAACAAGTAATATATCCACTTTAGTCTCTACAGCTAGCTGTAGAGCACTCTCCGTAGCTTCGGCGCTACGGTTCAAATTCACCTGTAAGACTTTAATACTAGAACTAATCATATAGTTCGAGTATTAGAGCCTTTGGATTTGAGTGCCAGGAGTACCTCACAGGCCTTATCCGTGGCCACGTGAGCTTCCTTGCAATTAGCACACTTAGGAGCTAGGTGTAAGTACTTTTTGCTTGTAGCTTTACAGCTAGGGCAATAGTGCTGCCTAGTTGAGTGGCTTTCAGCACAGAAAGCACACGTAGGAGCCCGCCTACAGTAGCTTTCCAAGTGCCCAAAGCCTAGGCACTTAGTACACTGTGTAGTTGGGGCAGTAGTATAGAGCTTTTCAACTCGTACACTTATCCCCGCTATATAGAGCCTATTCCGAATAGCTCTATTAGCCTCCTGTTCCGTGGCAAAGGATAGGGCTATTGAGCCAGCTAGCTGATTTTGCCGGCGTTCTTTAGGCGTAAGCTAATAAAGTGTTCCAATTGGGTTTAGGCCGGTATTGAACGTTTTGATCTTATCAATAATTAGGGCTATGCCCTCAGGGGTATTGAAATCGGCTGTTGGGATCCTATGGATAGCTACTTTGAACTAAGGCTCATCTTTATATAATGCCTGATTAAGTACTATATACTCCCAAATAGTTCTTTTTTCGATCAAGAAATCGGCTATATAGTTAGGATGTAGTTGTAATAACTAGATTCCTTTTCAGAAATCTAGTTACTGAAATAACTACAGGGCCTTTGATTCCTTTGTCGGTAAAAGCTTTATTTAGAGCATTTCGGGCGGCTAGGGGAGAGAACGAAGTAGTAGTTCCAGGAGTTTGTGTAACAATAAGCCTATTCGGGCTAGATCGTTCCGATTTAGGCGGTGTGGCCTGTTTAGGCTTTCTGCCAACAAGTGTCCACTCCTGGGGGCGATCGGAGGCTTTGGAGCCTTGATTTGCAATACTTGCAAAGGACGGTATAGTTAAGTTATTACTTAACGTCGAATTCGGTAGATTGGGAGTAGTTGGTCGTATAGTTAAGTTATTACTTAACCGATCGGCTCCAGGGGTGGGGCGGGTAGGGCCGGTGGGGCCGTCACGTGCTTGGGCACGTGATTAGCCTCGAGCTGCCGGGTAGCCGATTCCAGATTTGAGATCTGGGACGAGATAATCGAGGATGCTTTTTGGAGGTGGCCGTGTTCAGTGAATTCTCTAAAGACCTCGAGTAGGTCTAAGAGCTTAGACTGTTCAGTACGGGCTTTCGTAAGGCCGTACGTAGGCTTCGACGATTAGGTCTCTAGCCTCGAGTATCGCTGTACCGGCGGTACGGGTAGTAGTACTAGAGGCTCGGGGGGTGCCGGAGGCTCGGGTATATTCGAATTCGAAATCGAAGTCGGAGCCGGAGCCTAAGTTGGCCGGGCGGTCTGTGCGGCCTAGCGTAGGTACCCTTTTGCGTGCACTGCTTTCAGGGGGTGGTGAGGCTCTAGGCCGCTTCCGAATCGGGCTAGGGGCGAAAAAGTTTTCAATCTCAGAGGCGGAGGCCAAAGGGTCGCTGGAAAAGAAGTCGAATTGAGCTTGCGCAACGTCCTTTAGAGTCGATATAACTTGAATTGAGGGTAGGTTAGGGCTAGGGCTAGGCGCCTGCTCTATTTCATCCGAATCGACGAAGTTCCGGGGCGGTAGGAGGGGCGGGAGCTCCTGAGGGGGCTCCTGGAGGAGCTCCTGGGCAGGAGTCGACGGATCCGAACTCAATTCCATCCTACTCAACGCCTATATACGGATATATAAGACGATAAATAGGACGAATAGAGAGTTCTCCGAAGATATAAGTGTTTTTGGGGCCGAAAGGAGGTTGAATTTCGTCGAAAAAAGGTGTGTATAAAGTAGTTGTGTTTAGTAGTATAGTTATAGTTATACTAGATAAACGTTCGTTAATTCCGAATTATTTTCTGGCGTAGTTCTTTCAGATTGTCGTTCTACTAAAGCTTAGTTCTAGCTTCTACTTTCCTTTTTGGGATACTTAGGTCCGCTGTATCTATAACTGCTTTAGTAAGCTCTTCAGAAGCTTTATCGAGTAGCTTAGTAATAGCTATACTCCTTTCTTCTTGGAGAATAACTAAGGAATTTATATTGTTAAGTTATATAGTTGTCAATTCAAGTGAATTTAGAGTTATATAGTTAATTATACCGGATTTCAGTTTCTCTGAGAATATGCCCCAATCGGCTAAGTCGGTGTTATAGACAGTAGCCAGGTTTAGATTATCGACTAGTAGTCGGGTATTGCTGGCAATAGTGAAGCTAATGCTGTAGTAATCCGATCCGAGATCCGGGAGTACAATCTAGTCCTGGATTTTGCTAGCTAGGCTTAGGCTGACTAGAGTAAAGTCTAGAACACTTTCTCTAGTTATATAGGGCCTGAAAAAAAGTGTTTGTGCTAAGGGTGTTCAATAGCTCTAAGCTATTAGATTCGATCTAATTGACTAGCTTTTCAGTTTTAGGAGAAGTGGCTTTTACTTCCGAAATATCTAAAATAAGTAGATCTAGGTCGTTTAGTGAAGAATTAGTTATATAATAAGAGGGCCTAAACCCTCTAGTTATATAAGCTAGTGTACGTGGCTGTAAGTGAGTTTCCGGCAGAATTTGAGTGAATCTAGAGTAGAGAACTGAACGGGTATTGCCTGGAACTAGCCAAGGCTCCTGAATAAGTAATAAGTCCACTTTCGTTTCTACAGCTACCTGTAGGGCACTCTCCGTAGCTTCGGCGCTACGGTTCAGATTCACTTGTAGGACTTTAATACTAGAACTAATTATATAGTTCTAGTATTTGGACCTTTGGTAGAACCTTTGGATTTGAGTGCCAGGAGCACTTCACAGGCTTTATCTGTGGCCATGTGGGCTGCCTTGCAATTAGCACACTTTGGAGCTAGGTGTAAGCACTTTTTGCTTGTAGCTTTGCAGCTAGGGCAATAGTGCTGCCTAGTTGAGTGGCTTTCAGCACAAAAAGCACACGTAAGAGCCTTTCTACAGTAGCTTTCCAAGTGCCCAAAGCTAAGGCACTTAGTACACTGTATAGTTGGAGTAGTAGTATAGAGCTTTTCAACTCGTACACTTATTCCAGCTATATGAAGCCTATTTCGAATAGCTCTATTAGCCTCCTGCTCTGTAGCAAAAGAGAGAGCTATTGAGCCAGCTAGCTGATTTTGCCGGCGTTCCTTAGGCGTAAGCCAATAAGGCGTTCCAATTAGGTTCAGGCCAGTATTGAACGTTTTGATCTTATCAATAATTAGGGCTATGCCCTCAGGGGTATTGAAATCGGCTGTTGGGATCCTATGGATAGCTACTTTGAACTANATATACTCCCAAATAGTTCTTTTTTCGATCAAGAAATCGGCTGTATAGTTAGATGTAGTTGTAATAACTAGATTCCTTTTCAGAAATCTAGTTACCGAAATAACTACAGGGCCTTTGATCTCTTTATCTGTAAAAGTTTTATTTAGGGCATTTCGGGCTACTAGGGGGGAGAACGAAGTAGCAGTTCCAGGGGTTTGTTTAATAATAAGCTTATTCGGGCTATATCGTTCCGTTTTAAGCAGTGAAGTTGGCTTTGGTTTTCTGCCAACCAAAGTCTATTCTTGGGGTGCTTTTGGGGCTCCGGAACTTTAGTTTGCAACACTTGCAAAGGACAGTATAGTTAAGTTATTATTTAACGTCGAATTGGAGGAATTGGGAGTGTTTGAGCGAATAGTTAAGTTTTTGCTTAACCGATCAGATTCAGGGGCAGGGCCGCTGGGGCCGGCGGCACGTGGGGCAGCACGTGAGAGGTCACGTGACTTGGCTTCGAGCTGCCGGGTAGCCGATTCCAGATTTGAGATCTGGGAGGAGATAATAGAAGAGGCTTTTTAGAGGTAGCTGTGTTCAGTGAATTCTCTAAAGACCTCGAGTAAGTCTAAGAGCTTTGACTGTTTGGTACAAGCTTTGGTAAAGTTGTAAACTTCGATAATAAAGTCTCCTTCCTCAAGTATCGCTATACTGATAGGATAGGCAGTAGTGTCAGGGGCTCAGGTATATTCGAATACGAAATCGAGGTCGGAGCCGGGGTTTGAATTAGCCCGGCAGTAGTCAGTATCGGGGCTTAAAGTAGCTAAGTAGTCGGGACAGCCTAACGCAGGAACCTGGCGTGCAGCACTTTCGGGGGGAGTAGATACTCTAAGTCGCTTCTGAATTGGGCTAGGAACGAAAAAACTTTCAATCTCAGGGGCAGAAGCTAAAGAGTCGCTGGAAAGGAAGTCGAATTAAAGTTGTATAACGTCTTTTGGAGGTGCTGGAATTGATATTTGAATAGAAAGTAGGTTGGGGCTAGCGGCTTGCTGCTTATTCAATTTCATCTGAATCGACGAAATACCGGGGCAGTAGAGGAGGCGGGAGCTCTTGAGGGGGCTCCTGGAGGAGCTCCTGGGGAGTCAACGGATCCGAACTCGATTCTATCTTACTCAACGTCTATATTCGAATATATAAAACAATAAATAAGACGAATAAAGCGTTCTTCGAAGATATAAGAGGCTTTTGGGCCGAAAGCAAGGGGTTGTCGTTACGCAGGCTATATATAGCTGGCGTATAGCTGCTGGAGCCTTGGTTTGTAACACTTGCAAAGGACAGTTTAGTTAAGTTGTTATTTAACGCCCAAAACTTAAAATTCGAATAATTCAAACTAAATTAGTATTCTTACATTTAGTTTATTTAGCTAATACTAAGCGTAGTTTATTACTAGCAACTATATACTAATTATATATAGTAAACTCTAAAATGTTTCTTCAATTATTTTCTCTTAGATCTTAAATCTAGAATTAGTTACTTAGTAGCTCAAAGTGAAGTTATATAACCTTTTATATACTACTAACTTTACTTATATCTCCGGTACTACTTACTCTACCTTTGAATCCGATTAGTTAAGTAAAAACTTATTGTTTGTTTGTTTGTTTATTCTTTTTAACGTTCTTTGTAAGTCGAAGACTGTAGTAGGACAGTTAAAGCTAGAGCTCCAACAAGCTATTGTAAATATAAAATTAAGAGTCAATATAGTCCACTGGCCCTACCCGCCCTGCCCCTGAATCCGATCAGTTAAGCAAAAACTTAACTATATACTTAAACGCTATTAATTACTCTAATTCGACAGCTCAACTTTTTTCGACGAAAATCAACCCCTTGCTTTCAGCCCAAAAACCTCTTATATCTTCGAAAAACATTCTATTCGTCTTGTTTATCGTCTTATATATTCATATATAAGCGTTAAGTAAGATAGAATCGAATTCGGATCCGTTGACTCCCCAGGAGCTCCTTCAGGAGCCCCTTCAGGAGCTCCCGCCCCCCCTACTGCCCCAGCACTCTGTCGATTCGGACGAAATTGAGCAGGTACCGAGCCCTAGCCTTAACCTGCTGTTAATTCGAATTTCAGCGTCTCCAAAGAACGTTATCTAACTTATCTAACCTCAATTCAACTTCTTTTCCAGCGACCTTTTGGCCTCTATTCCTGAGATCGGAATTTTTTCGTCCCTAGCTTAATTCAGAAGCGACCCAGAGTTGCTACACCCCTTGGAAATACTACACAGAGTCGGGTACCTGCGTTAGGCTGTCCCGACTGCCTAGACACTTTAAACAACTACTGCCGGGGTAATTCAAACCCTGACTCCGACTTCGATTTCGATTTCGAATTTACCCGAGCTCCTAGCTCTGACACTTCTACCTATATTACTAGTATAGCGATACTCGAAGCTAGAGACTTGATTATCGAAACTTACAGCTTTACTAAAGCTTATACCGAATAAGCAAAGTTCCTAGACTTACTCGAAGTCTTTAGAGAATTCACTGAATATAGCTACTTCTAAAAAGTATCCAAAATTATCTCTTCCTAGATATTAAATTAAAAAATAGGAAACAGTTAATAATAAATACTTTAAGTTTATTTAAATAACTTTAATATCAAGTAGTACTATAAGTATCCTACTCGTAACTACCTAGTAGTCAATATCATCCTCTAACCACGACAACGTACTATAATCAAGCTCTTCTCCTTCAAACTCAAAGTAATCATCCGGATTATAGATCAGGTTACCCTCCTCGTCGAACACGTCATCGTCAAACTCTAGATCAAGCTCATCCGTATTATACATCTCCTCTGCATCGTCATCCCAATCAGCCCAGTCCCCATCGGTGCGATCCGTGATCCCGAGGGAGAGCAGGTAGCAGTCGTCGACCTCGCCGTTCGTAATACTATACTCTATGTCGGGTGACTTGAGCATCTCGATACCTGCGTCGATGTCGGAAGTTATAAGGTAGATCTTTGCGGACTGCGAGTCCTTGTATGTGCAAACCACTGGGAAAAAGATGTCGTCATTAGTTACCGCGGCGAGGAGACTTGGTCCATCATCGCTATCATCGTCATCCTCGTAGTAGAATGGAGCGAGTGCGCTGCGTGGTTCTTAGCTTTGGAAGGCCGCTAGGTCAAACATCGAGGCAAAACTTACACGTAAACGGATTCTCCTGGGAGCGCACTGTCGTCCGCGGTGCGGAGACGGCTGACACCCACCTTGGACATGGTGTTGTTGTAATAGTGCAGGACTCCTCCAGTGGGTGTAGAGAGCACTACGTCCTCATAACCGGCCCAGAGAGCTGTGCAAGTGATGTACCATGGGAGCTCATTCAGCGTGGAGTTCTTTTGCACGTATACGTTACCGTCGCTGCAGGAAGCAAGAATATACTCGTTGTCGGTATCTTGGACGGAAAGAGTACTGAACCAGTAGCCTTCGAAGGACTCATCGTCAAGGTCGTAAGGAATGGCGAGGATGTTGGAACCGGTATAGCCGTAGTCATCTAGTTCATTGACGGCATACGCGGTGAGGTCGACTAGCCCGACGGAGGTGCTGTTCGTGGTGTTTGAGCTGGTCGTTGTTGATGTGTTCGAGATCTGGCGACGGTCGTACTTCGTATAGTCGTACGAGATTTCTGGAAGAGACCTTTCATGAAGGCCAAGCTTGGCGTTGCCAGTTCCGTCGGTTTTGTTGCTGCGAGTCTGTTAGTGGTATTTAAGAATAATTATATCCTAAAGGTAAGAACTTGCTGCCAAATATCAAATATAAGAGCAGGTTAGACTCACCCAATACAGTACGATGCAAGAATATAGTCCTTGGTTTCGTGAAGGGTCCAGTTCTTCTGGATAAGACCGAACCCTTTGAACACCGCCTTCACATCATTCCTCACGCTGATCGATGTTGATATACCGGTACAATTGTTGATGGCCTTCAAACCAATCGAAGCGGTTTTGTTGTCGCCGGCGCTTGCCTCGACACCAATGGCGGCGGCGGCTTTGACCGACGGCATGGTCTCGAAACCAACTGACCCTTTGCATCGTGTGCAGCCGTTGAAAGTAGTGAGAGCGAACTCAAGACCAACCGGGATACCAAATTGAGCGGAGAGTGTGAGCTCGCCTTCAGCTTCGAACTTTGGCTTGAATTGAGGCTTGAAGCTCTTCTCGAGCATCTTGCCTCCCTTGTTCCAGTCGTATGTAAATTTTGCACGGGTAAGGCTAACGTCGGCCCTTGCAAGCATACTTCCTGTAACGTTTGCTGTGAGTTGAAGCTCAGTTCCGATGGAGAGGATAGGTCCCACTGTCACGAAGCCAAGGGTAAAAGGCGAGAGCGGGATGTCATAGAGGTTGTTTCGGAAGGTCTTAGTCAAAATATCCTGAGCAAAGATGCCCAGCCCGAGTCCAATAGTCAGATCCACATCGGCGTTCACATAACCATTAGTAATACCTTTGATGTTCTCAATAGTAATATTGCCAGAGGTCTTGAGGTTTCCTGACAGACCGCACTTGACGCAGTAGATGTTGACAAACTTGCCACGAAGTTTAGTAGTCTGCTTCTTGCCGCCAACAGGGAGTAAATCGGTTGACTTGGGCGGGGTTCCGAAGGACTTGAGGAGAATAGCATCATCCCCCCAAGGGGACTTCACGGCCTTCAAGTCTGGATCGATCGGCTTGCAGTCACGTTTGGTTTCCTTACACTCCTTAGCCGGCCGAGGTAGGAGGAGTTTGTCGAAGTCTTTTTCGAAGATGTTTGGGGTGCCGGTGATAGCATTTTTGATTACAGTAGCGGCGACTTTGCCAACCTCAACGATCTTCACTGTGACCTTCACAATGCTTTCTCCAGCTTTGATAACATCCTTCTTCGCGTTCTTGACTGTGGTCGTTACCGACGACTGAATTTTGGCAACCCCATTCTTAGCACTATCGAAAGCCTTGCCCGCTGTAGACTTCAGCTTGTCAAATAATATTCCTCGTCTCCGAAGGGGCATGCCAGGTGTATCCCAATCTTCTTCCAGATCCACATCACCCAGGTCGTCAGCGAACGAGAAATCGCTAGCGTTGAAATAGCCAAGGCCATCATCTAGGTCCTGATCGAAGTAGGGCCCCAAGCAAGCAGTAGGAAGACCATATTTGGTATCTGCAGGTACTGCACATTTGCCTGTCGTAGTAGGTGCAGGGGGGGGTTCCGTAGCCGCGGGAGTTGGGGATGGCGGGTTATCGGTAGGACTGCTTTCACCTGGGCCTGATCCATATACGACCTCGTGATCTCCATAGGTACCCCAGGAAACGTTGATATCGTGGGCGGCGTCCCCGATAGGACGAGCCTGACCAATTGCCACCACGGTAAGGGTATTGATATCGAAGATGAGCTGCCCGGCCTGGTAGTAACAGCGCTGGTTCTTGTCATAGTCACCACAGCCAAGGGTGAAGGTGATGAAGATTATGTCCTGGCTAGCATCCCAGCTCGATGCGATATGGTCAAATGAGTTGAGGTCCTGGAAAATGATGATCAAATTGCCCATTGAAGATACTTCGACACTGGTGATCATAGCGGAATGATCTAGGACAACGGAAGGGACCTTCCATCTCGGGGTAACAACAGCATAGATGCCAGCAGAGGAGCCTGTTCTAAGATTAACTTTTGTCACTATACAATAATATCTTGGCGGATACCCACGACGGGCTACGAGTGTCACGTACCTGGGTTGCTCTCTTGTGCATAATGAATCACAGCTCCAGCGTTAGGAGGATGGGGGGTAAGATGGCCAATATGGCCCATGTCATGGTCCGTTGGAATGACGGGTGCGAGGGTTGCAATTGGACCAAGTTTGGACGTAGGGAACTCATATACTGTCGAGGACACAGTTGCTGTAACAATAACAACATCAACATCTCCAGTACCAGAAACAACAGGGGATGGTGTGACTGCGCTGGAGGCTGATGTCGAAACAGAGGACGAAAGTCCCGTGCTATTCCCGAATGTGGTCTGTTTGCTTGTAGATTGAGCTGAGGCGGAGAGGGCTGTAGACGGGGTCGTGGAAGAATAGGTTCCATTCCGTCGTCCAAGCTGAGGCAGTTGGGGATAGGCGTAGGCAACGGATGCCCCGAGGAGGGGAACTGCCCACCACTTCATCATGTACCAAGTGATAGCCGTCGGCAACGGGCAGAAGAGAAAAAAATAGAATAATAGGGGTATATTACTGATATAGCACCAAATGAGTGACACGAGCAGAATACTCGGAATAAGGTGATGGATAAAGAAAAAAGAGCCAGAGGGCCACCCACAGTTATATACAGCGCACGATTATCTGCCTCAGTATATACAATCATCGTCCCAAGTCTTGTTCGCGCCCATTTTTGGAGATCCAGACCATGAAGCTCGAGAGTCTAGACCTCTGCAATATTGGAGGCCCGCGCCTTTTGTCTCATCAACTTCCAGTTAGTAGTGTACGCGGGACCGCATCCCCAAAGCGTGGGACTCACGATCTTGTATTGGCGGAGTGGCTAAGCTGAACCGCTTGAATGGGACAGGTAGTATGGTGGCTTGGTGGCGTGGCTGACCCAGCTTAGCGACTCCAAATTGGAAACAATACAAACGTATTATTGGAAAAAAGGCCGCTAGAGCGCGAACGAAAATATAATTGAGCTTCGGGAGGGGTGCCTTTTTACTTTTTTATACTTTTACTCCCTCCGGCTGCTACCTATAATAAGTTGGGCCTCCCGTCTATAGCAATTTATTCTGTCAAATGCGATGGCGAGGAATCCACCAGGAGCCGCTGGGTAGTAGGCGGGGCCCTCCTGACCTCCCTATCGTAGTAATCTGTCCTGGACAGCATATACCGTGTGTACATTGCCCCCTGGAACCCCTGTAGAAGCTGCTACCACCTGTCCAAGCGCTATTAACTCTTGCATCCGTGGATCAACCCCTTGTTGGCCTTAGTTACAGGCAGAGTAGAGCAATTGTACATATAACTTGCCAAGCTTGATTCAGCTGGCGCTAATTTGTAAAATTGAGCCACACAGTCAAGCTTCCTGGTCCCGAAATAAGCCTTCGGCCTAGAAGCTCCCTTCACAGTGCACACGACGATCCGCTTCCACCCCCTATCTCGTTCCATGGGCACTACAATTATCTCGGCAATGGAATTTCCTGCCTACTCATATATAACATCCACCGCAACCAGGGGTAAAAAAACTCAGAGGACACCTAATTATGGCCGCTTGCTTGCCCAGCATCGGCTGGCGGAAGCATCTCAAACAATGTAACAGTCTGGCTGCAAATCCCCGTCTACTTCCTGCTGGCCACCGGTGAAATCCCAGGCTTCACGACTCTCTCAGAGTACAGCTACTCAGAGGCGCCAAAGGACATGCGTAGCTTGGTCCGGGTGTTGAGGCAGGTGCCTGCAGGCATAGGATCTGCCCTGGCACTAGCACTTTCGCGAGTCTGCAGCGATTTTAAGATCTTATGGGTATACGCGGGGTTAGTAGCGGTTATGATCTTCTGGGCACCGGTTTTCTAGTTTACATTTAGGAGATACGACAAAGACGATGGTAGCGAGTCGGACGACGGCCGTCACCTTCAACTAAACTCCAACAGTGATGGTGGAGGAGGCTCGGAAGCCGAGAAGACCGATGCGTCCTAGTTACATCTGATAGAAATATAAGTAGCTCTGAAGCTAATTCTCTCGTAGGCTATGTAAGCTTGATCTGTGATTTCTTATAGCGCCTTTGGTCTCGGATCCAGCACGGGCTTGCTACATTCAGTACTATAAGACTGAACATACGTCGCGGGATAACTATCAAAGGTTAGCATAACATGCCGCGAGATTCCCACTAAGATATAGAGAGTATATTACCTTATCTACAATCAGTATCGTTTTCTTGAAATTTTTATGTGGGAAAGAGGGAGATAGGCCCTACATCACGTGAGCGCTATTATAATACCCCAATCAACATCGTGCATTCACGCTCACTTCGTCTTTAAATAGCGGCTACAACCAAGTAGGAACACAACTCAACTCAAATCAACGATCACTTCGTCTGCCGAATGAGTCCCTGGCGACAGTCTCTATAATGGATGGTCCTCGAAAGATAGGCCAGCTACCTTTACATCTCCAGCTGCAGCACTTCCGCAAAGCGCTCTCCACCAACCCTACGCTCCTCACGATCCTCAGGCTCGTGCCGCAACTTAACCTAACGCACTGGTACCTCGCTGCCGGCTCCATCGCGCAGACAGTGTGGAACTACGTATCAGGTCTGGACCCTGAGACGGGCATCTCGGACTACGACCTCGTGTACTACGATGCGTCAGACCTATCATGGGAGGCGGAGGACAGGGTCATCCAGGCAAGCAAGAAGCTCTTCGCCGGTATAGCAGCAGAGGTTGAGGTACGCAATCAGGCGAGGGTTCATCTCTGGTACGGGGAAAAGTATAGGAAAGAGTGCATCCCCAATAAGACCCTGGAGGACGGGATCGACTCTTTCATTTCGAATACCGCTATCATCGGTGTGCGAATAAGGGAGGACGCGAAGGGGCAGCAGGAGGAGGACGAGTGGGATATTTACGCGCCGTGGGGGTTGTCAGATATGTTCAACCTAGTCGTAAGACCAAACCCTGTTCTTGGAAATAGGGAAACGTATGAGAAGAAGGCAGAGAGGTGGAAGGCAATTTGGACCAGGCTGACGATCAAGCCATGGCCGAGAGACTAGATCGCGGGACCCTAGCTCGGTAAGATAACAATATACAGGTATCTTACTATATCTAAAGTATATGCGACATAACTTTTTTCGACGAAAATCAACCCTTTACTTTCGGCCCAAAAACTTCTTATATCTTCGAAGAACGCTTTATTTGTCTTATTTATCGTCTTATATATTGGTATATAAACGTTAAGTAAAATATAATTGAGTTCGGATCCGTTGACTCCTTAGGAGCTCCTACGCCCTTTATTGCCCCGGAACTTCGTTGATTCGGACGAAATAGAGTAAGTGCCTAGCCTTAGTTCTAGCTTACTTTCGATTCAAATATTAATTCTAGTGTTTCTAAAATACATTATTAAACTTTAATTCGACTTTCTCTTTAGCGACTCTTTAGCTTCTACTTCTAAGATCGAAATCTTTTTCGCCTCTAGTTTAATTCGGAAGTGACCTAGAGTTTCTACACTTTCTGAAAATACTACACGGAGTCGGGTTCCTATATTAAGCTATCCTGACTGTTTAGCTACTCTAAGCCCGGGTACTGACTACTACTAGGCTAATTTAAACTCCGACTCCGATTTCGATTTCGAATCCGAATTTACCTAGGTCTCCGGATCTACTACTTCTACTTATACTGCCGATATAGTAATACTCGAAGCTAGAGACTTGATTATCAAAGTTTATAACTTTATTAAAACTTATCCTGAATAAACTAAACTTTTAGACTTCCTAGAAGTCTTTAAAGAATTTATAGAATATATATAGTTTATATAACGAGTATTACTAATTATAGATCGATTATTTAATAGTATAGTTAAGTTAACTTAACACAACAACTCTAAGAACTCTAAAACCTAACTTTACATAAAATATTAGAAATATTCAAAACAACTTCTATTATATTTATAGAAGTAGATGATTATTCCTTTTAACGTCCTTTGTAAGTCGAAGATTATAGTAGGATAGTTAGAGTTATAAAGTTCTAATAAACTAATAATAAGAATCAATATAATCTGGGGATAGTGAAAGCTTAACTTTAGTAAAAACAACGCTATATAAATGAAAAACAGTAAAATGACCAAATAACTCAACTATAGCTTTATATAGTTAAGTTAATCTTTCTTTTCCGCTCTCTCTAAGTACTACTTCCTTGTTATAATCTTAGTCTCTTTTAAGAAACTAACTGTCATTGCTATTCCGACTTTGGTATATAATAGGAGAAGTAGGTTGAGTTTAATTCCTCTAAGTTCCGATTTGAGTATTGATCTAGCTTCTTTATATTCTGAATAACTAAAGAGTAAGTATTCAGAAGTCTCTCTCTTACTATATTAGTATAAATCGCTACTAGAGTAGTCTAGCTTAAATAAATAGAATTTAAAATATCTGTAGCTTAGTTTGAGATAGTAGAACATACTAGCTGTTTCCTTTTTCGTATTAAGTGGAATTGAGAGTTTAGTTTCTATTTCTTAGATAAACTTAGGTTTATTTGTTATATAGTTATTTATATAACTTAACTACTCTACTCTGCGAATTACTTTGATTTTCATTTCTAAATAAGTAAAACTAGTACTATTAGAACTAAGTTCTTCAAATATAGTTCGTTTAACTAAACGATCAGTAAATTCGTTTCTTTTGATATCTATATATTATAGATTTAAGTTAGTTCTATACTAGCTCTTTTTTAGATTACTATTTTAGTTATCTGAATAGTTCTAATTTAGTAAACTTAGCCGGAATTATTACTACGTGTTTTTAAGTAGTATAGTCCAGCTTGATTATCCGAATAGATCCGATATTTCTACTGGGGTATAGTTATTGAACTAACGTACTCAATAGTTTATATAACCCCTTCAAGTTCTCTATTATAAATAAGATGTTCGGCTCTGATACTAACTCCGACATTTATACTGTCGGGTATATAGAAAGCGTCGGAGTAAACGTAAGTAATTCAGGTATTCGGGATCGATATTTGGATATTATAAGCTATTGCTTCGTCCTCTTTAGACAATTGACTGATTTCGACCGAATAAAGTGTTTTTCGGGCCCAGGGGGGAATTGGAAGTGCTAGATCTGTTCGTAACTATAACTAACTATACAGCTAATTGAGCTAGTAATCCGGTCTAGCTGTACCCGCAAGTTTATCTGGAAAATAGGGGCCAGGCTTTCAATTCCACCTAATACAAAAAGGGAAACAGCTAGTGCATTTTACCAGCTCAAGCTAGGCCACGGATACCTCAAATCGTACCTATTTAGGCTAGACCGCTCCAATAGCGATTTATGCCGGTACAGTAAGAGAGAGACCCCTGAACACCTACTCTTTAGTTGTTCAGAGTACAACGGGGCTAGATCGGCACTCAAATCGGAACTTAGGGGGGTTAGACTCGCTCTACCTTTATTATTACACACTAAGGTCGGAATAGCAGCGACGATTAACTTCCTAAAAGAGACTAGGATCGTAACGAGGAGGTGGCACTTGGAGAGAGCGGAGGAGGAGTAACTTAACTATACAGTACTATAGTCAGGTGTTTCGTTCATTTTTACTGTTTTTCATTTGTTTCGCGTTGTTTTTACTAAGGCTAGGCCCTCACTGTCCCCAGATCACATTGACTCTCTCAATATTGTATGTACTATTAGCTTGTTAGGGCTCTGGAGCCCTAACTGTCCTACTATAGTCTTCGACTTACAAAGGACGTTAAAAGGAATACACAAACAAACAAAAAATAACGGAGAACTTGAAGGGGTTACGCAGGCTATTTATTCTCTTAGTATATTATACTTATACTATACTTAGTTATACTTCTATCTCGCGGATAATATACCCTCTCGTATTATTAATTAATTAATTTTTAAGTTATAAATACGAGTCTAGATATATTATAAAGCCTGATTATAACTATACTCGCCCAACCCTTTCCTCTCGGAAGGTAAAACCTCGATGTATTTCAATCCCTTCATTATCCGATGGCTGGTTGATAGCTTCGGTGCTGCCCATCTTATCGAACGTTCTATCGGACCGCTTCATCGAAAGTGGGAAGTTTTGATGATCTGTACGGATGCTGGTGTTGATTTTTGGATTCTTACTCTCATTTGGTGAGAGCGGACCGAGTCTGTACGGAGCTGATGAGGTAGAACTTTTCCCATAGTACTGAGCCCTTGCATGAGCCTTGGAAAGGAGAGGTTTTAGTGCTGTGCGAAAAGGTCAGTTGGGCTTCCAGTGGTCGGAAACGTTTCGTGAGGGGTTGATAGATCGGCAGAGGCAAGGGGAATGGTACCTGGGACCGATGCGCACACAATGGCCACGTTTATTTCAACCATTGACCAGATATTGACGGGACCACCATCATAGAAAGGATCCTGTGACAGAGTAAACACTCGAATGCTGTACAACCGTACTATACTATATGGCTGTTAGTTACGGCGCCTTATACGGGGCGCGACTATAGTCGAAGCATACCTAGCAACACAAGCAAGAACACCCATTCCGAACACAACGAAGAGTATGATCTTCTCGCGTTGCGGCCGGTGGATCTTGGAGAGGACTCGGATGGGTAGACAGATAATCCAAATGTCTGTGATGATATTGAATGCTGATGTAGCTGCTCACGCAGATAGTTAGACAGGTCTACGACGAATGGCAAATACAGAGCTGCTGGACCTACAGTAGAAGAACGCGGTTGTATTGATGCATTTTCCAGGAACTGCACCGATGAAATCCCACTGCTTCTCCATCGGTACGCACTGCGCGAGGGTGCCCGTTAAACAGATACCCAAAAACACTGCGAGAAGCGCAATAGTCCCATGGCATAACCTTCGGACCACGGTCTGGGCCTCCACTAGAGAGATGTCAAACGTTGTCTTGGGGAGAACTCGAACTCAGGAGCATGGCTGTGCTGCGCGATATAGAGACTTACCTAAACGTAGGTAGAAAAGCACGATCGAGATTTTGATGAAGGCAACAGCGAAATAATAGGTGGCCTGGATAGCGAGAGTGACCTTGAATTCTGGATCGTCAGATCGTCTTCATAGCTTACGAGCGCTAACAGAGACTGGAACTCATCCACTAACCTTCATCATACGGACCATATCCTCCATGGAGTTTTCAGTGGCAGGTAAACCAATTCCCCATCGTGCCAATAGAAGTATCTGGCACATGTAGCCCACCGTAGCCGCCTGGGTTGATAAACGAATCAACATTTGTCGGGCAGCAGAGGGAATTGGGGCATCTCACCCAGCCTAGTACCATGGCCCAGTCATCCTTTCCCAAACTACGGACAATGAAAAGCCTTGTACAGACTCGAGCAATAATAATGATTGCTGGTCCGAGGAACAACTGGTTAGCTGGGGTAAAGATAGCTTGAGCTGGAAAGGGTGTACGGTTTGCATACTTCCAAGACTAACGCAAGCAACGGTGATACCAACGAGCTGATGCTGCCGCCCTTTGTCGACGGGCCCATCCATATCGAGGGTGATTGATTTCGTATACTTTCGTGCTATCAAGTCACTCTAAGCGTCCCAATCTACCCTGTGAGGAGGCCGGGGATGAGGGAGGACACAGAGAAGATACTTATATCGCGCTCCGAGAGGCGAGGGGCGGTATCCACGGAGCCCAATGAAGAAACTGGGATGATCCCCACAAACACATCGTCCTTGCTGAGGACTCTATCGAGCGAGGCCCAAGCACGCATGGGTATAAAGGGATTTCTTCTCGGGGTTCTTCCACTCTGCACCAGCCCGCGCCAAAGCGTTCTGCGATACCCGGCACCGATTCGTGGATTCTTCGCGTGTAGTACCTGTGTCCGAGGCCCTGAGCAGCCCGTCAGTATGGCACGATGGTGCGGGATGGCTGGTGTTAGAGCCCTAGAGGCTGATTCTCTGGAATGCGTCGATCGTGCCCCGTTATTATTTGGGGCAATACTCCGTACTGTATTCCCACGCCCCGCCCCCCCACATCTGTGCGCGATCCATTGCTGCTAGGAAGGAAGGCTCCTGGCAGTTTTGTAGCCACTCAAGTAATGTGTAGACTGGAGTGGTGGTGGTTTTGAAGTCTTTGCATTTTGCATTTTGCTAATATTCGGATGATGTCGTTTGATATACCGCCCATAGGTATCTTACCTTCTACCTACCCAGTAGGTACTTCGCTACAAGTACTGGAAGCGGACTCTGTTAGCTTCGACACGTATTGCGTACTTAGGTAGGTAGGTACTTTACGGAGTACTTTGTACATGTACATACTTGGATTCGAGCGCTACTTAGTAGCACTTGTTAAAGCTTAATTTAATATGCTCGGCTATACCAGGTCAGTTATCGGAGCCATCTATTCCTTGGAAGGCGGCCGCGTACAGGCTTCGATCAACTTCAACTTTTCACTGTGGACATATGTGACTCCCTGGCAACAGAACCACCGATACATACATGCACAGCACGGCAGCACAATTCGAGTTTTCCTGCTACAGGATCCGTAAATTCTTCGCTGGTACAGTGCAGTACGAAGCACCCTCTCTGTCCACACTCGGACTGGCTATAATCTGTAACCATTAGCTTCAGTCTCAGACTCCGTAGCCTGGTGGATGAGTACCTACGGAGGAGGAAGCCCAACTGAGGCAGCGTCATAAGCCGGCCGAGAGATCCGAATAGTGGATTCGTCATGCCCGTACTCGAGTAGGATGTACGAGGTAGAGTAGAGGATGGTATTCTAGCCTTCTTGGCGGCACCTTGCAATACTTCGTGTTTCTTATGGACCATGGATGATGGAGAGTCCGAGAGCGTCTGGGCTCGGTAGCGAAGCGCAGGGCCAGCTGAGGATTCCGAGCAAAAGGTTGGACGAGAGTTGGACGAGAGTTGGACAAGAGGACCTCATAGTTGGACGCGAGCTGAGTACAGTTCGAGCCCATGTCCATGTACCCAGGTAGCTTCTTCGGGATGGGTGCGAGCGTTGCTATCGCATTATTATTATTACCTCGCACGAACGTACTGTACTTACTGTACCGAGTCGCCTTGTGGGGTTGTGGTCACTGTGGTGGCGGTGGCGGTGGTACCGTTGGTGGGACGAGAGTTTGGTGGACGAACGACTCTTTATTCTCCTTGCGCACTGTTCTCGTACCACAGAATCAGAGATTGCCGACTCCGTAGTCGATACTCGTGCGTCGGTTACAGTAGTTAGCACCAAGTTCCGTCGTGTACCATACTTATACTTACTACCAAGTGCCCAACCACGAAGTACTTCGTAGTTCTGGCACCAGTCCATTATTATTTGGTGTTGTCGCCACCCCAAGCCACCCCGAGCCCTCCAAAATTGAAGCGATTCCCAACTGCCGATGTGGAGTATTCCAGGTCAGCCCCATCGCGCGAACCGTTGGCAGCTTTTGCCCTTTGCCCTTTGGCCTCTGATGTCCAGCTGCCCTCCGGACGCATTCCGCCGCGTATTACGACGAACAGCCCAGCATTCTGCAATTGCAATCTACAGCAGACTGCAGTGCTCTAGCTTGGCCTCCTCCTCGTTGTCTGTGCTCCGAACCGCGCCTGGGCGAGGCAATTGTTTCACCACGATGGCTGCCAATTCGTTCCTGTCCTCAATTATTCCCACTGCATGCAGCCTACAGCCGCCGACCACTCTCTCTCAAACCCGCGGGGGATCCCAACCTTCTGCGACCGTCAAACCGCGACTCGATTGGCGTCCGAATCCAAGTTCCACCACCGCACCGCCAAAACATATCGCGATCGGATCCCACCAGGTACTAGGCAACGAGCGCGCGGCACTTGGCTTTCGATATTCCGCATGTGTACACACTAGCGCCAGGGACTACTTCTGGTCCGCTTATTTGGGTACTCGAGTGGCTGATGGATGGAATTGGTTCTGGAAGACGACCCGGCAACGCCAATACTGTTGGATCTACTTTCGGCACATGCTAGGGTACCGGTAGGGTATGGCACATGTACTAACATACGGAGCCCCGTGTAGGCGGGTAAGTAATATTTTTAAAAGCCACCAGGACCTACTCATATTACCTACCTAGGTAAGGTAAGGGAGGTACGAGGAGGTACGAAGTATTGGATGATTACGCTGGCTCGAGGTTCGCCAGGGTGCGGGAACAAACTACCTAGGTACCTGGGCACTTAATACTGTCCCGAGTATAGGGTGTAGAGCACCTGGATATCACTATTCGATGCGTTTAACGGACTAATAATAGGTTCCGTCAAAGCCTGCCAGTGCAGAAATAAAGTGCGTCGCGGAAACCCGGGATGTCGTCGCTTTAAAATAAAACCCAAAATCAACTGTATTTCGTACTAAACATGTACCTCTTAGCTCCTTGAATCTATATCCATATCTATTAGCTCTGATATAATAAAATCTGCCAGGAATCGTGTTTACCTGTATCTATAGTGTTTAGTGTTTTATTGCTACTAAACGCGAAGGTACAGTGCCTACCTAGTAGATATAAAAAGAGAGCACCAAGAAATAAAGGTAGAATATAAACAAGGCAATATATCAATCAAGAACAGGAATAGAAAATGATAGATACAAAACACATAAAAACAATTAGAAGATTTAAAAACAACACCCTTAAAAGGTCGTTAAAGGTCGGCCATAGTAGGCGAGTGGTATTTGTTAGTCGTATTAAATTATTACTATACGTAGCTGTGGACTAGTGCCCCCAAGCATGTACGGTTGTGTAATACTTAATGCATGCTGTAGAAGCTCATTTTCCTCTTATTATAAACAAGTATAACCGGGATATAGTGTCCCATCCTCAATGTCCCAGCCGTAACACCAAAACTCCCAGCGCCAGGCAGGATGTATTTGTACATATTGCAGTCAGTCGTCCTTGTCCATATCCTGATCCGCATCACCGCCGAACAGATCCTCCATTGTTCCACCCTCTTCACCACCCTCAACGCCCTCATCCAAAGGCCCTACGCCGCCCATAACGACGTCCCCCGAATCCTCATCAGCCGTCACCCACTCCCCTTTAAGTCCCCAGGGTATACCAGTCATCACGAACCGCTCGCTAGGCAGTCGAACACCCCACTCGTTCTGCAAAACTCTCGGCAAGGCAACCTTATTCCGTGCCTGAGCTGTCTCCAGCAGAAATTCCTTGCTCAGGCCCCCGCCGCCACTCCCACCGCTAAACTGATATTGTAACCGACTCGAAATGGCTAGTTGTACGGCATTGGCACTGACTTGCCCGTCCGCGTCCCGGAAACCCCCTCCCGGCGGCGCGTCTCTTGCGCGAGTCTGTTGTGAAACATATGCGTCGGAAGACAGGTGAAGGGCATCGGAAAGAATGGAAGATGAATGTCGGTAGGCGAAGTCCAGGAGCTGCAATGGGACACGTTCTTGGTATGCAGTGACGCCGAGGGAAGAGAGGAGCATGTGGATAAGACGGGCATCGCGGGGCCTCTTGCCAAAGCCATTGTCCTGGACGGAAGTCATTGGGACGCTGGTACTCTGGATTGGTGGCATGGCAGGAGGAGCAGGTTGCGAGGAGGCAGTTGCGGTAGCAGCAGCAGCAGCGGAATGTGATTGCAGCGGGGAGGAAGAGTGCCCGTTCGTTTTGGGGGCAGTATTGTCGGCCATCGTGGTATAAGTGAGCCTCAAGGTTGGAGGTAGAGTTCTCAAGTCTTCATCGATCGCGATCGCGTCGAAGCTTGAGGTATGGGCGGGACCCCGAATGTCTCCCTCGCTGTAGATGTCCGTTCTCGCGACGGACTGTCGATCTTTGTAGACGGACCAACCATGTCTGGGTCGTGATTACTAAGGTATTACTTAAGGTGCCGTCTGCTCACGCCCCTCGCTAGTCCTAATCGGGGTGGCGACAATCCTGCCCCTCCATCCGCCTGTCAGCAGTCAGCAGTCGGCAACATCGTCAGAAAATCTGCGATCCCCGATTCCCCGAGAGTGAGTCAAGTGGAAGTCTTTCTCCATTTCCTCTCAGACATCCTCCTCTGCCTACACCATACACCATACACAATACACGCTCCGAGATGGATACCACGCTACCTCTTCCTTTCGTCCCCAGTGTCCGCCTTGGAACCGACCTTCAGCCTGCGGAATCCAAACTCCAAGATGGACCGGGACTTGCCCAGAAGCAGTTGTCGTACCTGGGATGCGTCTACCTCTCGGCAACCAGTGAGAATATTGACACTGTCCTCCAGTTCCTCGGGGGGCACATCTCGATTGAGGTATATGTCAATGCCACCGCAATTAACTCAATCGCCGATATTATTACATGTTTGGACGCCGGTGCCCGGAAGGTCTTTGTCAAGGTTACCCAGGCCGAGCAATTGAAGCCTTATGGGAACAGGCTGATTCCTGTACTTTCTGGACAAGATGATGCCCCAGCCTCACTCCCAAATGGTGTCCTGGTGGAAATTGATGAGAATTTATCGTCCTCTAAACCTGCCCTGGAAAAGTTAACTGCCCGCAAGATCTCGCCGGTATTTGCAACACCCGCCTCGACCTCCGGGCTCGACTCATTTGTCCAACTTGCAAAATCGCACTCTGCCATACCAATTATACCTGCTGAGAGCTTGACGGTGGAGCAGGGCTCGATAGGGAAGATCTCTATTCCTGGGCTTATTGGAGGATCGTGGGTTTCGGACCGGCCCGATAAACTCGTTCCGACAGTAGTCACAGATGAGAGGGGCATTGCTCTTGGGTTGGTATACAGCAACCAAGAGAGCGTCGCAGAATCCTTGAAGACCGGCACAGGTGTTTATCAGAGCCGGAAACGCGGGCTATGGTATAAGGGCGCTACATCTGGCGATATACAAGAGCTCGTGAGAATTTCCATGGACTGTGACCAGGATTGTCTGAAGTTTGTGGTCCGGCAAAAGGGACGAGGTGAGGAAAATGAATCTTTAGTATGATAACTTTCTGAGAATCTCTAGGTTTCTGCCATTTACCTCAATCCACTTGTTTCGGCGAACTTCGGGGGATATCAAGCCTCGAGAAGACCTTGGTATCAAGAAGAAGCGCTGCACCCGAAGGGTCATACACCGCACGCTTATTCTCCGACGAGAAGCTATTACGAGCCAAGATAATGGAGGAGGCAGAGGAGCTGTGCGATGCGCAGACAAAGGATGAAGTCGCATTTGAAGCCGCAGATCTGATATACTTTGCTTTGACGAAGGCTATAAGCGTGGGTGCTAGCCTTGCAGATATTGAACGGAGCCTTGATGCGAAGAGCGTCAAGGTTAAAAGAAGACAAGGGGATGCCAAGGGGAAATGGGCTGCGAAAGAGGGAATTACGAGTGTGGTAGCCAATGAAGCTACTAAGCAGGCAGTGAAAGAGGTTGCCAACAACGATGCAGCTACTACAGGTGGTCGGATCACCATGAAGCGCTACACTGCCGAAACGACGTCCCTAGAAGAATTGGAAACAGTGTTACAAAGGCCATCGCAAAAATCTACCGAGTCAATTATGGCTATTGTTAATCCAATCATCAAAGACGTTCGCACAGGTGGCGACAAGGCGCTTTTGGGATATACTCACAAGTTTGAGAAGGCAACATCACTCAGGTCACCTGTCCTTAAAGCGCCATTTCCAAAATCTCTGATGGATCTTCCTCCAGAAACAATCGAAGCAATCGACGTCTCGTTCGAAAATATCCGGAAGTTCCACGCTGCCCAGAAGGAAGAAAAGTCTCTTCAAGTTGAAACTATGCCAGGTGTAGTGTGCACTCGTTTCTCGCGACCGATCGAACGTGTTGGGCTATACGTGCCAGGAGGAACGGCCGTCCTCCCTAGTACAGCGCTCATGCTGGGAGTCCCTGCCATGGTCGCAGGATGCAAGAAAATCGTCCTAGCTTCACCACCTCGCATCGATGGCAGCATTACGCCTGAGATTGTCTACGTTGCACACAAAGTTGGCGCAGAGTCAATTGTACTCGCAGGCGGCGCCCAGGCAGTTGCAGCTATGGCCTACGGTACCGAGAGCGTAAGTAAAGTGGACAAAATATTAGGGCCTGGCAACCAATTTGTCACTGCTGCGAAGATGTTTGTCAGTAATGATACCAACGCTGGCGTCAGCATTGACATGCCTGCCGGCCCATCTGAGGTTTTGGTTATTGCCGACAAAAGTGCCAACCCGGCATTTGTTGCTTCCGACCTATTATCACAGGCAGAACACGGTATTGATAGCCAGGTAATTTTGATTGCAGTTGATCTTTCGGAGAAGGAACTCTCGGCCATTGAAGACGAGCTACACAAGCAAGCAATGGCGCTACCTAGGGTGGATATTGTCCGAGGGGCAATTGAACACTCAGTCACGCTTGTGGTGAGAGACATTGAAGAAGCTATGAGGCTGAGCAACATATATGCCCCCGAACATTTGATTCTACAGTTGAAGAACGCTGCAAGTGTCGTTGAACTTGTTGAAAACGCAGGCAGCGTGTTTATCGGCGAGTGGACGCCGGAGAGTGTTGGCGACTACTCCGCGGGGGTTAATCATTCACTGCGTAAGTTTATCTCTTATCTTATTTTGAAATATTGTTGTCCCGCTCGGATCTCACTTTCTTCGTCGGTTCTAATGGTTGAGTAGCAACATACGGTTACGCAAAACAATACTCAGGGGTAAATCTTGGATCATATGTAAAGCATATTACCTCAGCCAACCTCACCGCTCAAGGCCTGAGAAATGTGGGCGGTGCCGTCATGCAGCTCGCAAAAGTAGAGGAGTTAGAGGCCCACAGACGTGCGGTGGAAATCCGGATAAAGTATATGGATGATAATAAGATATAATGACCACGTTAAAGGCGTTAATTTACTTTAGATCTGGAAATAGATGGTATGAAAGGTGTCCTATAGAATATACCATTTATACGTCTTACATTGGGCTGATTTGGTATCAAAGCCGACAGCTATACGACACATCTATATCCATTATGATCTGTAATTTGTCGATACCTTTGGATGCTAAAATCCTTCAATATCTGGCTTCTTTGGCATTGGTTTCATCTACAACCTACAAAGCACGGTCTCTACTAGGGAGTGTCCCTCTTTTCCCTGGTCTCGCATCAACTTCTCCAGCATATTCGACTCGACCAAGACTCCCTTATTTGCTGCTCTGGTTTATTATGGTATGGCCTAGGGACTGTCTCTTATACACATCTAGATGTGTATAAGAGACAGGTTGTGAGAGAGTTATGACTACCAAAACTCCCGGGAAAAGTCTAAGAGTGCCTGGTTTGGTGGTAACAACTTGCAGGCCATCTCTTATACACATCTAGATGTGTATAAGAGACAGGAGTTATGACTACCAAAACTCCCGGGAAAAGTCTAAGAGTGCCTGGTTTGGTGGTAACAACTTGCAGGGCATCTATGGCGCCGTTCACCATGCCCACTTTCTATTCCTACGAAACGGATACTATGCTATTGTTCTCCGTTATCACAAGGCGCATCTAATTTTTCCTGAGTTGAGACTTCCCTACTCATAATTGGTATTGTCGTGATCATCTGGGCTGTGGTTATATTCTCTTTTGTCCTTTAGTACAGTTGGGGAATGGAGCTCTAGATAAAATGCTAGTCAGTTAATGGAATATGCTTTTCTTGCAATGTCCAGGAGCGATACATGGGTTTAAGCTGGTATTATATCAATCTCCACAAGCCGCATATGGGCTTTGCGCCCGACATAATTTCGGCCAGATAGAGCTCCATATCACTTCGTGAAATACGCAAAATGCAACCTTGTCCATTTTGGGGGACATGCGAACAAGTGCTCTATACCCGGTATGAACAAAACTGTTTCACGTAAGTTGGAATGCCGAAGGACCTGAATTATGGGACTTTGAACATACACAAGGATGTATGTATTATACTTGCAATATCAGATTATTTCATAAAATTGGCTCTCATTACAGTCAATCCCCCCTTTGTGTGGCTTCAAACTAGGTAAAACCGTGGTGCTTCTGATATGAAATCGAAACTTATATCCTTTTCCTTCCAATCAAATAGATCCCTTCTTAAATAGTAACTAGCCCTGAAACCAATTCTGTGAAGTGTTGATGATTTATAATAAAACGAGCCAGCCCAAGAAATTGCCAGCCGGTCTTAGGCGGATTCTGCAAGCAAATAGGGAATACTCCATGAGAGTAGGTTTATTGGACCTTATGGATACTCTAATAGATTCTCACTCATATCACTGCTATTTACGTCAAATATAGAGCTAACAGGGGGTCGTACAAAACGCCATCATAGAATGTGTTATTTGCCAAATCGAAAAGAAATCACTACAAGATATCTCACTTCGCATCCTCCACAATACAGTCATGGCTAATCGGGAGGTGACAGTACACAGAGTCATTCGTTAATATAGCCACTGTTTACCACCCATGACTTCCAAATCTTCATCCTAAAATACAGTTTCACAGCCAGCGATATCCACCGCCTAGTTCCTAGGGGTTTATTGTTGTTTTTGACCACCAGTAGCTCCTCCAACCAAACCTCCAGCGGTATTTGTCAAGCCTCCAGCGGTATTGCCAACTCCCTGAGTGGTCTTCCCAGCAGCATCTGCAACCCCGCTGGTCGTTTGACCAGCAATATTTCCCACGCCTTCCGTCGTCTTTCCGACAGCATTTCCGGCTCCATCAACAGTTTTTCCTACAGCACCGCCCACGCCACCCAATAGACCCCCCTGACCCTTTTGCTCGTCGCCGCCCGTGAGGGTCTTGTCGAGGCTGTTGGTAACGTTTCCGAGGAGGCCTGCCATCATGTAGAAGTTGTAGTTTTTTGAGTTGGACGAGTAGTTGTCTTGTGTGTGTGTAGATGGAATCGAAATTGAGGTGTGGTTTGCTATTGTATGTGTTGACTGACCTTGACTGACCTAGCTGTATATATGCTCTTGTCCTTTGAAGCGTCTCTGTGTTTAAATATTGGTTATAATTTTCAGGTCGATTCCTAAACCTGGTATTGTGGATGAGGCCCCGTCAACGTCATTCTACCTCACATCCCCGTATACTGTCCCCAAAGCTGGAAGTGTTGAGGTAATTGATGCTTCCCTGTCTATTGCGAGTGGTAGAAGTATGGCCATAGGCCCCTCTTTGCTGGTATAATAATCATGATCTTGGTTGTGGATCCCTCTCGAGTAGGTCCCGTGGCCAAAAGAGCCAGCCACCTCCGTCATACGCGCTCACTTGCATTACGGAGTAGGGTGGCACGGCATGCCGCTGCTGTGCTCAGAGGGGTGCATGTATATATACGGAGTAAACTTATCAAGATTATATGCGGACACCGCTTGGTCACCGAAAGGGACAAAGCGCTGATCGCAAAACATCATCAACTACATATCTCGATATTCCATATGATGGCGTCGCAAGGCCCAATCTCCGAAGTTGAAGCACTAGACGATCGGCTGCTGAATGACATCGGCATCGACCAACCTAGCAATCCAGCGCACGATGTCACCAGTCAATCTGAGCAATTTCTGGCTCCCCAACCAGGATCGAATTATCCCCTAGATTACTCCGATGTTCCGTCCACCGCCGATTCACAAGATTCCTCGAAACAAAGACGGAAACACCAGCGCGGTGGCCGAAAAGCGAAGAAGCAGGAGGTCCAGCCGGTTTCAGAACTGGATATTCCCCCAAAGAAGAATGGCGAGACTCCCGAGGAGGAAGAACAGCCGAAAGTTACCAATCCCAAATTGAAGCATAGGGGTTCAGATTCTCCGCTTGAGACTGGAATAAGAGCCTTCAGCCTAAAAAGGGCTGAGTCCTCGGGTGGCAGACCTTTTGGCGTTTCAATAGAGAGACAAGGCTCAAAGAGCAGGTCTAAAGCCAAAGCTAGACAAAAGTCGAAATGCACGGCATGTGGAAGGAGACCAAAGCACATGCCAGACTTAAAGAATACGAGGAAAGACGACTGGGAGAGCGATAATACAAGTGAGGCTGAGGAGAGCGAGGAAGAAGAGGAGGACCAGGAGGAGCACCAGGAGGAGCACCAGAAGGACGACGGGGAGAAGCTGCCGAAGAAGTCGAAGAAGAAGAAGCCCTTCGCTATACGCTTAGACCTTAATCTTGAGCTTGAGATATTCCTTCGCGCGAAGATTAAGGGCGATGTTACAATAACATTCTTGTAAGTTTGCGTTCAGATAAGCTTTCCACGATGCGACGGCAAGCTGCAGGCACTGAACCGTTCCGCAGAGAATAAACCTAGTTGCAATGCCGGCCGCCGATGAAGAAGTACAAGGCGACACATAAAGTTTTAGGAGGATCAGATTTGAGGTATGCATTTATAGTATAACATGTTGAGGAATTGAAATGCTAGTCGAGTCTGTTAGATGCCTAGTGGTGGTTAGAGATCTGATTATCCAAGCATTACGGCGCATGCTGTACATATGCATATAGGAGGAGGTTATGGGAAATAGATATCTCTTCTTCAAGAAGTAGGGTCAAGCTCTACGACATAATTTCTGCTTTAGCCATGGAAAGTCCTACACTTAGAATGAGGAATACTGGGAGGGGCCAACTCCAGTGAGACAGTGCGTTATCTACCGCACCGCCACAACCGCCAATTTTCCTTCGTGTCTTCGGCCAGTACTCCGTAATCGTAGCTCCTTAGCTTATTACTTTACTTATTCGTCTGTGCTTAGGGTCTTGTAACCGGGGTCATGATTAGTCGGTACCCCATACTTCTAGTCTTTGTATCACTTAGAAAGCGTCCGATGCACAGGGAGAGGAATTACATATAAGTCATCAATATATCCTAGACATTTTTTTTTGATTGCTTGAAGGTGGCTACGATTACATATAGGCTAAACAATTAAAGCAACGGCAGCTCTAACGCTACCTACCTAGGTAGGTATGCACGGCACACAGCACTGTAGATGTGAGACAGATATATCAACAGCACAATACCAAAGATCCATATTGACGACATACCAGACTTTATATTATACAGAGCAGCCACTGATATCCCACATCTAGTAACAATCCCAACGTTCCCTGTCCGGGAATCATACCCCAGCAGAAACGATAGCAACCCAAAAGACACCAAGTTCAATTCAATTCAATTTCGACTCGCTCGCTCTAACTGGTATCGATCGTACTGTACAGGATAGGATGTAGATGTGTGTCTGAAAGACACCCAACACTATCAGCTCGGTCTCCTACCTACTGACTCGGAATTACTAAAGTATGTCCCGTCATGAGGACCGACTTACTTCTCACAGTAATCCAATTGTCACATCTCCCTTGACTCTTGCGTAGAGGTCGACCTAAAGAAAACAAAGTATTACTACATCAATCCTATTGTAACATCGCCCTTCACCCTAGCATAGAGATCTACCTCAACCTCAAGATCCAGCTCTATCTTGATTTTTAAACTGCTGTCCCGCACCTCCTTTGGCTGCGGACGGTCCTTGATTCGCGACTCTCTGATTGCTCCGCCATGGCCGCCCATGTTTCCCGTAAGGCGTGGGTCCATCGGGGCCGTCATCTGCTGTTGCTGTTGCTGGGGTATGTGGTTCAGCGGTGCTTGTTGCTGTGGTTGTTGTTTGTTTTGACGTGCTCGTTGCATCGTACGCTGCCCCTGTTTTGGTTTCTCTTGTTGTGGTTCAGGCTGCTCCTCTTCCTCTTGTGGTTCAGGCTGCTGCTCCTCTTCCGATTCCGAGGCATATTGATCTTCGTTCTCCGTAGTGTTCATTCTTTTCTCGCTGGAATTAAGGTCAGTAATTAATCATGGCATAACTACCTGTGGGCCTTACTTGTCAGACATTATGTCGAGGGATTTTATCCAAGGACTTTGATACAAGACGGGCTGTGGGCTCGTAGATGGTGAAGCAATGTTGCTTGATTAAATATGGAGATGAAACCTCTTCCGATTATATTTTATTCAGGCGTTGGTGGAGATGAGAAAAGGGGACCCGACAACTAGATAGTCAGCGTTTTATGTATGGGATAGTTCATCGGCCGATGACGACGTCAGTGGATCGACCCTGGGGATCGATCAGGAATACATGTACCCACGTACGTAACAAGTTACTGGGGTAAGGTATGGGGTAAAGAATGTTATGACATAGTTGTAAACAGGTTTCCAGTAGATAACTCCCGCATGCGGCTCTATGTGCGTCATCCTGCATCGGGCGCACCCCTTTCGTTTTTAGCTGTTGCCGCTTTGTCAGGCCTGAGATCTCTGATACAGTAGAACCAGGTTAACAGGGGCGAAACTGCGGGAGACTCGAGAAAGTACTGACTACAAGCTCCATTTCTGCCCAATAGCTAGGATGGATACATCCACTCCCCATACTTCTATTGGCTACCGCCGCTACCAGTTTTTGAAGCGGGCCGCTAACGGGCCGGGTGGGTCTGTGGGTCTGTGCAACAACAAAACGTGGTTGTAATAGCCGTAGGGAAGTACTAGGTGCCTAGGTACTTTTGCGCTCTCTCTCGACTCTCTCGTACTTGTCTCGTGTCTCGAGCTTGTGAAATTCTACGAGGAGCTATTTTACGTATAGGTTCTGAAAATAGTTGTTTAAGGGGTGTGACTAAAAGTTTAGCCACATTTCCCACTTGGACCTATTGCCAAGTGGCTTTTGTGGCCCTTCCTCCCTGTGACACCGTACAGAGTAAAAGAAAATACCCCATACTCGTGTCTTGATGCAATTATTAATGGCTTGCAAGTTGCACCGAAGGAACAGACATAGGTGGAGGCCATCTGATGTCATTTCAACGAGGCAACGATTTGAGTGATCTCGCTCCCCTCAGCCCATGATCCAAGCGCCCAGGCCGAACTGATATCCCTAAATTTTTAGCTTAAATTTAATCTACCTAATATTTCCCATCAAGATTCCATTCACACAGCATTAATCATTGATTAACACAGCCCTAATGAGCGACAGGGGGTGTTACGGGTATTTGCAGCCCCAAGTTCACTATTCGCTGAAATCTTCTATTTCCCTAAATCGACGTTACTAGTACCAACACACCAAAATTACCGTTTCAACACAACACAAACTCCCCAGAGTATTCTCAAAATGGTACTGGGAATACTCACTTCCATAGCCGCCTGTCCCGCCATCATCGGAACCACTGAAGCTGTCCGACAAGGCCAGAAGCAGAATGCCAGAGAAAAGCATCGGAGCCGGAAATCCAACCTCCTTGTAACTTGCTCAGATCCCTCGCGCAAAGCGCGCGACATACACGGTGGGACAGTAGTACTCCGAGATAAAAAGGTAATGTTTCTTCAAATCACTTATTTTCTACGAGTTCTCTCCCTTCCTATACAAAAGTCAGCTAACGTTAACACAGCTTTACGTGACAACTGTCAACCCAAAGGCAAAATTTCCCGAGGATTACGAAGACGACAATGAGCGCATTAGGGGATATGGCCATCTTTTTGCAGGTTATTTTTTCCCCTACCCGGACAGCACATGGGGCCGGCGAGGCGAGGGCTATGTTTCTACCATTCAAGAAGATCCACCACAGCTCAACTGGATTTACGTCGACAAAGACACGTACGAAGTGAAATACGGACTACGGAAGGAAGCCGAGGGACATATAGTTGGGCCGTGGAACTGTTCCCCTATTGATAGGCGGCTGACTTTTGATGGGTGGGAAGGTTGGACTGTTGTTGAGGAGAAACCGGGTGAGTGGGCTTTGTATTTTGATGTCGATGACGATGGGCTAGAAGGGAGAGTCCCGTTGGATAAGAGGATCATGGAGATTGAGTTGACGAGAAGAGAAACAAGGATGCAAAAGGGAGATCCAATACTTTGATTTGTTAAGATACCCAGCTAGCAAGGTATGAAAAATACGAATATCATTGGGGTTCAAATCCAGCGATGAGCATTTATTACATTTCCTCATGAACCCATATTATAAACCAATAGGATTCACGTCTCCACACCATACAATACTTGGTTGAAAACTGGTATGTCGGCGTCAGGACTTGTCCGGTCTTGTATTTACAAATTCTGGGTGGCCAAATTAATATATTAACAATACGAAATTTGTTAATTATTCCCTAATGTTTCACTAGCTGAAAACACGCCCAGTACAATCCTTGGTCCCCCCCCCCCCAGCCCCATCGTCTGACCATAACCCCATACGTCATTAGCTATTTATCACATGCACCACTCTTGCCTCCATCCCTACAAAGGTTGAATAGCCTGTACTTGCTCAGTTATCACAGCATATGAATCCTGCTGGTCCCGGGTAACAACCTTCCTACAATTTCCTATATATCTGAAAGGCTAAACCCCCCACTAGCACACATTACGCCTACACCTGGTAAGATTATCAACTCATCTGATATCTTATCCCCTCAAACCAACCAGTCCAGCAAAACCCAACAGCACATTATAGCCATGGCAGAAAACATCACCGACTCTATTACACAGAAGGAGGAACCCACATACCTCGAGTCGATCACGCTCTGGGTTGAAGACACTTACCTTAGTTGGTTTGGAGAAAACAGGGCATCCTATGGCGCAAAGGGTTAGTTCCTTTTCTGCACCGCTTTCATCTTTCAGTTTCAAAAAGCTAAATTAGCATAAAATATAGACTCTTTAAAGAAAATGGAAATTACTGGTAATAAAGATATTGACCGGGTTCAGAGAAGCGTCGGTGAGACTGTGGGTGATAACTTGGGAAGAAACGGCATCGCGGGTGTAGTTGGTGACGGACTTGATAAGGTGGTTCTGAGGGGCAATGTTTGAGGTTGTTGTCACGTTCCTTACGCATCTTTGTGGCTATTCGTGGACGGGGTAGTCCTATTAAGTCAGATTGATTTCATTTCTTGGTGTATAATTTGGGTTTGTCAGGGATATAAGAGTAAATTAATAGTGTGGATAAATTGGGCAAGTATAGATTAACAGTTACTCCGAAAATCCTTTCCCATCAGGCAGTGGAACCCCACCGGCGTCCTTTAAAATCACATCTTCGTCGGCAGGTAACGGTATCCGCAAAGCCTCTTTTAAAACCTCCTCGCTCACCCCTCAATCTTCTGGCTCTGGTAACGCCTGGCAGGCGAGAATAGCTTTCAGCTCCTGCTCGTCCTCATCTGCCTGGGTTTTCTCACTCCTTACATCTCCGATTATACTTCCTGAATTTCCTTTCCCCAGGATTTCTTCAATCCCCTTAACATTCCCATCATCATCTAGAGTTTCGCTCTCACTTCTACTTCTTGCCGCTCTCGCCTCATCTAGGAAAAACCCATCGACAGCCTCCCTAATCTCACACACATCTCCCCAGCGAATTCCAGCAGACTCTGGTAACCACAACATTCCTCTCAGGCTGAAATATACTACAGTGCGCCACAATCTCATTCCCTGCCTTCACATTAGCTGCTTCTTTCCACCACCCGTTTTCTTTTCCCTCTGCTTTTCCAACACTCTCACTCTCATCATCCACAACACCAACAGGAATAGCACAAAATGTCCTCCTGGGGACAAAATAGCCACCTGTCCAATAACCGGTATCCCCAAAACTCGTAAAACCATTACATCTCCCCACCCCACTCAATCGATTAAGTCTTCCTAGTCGCGTAGAAAGCTACTCCTGCTTCATCAATGCACCAACGAACTCCAAATGTGATGACATCCACGCACATCCTTCCCCAATACTCTCCCTACTCAGGCCCACATTGGCAGGGTTCAAATTTTGCGCCAAACTATCTTTGCTGGGCAGGCTGGGAAGTGATTTCGGAATGCCTGGCATATTTTCCTTTTTGAAGTAATTTGGTATTGATAGTAGGGAAGTGGATTTTGGATAGGGAGTTTCCGATCTCCTAGCGGTGCATATAGGCCGTTACCCCTCCGGCTACAACTGCACCTACTGTACCAGTGCGTGCAGCGAGAAGTTGCCACCGTTACCAGCTCGGAGCTAAGGTGAAAATTGCTCCTGTTCGAGCTCCTGCTCCGGCCCCTGATCTTACGGCTGATGCCGTTGAAAGACCTATACCTCCAGAGAGCGTGGACATGGTGTTCCAGATAGCGCTAACTCTCTGGTATTGGGAGAACGCACCATATGCTAAGTGGGAGCTAGCGAGGCCGTTGAAAGGTGTGTTGAAGGTAAGTGTGCCCCCTAAAGGGGAAACATGCATTTATTTTCGGGGGCCAGTGGGTGGGGATGCTAAAGAGGGTGTCCGTCGCGACGCAGCCCCCTCTGGAGTGGAATATTAGCCTCCTATTATAGTCCGAAAAGACATATCTACCTGTGCGAAATTCTTACCCCATGCAGTGAGCAACAAGAACCACTGCCACCGAGGGGTTCAAAAATGCTGTCGGCGTTGCAGCGCTCTGTTCAAGAGACAATACTTGCGACTGTAGCCATTCCTGGAAACTCTCTACGCAGGCTGAGAGGTCGCCCCGAGTCTCATATTTGGGGTACAGCGGTTTGGACGTTCAGTCCGGGTGCCTTCTCTCTGATGAGGTTCTTGAGGTCCTGTTCATGATTCGGAATTTTGCTCTAGATATAATAAATCCAGTATCATATAGATACGAAGTGCCTAACTATAGGAAATTGGAAAAACGTCTCCTCGTCCCTTTGAATTCGTGGATGAAACATAACAGGAAAGGTTTTATCATTACAGAATGGTAGTGTGTAGTGGAGTAGAATAAATATGAGGAGATCCTAAGTCGAAGACATATATCGAAAACGCGTATATGGATCGAGTAAGAAACTAGCCTTCCAATATTGTTAGACTTTATAAAACAACAGCCATTGTACGGCTTTATTTTTACTTATAGTTTTTAAAAGACTAGGCTAAGATGCTCAAAATTAAACTACCAACAGACACAGTTGCCCAATCCACCATAGGATTTTTGAAGACCTTACACACTATCCCCACCAAGAGCGGCACTCCTCGGAACCCTTCATCCATCAATAAACCACAAATTTCTGCCTACCGAGTATGCTGCATTCATCGACGTTAGCTAAAACTCCACTTCACCTTGAGCACCATCTAACATCACCCAAAACAGGATCTCTATTGACTACCCTCCTTTCCTTGCTCCCCCTTTCCCTCATAATCCTTGGACCGTGGCGACGCCACATGAAGCACCCCCTCTAACTTCCCCCCTTCAAAACCTAGAAGCTGCACGCCACGTGTGGCTTTTCATCCCGCCCTTCTCGAAACCTGAAAGTTGGACTAAAGTGCGGGTTGATCTTGTTGAGTCAGCTCCAGTCGATCATGCATGCTCCATGTCTCCCGTGCATGTATTACATCATAAGGCAAACCCCGCCAAACTTCGCATACTTCGGACACATGCAGGGTCTCTCTGTGGCTGGTATTGTCTCATGTAGAAAGTCTGGAGATTGAGGAGACGTGATGTGATATGAGGATGTGAAGTGCCATGGCATGTGGCTGAAAGAGCTTGGGAGTATTATTGGATAATGCCTCCTACTTATTGTGGTAGGGGGCATACCCTCCTAGCTATCGGAGGTTAGGCAAGAATTACAAAATGGTCGGGAAGTTATGAAGGACACAAGGGCCAAGATTAGCTATTGATCATAAACCACACATATATTTTATAAGATGTGTGAAGGAAGACATGTATTGACAGCTCATAATCCATAAAATTACCCAATTACCCAATTGAACATACAAATATAGAAACGTAAATGAATAGAAATATATCCTCAGCACTCATTCGACCTCCTTTCATAAAAGCTAGAAAACAATGCAACCTTAGCCTATTGACATCCTTATTAACCCCTAAACATAAATAACAGCGCAAGCAAAACCACCGAAAAAGAAGTCACCGCTGCTGAAAGCTGCCTGGGATCTTGATCGTAAGATACATGCCCTCCTTAGTAGTCTCCACTGCAATCTCAATCCCACCTGAGCCAGAGTTACCACTCTGATCCCTAAGTTCGCTTTCGTTTGCTTTGATGACGGTTTTCCCGTCTTGCTGCATGATCTCCATGCCTTTTAGGTTTGGTAGGCTTGTATCTTCTCGAACGTTTGATAGACTGCGGCCTGTTCTGGGTTTGTCCCCAATATCGCTCACCTTGCTAGGGACTTTCTCAGATTTTTCATCTACGATTTCGCCGGACTCATTTGCTTTCTTTCCGGCCGTGGATTGCACATCCCCGGTAGCTTTGCCTTGGACTTTTCTGGAGCTATCGACGATGTTGCCTGACTTGTCGACTTTATTGCCCACAAGGCCTTTGGCGCTTTCTAGAACTTGGGCAGCTTGTCTAGTAGTAGCCTGCACCTCGCCCTTGGTAGCCTGGTTAGAAATACCATTAACCTTACTGGCAGCGCCTCCTGCAGTTTGCTGTGTTTTATCGACAGTGTTCTCAGCGGTCTCTTTAGCTTTGTTTGTTACTTCCCCGGTAGCTCCTTCAGCACGGCCAACAAGATCCGTAGGATCTTGAACGGTGTCAGTGATCTCGCCTGGGATTATGTTACCAGTTATACCCTTCGCTTGATCAGATATATCATTGGCGGTGTCTCCAGTCTTGCGTTTTACCTCGCCGGCGGCCTTGGAGACCCCATTGAGTCTATTCATACTACTGCCGCCCTTGGCCTTCTGGGTAACATCGCCTGCAGAATCAGAAGTTGACTTTGCAGTATTCCCCAGACCTTCCATCTGTTTTCCAACACCCTCCGTGGCCCTGCTACCCAAGCTGCCGAATTTCTCCTTTGCGCCGCCAGCGGCATCTTTGGTAGACTTAGTGGCCTTGCTAGCTGACCCTTTTGCGATTTTCCGGGCCTTGTCAATCGTGTGGCTAGGACCACCAACTTTATCTTGAGTGAAATTCGGGGATCCTTGTGGAGAATTTAACACATCATGAGCCATGTTCTTTGCTTTCCTTTGTGTGGTGTCACCACCATCTCGAGCTTTGTCCTGAACACTGTCGGCTGTATTTTTGGCCATTTTGCTGCCTGACCTGACCGCTTTCTGGCCTTCTTTGACGACGTTACCTGTAGGACCTATGCCAGTAGCCCCATCAGGAGCCTTGTCCAGGGCCGCAAGTTCATTATTGTCGTCATCATCTTCGTGTTCCTCGTGATCTTCATGGTTTTCATTATCCTCATGGCCATCTTCCTCTTCGTACTCTTCGCCGCTATTATTCTCCTCTTGTTCATCGACCTGGGCCTTCTCATCTTGATCATCATGCCCATGCTGTACCGATTCTTCCTCTATCCCGGTATCGTCTTGACCCTGCTCGGATTCATCATCCTGGGCCACTGACTCCTCACCTTGATATTGATGGCGATCAGGGTGATGGCTTTCTTCGTCATCGTTGAAGTTATCATCTTCCTCATATCCTTTATTGTGTTCTTGCTCTTCTTCGTGTCCCTCACCGCGTGCCTCTGAGTGTGCCTCTTCGTGCTCCTCATTGCGGCTCTCTTCTTCGTCCTCTGGCTCAGAATTTGGTTCAGGAATTGGAGCAGCCGGTTTCTTCTTGATAATTTTTGGGGCATTGTCACTTTTTGGGATGGATGGTTTCTGTTTCGGTAGTGAGCTTTCAGGCTGCTCATTATCATCTGATGAAGGTCTCTCAGGCTCCGCTGGTAACGATGGCCTTTTCTTCTTTATCATCTTTTTGGCTGGTTTTGGAGCATTATCCGCCTGTTCAGCGGGTTGCGCAGGGCTAGGTGCATCGAGAGTATGCTGTTTCTTCTCTAGGTTATTTTCGGGTGTTGACGGAGGCGCCGGTTTTTTCTTTATCATTTTTTTTGGAGTATCTTGGACACTATCGTGATGTTCGGGTTTGGGCGCATTATGATCAATTGGCTGGTCACTTTCAGGTGCAGATGGAGGAGCGGGCTTCTTCTTCATCGTCTTCGGAGAATTTTGAGCATTGCTGACCTGATCAGGTTTTGGTGTGCTGTCCTCAGCGGTGGGCTGTGGAGTTGGCTTCGTTTTGACCATCCTCTTTGGACTTGGTACGACTCCGTCGTCACCGGCATTTTTGGACTTAGATGACGTTTTCTCTGACATTACTGAGGCTGACTTCGACGCTTGCTCGGAATGGGTTTTCGGATGAGAGTGTTCTTTTGGGGAGTCTGGCTGTGCCTTATCTTCGAGTGGAGATGTTTTAGCTTTTGCGTCTTCGGATCCCCTCGAAACGTGTTTTTTGACGTGATTGGGACTTGGTGCTGAATTTTGAGGCAGAATCTTCTTGACGGAGGTGGGTGATTTGGGTGTTGGCACGCTTTTCTCAGCCGACTTGACTGGCGTCTTGGGGGTCTTTGGAGTTTGGGGGGCAGGGGCGGACATATTGAGTGATTCCAAAGAAATATATAGCGGAGCGAAGAATAAGAGAATGAAAGTCGAGAACCTAAAGATCATGAGCGGTTGAGTTTTGGTTTTATGAATGGGCCGTGTCCAAGGGGGCTTTCTTCTGACGCCCAACAGACCTGGAGTCTTGCGAGCTTCGATGACGGAATACTGGTGAGCGCGACTGCGGGAAATAGTAGCGATGACACAAGGAGCTCGAATCGCTCAAGGCTTCATCCGACGGCGACCTTGATCTGTATACGGCCTGCAGCTGATGGGAAGGGTGGGGCAAAGGATGGGCACCATGTGAGTTAAAACCGGGAAGTAGAAATTGAACTGCGCTGTAAGGGACCGGAATTCTCTTGTCTACTGTACTGCTACCGAGTTCGAAGGCTTCTGTGAGTCTGGGATGGGAGAGAATAGGACAACCGCAGTTGCAGGGAGCGACAAGTAGCAACACAGCATGTAGCGCCAGATAACAGATAACGCCATAACTCGACAACAAGGAAATGCAGGTACCTGTACCTGTACAAGCAACCTGCCTGGCAGATGCAGAAGAACCCGCGTTGCTGACGCGTTGGCTGATGTTGGTAACTCTGTAGCTGGGAACTTGAACTTGTATGAAGTCACTGTGGAGCACAACTACTTCCCTGCAGCGCCGTGGCTGATTTGCCACCTCGGATCGTGGATGATGGATGTGCACTCGCCACAGCCACAGCCACACAGTCCTGGCACGCCACGATGTAATGTACGGAGAGTTAAGAGACCAAGACCAAGTTTTGAAAGAACGAGGATCAAGGAAAGTATTATCGGTCCCGATCGTTTCAGCTTATTTACTGCGGGCCATCAGTGGCAAATCGCGGGATGCAACGATATGGCCCGCTTTCTGCCACAACAAGGGTCGCCAACACAGCAGTCCTTTGTACTTCGTACTTCGTACTGCACATAGTCCCTCACTCACCCACTCACAACGTCCCTACCCACGGCACTGTAGCCGCTGGTGGACCCCTCTCCGCCTGTCCCCGATTTTATGTCGTGTCCGCCCCATGGAAATTGTTCCCCAGACCCAAAAGCCTGATATGTTCCTTGCCCATAACCTGGTGCTGTGCTGCTGCATCATAGAACAATGATCATGATCTTCACCCGCTTGCCGTTTGGGGATAAGCGCGAGCAGCAATTTGATACTCGTTGACCCCTATGATGAATGGTCTCCGTTGTGTAAGAAGCCCCTCTAGATCGTAGATGGATGCAATGATTTACACGGGGTCTGAAATTGCTGTACTGTCATTAATTGGATTGATGACGTAGGCTTTCTGGTATTCCAGGCCCAAGAAACATATGGGTATGCCCCTCTTGGCTTCGTATAACCCATATAAGACGGCGCCTGGACGGAACTATCTTGGAATTATATTTCTTGATTCATGACAATTTATACAAGCACTTCCACTCGGATCACACTTAATATTTCAGAAGTACTATCATAGATATATACCAAGTCGAACGCAAGTTACTAGACCGAGTCCTTTAGCGACAAGTAGCCATCATGGCCGACACTGCAACACAGCCGGCCAGTCAGGTTGGCTCGCCGAAGAATTCAAAGAAGAAGGGTTCAAAGGCCCAAGAACAAGCACCAAGTCAGCTTGGTGAGACGGATAGCCGGGCCGCTGAGACCGTTGACGATACTCAGAAGGAAGAGTACGACGACCAAGCTGACAGCGGAGTCGATGGACTTGCCACTGGTGACGAACGGGGAAGTGAGGAGGAGAAGCAAGAAAGAAACGAAGGAAGCGAAGAGGGCACTGAAGCTATTGTAGCTGGTAGTGTCAATCAAGATGGGGATGTAGTTGATGATGAAGGAAATGTCATCGGCCACGTGAAGGGTCAAAATGCATCCCAACTCGAGGGCAGCATGGTTGACCAGGAAGGAGACATTGTCGACAGTGAAGGAAACGTGGTAGGTCGCGTCGGTGACTTGGAAGAAGTTGGTTCAAAGGCACGGTCGGAACCTGTCGAAGGTATCGAGAAGCCCGGGCTCGCAGGGCCTTTCGGTGTTCAAGATAACGGTGATATCACCAATGCTACTGGCAACGTCATCGGGAAGCTCGCGGAAGGAGAACCTCAAGATCTTGTCGGAGCCTCAATCAAGGAGATCGACGACGAAGGGAATCTGAAAGCCAAAAGCGGCAGCGTCATTGGCAAAGCAGAGCTGAGTCCCCAACTGCTTGAAAAGGATGGATCAAAAGCCGGAACCTCAAAGACCGAAGTATCCGATTCACAACAGCCAGAGACATCAGAAGAGAAGCCCGACTTGTCGATACTTAAAGACAAGAAAGTCAACAAACTCGGAAAGATTGTCGATGAGAATGGCAATCCATTTGGCACCCTTGTTGAGGGCGAAGCAAAGAAATTAGCTGGCAAGAAGGTGGATGCGGAAGGCAAAATCTGGGACGATGCCGGGAAGGTCCTAGGGCGCGCTGAACTGCTCCCGGAATCTGAACGAGAAGCCGAACCACTAGCTCCATTCGAAGATTTTCCAGACAGCATCATTGATAGCAAAGGCAATGTTATCTTCGAGGGAAAGATTGTCGGAAAGCTTGCCGAAGGCGATGCCAAGAAATTAGAGGGCAAGAAAATTGACGCAGATGGTGATATTCTGGATAAGAATGGGAATGTTCTGGGCAAAGCTGAAAGATACCAGGAGGAAGAAGAGATCCCTGAAGCCCCTGAAGCCAAAGATGTTTCCATTTTAGAAGGCAAGAAAGTCAACAAGGCTGGCAATGTCGTCGACGATAATGGCAAGCTCTTCGGCCGTATCGCCGATGGCGAGGTACCCAAACTAATAGGGAAAAAGGTGGACGCTGAGGGGAAGATCTGGAACGATTCTGGCAAGGTTATCGGCACTGCTGAGCTCATCCCAATGGACGAAAGGGAGGAAGATTCAGGAGCACCATTCGAGGACTTTCCTGATACTGTCATCGATAGCAAAGGGAACGTTACCTTCGAAGGACAGATTGTTGGCAAATTGATCGAGGGTGATGCGAAGAAACTTGCGGGAAAGAAGGTTGACAAGGACGGGGAAATTGTCGACAAGATCGGGAACGTACTTGGTAAAGCCGAGAGATGGGAGGAACCAGACAAACCTGAGCCTGAAGCTGTCGATCTTTCTGCTTTGGCCGGGAAGAGAGTTAATAAGGTTGGCAACGTAGTCGATTCCCACGGCCAAATTTATGGACGACTTGCCGAGGGAGACCCAAAGAAGCTTGCTGGCAAGATGTGTGATAAGGACGGAAATGTGTGGAATGATGGTGGAACCATTGTCGGCCGAGCCGAGCTGGTTCCAGAAAGCGAGAGGGAAGGAGAGAAAGAAGGGCCATTCGCAGGATTCAACTCGCCCACCGTGACCAAGGATGGAAAGGTTGCGGATTCTAAAGGGGATATTATTGGAAGACTCACCGAGGGCGATGCTAAGAAACTTTATGGAAAGGAAGTCGATGCTGATGGGGATGTATTGGACAAGAATGGCAACACTCTAGGTAAAACCGAGAGATGGGAGGAGGAAGTGAAAGAGAAATCCAAAAACCCTGTCGCAGGACGAAAGATCAATCGCGATGGCAACGTTCTCGACGATGATGGCGATGTCATTGGGAAATTGGTGGAAGGCGACATTGGCAAATGTATCGGAAAAGAGATCGATGACGATGGTGATATCGTCAACTCGAAGGGACAAAGCCTTGGCCATATTAGCCTCCTTGAAGACATCCCACTCGAACCAGTGCAAGAGCAAGAGGATCCCGAGGAGGTCGAAAAAAAGAAACAGCTTGAACAAGACAAGAAGCTGGCTAACCAGATGGCCGGCTGTGTCCAACAATCTATCGACAAAATCAAGCCCATCTTGAAAATGATCACAGATGTAAGCAATGCTAAACATGCCTTGTAATACATACTAATGTATAAATAGGCTATAGACGCTGCAGAGCGGCAGCCAAAGGAAGAGCTCGATGAGCAGAAACTAGTGGATACTGTCAAACCGCTACTCGAAGAAGGAGGCCAAATCCTCCAAGAGGCTAACGGAGTCATTCGTGGATTGGACCCTGATGGCAGAATACAAGCGAATGCAAAGAGCAAGACCGCTTCTCGAGAGGCAACACCCGAGGAACACAGGCTTGCGGAAGTGCTGAAAGAGGTATGTACTGGATAGAAGACGACTTGGGTGGAATGATTGTACTAATCCATTGCAGTTGACAGAAAACGTCACCAAGACAATCGATCAGGCGAAGAAAAAAATTGCAGGCATGCCACATGCTAAGAAGGAATTGAACCCGCTATGGGGCCTGCTAGCAGAACCTCTTGGTCAGATTCTTGCCGCCGTCGGATTGCTGTTGAGTGGAGTACTCGGCTTGGTGGGTAGACTGGTAAGCTTCTTTCGTTAATCGCATCTTCGAGTGATACTAACAACTTCTAGCTCAGCGGATTAGGTTTGGGTGGCCTCTTGGACAACCTCTTGGGCGGACTTGGTATCAAGGGAATCCTGAAAGGTCTCGGACTCGGCATGGTTACCGACTCATTGACCGGGAAAAAGTAGTAAAGGGCTGTACTGTATGATATAGCAACGCTGTTTTTGCAATGAGTGATGATATTCCTGGGCTGGATTGGAATTGGGATTGGGTTCAATGTTGTAATGATCTTATGTCCGTACGAGTACCTGTTTGAGAATGGAAATTGATATTCCTAGTCTGGTTTGTCTCGATTTGCGGTACCGAGGCGCTTCCTGCCTTTCTAACCGCCACCGCTCTATAACAGCACCGTCTAATTCTACAGGTGGCATTCAGTTTATGATAGGGATAGGGTCTGCCTAGAAGCTGCTGTGATGATGATACGTCGTTGAACGAAATTCGAACTTTGATAATGCGCGATGTCCCATCTCCGACGTGACTTTGGGGGCATAGTGGAACACGTGTTAGCGCGATCGTCGTATATCGCGGGGTTGGAATTGGACGGCGCCCGAATCCACCTGCTACTCCGTATATATATGGCATCTCTCCTGCTCCCACCGCTATTCCGATCCTTTAACGTAGGCAAGTATATGTACTTTATCAAAGAACAGTACGTGCAAGCTATCTCACTTTCTGACCTGATTTGTCTCTCAACTAAGTCCTCCCTATTGCACCATAAGAACCGGCCCTCGTTTCATCCATGCTCAGGCACTACCTCCTACGTACAACAGAAGATCTAATGTTACCAGCATGCGACACAATGGCATCCACCTCTTCCCAAATCCCCTCTTCCACTTCAACTCCTCCGACTCGGCGTCCTTACCACGGCTCCTGCCACTGTGGCAAGATCCGTTACATCGCATACCTCGCTCTTCCACCCGTGCACATAGCCGCCAAACCTCCTGGCGGGCCCAGCTCTACAGTCCGCATTCGCAAGTGCAATTGCTCAACCTGCCATAAAATGTCATTCTTCCACGTTCGTGTTCCCAATTCGCCTGAGGATTTCTTGCTGTTGAGTCCGACTAACCCCTTTGATGGGGGATTGCTCGACTATCAATGTTTTGATAAGGTGATTCACTGGCCTTTCTGCGGCAACTGCGGCGTGAGATGTTTTGCTTTTGACGGAGCGAGTGAGATTAGGGAAGTGGAGGTGGATGGGAAGAAAATTCAGGCTTGGGCGCCTAAGAAGGAGGGTTGGGTTGAAGGGGCTGGTGCTGGGAGTTATTTAAGCATCAATGCGGCGACGCTTGAACCGGGCCAGGAAGGGTTTGATTTGAGGGAGTGGACAGAAAAAGGTTGGATTGCGTACTTGGAGATAAAGAATGACACGGATGACTCGAGGATGGGCGTCCCTTACGAGGCGGGTATGTACTGAACCCGCCGAGTTCGAGTTCATTCGGCGCCTGTTAGTAATGTTTCAACTCCGAACTATCTTGCCTTTACATCCAAGAGGTCCAATTTATCCTATTTCGGAAGAGCCTGCTTTTGACAGTTCATCCAAGGAAATCAGGAAGGATATTTATTGACTGCATGCCAAACGAAGGTAGGGCTGTGCCTGAGTGTATAAATTTCCTATCAAGGAGTCAAGTAACTAGACCTTTAGCAATAAGGCGATTGTTGGTATGGGGTACTCAGATGAAGAGCTGTAATGCCTACCTAAGTTTCATCAAAGTTATTGGAGCTATGGCTACCCCTTTAAATAATGTTCTCGTATGTTGTCGACATCTTCAAGTCAAATTTGACGTACAAAAGTTTCGGCTCAGCCGCTGTGGAGTAGGGCGTTAGAGATATGGCAAAATGAACATAACATCTGGAAAGATTTGTTTGCCAATAAACATTCGAGCTTGGCAGTGGTGAGCGTATAATTATCTATTGCTTAACTACTCACGCGTTCTGAATTATTTAGGTAGACATTGGATATGATAGCCTAGTGTTCACCACAGTCCTTGTCAGGTCCCGAACATAGCACCATATATAGCCCTATATTCGACTAGTCCTGCAACTTCGCCGCCGGGTTTTCTGTAGCCTAGCAGTCCTACGGAAGATGACAACATCTAAGGCGAGTGGCACTTGTAACTACATAGGTGTGGCTTGGCACCTAATGTAGATATGGTATAGACTAAGTAGCACTACTGAACTGGAGAGCCTCGTTTCCGACAACGGTCTGTGACAAGTAGTTAGCAATCACTCAATCAATAACAGTAAGACTCGCCGAACGCCTTACATTTAGCACATTCCCAATCCCCGTAACCTCCCCAGTCGCATCGGCAGACATCACATTGGCAAAGTTGGTAGCCATCAACTGCACTCCGGAGACAAACCCCTTTCCATCAAATCCGCAATGTCCTCCTCCATTTGGTGTGTTATCCACCGTCTGCAGTGCCCCAATTTCTGCCGCCGTCAAACCTGCACTGGTTGCCAATTTCTCATATGCCGAAATCGCCTCTGGAATCGCCGGCTGCAGCGAGGCCAACTCATCTTGCGTGCTTTGGAAATGGAATTTCGTGTTCGCAATCATATTGGCTCCATCTACCACCGCAACCTGTGGAGTGAGAGCACCGCAGTTTAATTCCACGCCCGTTTGGTAAGTTGCGCCGAAGGTTGGCATGAAGAAGCCCGAGAGGAGCAGAGAGCCACCCGAGACGCCGGTAAAGAATACATTGGCAGGGTCGAATGCCACGTCTTTCGATAATTGATCTTGGATGAGAGTATTAACTGCGGCGGCGTGCGCAACGCCATCAGTTCGTTCAAGGCCCGAACCTCCTCCCCAGAAACGGTTTTTGTTCGGGGCGAGGACAACGACGCCCATCAAGTTATTCTGAACCGCTTGGTTGGGGAAATCGAAGAATGATTGTCCCCCGTCACCGTGGAGAAGCACATTGAGGCCATTGGCCCCGGCCGCGTTGGCTGCTGCTGTACCCCCAGTAACGCCTGAAGCAGCTGTGAACTGATCCGCAGGCGCACTGATCTTGTATCTAATGGAAAGCCCACTATCTGGATTAGATATTTCTCCTGAGCAATAGGGACAATGTGGATTTACTCAATTGTGACCGTCTTATCTAAAATTGTTGACCCATCAGTGGCAGTAGATATTTTCCCAGCTGCTGCTGCTGCTCCGGCGGCAGCGGTGTTCGACGTCGCTGTATTAGCAGTATTCGAAATTGTTTTCTTCCTGGGAAGCGCATCGACGGGTAGGCCGAATAGCAGGAAAATCACGAACGACAAAACGCCAGCCCAAGTATGAAGTGTTGGAGCCATGGTGAAAATAAACGTCCAGCGTCCAACGAAAGAAAGAATATGGATAACTGAATGAAGAGTAATGGAAATCGACGCTCAAAACACCGTTAAGAAACGACAAGCAGAATGACGAGAAATGAGGAAAATGGCATACTTTCTTGAACAGCTTCTTTATGATGGCTCGAAGTTCGGAAGCCTCAAACTGCCAAGTCCGTTTCTCCAAACGTTGTCCCGGGGTGTGTTGCACGTTCTGCTTCCAATCAGTCGAGGTTTGACTTGGCGCTCTTGGGCCGACGTTTTCAGGGAGGTTCGAGATGTACGGACTTCGTGGAGCGTATCCCCTTGTTTCGGTTCTACGGAGTGGAGCATATGGAATAGACATGTCTTCGTGAGCGGCAAATTGAGGGTGTCGATGAATCATTGTGGCCGCACGGTAAGGGGGCTTGCTCTTGTGTCGAGTCCCGAGCAACCAGGTGGAATATCTCTGGCACCACGCCAGCGACTGGTACTCCGTATATAGCGACAGCTCATGTTGTCTCGAGGAAAGATTTTTAGCTTCTCTGGGAAGATGCCTGCGGTGCTTTTGTGAAGAGAGCAGCCGAATGTCTCAATAATAATCACGGGGTTTACAGTGCCTCGTCTGGCTTATCGAGAGCTACATGTACCTAGGTCCGGTAGGTACCCTTATTAGGTAGGTAAATCTATCTGCCTTAGGCTATGAATGACTCATTCACCGATATATATTACCTTCCTAGAAACCTAAGGTACCTTACCTGCCTAGGTAGGTATTTAGGTCGGCAGGTATCTGCCAATCTCCCAGTGTCTAGGGCTATTGGCAATTTATCCTTCATATCTCACATTTGCACCCTCGCGTTCCTGATTGCTACCTCAATAAACCATCCTTCTCGAAAGACACTACGGGCAGACGCGATATTAACATACCTACCCAGCTCCACTGCAACAACATGCCTCTCACACCTACCGAGCAATCCCTCATTATCGCCGCGCAAGCAGCCATCGACGCCATCACATCCACTCCTGTACCCGAAATAGCAGCTCACACGGTCGGCGCCGCAGCCCTCAGCAGCACAGGCAGGGTATTCACTGGAGTTAACTTCTTTCACTTTTTGGGCGGAGTCTGCGCTGAGAATGGCGCATTCGCGATGGCTGCAGCTGCAGGTGTTGCGTCGTCACTGGCCCCCGGGATAGACGCAGGAAAAGGCGATGCAGGGAAGGAAAACTTGGTGTGTGTGGTTGCCGTGACAAATGATTCTAGAGGGGTTATCAATCCGTGCGGGAGATGCAGGCAGTTCATGTTCGACTCTTATCCAGATATACGGGTTATAGTTAACGAGGGGAAGGTCGGGGAGAGTAAGTTGAGGATTGCAAGTATCAAGGAGCTTTTGCCGTTTGCGTACAAGTCCACATTCAGCCCTGGTGTGATTGAAGCCTGAATGTATGGAGTGTTTGTGCAAGTATGCTGCAAGACTTAAAGCCCGCAAAATAAAAACGGGATGCTTTATGAATATGTGGCTTTGATACAGGAACAGCAAAGGAGGGTTCAGTTAGACCTCTCAATTCTCCTCCCCTTCGTTTTCATATTCGTCCGCACTATCCTGCGATGGCTCATCATCCTCATCTCGGAGGAAGGGGACAAACCTAAAATCCACGAAACTTACTCCACCACCGTCGACTTCAACCATGAACTGCAAGCTCAATACCCCTTGTTCATCGCCTCGAACGCTAACTTTGCTTGCAAGTCTCATAGCCTCAGCTGCGGCTTTGACCATCTCGAATTTATAGCTTTGAGTCCATTTCTCTGCGACTGTAAAGGTCTCTAGTAGTTCCCGTCCTTTGGAAAACTCAACACTTGCACTGCCGAGATGACCTATGGCTGAAAGACTAAAGAATGGTGCAGCGGGGAAAGCTGTGATGTCAAGGCGACTTGGAGAGGTAGATGACAATTCCGTAACCGCATCAAAGAGCCACCGCGCTTGCATAATGATCTTGACTTGCATATCATCTCGCTGGAACGGTATTTCTTCAGGAGCTTCCGGCTCATAGGTGGTGAGGTTGCAAGTCGTAGTCACTCCCGATTCCTCCAGAATAATACTGAATGGAGATCCAAGACCTTGGTAAGAGAGACGACAAACACCTGCCATCCCGAGGGCCTGATTACTAAACGCATTGGGCCGATCGCGGCGAATATTGGTTGTGTAGCCATCATTGTCGGGTTTAGAGACTCGCGCATTCATTGCATCAGCAGCGCCGAAGATCTGAAGTGTCTCAAGGAGAGCCGAAAGAGAGATTTGGAAAGAGGGAAGGTCAGGGCTCGCAGATCTAGGACCATCTTCGGACGCGTCCGATTCAGGAAGTGCGCAATTGAACGTGGTGAAGAGAGCTTTGTCTAGGAAAACAATGCCTGATAATGTTATTTCGAGATCGATGGGCGCCAGTAGGAAACTAACCTTGTATGACCCTGGATTCTTCAACCGCAAACCTGAGTCCTTCACTGCTAATTTGGACTTGTGCTTTTGGTGCGAAACGAATGCAATTGAGGAGCTGGAAAAGTTGCCTTGCAGAACCCGATACAGCCTTGAAAATGGGAGTGTCATCCTCTGCCCCTCTGATGGAGGACATCCTGACCCTCATAGGGAATGACAAGTCGATCGAGTGTAATGTTCTTGAATTGTAGATAGATTAACAGAGTTTGTGTGCGACGCGAAAGACCCCTTGTTTCTATATCCTCAAACTACTGTACAACAGATGTGGCGGGAAATCGGCCTCTGATAGGCAGCAGGGCAAAGTCGAGAGGGTCCTTATACATAAACACCAACCGCACAGATCATGTATACGGAACCAAACCTGCAAAGTGTTAGCGGCCTTGAAGAGATTAGCTAGAGAGTTACACATACGCAATCGCTAAGGAAGCCGGAATGCCAATGGCAGATATATTGATAACGGATCGGTCTGAGTGATGGTTTAGTAGAGTATCTTAGAATTAGGTAGGTTGCCATCTTACTGAGTCCAAATAGACCGCTCAACAAGAGGCCAATAGTCAAGAGGGAGAATCCGACGAAGAATTGGCTGCCCTTTCCAATGGTTGGCACGAAAGGATTGCCCGAGGCACTCTCCCAAACTTGATGCAGTGATGACTCCATAAGCGTTGGCGTGATATGGGGGTGAGATTTGTGCTGAAGGGCGGAGAGTTGTATCTTATTACTCGAAGGGTGATCTGAATTTCATTACTCGTCGTGGAGGACCTTCGTCGAGCCCAAGCTTGTAACGATCTGGCATCTCCAAGGACGGCTTAGCGTTGGCCAAGCGGATAAATGTAACGCCGTGATTAAGGTTTACGCTAACGCTGATCGGCAAGCTAAAGCACCGCTAAGGCTGACATGGACCATTTCTCCAGACTTCACTAAACCCAGAGATATACATCATTATCATTCACCATCACAATACAGCAAGCACAAACGGACGAGAAGGCGGTGCGTGAAGAAGGTGCAGCTGGAAGGTTGTATATTTTCCAGCAATTGTATGTATTTACACCTCTCCAAACGGCACTATTATTGAGCATCAGTTAACATGACAACTCCACCAGATTTGCGATTTAACGAAACAGGGCCGTATTGGAGCGCCCCTCTCCATAGAACTGCGCGTAGAACCTTAAATAGTGAAGACTTTGCGCCTGGAGTCTCTATCCCAACAGCCGCCGCTGTACAACGAGACGACGCGTCGCCAGCGCAGGCAAACCTAGGTGTGGTCACTGCTCGACCAGACGACGGATATAGAGACCGCGAGCCAGCGCCTGAGCAGGGATCTGGCGAGGAACTCAGCGAAATATTTGGAAGAAGACTGCGGTTGGCTACCGGCGAGCTCAGTAAACACGTTGCGCAGCACCGGAACTTAGAAGTCTGATAGTGCGCTCATCAGACAGTCAGGCGGAGTTTAGTATGGCTCCTATAAAGGACAATGGTACGCCCATGGCACATTCTACATGCCTCTGTACTGACACACTCCCAGGTTTCAAACGGAAGGCAGAAGATGATCTCGATACCCCATCTCAAAACAAGAGACACAAAAGCTCGCACAGCCAATCCCCAGAGCCGGAGAGAAGGGAGCTCGTGAAAGGAGTGAAGCCTATTCCCTTTCCAGAAAAGGTTAGCATTTATATCCTCGAACAAATACGAACTGAGGCTAACCACCTAAAAGCCGGCAGTGATTGAAGAACGAAATGGCGAAATCGAATTCCGGGTAGTTGATAATGACAACAAGCGGGAAAGCCTGATCATCTTGACCGGCCTAAAATGTATCTTTCAGAAACAACTACCGAAAATGCCAAAGGACTATATTGCCCGGCTTGTTTATGACCGCACGCATTTATCGATGGCTATTGTCAAGAAGCCTCTAGAGGTAGTTGGAGGAATCACATACCGTCCCTTCAAGGGGCGACAATTCGCTGAAATTGTCTTCTGCGCTATATCATCGGATCAGCAAGTGAAGGGTTACGGAGCGCATCTCATGTCTCACTTGAAAGATTACGTCAAGGCCACGTCGGATGTAATGCATTTTCTTACTTATGCAGACAACTATGCTATTGGTTACTTCAAGAAGCAAGGCTTTACCAAAGAAATCACACTTGAAAAGTCGAAATGGATGGGATACATTAAGGATTATGAAGGAGGAACGATAATGCAGTGCACTATGCTACCAAGGGTGCGCTACCTTGAAATGGGGCGCATGCTACTCAAGCAGAAGGAAGCCGTTCATGCGAAGATCCGAGCATTCAGCAAAAGTCACCAGGTGCATCAACCTCCCAAACAATGGAAGAACGGGCCCTGTAAAATTGACCCGATGTCCATCGAAGCTATCCGAGCGTCAGGCTGGTCCCCCGACATGGATGAATTGGCGCGCCAGCCTCGGCATGGGCCTAACTACAACCAACTCCTGCATCTTCTCAATGACATGCAAAACCACGCATCGTCGTGGCCATTCCTCAACCCCGTTAGCAGAGATGACGTGGCCGATTACTACGACGTCATTAAAGAGCCCATGGATCTCAGCACGATGGAAGTCAAGCTCGAAGCGGATAATTACGCCACGCCCGAAGATTTCATCAAGGATGCCAAGCTAATCTTCGATAACTGTAGGAAGTATAATAATGAGACGACTCCTTATGCGAAGAGCGCGAATAAACTAGAGAAGTATATGTGGCAGCAGATCAAGGCTATTCCAGAATGGTCACACCTGGAGCCTTAATGCTGTGCTTGTTAGGAGATTCCTTTGGCATATGGAGTTGGTGTTTGGGCTTGGGCATTCCAAGGAACCGAGTCGGGTTAGGTTGGGGCTAGGAGTAGGCGTTCCACATCGTAGCTGCTTAGTACTCGAGTATTGATAGATTCTCCAAAACATGGAATACTTGAACCAATTCTTTTGGTACATTAAATGAACCCATACCGCGACATATTCGAGGCTGCGCTCTATCTTTTCATATGCCCTAACAACCTCTGGGCATACTTAGACCTTGGCTAGAGAACTATCACCATTGATCTATTCGATATTTAATGCTGCTGCAGCTAATTATTTACTCCTACGTTTCATGAACTCTAGTAGTGCCCAGCATCCACCGACCGCTTATCTACTGGCACATATTCTACTTAGCTAAATACGTATTTAGCTCATGGAGAACACCGCACCTTGATGGGCAAGCGTGACTTTTCTAGGATTTGCCGTGGAGCATATTGATGTCTACTTACCTACCTACATAGTGACCCTATCCTCTATAAATAGTTAAGTATGATGGGGTAGGTATATTACCATATTGATGTTATTTCTGGGGCCGCAGGTGTTTGTACACACAGGCACGTCAATTCACATTCCGATGGGACTGACAAGAGTTGGTAAAATGCAACTCATCGGCTATAGTAAATACATGAAGTATAAGCTACAGACTAAAGCCCAATGCCAATGTGTAAATGCCTTCCCAATTACCATCTAGGCAATGTAAAAGCGGTGGAAAAGCTCCTCCAATTAGCACACACCCCCCCTGCGCTGCAATGTTCCACGCCTACAACAATTCTACCGTCCTATTTTTCTTTTCCGCTAATTCGAGTCCATCGCCCATATGTACCACCGTCGTTTCCGCATCAACTATAACGTCCACGGCCAGTATCCACAGCCCTAGATTCGCATGCTATGCGTTCAAAATGGGCTATTCGCGAAAGCGAATGCAAAAACCTCGTTTTAGTAAAATAAAAAGCAAACGCATATAATCCCACCCCTTGCCTGCCCTGCTGTGAAAGCCAACGCAACGCCTTGCTAAATCAATGTCTGATCATGAGATCCCCAACGAGAACAGGGGTATATGGCCAGCCAGCCTGTCTTGATGAAGTCATCGCCTCACCTGCCGTCAATGAATGCGCCTGAGTAAAGAAAATAAAAATTAGGCCTCGTTCCTTTGACGAGGGGTCCTGGAGGTGTTCAACCTAACACTCGGCCGTCTTGTAGTGTCAACACGAACTGGGCCCGATTGCTGCATCATCGGGAGAGGACGGCGAGAGAATTGCTCCGTAAAATGATCATCAAGTGAGGAGATTGTTCTTGGATCGATTCTCCCCGTGGAATTTGTGGAAGAGCTTGCAGGAACCACGCTAGACCGTGGACTAAGGCTCGACCTATAGGGAAAGGGGGAATTCGTGCTGCTTGACGAGGGAGAGGTGGATGCCGCTGGGGTTGCAGGAGTGTTCGATGTATGGCCCAAGTTGCGGTTGCGGGCCTCGACGTGTTGTCGGACGAAACTTCGAAGGACACTTGGAATATCCTGCCAGTGGCCAGACCTTGCGGCATTCAAGTAGTGAGGATCCCTCGGGGCCTGCTCAGTTGTAGCCGGTCTCGTACCTGGAATATTAGCATTTGGTGACAGGGCTATATCTGAGAATGGTATTCCTCCGGCCTCTGCAGCTTCCTTCAACCACTGCTCCCACTCCTCATCCATGACGGTTGCCGCATTTCCAGCCTCTCTCTGTGCAACTGCTGCCCGCAGTCGCTCGTTCAACTCGATCCCAACACTTCGAATCTCGACATCGGAGTCCTCGGCGTCCTCATCGTCCATCTCGTTTTCTTCCGTCTCGGCGCCCTCATGTATATCCTCCATATCCTCCACATCTGCACGATGAGCTTGTAACACATTTGGAGTGCGCATTTCCGGCTCGACCCAGTCGTCAATCTCATCTCCAGTGGTGTCTCTGATCACGATGCCTTGTTCCCGCTGAAAGCGCTCCTTGGCCCAACGCGTGCCCTCCCATTTTGTCAAGCTTGCAATCTCGGATTTTGTGAGGCCCAAGTTGTCGAAGGCGCGGAAGAGTCGTCGATGCCACGTGTAGCGGGATAGTCGGATGCGGTGTGGGGTATAGGAGTAATCGAGTCCTGGGTATTTGGCTTCTTGGGAGGCAAGATGGCCGTAGAATGCTTGCGTCTCCAAACGAACTTCTGGGACGAGCTGGCGTTGCAGCAGCCCCGGGAAGTTTTGGGGATCTGTCGATTTTGGTCTGGGAAACATGCACTCGTACACGAGCTGGTCGATGGGGCGGCCCTTCATGATTGAGAAGTGGTATATGTGTGTGTGTATGTGCGGAGGGGGAGGGGAGGATGTTGATGTTGTTTCTGCTCGGTTGCGAGGGAGGAAGAGGAAGGGAGGAAGGGAGGATTGGTGGTTGAGTGGGGCACCCTTAAATAGTAGTGAATCGGCGAGGTGGGTATGTAAGGTATTCGAGACTCGTGCTTGTTTTTGTTCTTGTTCGTACGCGCGGGTGTACGAGCAGGAGCAGGAGCAGGAGCACTGATAGGGATTGTATAAAAAGGTCGGCCGGCGGATCGTGTTGTTGAGTGGAAGGGATGTAACTGAAGACGCGATTCCGTGATGGAGTCCTCTGGTACTCGAGTACCTACCGCACTGTAAATACAGTACTTCGTACACGGCACTGCACCCTTCGACGGTGAATGAGCACTCCGGCAGCGAGGGAATCCAGTAGGTCCAGGGTGATTCGCCGCTTGCTTATCCTTGTGCGGCCTCGTGTAGAATGGGCTATAATCGTGGTTCGTATCGCGGGTTTTCTGGTCTGGGAGAGGGGAGGGGAGGGGAGGTGTTGGGTCGTGGCCAGGAGAAGCTGGCTGGAGCAGATGGGGGACAAATTCCAGACCAACAGGTACAGGGCTACTGGAGAGGCTATACTGTAGTAGCGTCCCGAGGGAGGTTGCACCGTCTGGGGGCTGAAGAAGGAGAGAAGGACGGAGGGACGGAGGGAAGGAGGGAGAGGAGCAGTTGGAATTGCAGCTGAAGAATGTGAGATGAGGACGAAGATGAAGATGAAGAGGAAGAGGGTGTGGGGGGAGAAAGAGTTCTGAAGGCGGACGCGATACAGTAAGTACCGTACCGTACCGTACTTTACATTTACTGCGCAGGAAGGACAATACAATACATACTAATACTAATACGCGTAGTAAGTGACAATCTAATAATCCCTTCGCCTTCGCCTTCGCCTTCGCCTTCGCCGTCCATCAGCTTACGGTAGCTGGATCCCTTCGGCGGCCATACTGTACTGTATGTACATGTACAGTACAAGACCATCCTTCTTCCTTCGGGGCACATTTCCAATGCGACCAGAAGGACGGCCACAACACGACCACGGCCACGACCACCATCGCCATCGCCATCGCCATCACCATCAACTCCACCATCAATAACACCATCGCCACCACCGCATTTCTCCAGTTAAATGGCCAAGCCGGCTTTCGGACCACGGGAAAAGGATCGAACCCACATGCTGCTGCTACGAATTACATTGCCGGATACGCTACAGTAGATATTGCAGAGCGCCCTTTCCATCCTCCGCTACAGCCACTATGAACAGACCTGTCCTGTATCCTCTAATTGCTCACCGCTCTTTATAGGCTCTTGCGAAAAGCGCAGTGCTTACGATTCCTACCCAGGCACTTCAAGTATCTTTGGTCCTCTACCACTATCTACGGAGTCTGTACTCTTTTACAGTAAGAGATCTTTATCTTCTGCGTACGATCTGCTAGATCCGATCCGAAGTACGACGCAGAGGGATGCAATGCAACGTAGATACGTGGACCAGCATATACTGATGTAATGTACATGTATCTACAGGTGTACTGTACATACATACATATATACATACATAGAGGCCTGACCTCGACCTACAAAGCACCTTGGTATGCACTCGCAAGTAACACAAATCCCTGGCGGATTTACTTAGATGCCTACCTACCTCCCTTATGCTATTCCGTGCCATGTCCTCGACTCTGTACTGGATGGTGTTCTAGCCCCTACGAGTACGAGTAAACAGCTTGCAAAGCCCGAGGACCTTCCGCGCATGACAACCAAAGAAGCGACCACTGTCGTCTCGGAGGTCGCTGGCATAGCACCACATCCAATCCATCCCCTCCGCTGCACCCCCTCAAGCACCAGCACCAGCATCGCTGTATCTGTATCTGTATCACCACCCTCTGGTCCAATACTATAGGCCCCCCCACCGCGCTGCCCTCCAGCCAGCTCCGGGCCAAGTAAACCATTCGCGACGCCGGGCCCTGCAGCCTGCGCCGTGGGAACCCACTGGTTGGATGCCATTTCTCCAGCATCTGCCCATTAATATTGTCTAATGCCACTTCAAGGCCGCAAGGACCGCCTACGGGACTAATACATCTGCCAGGGCCAGCGCATGCAAGGAAAGCAAGCCTTTATTTCTCGTTGTGATTATTCATGTGTAGCGTAATATCTTGCTATCTGCCACCGTCATTTCGTGGCTACCATGTGCAAAGATGCATAAGATCCCAGGAGCCACCAAGCAAAGCAAACCCCAGGGTATCACCTATAACAATTTCCCGTGCTGTAACTCCATCCGTGACCGTCCTTGCGGCGAAGTCGAAGGCCTCCTTCCACCAGTACCTTAAACGCCAATCAAAAGCGAAAGTAAACAAGTAATCCATACTCCTTAGCTCTACAGCTCAACCTCCGCTCTGGTATGATTATTTTGAGCCGACACGAGAGTGGTTTTGGCCCAATCGACCTCTTCAGCTGCTTCGATCGCCTTCTGAATCTGATCTCCATGTATTGGTGAGCCAAGGGATTCGTCTTGTGCCTGGGAAAGGACAACAACCTCTGTCAACACCGGCTGATGAATTGTCACATCAACAACATGCATCCCATCTTCATCCAACTCATCCAACCCATCCAACTCATCTAACTCGCTGTTGCTCGGATAATCTGATCCTAAGAGTTTGCTTTGCAGATCATCATATTTGCTGCCTATATCATTGTACTGCTGATTTAATTTCAAATGGTCGCGGGCAAGCTTTTCATGAGCCGACTCGAGTATAGGATATTTCTCCTTGTAAATGGATTCTCCGTCACTAGAAGATCCCTCGTCATCCTCGGCATCTACTTGTGGACCATCATCAATGAAGCTGTTGACCTCATAGCACTCAGCGAAATCTGCACTTTCGTCTTGAGAATCATATGCCGAGGAGTGACAGTCAAGGTAGGATGCGAAAAGTTCTTGTCCGTGGGCATCGTCGTCTTCTAGCCCATCTTCTAAAAACCCATTGAGCTCCAAGTGTGGAGGAGCATGAGCATCGGGTTCCTGGATCTCAAAGTACGGAATTCCAGATTGGCCGCTTTGGCAACCAGTGCAGAACCCAATGGCATTGCTCCACAGTTCATAACCGCATAGTCTGCAACGTAGCACCTCATCCATTGCATCGAAGAACGTGCCATTATCCATATAGTCATGATCCCATGAAAGCGCAGGACTTCCATACTCGATCTCTGTTCCATCATCATTCCTAAATGCGGAGAAAGCGGCTCGCGATGAAGGGCGAGACGAGACGTTGACACCATTATCATCGATCGTAGTTGAATTAACATTGTTTGCGTGAGAAGACGGATTCCAGAGGCTCGCCGGGGCAATTGGGAGCTGCCCAACAGGGCCAACCGGTGTAGCATTTTCTAACTCTTTAGCAGGAGCGGATTCTGACTCCGGTTGAGATGAGCTGAATCCATCGAGTTCTAGTCGGGAACGCTTAAGTCGTCCTCCTGTCAAGCCATCAGATATAGCCTTGCGTCGCAAGTTCTGGCAGTGTGAGCTAAGAGAGGCAGAAGCAGAATCATCGGGCCACGATGACTGCAGGCTTTCTGGGATATACGTCTGCTGGCTTATGAGTTGCGCAGCTCTCTTTGCTTGTATCCCCTGCATCTCTAAGTCGTGACGAAATATAGTGGCTGAGCATTCTCGTCCGAATAGAGATCTGATGCTAAGGCCTATTGAATGGTTATTAACGAACTCAACAGATGATCACCTTGGCAAAGCTCATAGAAACTAACCTTCGTGCCAGTTATCTTCATCAACCGTACACGGGTACACATCTTTTGGTCGAAACACCTTGACCAGGCTACAGAGTTCAGGGTAAGAAGAATGACGCGAGTACGGGAAGGTGATAACTCTAGGAAGAGTGTGGTCCCGCCCGTTCTCATCGATGGCATGGGCGAGAGTAGAATGCCGCTTCTCCGATACAGACTTTACAATAACCTTGGCCAGATCTACAAGAGACAGCTCATCTTCCTCATTGCCGAGCCCCATATCGTCAAGCGAAATAGCTCTCCCTTTCGATCGAAGTCCGGTAAGAAGCATATTCTTGATATCGGCGACAATAGGATCCTCGATGGCTTTAAATCTGGGTCATCAATGTGCAATTTTATTGGTAGGACGTTATCCTTAAACTCACAGATTAAGGAGCTGATCGAGAATAGAATCGTTATCAAGCTCAAGCTCAGGCCGTTGAGTTAAATCGCCTCCTCCCCCGCCAACACCAACCTCGGCAATCTCGGTTTTATTTTTCGATCTTGTAACTATAGGTCTGATCCAGATAGTCTTATCGTTAATTGCAGAGCACTTCATACCTTTTTCACAGCTGTGGATTCGAGCGCTTTGGTCGGTGGTTAAACATCCCGGTTGCGGTGTATTTCCACATTTGTACCCTGCAAGTACCGGGCCATCATGTGGAAGGAATGTCCCACATGGACTAGCATCCAGAGCATCTCCTCCAATGGATTGATATAGTTTCATCTTATACTTGTCGACATGGATCTACCCTCGTATTAGGCACCGTACAATGCGTATCAAATCATAGAAGCAGTATACTTGTGATTTGAGAGCGCGACACAGGGCCATCCAGACCTCCTCATAGCCAAATGTCCAGGCGGAGAAATAGAAAGTGACATCTTTTGGATATTCGGAAACCTTTTGTAAAAGCTCTTTTAACCCGTCGGCTTTGGTAGGGAAGACTTTGTCATCGAGGTTACTGGTATCTAGATAGATGCAATCGAGGGTCTTCAAACCGGTAGTGTACTCTATCAGAAGTGGATTTCGTGTTAATGAATTAACAAACCATGGCTCGGATCGAATATCTCCAGTATATAAAACGGCTCTGTCGTTGTCCTCGAACACTTGAGTCTTGTTAGAGACATAGCAAAAAACTAGCATTTGGTGAGACTGACAAAACATTACCGCACCGGTACAATGATTGGCATCAAATAAAGTAACTTGTATCTCATTTCCGGGGTTTAGCTCGATACGAGTTGGAGTTTCTAGAGGTATGGGCTTCTACGGAGACGTGTTAGTTGCAAACTACACTAAAAGTCCAAGCCATACGAGAAGGTTCTTTAGATGCTTGTACTGCTGTTTTCTTGACTCGAGAATACCGAGTGCAAAGTTCAGCCTGTGAGGATATCTCTCCAGCCGGAGTAAAAGCTCTCTTGTAGCTGTGGAGCAGTAGATGCTGCGCAAATGGTTAGCAGCAAGTATCCGCAGATATTAACAAGTTACGTACAAGGGAGATTTGAAGTTCTCGAGCCCAGCGAGATGGTCACTGTGCACATGGCTTAAGAAGCATGCCAGCGGAGGACGGCGGTTTGGAATTTGGCGGAAGTAGTCAACTGCGGACAAGGTCAGCATTTTGCACCTCACCTGGCAAAGGATCATCAGAGGGACGCGTATGAAATCGACAAACCACGAATGTCAGGGAACTCGACCATAACACCACCGAAAGTCGACATCTCGGCAGATTGATATATGTTCCCCCACCATATCACCCCTTAAAGAACGGTGAGAAATAAGATGGTGATGGCAACAAAGGGCCTCGGGATGAACTCGGAATGGAAGGTTCCTTCAAGGGTGCTTACCGCGACTTTTCGCGCTAGAGCAGGAAACCACGTGATGGCTATGCAACTACTCTATGTCACGTGATAACCCCCCCCCTTTCGGTGGAAAGTTGGACAAATAGATTAAACAGTATTAACGACGAGTCGTATGCCAATCAGTATCAGAGGCAGAGGTATGCACAACGAGCATACTTAGTGGTATCTCAAGATTGTATAAACTAACTTACAGACAAGCAATTACGCTGCCAAACTCTCGTTAATACATCTCATCTCCTGTGATGTGCCCTAGCTAATGGGGGGTTTGGTTGGATATATTGATCTTTTAGTCACCCATCATTTGGGATACTTCCACCTTCAGTCTCTTTTCCTCGGGCTTTGTCTGGTCTTCATTCTCATCAGAGGCTTTCCGCTTTCCCTCTCTCTTGGCATTTTGTTCCCACAACAGTTCACCCTGACGACGGATGTTGGAATCGGCGAACGGATGGCAGTTCTCACAAGGGACAGCTCCCATTCCAACAGAATTAATTTCCAAGCTCGCTGTACTGGCCTGCGCTTTTCCGGCAGGGCCAGGCCCTAAAATATGTGTAAAGGTAGACAAAAAGCGGTGTTGAGTTCTTCTCTTGAATTCTTCCAGGTTAACCATTTGCTGGGTTTCCGCATCGAAAACCATTCGCAAAACACCCTCTGCCTAAGGTGACTGTTGGCATAACAACTTATGATGGCGATACTTGAAGCACATACCTTAGCCTTATCTTCGATCGACATCTGATCTAGGTCGTTTGCTCCAAAGGAGGCTGCGTACTGCTCCCATTGTAGTTCAACATTGTTATGGGCTGTTATTGCTAGATCTGAAGATTTTGCATTATGATGGGGCTTAACGCTCTTCACCTCAAAGCCGCTTACTGAACTCACTCACGTTAGTGGGATTACTCTCACGATTGAATTTAGGCGTGATGAAGGATGGGTTATCGATATAGGAGGGTGCCAGAGAGTCTGACATACCTTTAGATGCATAGCGAACATCCCAATGGAGTGACATTTTGATAGGTTCCCCTTCCTCCAATACCTTAATTGCCCAGTTGAAGAGAAATTCCCGACCGTTACCCAGAGTAATCTTGTTATACCTCTCGAATGGAATCGCAGTTATATGCAGCCAATTCTCGTTGCCTCCCGGCTGACATTAGAAATGACATCTGACTGCATTCTCCACTCTCTTCTGATCATCATCCATTACAATAGAATAGGAAATGTTCTTGAGCCCTAGTATCGAACAAGGGATCACCGTTCCTTGAACAAGAAGGCGTGCTAAGGGCTGAGGACTTTCCTGTTCTTGAGCAGAATATCGCTGCCAATGCTCCAAGACACTTGGCCCCATAGCCTTATCGTTGTTGAGCACCTGCTCCACCCAATGCTCCAGAAATTTCCTTCCTCGCTCCACGACTAAGTTATCCCACAGTTGGGTTGCAGATTTGAGGTTTCTGAGATAGTCGGGGGAGGGAAAGGCTAAGAGATACATCGCTCCGTCGATATATTTTCCCCAAATCAATTTACACCGTAAGATTTCACCCACTTGGCGGTTTCCTTCTACGTCCTGAAAGTAGGCTTTCTGGAGGCGATCAATTTCCTGGATTGGGTAGCGGACATACTTGGAGTTGAGTATGAGCAAGTGTGATAACCACGGGTTCTCGGTTTGCCCAACTTTGGAATTTTTACAAACTGTCTCCCAATGAACCAGGAATGGAACGGGGCCCCCCATTAATGTTCGCTGGACCCATCCCTGGAGAAAATCGGCCCCCTTCGTGCTTGATGCCTTATCTCCTTTTTTGAATGGTTCGGTCCACAGCAAGAGGCGTTGAGGAGAAAGCTTGGTCCCAGTCACCTCTTTAAAATATCGGACGTGACAGTCCGACTTTTGTTCAACGATGGCTCTGCTATCATCATTGCGAAAATATCTGAGAATCTCAGTGGCGGAGTGGCCATTGCATAACGTGCTCCGGTCATTGTGCACGATTATCCATTCATCTGAGTTGTTATTTGCAATGGCTGCTTGTGCTTCATTTAAGGCCTTTACCACACTATCCGGGGCAGGAAATTGGGTTTCCGAGTGCGGCAGGGTCTTTTTCTGGGAGTTCGAACCACATTCTGCAGCCGAAGATGGGCTAGTAAAGAGTGGTGTGAGTTGATGTATTGGCTGCGATGGCCAGTTCGGTAGGGCACTAGTCCGGGATGCTTGCGTATAGTTGGCTAGACTGCTTGATTGTTGGTTCTGAAGCGAAGTCTCATATAGCGGTTGAACGACAGTAGGTGGAATCATAAGTTGAGATGGTCGTGCTAAAGCGGGAACCGTCTGATCAATGGCCTTGAGCCTGTTTGCATTGCACTGGGCCGAGTGACCACCAAGTGGCATTCTCCGAGGGAATGGTTCGTTCTCGACTAGATCGCAGTTAGCATTCCATGAGCGACTTAAGGGGGACTTAAGGGCGCAAATACAAAATTGCCTCCAGATTTCAAGATCTGCCAAATATGCCCTGATATCTTTGGTACAATTGGGGTGTTGCATTCTCATCTTGTCTCTGGCTTCCTGGATATTCTGGAAGAACTCCCTCCTTAAGTCTAGCCCACCTAGCTCCAGCACCTTTCGCTCCATGACACTTCCGAGAGCGTGGTATTGTTCAAATACAGGGGCAGGCGTCATTGTGGATTGCACCTTCGATAGGGATCTTTCACTAGATAGCTCACGCTCGTTAATAGCTGGCCTAGATAACAGTGATCGGGTCTGAGAAACCGAGGCTAGGTTAATAGTGTCGATCGTAGAATTCTCTAGGTTGGTAGGTATGTCATAGTTGAAAGGCGGGTTTCGGCCAATAACCTTTGAAACGCTGACCAAAGAGTACGGTTTTGAAGAGGAACCAGTCATACTACCTAAGTCCCCTGACGAACCGCCCTTGTCAGCTTTCCAAGTTGGCTCTGCTATCGGAAATTGTGTTGGGCTAACTGCAAGCTCATCAGTACCAATGTCTAAATAAAACAAACCCAGATAGAACGGACATAATTCACTCCAAATAAAACTTTGAACTTTCCAAGAAATCCACTCCGGATTTAAATGTTTCTCCGAGTGTCTCCGCCTTGCCACTGTTGTGCATCTGTCTATAACAACATCAAATGCCTTGGAAGAAACACCCCGGACTTTTGCAATAGCGCTTAGCTTGGGGTAAGATGGTTTGTCAATTATGGACTGGCGGTACAGATGCGCCAGCGGTTCATCAAGCACGTTTTTGAAATTGTGACCATTGTCCGAAACTTTGCAAATATCCTTTGAGGTGGAAGCAAATAGGTCGGGTGATTTGGTATGGCTCGCACTTTTGCTCTGTGCATATCGGGTTCCCGGTCTATAATAGTCTCCCATGGCAGTGCTAGGTGGCCTATAGGAGTCCACCTTTGTGGCTGGGTAATAGTCTCCCATTGCAGTGTTATTTGAGATACAAGAGCGCGCTTTGCATTCTCCACAGTTAAGATGCCTAGAAAGCTCGTTGGCAGATTCGAATTGTGCAGGGCAGTCACGGCATTTCTGGGGGCGACGGGACCAGTTAGGAGTCGAGTCAACAGACCGGTACCGGTCGTGTACCCAGGTTTTATTCAGATCTTCTGTTGTGGCTTTGCCGGTCGTCTCGTCAGCGTTGTCGCTGAACAGCTTGTCCATTCTCGAGGATCCGACAGCTTCAGGGTCATAGTCGTCTCTAGCCTTGCCCACCTTGTCATCTACATCGGCAAACTCTTGGAGGGTGGAAGGTATGGAAAGAGTAGAAACTAGATATGTAGTGTTAGTAATATAGCCGTTACTGACAATAATCAATTCGGGGAGCCGGGGATGACAGTAGAGCTTATTGTACACATACAGAAATGCCTCCAGACCAAATACTGTGCCCGTCCATTACGCCATCCATGTGACTGGGTGGGGCAATCATGGCCAACTTCTATCATCGTCTTGTCAAAACAGCTATATAGCTCTGTGATGGACACGCGTTCCTTGGCGCATTGTCGGATAAGAAGAGAGAGGCCTGTTCGCGATCCATCGGTCTCCATATTGACCTCGGCCGCCACGACCGACTACCCAGCAAACGGCGCGACAAAACGCTGAGAACGTCGCTCCGCCGGAAATAGCTACGGTTCAGAGGGAAACTAATTTGTAAAGAAGAAGAATAGATAGTAAGGACGGTGTTGTCGCTTGGGGAATACTGTTCTGGTGGGGCTTGTGGTGTTGTGTGCTTCCTTAGGATTGAAAAGGAAACAGGACGCGCTGGAAAGTGGAAGGCACTATTTAAGACTTGAACTTAAATTACAGCGACAGCGATAACGATAGCAATGGACGAGGCTTCCGGCAGCGGGTTTTCTAACTTCCGGCTTTTATCTACTTAAAATGTATTTCCAGCCAGGAACCAGCTGGGTCCCGACTTAATTCAGATTACTATGCTGGCCTAGGTAGGCTACCTTGCAGGGCTACGCTGGTAGGCTACAATGATGGACTGCCATTGAAGACTTTATATACTTCGTGTGGTCGACTAAGTTCCAAATTTCCCATTTCCCTCGAGAGTACGCCCTCTGAACGCCATTCCCAAACAAACCTGGTGACGCCTCGCTTATGAGAGTACTCCTTGGGACTTTGGAACCTATACAAAAACAAATCACCTGCATACCTATGACAATCATTCCTCCTCGGCATCTTCGTCCCAGCTCTCCTTTTCCTTTCTCATCAACTCTGACATATCCTCCGGTTTGAAGATTGAACTTCCGGGATTCTCGGCGCGAGGGACCTTTACTGTGCTCCTCTCATCGTCGAAAACCGGTCCTACCCCCTCAATCCATTTCTTTCTTCTCTCCATCACCGTTTTCGTCATGTCACCAATGCCTGGTCTGGCCATACCAGTGGCCCCGCCCACGAAATGACTCCCACCACCAGCTCCACCAGGTCGCTTCGTTTTCTTGTTCTTCCCCATTGTGCGTGTTCGTTTGAGATACGCTGTTTGGACCTGGCCATCGAGGTCTTCGAGTATGGTGGTATATTCTTGGTGGGCCATCCTTTCTTTGACGAGATCCTGCAGACGGGCCTTGTGGGCACCGTTAATGATGGACTGCTGTTTTAGTTCCGCCTGAAGGTAGCGTAGGCGGACTGCAATTTCATCATCGTAGTGAGCATCGAAGTCAGGGTCGGTGTCAGGGGGGAGGAATCCAATGTGGCGGAGTTCCTGCTTGATTCGTTCATCGACCTGGGAGTGGTCAAGCTTAGGATGGGTGGCTTTCTTCCAAGACTCTGAAGAGGATTCTGTCATGTAAGTAGCGGTTGGAAGCGGGGTAGGGGTATCACCCGGTGGTTGTATTAAGTCGCTTAGATTGAGATCTCCATTCGGCTCTCCATTGATATTGGCTTCCCCGTTTGTAAGCCCATTCGTGATTGGCTTCTCCTCAGACGGCGGTGCGCGATGCTCGGGTCTCAGGGTTGCTAATAATCTTGATAGAACTGGCCCGGCCGAAATTTGGTCCGTCTCTGCCAGAGCATCATCCATGTTCTCAATATTGCCCCTGGCCTGATTTGCAGGTAGCTTGTCCCGATGTTGCTGAGGACTATCAATCGACATAGCGCCGTCCTCCTCGGCCCATATTTCACTGTAGTGCTTTTTACCGCGACGGGGGATGACAAACGGGGTGGTACGGTCACCTCTCTCGCGAAGAAAAGCAAGATCTTCTTCTGTGTATGGGCGAAAATAGGGTTCCAGATACGTCGCGAACGTATTAGCCTGTACTTGATTTGTTGGCTTCGCATTGCTGAAGTCTTTGTCTGGTGGCGTGCCAGGTATCAGATGTTCAAGATTGGACTCTGGAAAATATGACACCGAGTAGATTTCTCGCTTTGTATCATCATCCATGCCATCCGTCACGTCGCGGATCTCGTATACTGTTGGGTCAGGGAAGGTCGAGGGATCGTCACCAAAAGTTTGAAGATGCGGAATCGCAGGTGCTGGAGGCGGCTGGTGCTCGTCCGAACTTGATTCGTCGACGGCGGCTCCCCCTTCCTTTTCATCGATATCCATTCCTGTAGCAGTAGGTGTTGCTGGTGCTACTGGCGAGAGCGAAGAACTCGCAGAGTCGTTATCCCTTGACAATCTTCGCGAGGCTTTGCGGCCAGTAGGCATTGGGGTTGATGGATCTGTACAGGCGCATATTAGATCTAAAAGGTTGAAACTTTAGGGTGGCAGAACGCAATGGCGCAGATAGAGACGTTGCGCGGTGAACGTTCAGTAGCGAGCAAGAGCCATAGATTCGAGAGGTGTACGTACCTAAATGGGTACCATCTTGAGGCGCCAAATTATGGGCACCATGGGTCAATGGTCGCTCTTCTGCCCCCGTGCTCACATCCTTTCTCTTCTTGAGCTTATGCGACTTATGCCGTCCGCGCTCACGCTCCTCCTCGTCCGCAGCGTCCCTTTTCAGCCTTTCCTTGCGCTCCTCGTCTCTTCGTTCCGTTTCAATCTCCTCTAGCCTGTCCTTTCTCATCTGCGCCAGCATCCTCATGCCCCGATCGCATGTCGCTCCACGGATCTCGATCGAGGCCACCAGTCGCTGCAATTTCTCGGAGAGAGCCTCTAGATCCTTCGAGCTGGGGATGGCAGGCCCGACATGCTCCGAAATATCGTCAGATGTTGGGAAGGTCGCTCGTGATAGCTCCAGCAGCGCTGTCTCACCGGATTCCGCCTGGGGAACAGCGCTGACAGCTGTGCCTATGCCGACAAGATTTGGGGTGGAATTGCGGCTCCGGCTCTGGCGCGCATCTCTTCCTTTCTTGCCCGTGCCTTTCTGGCTGGGAAGTGGAGGCATAGCTAGATATCGCTATTCGTGTCTGAAAGAGGGATGTGTTGGGGGAAGAACTCCGAGAGCGGCTCGGCGGCGCAGCGGGAAAGAGAAGAGTATTGTTCAAAGAGGCCGGTATTTATCTAATGCAGCAGACAAGCTTCGCTCTATATACCACCAAGATGGCAGCAACAATGAACATGAAGTCACGGTAAGGTTTCGCTGCCGCGCTCGGATCCTCTTGGCCGTTGCGGCTCTTACGGAATCATCATCAGTCATCAGCCATCAGCCATCATCGCGTCGCATCTTGTGGCAGAGGGGCGTGCGTGCAGACAATACGGCGTAGAAATATTAAAGGGCCCAAACTTCAAAGTCAATAGCCCCCGGGGGGAACACTTGGTGCAATAGCTTGTCCTTGCTTCTCACGGTGTACTATTTTATAGCTACGGTTTTTTCTTTTCTGGATTTGCAAGGTCATCTCCGGCAGCCCTGTTACCCCCTCTTCAGCCTTTGGAAAATATTAGATGGCAACGAATGTTTCGAATGTGTCCAATGATACGAGTCGTTGGCATAAATGTTTCTCCACAACCAATTATCTCATTACCCTATGGATTACCCAGCTATTAAGACGAAGCCTTATTCCCTTGATTGTGGGGTTTGGGGTGTTTTTAACCTTGCTCCGTATGCCATTGGCAGATATGTACCTACCATTGCTATGTACACGCTTTCTGTTCGAAATTCCAATCCATTTACACGTACCCTTCGGACATGGCGCGGGAGTTATCTACCTACCTTGTACGGCCATTATTTCTGTAGCTACCGCTTGATTAGTCTCTTGGCCCAAGGCTGAGCATTCCCGAGCATACGGCAGAGTCAGCCAGGGCTGGTATAAAGGAAGGAAACAAGGCCTTTTATTAACACCAAACGGGCCCTTTTCGCTCCGTTAAGGCCCGGTCCTAGTTGCCTCATTCTGTGTCCAAGGGCAAACAAATCCCATCTGTTTTGGGACCAAGCTGGTAATCATGTGCATGGGGTATAGATAAATTAAATGATCAGAGGTATAGTAATCACGATATCATGATGTGGTATGTATTTGTATAAACATATGTATGTATTAGATTGTGTGGTCAGGCAAAGTTTCTCATGCTACGGAGTAGACCGATGTTTTGCGCCTTTTCGGAGTTAACAGAATCCCGGGACAGGGGATAAGCTTTTCGCTCCCGCCCCGCCGCCGCCGCTTGGCAGCTTGGCAGCTTGGCAGCTTGGCAGCCGTCCTGTTCCTCGGTGACTTTGCGACCACGTCCCTCCGTGCTCCTTAGGTACCTGCGTAGGTACCTGGTACGTCCTACGTACTGCGCACGTCGAGTGTGCGCAGGTACTGGTACTTCGTATTCCGATCTGGCTCCCTGGCTCCCTATTCCTCTTCTGGTGCCGGGTGCGAGTACCCGGCTATGGCGGCTGCCGCGCGCATCCTCCCCATCTTGTTTTATTCCGGCGTACTCATACTCAGTACTTTCCTTCTGTTCCATCCGGAATCCTGAGTCCTGAGTCCTGAATCCTGAGCCCTCCAGGACCTGAATGTGCGGTTGGGCCGCTTGCCCAGAGACAACACGCCCCCCCCCTTGCGCCGTGATACCGGCAGTCGCGCTGGCGGTGATGATGATGGGTACGCGTTCCCAGCTCTAGTTCCAGTTCCATCTTCATTGTCCTTGGCGCCGAGACACAGGCATTCCATTCATTCACTTCCCTCGTTACACTGCCCGTCATCAATGCCCGCC